CGTGGAAGGAATTGGAAAAAATGTGAAGACTATAAAATCAAGCAGACTCACTCAAAGATTAAAGCGAATGTGAGAAGACTTCGAAACTATCTAGAAACACCCGCTATTTAAAAAAACGAACAAGATCTAGTAGTTTAAGAAAACCGCTATTGGGACACCCAGATTTTATCACGTCAAAAGATATTCTTATCACGGTTTAAGATCAGCCGAATATCAATAACTGGCTATCCTATGGTGTTTCAGGCAACAAAGAGCAAGAAAACATATTAAATGCACAAATCTAAATGAAGAAAAGAAAGAAGTTCAGTATTGTCGTGGAAAGGTCACCATTTCGTCAGTGATGGCGCAGAGTAGGCCGCAGGTTCCATGGTAGAGAAGGACATTAGTTGGACCGCTGGAAGTGTTGACTTTCCTGACGCCAAAGAAGCGCGGTGTTGCGAACGTAGGCCGATGGGTATCGACAAGGATGAATGGGAGACAAAAAGAGACTCCAAGCTAAGAGTAACGGGGTCCTCTCGACCAACCCAAGCGGGGGTGACGGGATCAAAAGATCAATGATGAATCACTCATCATAAATTTTCTTGAAAACAATGAATGAATGTCATAGAGTCTCGTGCCTATTTTATAGTTTAAAATAGTAACCATAAATGCAACTAATAATAAAAAAAAATCGCTCTTTTTGGAGCGTTTACGGTTCCATTACGGACATTGAGCACTCTGGAGCTGTTCTTCAGCTATTGTAGTTGATTCGCTGCCGTCATCCTCATTGTGCTGCTCAGTCGGAGATTGGTTATGCTGAAGCTGTTCCTTTTCACCAGTTCCTCCATTTCCTTTCAGCTGATGACCCGGCTGAGGATGACTCAATACTGCATCAATTAGACATCTACGGATTGGACATAAATGTGTTATTGTTTGCCAACTACAGCCCACCTTCATAATAAACCATAAAGAGATTGCGAATCTTGCTTCTAGCAGAACGGGATTTTACAACATCTTCATCTACGTCTCAAACTAGTCCACACATTCGTACATGATCATCGCCGTTGAAAGTTTTGTTGCGAGGAAGATGAACGAGTCGCAGACTGATACTCATGATGGTGAGACCTCTGTAAAAATTTCCCGTTCACTCTCTTTTATTTCACTTTTACTTTGTCGCTTTGCTCATAATTTGAAGAAAATTGAGTTAAACATGCTTGTCTCTTGAGTAGAGCAACTCTAGAGACAAGCATAGATCTGTACGGCATGCTGAAGCGTTCTCCCACCAAGTGGTGTATTCCTGCTGTCGTACTACTCAGTCTGAGGTTTTCTGAGATGAAAAGTACGCTTTTTGCACCAGTTTCCGCCATTGAAGGAGTAAGCATAGCTCTTTTTTAAAAAAGCGCTTTGTGAAACAGTCAAAAAAGTGCTTCGCATTACAATGTAAAAAAAGGCACATGGATTTATTTTTTAAAATTACATATTCTTTATAGGCCAAGTATTACGTGCGTTGTATGCAGGTTACCTAAAATGGCCAATATAGCTTGGAATGTGCTCTTCCAGGGCTTCTTATAAGAGGTTAACTAAAGGCCCTCCGGGGATATATACAGTGCATGATTTTCTTTTCTGGGAGATCCAACATTAAGAGTTGGGCATTCCTGAGCCTGTTGGAGAGACCGGGGACCTAGGGGGATAGGTACCATTGGCGGAGGATGGCCTACAGCGACATTAGAGTTGGGGACCAAGGAGGGAGGAACTTCGGAGCAGGCCAGGGACGATGACATAAAAAACAGTCCTTCATGGGACAATGCTGCTACCTGGACCAAAAAACTTGAGAATAAGGCAACATTTTGAGGTCACATAGATTAGAGCTGGTTGAGCCCATGTTCTTCAGATTAGCAAGATAGGGGACGCCTAGAAACAGCCCTAAGAAAACAACTTTAAGTAACATGGACTTAGCTCCTTCGAAAGTCCAACTTAAACTATTCTGGCTGAATATGAAATGAACCCAAGTTTTGCACCAGGCTTTGAGCATCCGCACTGCAAGCATGACGGACATTTCCTTAGTACATTTTGTGCCCGTGAAAATACCGATGGACATTCTTGTGAAGCTCAAGAGAAAACTTTTGTATGTAGTAATAGTCTATGAGGATGATATCAAAAGGCTGGCTTGTGCGATCTAAAAGCCCAGGGAAACAAGCAGCCCACAAAATGATATAATTATGGTGACAGATTACGTAATGTTGTGGATGGTTGTGCCCCAAATCGGAAGATATTTTGAACCTTTAAAAAGAATAAAAATAAATCTCATATATTTCTGAGGATATGCCGATCATATCTAGAGACTAGCATGTGCATTTGTACAAGCCTAGGAAACAGATAGCCCACAAAATTGTAAAAAAATGGTGACAAGTTACATTGCAATGCGGATGATCATGGCCCAAATCGGAAGATATTTTGAAACTTTAAATGATATAAAAATAAATGATACATTTGTAGTGTGGATTAACGATCATGTTCTTGATACTACCTTAAACAATGTTCGGCCAAAAACAGAATCTTTCAATGCTAACCGCCATGGCTGTCTACATCACTCCACATGGACTTTTTGGGCTACAAGGCACCTTCCTAAACAGTGTGAAAACATGGCAGAGCCTTTGTCATTGACAAAGACTTGAAGGTCTGCCCTCTCTATTTTCTTTGTTGAGTAGGACATGTCTTGAGACCTGGGTGCGCTAGAGCATTAGTCGGGGTAAGTTCAGGAGTTGGCAAGGTCTGGCTCTAAGTCCATGCCCCCCCCCCCTCATTTCTAACTCTCTTTCCATTGCAACTTAAATACAACTTCACCTCTCAAATGACATCTTTTGGGACATTCAAAAGGAGACAAGCTCATAAGTTATGGTCAAGGCTTGAAGAGATATGTATGGCTAAAATTGTTACCCGATAGAATCTCACCAAGCAACGACTATTCGGTCTACGAATGATGGAAGATACTTCTTTGGAATCCCATTTAGCTGATTTTAAGGATATTATGGCAGAACTTGAAGCTCTTGATGCAAATACGTTAATTGAAGAGGATCTTTGCTCTCTACTTCTTATGTCTCTGCTGCCATTTTTTTGGGCTTTCGGAATAATTCTATTTTATGGGTTTAAAGGTCTATCCCTTGAGACTATTTATGAAGCTCTCTCATCCAAGGAAAATATGAGCAAATTCTCAGAGACGACTATGTCGTCTCAAGCTGAAAGCCTTGTTGTCCAAGGACGTGATCCTAAGAGAAAGAAAAATACTTCAAGAGGTCGATCTAAGTCACACCATCATAACAAAACCTACAATTATTACAAGAAGAAGGGTCACATTAAATCAAAATGTTACAAGCTTCAAAACAAGACGAAGAGAGAAACCTCTAGTGTAAATCAGCCTTCCTCATCTGATCAACTTGTCACAAATATAACCCCATCTCTTGGTTCTGGCAAAATTCTTGTCGTGATAGAATATGAATCAAATGCATCAAGAGAATGGGTTATGGATTCTACTTGTACCTTTCACATATGCTTCAATTGAGAGGCATTTACTTTGCTTATTTCATCTGTCGTTGGTGTCGTTTTGATAGGAAATAACTCCTCTTGCAAAGTTAAGGGTATTGGGAATGTTTTCATAAAAATGTCTGATGGCAAAGTTTGTACTTTGAGTAATGTCAGATACGTCCCTAAGCTGAAGAGAAATCTTATATCTCTCAGCACATTAGATTCTCAAGGATACAAATTTATTGAACAAGGAGGTATTCTTAAAGTTTGCAAAGTTTCTTTAGTTATATTAAAAGGTCATCAAAAGATGAAAAATTTATATGTTCTTGAAGGCAATACTATTACATGTAATGTGGCTCTAGCTAGCTCATTACATTCTATAGAAAATACTACTAAATTATGGCATATGTGGCTAGGACACATGGGCGAGCAAGGGATGACTAAATTATATAAACATGCACTATTTCATGGAATGAAATTAAGTAGTTTGGAATTCTATGAACATTGCTTGTAAGGCAAATAAGTTCATTTCAGTTTTTCAGTAGGCCATTACAAATCTACTAGAATTTTGGACTATGTGCATTCAAACATTTAGGGGCCGTCACGTGTCCCATCAAATGGAGGAGCTTCATATATGTTGACTTTCATTGATGACCACTCGAGAAAGGTATGGGTTTATTTTTTGAAGAATAAATCTGGGGCACTTCAATGTTTTAAAGAATGGAAATTAATGATAGAAAAGCAAACTAGTTAGTCTCTTAAAATGTTATGAATTGATAATGGGATGGAATATTGCTCAAATCAATTTCAAGATTTCTACAAATCTGAAGGCATCTTAAGATATCTCACAATCTGATAATTATAAATTAGTAGTTGCATATATGTATTAATATCTTATGTATATATGCTAATTAATGGGTACATAATATAATTATACATATGTTACCAACTCATTATGACATTTATAATGTTTTATAATTTAAGTCCTAATGTATAATATTTTACTTGTTTTATTTATATTATGAGACTAATCCCACTCGACTTTTATGAAGTCAAGTGGTGATTCTCTCACATTTTCTTGATAATTATTTGATTGCAAAGACTTAGGTGAGTTCTTAATATGAGTTGGAAGTAATGAAAGAAGCCTAAGTCTTCAGCCTAATGAAAAGCCCAAGTCTTATGGAGAGAGTCTGCCTAATCTATTTATGGGCTTAAGAGAAGGTGTCACTTTAGCCTAGCCTATTTGGACTTAAAAGGGTTATCAAGAGATGAAATCTAGGTCATCCATCTTAAGACGCCTTAAGATAAGATTAAGAGAAGAATTAGAGTACCACCCTCATAGAATGATCTAGGTCATCCACCAAGAGAGTTGGTTATTAATTTTAACTATCCATTAGAGGGGCCCAACTTTTGAGAGGATTAAGGCATCTAATGCTTTTTGGCTCTCTCTCTAGTAGTGGCTAACCGTAGGAAATAAGAGAGAAATCGAGACCTGATCAATGGCATTTTCGTGCCCAAGATCATCATGGAGAAGAGATTACCTAAAGCACATTAAGATCGTCACAGATCAAGCATCACTCGACCTAGGATTAGTGCACAACAAGGTTTGTGTAAGATCCAAATTTGGGGCGTCCTTGTGCACAACAAGGTTTCCATCATTCTATTACATTATATCCATTCTCTCTCCTTTGTCACGCTTTTTATAACTCTTGTCTTCACCCTTTTACATTTAATTCCTCCCTTCACAATCTCACATATAGATATATATATATATATATAAGAAATAAAATAAGTAGAATTTGTACTCTCATTATCCACACTCCCTGAGGATCGACCTTTACTTATCCTAAATAAAAAAGTGAGATTTTATAAATATTATTTGCATCAACTTGGTTACATCACAACGACATATTTAACCTCCAATTTGAGTTCATTACAAATCAGCACACACTACAACCGAACGGTGTAGTAGAGTGAATGAATCAAACCATTTTTGAGAAAGTTTGTTGTCTACTATCAAATACTTCTTTACCAAAACAATTCTAAGCTGAGGTAGCAAATATGATAGTGTACCTCATTAACAGATCTCCCTCTCTTGTCATTAGGAAAAAGACTGCTCAAGAAGTTTGCTTTGGCTCTCCTAGTGATTATTCTACTCTTATAATTTTTAGTTGTCCTGCCTATGCTCGCATAAATATTGGTAAGCTTGAGCCTTGTTCTATCAAATGTATTTTTCTTGATTTTAAAGCAAGAGTAGAAGGATATAAATTATACCAACTTGAAGATCAAAAGATTATATATAGTAGAGATGTCATCTTCAATGAGATGATGACTATGAAGACACCCACTATGAGTCAAGAAATAGATGCTCCACAACAATCCACGGTGAATCAAAAAGTTGATATTGAAACTTCAAATTCGTCCTCAAGGTTACCTCACAAGATAGAACAATGTGCTCTGACTATTGGAATGCAATACCAGACTTATTCTATTGCTAAGAATTGATCTCGAAGAGAGATTCAACCTTTGTTGAGATGTGCACACACAGACTATGTGACATATGCATTGGCTGTTACTGAAGAAATTAATAGTTCATATGAACCAGCTTCTTTTGAAGAAGCAATTCGCTTTAATGCCTCAACTAAGTAGGTATCTATAATGCAAGAGGAGATGGAATCACTAAGCAGAAATTCTACTCAGGAGTTAGTAGAGCTTTCAAGAAACAAGAATTCTATTCATTGTAAATGGGTTTATAAGCACAAGGAGGGTAATCTTGGAGTTGAAGAACCTAGGTATAAAGCTAGGTTAGTAACAAAAGGTTTTAGTCAAATTCTTAAGGTTGACTATAATGAGATATTTTCCATTGTGGTCAAACATTCTTCCATTCGTGCCATCCTTAGTTTAACTGCTCATAATAACTATGAGCTTAAATAAATGGATGTTAAGACAACTTTTCTCTATGGAGAACTTGAAGAGGAGATCTATATGCTTCAGCTAGAGGGCTTTGTTGACACAAAACATGATAAATTAGTTTACAAGCTCAACCGACCTCTCTATGGTCTCAAGCAATCACTTAGACAATGATATAAGAGGTTTAATTCCTTTATATCCACTTTCAGCTTTAGTCAAAGTCACTATGATAACTATTTATTTTAAGAAATCTCATATATCTTTCATCTATCTCCTTTTATATATCAATGATATCTTAATAGCTGCTAAGGACATACAAGACGTTTAGAATATTAAATGCCAACTTAGCCAATAATTTGAAATGAAATACTTAAGAGCAACAGCAAGAATATTAAGAATGGAGATAAAAAGGGATTGAGTTGCAATAACTATATCCTTAAGTCAAAAAGGATATATTGAGAAGATACTATGTTGTTTTAATATGGAGAAAGTCAAATTGGTAAGAACTCCTCTTGCGAGACATTCTAAGCTTTCAACTTTTAGTCTCTCCAAAAACAAAGGAAGAAATTAGGTATGTCTAAAATTCCGTACTCTTTTGCGGCTAGTCCCTAATGTATGCACACTTGACCTGATATCTCACAAGTTGTAAGTCTAGTGGGTCGCTATATAGCAAATCTTAGAAAAAATCATTGAAAAGTTGTCCAATGAATCTTTAGATTCCTGCGACGAACCACAAATACATATCTTCATTTTGGAAAATCTTTTAGAAAAATTATTGGCAAGGTGAATTCTAACTTTGCTGGAGATCTCGATCAAAGGAGGTCTCCTAATGGTTACTTATTTACGTTTTTGTGGGACTACCATATTTGATTTCTATCAGCAATTTATTGGGCTTCATAATGATTGATCTTTTCGACACTCCACTACTTCGGTCAAGGGGAAGATATGTTAAACTTGGTCAAACTTGGTCATCGGAGCAAAGGATAGAAAGTTTTTGTCTTTGACGCTGATCGTGATAGTTACAAATAGAGTAGAAGGCACACGGATCGGTATTATCATCTTTTCTCTTCTTCCTTCTTGATCCTATTCTATGTTTTACTTTCATTATATGTTCTCTAGTTCTATTGTGAGCTCTCTCCCATTGAGAGGTTTATTTTAGTTGAGCATTTTTCTTTGGAGATTTCCTTTGTCTTTATTTGCACACTTTTGTCAACCTTTCCATTGTTATTTGGCTTTTGTAACTGATAACTTTATATTTGTGTTGATTATTCCTTATATTTCATGTGGTTTTTGTTCATTTAAATCTTGAAAATATCATGTTATTAACATAATGATTTAAATATTTTTGGATTTGTATTAATTTCACTATTTGCACACTATGCATGAATTTTGCATGATTTTTGACTAACCCTACTTAACTTCTTAGAAGTCAAGCAGTTTTATTACTGATAAATATTTTCAAGTTTTCATGCGTTCAAAATTTAACAGAAATCAAAAATAAATTAAGAGCACTTTAGTGGACGAAAGTTAGCTTAATGGGCTAGGAATACTTTGGAATTTCGGATTTGGAACTTCAAGGAGAAATTAGAGGAGGTTCGGGGGCCATGTCCAGGCCCATTTAGACCCACCCAAGTCCATGGAGGAAGCGATGTAGAAATTTATGGAGAGAGATTAGGAAATAATGAAGGGGCATTTTAGTCATACTTGCCCTTGTATAAATACTCTCTTCCTCCCTCTTTCCCGCCCCATTCTGGACGTGCTCTAGCAGTGGCTAGCCAGCAGGACAAGACATTCTCCAGGATCCGGGGTATCCACCCTGATAGATGTAAGTCGTTTTGAAGCGTTCACTTTTGCTCTTCTCCTTCTTGCAGTGAAAAACGCCTGATCCTGGCGGAATATAAGGATCCAAGAAGAGGAAGGAGTCTTGAGGGCTCAAAGGACGAACATCAGCACCCATTTTCTGCTGTTTCCCATCGCTCTGTCTTCCGTTCCGCCCCCTCCAGCTGCTCCACGTTTTCCTCTGTTTTCACCCATCGTTCCTTCTCTCTCCGCCTTCTCCCGCAGCCTCCGTCTCTTCCCGCCGTCTCCCGTCACTCCGTCTGCCCCCGCTTTTTGCCAGCCGGCGTGCGCTCGCTGCCGGTCGCTGCGTGCCCGTCGCTCCTCGTCTCTCTCGCTCGCCGACCACTGCTGCCGCCTATCGCCAGCAGCCGCACGTCCGCTGAGCACCGCCGCGTGCCCATCGCCAGCCGCCGCACGTCCGCCGACCACTGCCGCCGCCTTTCGCCAGCCGCCGTGCACTCGCTGCCGGTCGTTGCGAGCCCGTCGCTCTCTCTCTCTCTCTCTCTCTCTCTCTCTCTCTACCCTTCCGGATGTAACCGAAAGTCCTAAATTTCGGTTAAGTCCGGAAACGGTCAGGGGAGATCTGCGACCCGCGCAGCCCATCCTCTTACCCGACCGTCAACCGCCAAGGTAAGTTATTTTAGTATTATTTATTGTTGTTCTTTGGTATTAAAAAAATAAAAATAAAAATAAAAATTATTTATTGTCTAGCTTCATACTACAAGATCCATCCACAAATATCAAGTAATGACTTTCTATTATTGTTTTAGGTTCTATTATTGGCAAGAGTGCACCACAAAAACTTAGTGTGCTTATTGGGGTATTGTGATGACATACAACATTTATCACTTGTTTACGAATATATAGACAATGGAACCCTCCGAGATCATCTTTTAGGTCTTGCTATTCAAAATTTCTTACATCATAATTTATCAAAATAAATACACCACATCATCAAGATCAGACACTATTAAAATAACTACTCTTGTTATTTTAGGTGAAATTCACAATGCCAATATTTTAAATTGAAACCAAAGAGTGAATATAGCTCTTCAAGCTGCACAAGATACTTTCCTCCTCACAAACTTGAGTCAACTTTCCACTCAAGTCTTAAATGAATTCTTACATCACCATAGTTGAAAAAAATTATAGGCTAGATTACCTACACAATGGATGTAGACCATGTATTGTTCATAGAGATATTAAGAGCAATAACATTCTTTTAAATTCTGAGCTTGTTGCAAAGATATCTAACTTTGGAATATCAGGGCATTCAATAATGATAGTGCTACACATGTAACAACTAAGTAGTTGGGACTCCAGGATATCTTGATCCCATGTAAGTATTCTTCTATTGTTGTTCTTATGATTTTCTGAAGTTTAATACATATTTTTGAGTAAAATTTTAGATAAATAGTAAGAAATATTTATCATGAATATAATTTTCTTTCTATGTGCAGGTATTACCAAAGTTATAGACTAAATGAGAAAAGTGATGTAAGATATATAGTCTTGGAATTTTTCTTTTGGAGATCATAACTGGTCAACCACCATATCAAAAGTCCATAGAGAAGACATACATTGTGAAATGGGTTCACTCAAAAGTTCAAAATGGTGACATCGCCAATATTATTGATCCTAGGTTACAAGGAGCTTTTGACATCAATATGGCATGAAAAATAATAGAAGTAGCAATGTCATGTACATCAACAATGTTAGAAAAAAGAATGACAATGAGTGATGTCGTGATACATTTGAAGCAATGCTTGGACATGAATGAGTTGCAGGATGTCTTTGAAGATGTTCAGTCCTCTATTCAAAGTTCAAATGGCACATTTGATTTTGAATCAAGTACTTCTGAAGCTCCATTAGCTAGGTAGCTTTTTAAAAGTCATGAGTGAGTAATGATCCAGATTTTTGAGACTATAAAATGATCTGAATTGAATTAACATTTTGAAGATTGTATCAGACTTTGATTTTAATTGTAGATTCATAAGAATTATTGGCAAAATATTTTCTAAAATAAATGTTTGTACACTCCAGTGAATGTTTTAAGTGTAGATTCAATGTTCTTCTTATCACCATTGTTGTTATATTAAAATATTAATGAAGTAATGCTCAATTGGAGACATTGAAGATTATTCACTTACTCTAAGAAAAACTAATTATGTCTCATGCCATGCTTCCTTTAATCTATTATTAATGATGGTTTGCTCTTTTTTTATTTGTGAGTGAATATTTCTGCTCATTGAGTGTTAGAAATAAAAATGTCTAAAGGTACTTATTTATATCCAATACAACAATGTTATTGAAATATGTGTTCAAGAAAATTTACATAGAATTTATTTCATAAGTTTTAAGAGAGTCATATTGATTGATGTCAAGTTGTCTAACTTGAAAGTTTGCTTGTAAAAATTGTATAAAATGTGTGTTTGTGATGATGTCTCATTTAGATCTTTGAGTTCATGAGAACTCATGTATCACAGTATAAAACCTCTAGACTTCTATGCATGGAACAGAAAATTTAGGATTTGATTATGCTTGAGCCTTACCTAATTTGAGCATAGCCTTTTCCCATTGGGTTTCATGAAGCCCTTTAGTGTTTGTAACCATAATTTGTGCCCTATTTAGCTCAAGTAAATTAAGATAGACAGGCCTAGGTCATACTTGAGGCTTTTTGACAATAGCCAAAACTATTTATATAGAATAGATATACTTGGAACCCAAAGAAATCACCTAAAAATGTTGAGTTGGTCAGACCCTGAAGGGACAGGGTAAATCTACCCAACTACCATCCCCTTATGATTGATGTCTTCTTTAGCCTTTCATAACAAGAGGAACATGGACTAAAAGAACAAGCTAAGGCTACCTAAAAATGCCAATAGTGAGGTCAACATCAGGTAGACATCTAGTGAGGCTAGGCACATCATTTTCCTATATAACAATGAATAATCTGGTGAGGCTGGGCACAATACAACCAATGGGGCATTGACGTTCAAAGAATTCATTTTGTAATGAAATTTATAATATTAATTGTCATTTTATGCTATCAATAGTTCACAGGTGATAGTAGACAATTCCATTTCTAGCCATTGTAAATGACTCTTGAAATGTCCATAAAATAGAGTATAAATAATAAACTTTGGCCCACTTTAAAAATAGTGAGAGGAAGAAAAGTGGAGAGTGATAGCCACAATGTCTACATACACGCTTTGAGGAGTTTACAAAAACGATTACAAGAAAGGAGGCCATTGAAAACAAGAGAAAAACAATTTCTAATCAAGCATTCTAAGTTTTCTACGTAGGAATGACATCCCAACAACAAGCAAAAGATCTCATTCCCTTGGAAGCTTTGAACTGAAACATGCAATGACTGGTAAGTCAGTGCACATTTTGTATTTGATTAGAAAGCTAATGCATTCTACTCAAGTTGACCTAGTGTCACAGATCTAGAAGATATTAACTGTTTGAAATCTAATCTTTTTCAGACATGGAGCAATGAATGTAAAAGGGATTAGTGATGTGCTAATCTAGATTAGAGACCTAAAGTTGCAAATTTAGAAGAGGGTTTTAGTTTGAAATGTCTAATTTACTTACATATGATAAATCCAATGTAGGCCCACTAAAGCCTTTGTATTCAATGTAAGTCACTAGGTCTTCATGCAACCTACATTTGTGGTCCTTAGAGAGTGGAGTAGGTTGAGTTGACTGAACTATTATAAATTCTATGTGAGTAGAATTGATAAAAAGGATTGGTAAAATAATTGTGATGACAAAAAGCACAACTCATGACCACTCTCGATTCCTTATGCTGTCATAGTATAATCTACATATTGTCTTGACATATTTTTGTGATCACAACATGATAGAGTAGCTCATACTCCATATAAACAAGATAAGGGTTCATTCCAGTTTACAAAGTTAAAATATCTACTTTCAGAAATATAAGGCAATGTAACATAATTGGATGTCATGGGCCATAATTCCCTTGATAATGATGATTTTTACTTCTCCATCTTAATTAAAACACTACCATGCTTTCTCATAATAAGTTGACAAACTTCTTTTGTACTAAGTTATTTTTTAAATTTATTACACCTAGTTAATGCATTACTAATTATCTAAATATTTATATTTTTATCCCCCTTAATACTAAAATCCAATTTTTATCTACAAATACAAGCTGAAGAACAATGACTTGAATTGAAATGAAGGTATTGATTGGCTTTATTATTTTCATTTATTTTGATATCATCACAATGCTGGATGGATTGATGGAAATTCTAGAGGAGAAGAGTGGGAGTGACTACATTCATGAAATAATCACCAGTTTAAGGGTTTACCTTTTATATATAACTATTAACCCTAATTAGTATCAGAAAAGAAGACCAATAAAAAGCAGATTTTAGTTTTGTTACAATCCGTAAAGTCCTCTATCTATCACGAGGTGAGATGTCAACTAGTGATATTGAAGTCGCCTCTTTAAATATCCAGAAACTATAATGATGGCAAATGAGTTCCAAGAAGTGATTGGTAATAGAGGATTTGGATCTGCTTACCCCAGTTTCTTAAGTGACGAAACTCAAGTGACAGTGAATGTTCTATCAATTTGAAGCTAAAAGAAAGCTACCAAACCTGATAACTATATATACATCATTGTGGATTTAGATTTTTATTATTTTACTTAGTTTTTTAGTTGATATTCATAACAATATTATTTCAACTTAGAGTTTTTAGCCAAATGTCCTGCTATATAAGGGAGGGTATAACAGTTGACTTTGATTTTTGTAACTTAGACACAACTTTCAATGAGGGTTTACAACAAATAGTTTGTATCCCTACAAGGATATTGTGGTGACGAGAAACACAATTCAGTGTCTTGGAGTGAATGAATCATGAAACCTTTTTGGGGGCACCTCTAAGGCAGAGTACATATGAGTATTATCTCCATATCCTTTTAATTTTAACTATCTTTGACTAAAATATGAATTTTAGATTTTCTGTCTTTTTCTCTCTTTTTCTTACCATATGTTACCTTATGTTGGTGTCAACATATATTCCAAAGAATTTACATTGATTGCGATACATGTCACATAGAAAACTATATGACATTCCTTTGAGGCTCGAATCAAGACTCATCCCCAAAGCAAGATCAACTTCTAACGAAGCTCACTACATGGGAAATAGGCTCTCAGAAGCTCAGTCACCATGGCATCGTTGCCAAGTTCTTTGTTGCGTGCCATGATTGTGGGTACGAGATCAGAGCCCATCATGCGAGAACAGGTTACAAGATGATCAGTCGTCTCTGGTAACGATGAACAGAGGGCGTAACAGCAAGCCTGGCTCGGACTGCCACAGAACCCTTGTGTTAATGCATTTACCAGGCTATGCTTCCGAGTGAAGACATTCTTAACTACAATGTTCGGTCGTCATCACCGCCCTTCCGTGATATCCAAACCCCGTCAGAAAGCTACAAGCGAGAGAGAGAGAGATAGAGAAAGTATGCACAACTGCAAAGGACATCAAACACGGACATTAAACCCAAGACAAGACAAGACAAGTCAGCCAAAATTTGCAGCTTTTACCAAGCTCAGTACTCATAATTTACACTCAACCAGCTCCAAATGCGTGCTTTACATCACCCGTTCCATCAAATATCTAAACAAATGAGACAGTAATACTAAAGTTACACGTTCGGCTCATCATATTAAATATAATAATAAATATATAAGTCACCCCGAACAGAGAGGGCTTGGTCAAACTTGAAGATTGTGCATCAAGTCAAAGCAGCCGGTTCCCATCTTCACAGGCTGACCGAGGCAGACACTGGCAGAGGGGGACTCGAGTGTGTCCACCTCCCCATGCAAGGCCGCCTCCACGATGAACTTGGTCGCCGTCTCGAACGTCATCTTGCTGAAAGGGGACGTGCCAAAGTAGGCCGCTCCGATCCTGTTCATCGGCCTGTAGCCGCCGTTCACGGTCATGAAGTCGGCGATCAGGGAGAGATGCCGGATGTCCACGGAGATCTTGTAGTAGTCGAACACGTTCTTGACCTCGTTGATGATGGCGGCCCTCGCGGCCTCCACGCCGTAGGTGCGGAGGACGGCGTGAATGTCATTCGATCTTATGTGGTCGATGTCCAGGTACTCATCCAGCTGCCAGAATGAGCGGAAGTTGACGCCCGCCGTCTCGAGGGCGATCCTCTTTGTAACCTTATCTTCGATCACGGAGCACTGCTCGATGTTCCCCGACTCCTTCACGTAGACATTCTTCGCCGCCTTTTGGGCAATCTGCCGAGATGGTAACCCTTCTTGATACACCGAATAATAACCAAAAGAGAGCATCACAGCTCTCAAATATCTGAGGAATCGGAGGTTGAGGGTCGAGGAGGAGAAAAGATTTACCTCGGCCAGAAGAATATGAGGCTCGTCTCTGAACAGGAAATGGAGTTCGAAGTTCAGACCATTCACTTCCACGAAGAACACTTTATCGCTCGGTTTCTTGCTTCTCTTCGCCCGGATCTTAGTCTTCCCAGCTGAGAATTGTTTCCCCTCTTCGGCAGTCTCTGATTCAGGAGCCATCGAAGAATCCGGTGCGTGCGATTTCTTGGTATCTTCTTCTTCCGCAGCCCCTCCCGCTGCACCCATTTCCCCGTCGGACTCCAGGGTGGGAACTTCTCCTCCCAAGCTGTAGTCCTCGTCAACCTCTGCCTGATCGATCTCGCTTTCAAAACCAGAAGGTTCATCGCCAGCTTGCTCAAGCCCTGCCGCCTTTCGCTTCGGACCATGGTCTTCACCCACGTCGTCCTCATAGTCGACCTCGTCATTCTCCTGCTTCTTCCTCTTCTGGGCATCGGTTCCCTGATCCTCGGCATTGTCGTCATCGTCACCAGAACTGGCGTTGTCCTCATTGTCGCCCACCCCTCTCACAGACGGCGTAGAGGGCTCGTCGTCCTCCCCAGATTCCCCCTCTACGAAGCTTTCCTCCCCACCGGAGACGGACTGGATACTGGAGATCTTGGATACCGTCTCCAGATGCTTTTTGATGGCCAGCTCCAGTGCATCGACGAAATCGTATTTCACAGCCGTCTCACAGCGCTCGAGTGTTATGCCCGAGTGGGGAGGGTACTTGTCGGGGGAGTAAAGCTTCCCACTTAACTTGTAGACAGTGCCCACCTTCTTCTCCATCACGCAGAAGGGTACAACACAGACCTCCATACTCTCCAGCACATCTGCTACGGTGATCCTTCTCAATCTCGCGGCGAGCTGGTCAGCCGCATCCCTGCCCAATTATCGGAACAGAAAAAGGAAAAGGGAACCCATCAGAGGATACAAGAGTCTGGCAATAAATTTATGCCAAGATCTATGTTTGCTTTACCGGGGATTCAACTCACCTCGTTATGAAATCCTGCAACGGGCAGGTCATGACTGGCGTTCGAATCTTCTCCTTGGCAGTCATCAGGATTTCCTGCAGCCGTGGGATGCCAAGCGTTACATTCATCTCCCCTCGTCCAGCAAAGTGGAAAGTGTTCAACCTGGTAAATTCGAGATTATCACTTAACATGGAAGGATAGTCGATGTCAAATAGCATACACATTTTAGGCGCCAAATACGCATCCAGAGGTATGATTAGGATGTCGATATGATCAAAGTCGTTCTCTCTGACGTTACTATTTACCGAGTACCATGCCAGTGTTACCCACTTTTTAAATAATGAAATTGAAAAGATAGTAAGATAATCAGGGGAACTCACGTCATCTGCGTCGATGGTTCCCCCACCGACTGTGCCGCGAGCACACCCACTGGTTCTCCAGGCTGAACGAGGCTAGAGATGTACTTGACCCTCACTAGCTTCATGAGATCACTCTGTTTCTTCAGGTGAAGAGATTTCCGTTGCTTCTTTGTCAACTTGTGCAAAAAAGTCGTCGCCTCTTGTTCGAGTTTATCAGGCAGGTCCCGAATGTATGCATTGGACTCCAATACGTTGGCATTCGCCCCATGTCTGTTAAGCCTTTCTTGAACAACAATCTGATTCTGTAAACAGCAGAGGTGACATTAATTAGGGGTCCTTTGACAGAAGAACTAAACAACTGATTTGGGCGAAGAGCTTCTTCTGATCTTTTACAGTGGCCAGTGCTTCAAATTGCTTGAGATAGCTTGTCTGATGAACGTCGACCCCATCCTCCCCATATAGGAACTGGATGACGGTCCCGTCAACATCTCGTACGGTGTGATCGTAGGAGACCTTCAAGCTTTCCAGATTCTTGATGAGACATCGTTGCAGGTAACCACTGCGCGATGTTTTGATAGCCGTATCAACTAATCTGTGGGAAAAAGCACACGTTAACAAATATACTCGAGGAAAATATGAGTATATGATCAGAAGAAGCTTTCAATCTTCGAGATATGTGATATGATCAATCAAGGGATGTGATGAACCACGAAATCAAATACATCACCGAGATTATAAACCATAGGACCTTAGACCATCGTAAGAAAACAAAACAAGAACAGGGGAAAGAAGAGAAAACCGACCCACAACACAGGTAACACTAAGAGAAGGTAAAGAATCCATATGACAAGAATGAATCTCAACAACACATCTCGAAACAGTTCTACTGAAAATTTTCGGTAGAGTACTACCGAAAAGCAATTAGGTGTGAAGCATGATATCAAAAGTGAGAATATAATAAAAGAGAAAGTGTGAGTCCAAAAGGCAACAAAGTTTCGTACCCATCTCGGCCAGCCATGCAATGGAAGTAATACTCCTGTGGGCGTAAACCCGTCAGGAAACGGTCCCCAATGAAACCACCGGCTCGAGAAGCAGTATCCCATGGCGGAAAGCATGGCAATGTCTTTCCAGAAACCATCCGTGGGACTCGCTTCCCCTCCAATTCTTGTTGCCCTAATAAGGAGGAAATTTGGGTAAAATTGACCTGCAAAGCAAATTCCGATCAATAACTTACGTCTCCGAAGATAACGTGCTCAGGCGACATGCAAATGAGGTTATGCCCAAGTTTATCTGAATGATGAAAGCCATAAAACTGGCTAAGAGACCATCTGTGTATCTTCCCACAAAGAGTGCAAGGCATGTATGGATGAAATTCATAAGAACTAAAATTCCAAGATAGCACATGCGAAAAGCCTCAAATGTTATCCAATCGTCACAAAACCCCGCCCCTTTTCTCGAAACTGCCGATGATCATGAAAAGAATATTTTGACTTTAGGAGTCAGATAAAATATTGCAAACTGAAAGATCATCCACAAAGTAAGAAGCCACAAAATTCCAGCAACTTTATTTTGTTGTCTTGCAGAATTCATGCCAAAGAAACAACTCACCAACAATCAAAAGGAAAATCACTCGTCAAATTTCTTAGAAAACAGAGATCAAAAAGGTTGTCCAAGAAGTTACAGGAAATAAAAAATATCATCGAAAAATAAGTAAATATCTTCAGCATACCATTCCACCCTTTGCGCCAGTAGTGGTCATCAGAGAAAGGCAATTTCCTGGGAAGTTTTTCTGAAGCCCTCCTGGAAATAAGATTTTATTAAGCTCAGATGTCATTTGGTTGAGAGCATTCGACATCATACGATCAAGACGTGCTGTTGCAGATTCCCCATTAGTTCGAACGACCTTCTCAATCTCCAGTTGCAATGCTTGCGCATCTGCTTGAACAAATACAACATTTGTAAAACACACAAGAAACGATCCTTTGATTTCAGCTGCACTAAATTAAATTTACAGACCAAAAGCTTAAAGTGCTGCACATTGACGCATGAGACCACCACAAAACATGTGACAAATGGTTCCATGGATCTACCTCAGCCTGTCGAAAATGGCATGTCAAAAGGCCCTAGGAAAACTCCTGGTGAAAATACATATCGTGTCCAAAGTGTTGGCGTAAAATCAGAGTTAAGAGCTAATCGAATGGTGGCCAGAACCACAAAGATCAGAACTTCATACGATTTTCCAAGGAGTTCGGGGTAAAACCATTCGTGTTCTGCGTAATGAACTGGAATGAAGTGGAATTTCAGACGACCGAATGAACTGGAATGAACTGGGTTAAACTATTGGTTCGCAAGGCTGGCCACAGCAGAGCAATGAACTGGAATTTTAGACAACAGCACGTTCATCAAATAAGTGTTATGCATCAACCATATAAAAATCTCTCAGAGTATCAATGTAATAAACAAATGAACTAGGGACGTCACAAATATGATATAAAGAGAAGATTAAATTAAAGATAAAAGATTGGCATAGACCAAGAAAACGGTGGATATGGCAGATATTTTTGAACCCCAAGGCTTGTGGAATATGAACTAGATGAAAGAAAAACGAATAAAGTGCTATATACCTACATGGAGAGTTTGAACACACCTGTATAATCATCCTCAGCGAGTATGAATTTATAATGAACTTCCTTTCCTCGTGTCTCACATTCTTCCAAAATCCGTTTCCTTTCCATGTCTAGTATGGGGTGAATTAAAAGGTCATCCACTCCACACGTAAATCCATGAATCTACATGCATAGAAATGAAGTGTAATTGTAAATAAGAAAGCTAAGGTATAACAATTTAAAAGATAGCCTAGAAAATCTGAGGGCTAACAAACCTGCAAAAACACTGTGAACAGGCGACTAAATCCAGAAAGCAAAGCACCCGCACTTTCAGGACCATAGAGCTCGTGGACTGTATGAACAAGTCCATACTTAACAAACTGATTTTTGTCTAGCACTCCATGTATGAACTCATTCTTGCGAACAAGAAACTCATGTTCAGACCTCTCATTTCCAAGATATTCCTTTGGGATTTTCACAGTGTTTGCAACACTGAAAGGAGGACGACCTCTGGTAAGATGGTTAAGAATGGCAGTAATAACCTAGCAGGAAAAAATAGACTATCATGGGGAGGCAAAAATAAAGTGAGAGAAATTGCTTCAAAAGAACCGGAGCATGATGTGATTTTCTGACACACTCTTATTAATCAATGTAAAAACAATATATATATCGACACAATACTCTATTGGAGTCCATATTCCCACATTATATCAACTGACAGTAACCTGGAAATAGGAAACTTGTAGCAAACTTTAGAAGGAATTAGCTAACAACCATTTATTACACTGCTCACGGAATTAACCTGTTTTCCTGTCCATAATGGCACTGGCTTCCATATAGAAGGATTAAGTGTCTCCATGTCATCTTCCGAATTTAACACTGAAACACCGCGACCACCATCAAATAGAAAAGCTCCAGAATCGACAGGAGGCACACAAGATGCATATAGAAGCTGATCATATTCTTCACGGGTTAAAAATGTGTCTTTCTTTGTGAGAAGTACCGCACTTATAATATGATCCTGTACGAATAAAGGAAACCAAAAGAAAAATACTTATCAGAGGATTTCATAAATTCGTAAGTTGAACTAAAGGATATAGAAAATTAATCACTTCTAATTTATAAACCGACGCCAGTGAAAAGTGTAAGACTATGTCACCTGAATCAAACCCCTAATTGGATTACCACTTGTAGGAACAACATATTGCTTGTTTGCATCTGCTATGTTCAACGCTTCAGCACGTGAAATTTCATCTTGAGGCAAATGTACATTCATCTCATCACCATCAAAATCAGCATTGTAAGTACTGCAGGTAAATGAACAGTCAACCTCAACCCTAAAACACCAGGGATTTCCTCCAAGTCTGCATTTCAACATAAAATTCAGGTTACCTGCAATTCGCATAATGCATGCGAAGAGTCTTCTCCCCTTTTAAGACGCGAACAACATGAGCCATCATGCTTGGCTTGTGAAGAGTGGGCTACAGTGGAAAACGAAAGCCCCATAGTTAGGAGAAGATATACTCAATGTTCCAGAATTTTGGCATGAGCAACAAAATTAGTTGTAGTAACACAACCAGGAAATGTGTTCATTTGGAAAGCATTGCATGGAAAAAGTTTCATATCAGGGACAATGAAGAAAGGGAACTGGTGTAGAGATTGGTCGAAAAGGCATCAGAAAGCTATTAAGATTGAGATATGGAGAAAATCCCCAGTCGAATCCAAGGATGGTGCCAATGAAGCTTGGCCTATTGGCATGAATATTTTCTCTTCTGGAGCAGCTAGCTTATGGTAGAGTTCCTACCATGATAAGAATGAAATGAAACTCCGAATGATAGCATAAATGACCGTTGCTGTGGTAGGAAACCATTTGCTTTTCCTCACTTGAGGTCATACCTCGGACTGCTGAAGGTTTGGCTTCAGATGTATGGATCTCAACTAGCTACATAGCAATCTTACACAGCTTGATGGGAAATCTAGGGTTTAGGGTTACTCCCACAATAAACCATCCGTAACCAATGGCCATAAAATTCTATCACGAATTTTTCTGTAGGTGATATTGTGGGAGAGTAAGAATTGAAGAGTATTCTGGCAACCATACAAGATGTTTTTAACAGCCGCCAGATCTATCTACCATTGGACAATTGCTGCTAGATCTGAAGATCACAATCCCAGTGCCCGGGTCTAACACGATTTTCCACTCTCAGCCAGATCAAGGCTTCAGCTTTACTATAAATATACAGCCCCATTGCCCAGACCTATGCACGATCTAGCATGTACCACAGATTTACATTAAATACAATATAAACAAATGCAAAAAATCATACGCTAAAATATTAGTTCAGATGCATATAACCATCATAGCGAACAGTCTAAAGTTCAAACGAAAACGTAACTGAAGAAAATGTTTGACAATCAGAACGTCTAATGAAGAACAATGGAAGAATAAGGAACGATAAAAAAAAGAAACAACATTGAAACCTAGGAGAAAGGAGAATAAGAGAAGCGCACTTGAAGAAGATCAGACATATTTAGGAAATTTTGAACGTGATGTAGTTAAGCTAGGACACACCTGACGATTAACAAGCACAACATCACCATCCCGTACATGACGATACACAATCTTGCCTTCCAAATCAGATTCAGGGCCTTTTACTGAATTCGTACGAGCTCCTCGAGATGAGGGCAACTTCCTAGAAATGGACATACGTGTGACTCTGCCAGACTGTAGCTTATATGTTTGATCTTTGTCCTTGTAATGCATTGCCCCAGGGTGAATATCTGCACCATTGATAATAGCATGTCTCAGCTTATCAACGTTCCATGGGGTCACTCTCTGCAAAATCATAAACTACCTCAGAACAGATGAAAAACAGAGTGACAAAAACAAGACAGATCTTGAACTAAAAACAAAATAATGTTATAAAATCCGACAAATTTGTACAGTTAAGCTGGTAAAAGCTTCCGAAACAGCCATTCACAGTAAAGTGTACAGATACAGCCATTTTAATTACACATGCACGCGATCATATACCCAAGAAAGCGCAAAAAATAGTTCTAAGTTGATAAAATACTCGGTGAACTACCTCCGGGTAAGTCAATCTCAATGCAAAATGAGGAGGAATTCCAATCTCATTCACTGCCAAATAAGGATCTGGAGATATAACAGACCGGCAAGCAAAGTTAACCCGCTTTCCCATCATCTTCTGACGAAAGATGCCCGCTTTCTTCTCCAACAATTGACGTATGCCACTGTTCTCTCTTTCACCTTTAGCTATATATCATAAGAAGAAAACAAATTCTTCATCAAGATAATGTCGACTTCAATGGATAATCTAAACGCTAAGAAGAAATGCATCATCAAGATAATGTGGGATTCAGTAGATGATGTAAATTCTAAGAGGACTAGAAGAGCATGAAACCATGTGAAAATAAACCCAACTTACGGAGAAACTAGAACAAGAAAATGATACAATGAAGATTTGGAAATCAAATTTCAAACATTTCGAAAAACTTTCTATAAAGCCAGGAAAATGGAAATCTCCATACAAACAAGATGATCATTCACAGCCCTTTCTTAAGATGTTTCATGCAACTAGAAAGAACAATTTACTAATCAGAAAATTAAGTGAAGAAAAATAGCATCATGGGAGAAAGAATGCATTTCCTACCGTCACCTTACAAGAAAGGCTATATTAATAGAAAGAATGAAGAAGCACAGCATGTTTTTTCCTGTTGTGATCGAATTCGGAATGCATTGATGAATATAATATCCCAGTTTCATCAGTTTTAACTAGTAGGCTACATCTAATAAAGCCAGGTTCATCAATTACTCCAAAAAACAACGTCCAATGAAAATAAAGCCGACTCCACGTCAGTGTCCACACAAATTTAAATTCTAAAAGAAGGAAGAATATCAGGATATCCCTAAAACATGCAAAATCGTACTTAAATTATTAAAACTTACTCCCATTTTCAGGCAATTGTAGATTTGAATACGATAACTAGTAGATTTCAATAACCCTAAAAAAATCATCAATGAGAGATATTTGCGTCATTCTTACTTCTAGAGTGGCTAAGGAGAAAAGCATTGGCGTCCCTTTTGTACCATAATCACAATAATGTACACGAGTATACAATAAGATGAGGCTTGGAAATAAGGGGAAACATTTGAAGAGGCTACAAGATTTTTAAGGCAGGCTATTACATCGTTATTAAGAAGCATGACATAATTAAACAAAGAAACAAGAAAATATTAGGAAAATATAAAGATTTACGTACTGAAGCCCTTAGTGCTATCGAATAACAAATTCACGCTTTTCTGAAGGTCCATCCACCTCCTAATGACATCAGCATGTCCAGAACCACCAGAGACTGAAGTCAGTAAATAGATGTTGTTTTCTTGTACTTTACTAAGTAAAATATTTTGCGGATGTTCCAACACCTACGAAGGCAACCATTTATAATTAGTAAATCACTTGCCTGATTAATCAGAAAGCGCATTAGGCAGTTCACCTAGGGAGCTATGACAACTTGGCAACGGTCAAAAACAATTATGAAGCATTAAACAAAGAAACATCATCATAAACATAACCACAGTGATCATGCAAACTAGGTAGCAAGTTTGTAACAGCCCAACATGTCCAGACAGAATCTGTAGTAGACAATTGAACCCTGGCAGACTACCATTTTGACCAGGTAGTAATGTGGGATCGACCCATTCCTGGCTGCTCCATTGAGAATCATGCATATCAGTTGTTTATATGACTTGCCATGATATTAATCAAACTCCTGAGGCCTCCCCTCCCCCCTCCCCCAAAATGACAAAAGGCGTGGATGCAGCAAATCTTCATGACGACTCGTAAATAGATAAGATAATATATTAAGAATGCCAACTACACAGCATATCCCAGATACTACATTCTCATCAGCAGAAAATATAATGTCACATAACCACAGAATGCACTTGGTTATAAAAGGCAAACTTTCAGCCACTGAAGCCTTTCAACTCTAACCATCAGCACACGAAACCAAATTACAAAGCATGCAAAGTCTTCCAGGACTGATCATCTACAGTAATAGCAGTTCAATGAAAGGTCTCTTGACAAAGAAGCTCCAACTAGATTCAGAAAGCTGAAAATTTTCAGGTATGATGATGCATTGCCACACTAAAGTGGCAGATGAACTCAATCGAAGGTTAAAGGCAAGGGTAAAAGCATACACAAAGTTAAAAAGTGACACAAACTCACATCACCCTGCTGATTGCCTTTGGAGGGAGGTCGAAACTTGCTTGGCGGAACAAGAAGAGCCTCCATTAGAAACATACTGTAACCACTTTCTGTAGAATTAGAGCTTCCACCTTCTAATCGAATATTAAAAATAAGTGAACAGATATGTGATTCATTTTCCCAGAGACGTTGCAGCATATCTCTGACCTGGAATAAAAAGGTTGAATATAAAAACTCAAAATCCAAACACAATGAAATATCAGTCTAAATGAGAAACAGTGATCCAACCTGCGAACAGGAAAAAATGAAAAACATATACATAAACTTGCACCAGTATAAAACAAACCTTTGTAGGAACAAGCTCTCCTGTGAAGGAAGTCTTCTGCTTAATAAACTGAACGTCCAAATCGTTCGAATTGGAACCTCCGAGAATATTTTTTCTAATATCAGAGTCAGCCATTTCCTATGTAAAAAGAGTCACACGTGTTAAAAGGCCAAGTCAACTGCTGCTAGTTCAAACGACTCGAATTCGGTTTCCATGGCAAATCCCATAAGCTATCCCGCGGTAGAAAATTCAGATAAATGTTCAATCATAACCAATGTTCCTAAAAGACAAGAAAAAAGACAATATATGAAATACTTAACATATTTCTGTCTTAATCATGGAAGCAACCTTTATCAAGATCTACTATTTCAGGGCTCGAATCTCGTATGATATGTAGGAAGACAGATTACCTGATGGCAGGTAAACCTAAGGCATTGTTCTCTATGGGCACCTTTGCACCATGAGATTCTTAATGAAAATAAATATAAGAAGAAAACTGGATACAATCTGAAATAATGCCACCTCAATTTTGTTCACACTTCGTTATATACCATCAAGAAAGTTTACAGTGCTCCCTTTTTCCTATTTCTTTTTTCTTAGGCAATAGTTCGCATATCCTACAGTAAATTTCAGAAAAGGGAAACACCAACCAAATAAGTCTAAAATGTAAAAAATTCAGAATAAAGAGAAGGGCATAGGAAACCCAGAGTTTAGAAACCACGTTCTACTTCAATAAAGTCGTAAAACATTAACAGAAGATAACATAATATATTTCATCTGAATTCAGAGTTCGGAAGTGCAAACGTTCGCCCCTGGATTTAAAAAAAATAGCAGAAAAGATACAAAATAGGTCATTTCTAGGCTGCATCAAAAAAGAACATAACCATCCACTTCCTGAGACATCAAGTGCAAATTCAACTGGCACTAAGCAAACAGAGGAAAGAATTAAGAAACGGATATCATAAACCTCTATCAATTTCAACTTGCCTCAAAAGAAAAGAACAGTCGCATACAGTTCAAGAATATAGGTTGATTTACTGGCATTCACATAATGCTAAGAGAAACTCTTTCTGTTATGAAATATCGTAACGTGTGTGAAATAATGTCCTCTAGTCTCGAAAATTGAGCAGTATTTTATCAAAAGCCTCATTCCAACGCAGTTCAAGGAATAAAAATACTGAACTCAAAATTAACAGAAATAACTGTGAAAAATGAGAGTGGGGAGCGAACCATTTTCAGCCAACCAAATGTGGGGCTCGTAAGCTTCGGGTTTCTTTTCTCACAGTTTTTACATTTTTTACTCTTTTCTCTCATAAACCTTGATAAAACGAAATTAGCTTTGGCGTACTGAAGAGAAGTCCACATGTGTTTCTCAGAGTTCTTTGAAGTCGAGCCTCTACTGGCCGAATAAATCTTAGGTCTTTCTTCAGAGCTATCAAATAAACTGTTCAATGATTCTGATTCCAAATTTGCAGCCCCAATAATATCTCCTTTCATTATAAGCTCCAATTGGTCGGCATACGTTCGAACCTATTGGAAATAAATTAATAAACAACATCACCCATAATAGTCATCACCAGGCAAGGACAAAATATGTTTAAAAAATGGTATCAAAATGGACGGCGGGCATGACAGATAACCTTTTGACTCTTCAATCTGAATCTGTGACAAAAGAAACAGATGTTCTGAAGAAGACTAAAAAGTGTCCTAAACAGCAAGGGATTGTAAACTGGTAATGCAAAGTCAATATGACCACAGTGACCCGGGCAGCGAACAGAGTAGAGCCCACAGGATTTGCATCTGCACAATAAATTAACATTAACAGGCCATACGAGCGTATTAAAAAGAAAGTAGATATACATATATATTTATTAATGACAAGTTCTGTGGCTGTGAGGTTACAACATATGACCATGAAAAGTAAAAATACTCAAAATAAGGTTATTACTACATTAAGGAATAAAAAACTTTCATTATTGGACATTTAACCAAAAAGCTTAATTTTTCAGAGGATAAACTAGGAGCTGACACTCAACAAATATAGTCAATAGAAAACCACATTCTCATTACCATATTCTAATTGACAAGGATGACGCTATTGTAGCACTATTTTTAAATGCATTACAATGACCTGAGTTACGATTTGTATGTCTATATGCGGTTCTCAAGAGATAACTCATCCATATTCGACTTTGTGATACACCAAACTGATAAAGATTGATGGATCATTTCATGAACTATACGCTAGCTTTCACTCTTACCAAGTCATATTATGACTTTTCCATGAAATTCCTTCCAAACGTAGTGATCACTAGAGCACCTGAAAATAGTAAGGCTCCAAACTATCTCCTAGGCGTGCTCCAATATTTATTACACTTGTCTAGTCCATCAATAATATCAGAAACACAACCCATAAGCTTGGTAAGAGTGAATGCCAGGCCTCAACCGTCAAGCACTCATGGTGAGTTAACCATAACCTTAATCGAGGCGTTGTTTAGGCCTGAGCATGCGTCATCATGAGTAACTGACAATGAGTGAAATGAGCTGACAGATCGAATGGAACATTTTTTAACCTTCCTTTTAAATATGCTCCTATCCGAATAAAAAACATCATAAGCGTTAAAGGAACGAAGTGGAAAGATACTGTAAATACATTACAGTTAAAATTAGCATCAAAGAATGCAAATTGCAAATAAGTCGACCATGCAGACACAATAATGATGACTCGAGTGAAGTGACTCAGCGTTCTTTGTGATTTTCTCGGCCAGATGGCTGTTTTCCTTCTTAGAAAAGTAAGAATTATTTCCAATCATGTGGGTGCAAGAGAACTACATTTTTCAAGCATTCTAGATTATTCAATGGACCAGGAGAATGAGCCCTACTGAATGGGTGCAACTGAAAGTGCAGGACTTTCGGAATACACGAACATGAGTTTTAGGGTGATGATAGACTGCAAAGCGCTGAAAGAGAAAAGCCAACACTCACAGATCAGATCCATATACTGGACCGAGTGCAGGGTCGTAGAGTCCATCTACCACAGGTCTGTCATTGACATCAAGAAGGTCGGGTTTTGTAACCTTTTTCACGCTTATCTTCCTAATGTCCTCGGCGGTTAGGAAGCCGAAAGAGATTGATTCAACAGTAGTTGATGCAGCCTGCAACGAACAGCAGCCAGTTAGAACAGCCCACAGATTTCTGGACTAAAAAGCCGAGCTAAAGAAAGTTTTCCACTAAAACGCAAAATAACCAATTAAATGAAATCGTTCCAGCATCCAGAGAAATCAACTCTCCAACATCTTAAATGGCAGACCGTGACGAAGGAGAACGTAGGTGAAGATGAGAACAAAGAAGAGACGCGTGGTCCGGGAAAGGAATAGAAAAGGAGAAGAGGAGGAGGAGGCGGCGGAGGACCTCGTCTACCCGCGCATCCGCCATCCTAAGAAAGCTTCCGGAGCGGATAACCAGCAGTGGACGAAGACGGAGCTGCGGTCGCAGGCTCCGCCTCCGCCTCCGCCTCAGCTAGGGTTTATGGAAGCAGCACAAGAACCTCTGAGAAAAACCCTTCCCGCCGTTTCAAATCACCCCGGAGGGCCTTTGTCGGACCAGCGGGCTCCCCGGCCCTCCAATTCTCATCGGGCCCTTCCGGCTCGGGCCCGACTATAGACGAAGAAACGCATCTCGTATTTGCCTCCTGAACACGTGGACGCAAATCGCCACCATTTCCGGTGACTAGGCCGGCCCAAGTGCACACCCCCGGGGCCCACCAAAGACAGGACGCCTTTTTATAAAAAAGCCCATACACGGCCCAAAAACTTGCATGAGTAGGCATGGCCAGCTGAGCGCAGTCGTATAGTTACAGGCTAGATTCAAAAAATAATTAGACAAGATGGAAACATCCAAGTCTTTCATGAAGACGTTGACTTTCTGTATCCCGGATGGACAATTCAACCTGGATCCACTACTCCCCTCGACCCCACGCCACCGGGCGGGTAAAACAGTCGAAATCCCGCAATTATTGAAGCAACTTAACCACACCGTCAGCGGTCGAAGGTGGCGCGGAAATGTCGGGTCAACGGAGACTTTCCGGTGGGATATTCATTCCACCAAATATTCCCTTGTCGGGTTGACCATGCTGAAGCACACCGGAAGCCGCTGGCAAATGAACTACCTGCGCAGATTGGAAGATGATCAGAACAAGCCAGAAAAAACAAAAAAAAAACAAGAAAGGCTCGCTGTATCCAGATTCCGTAGGTCAACAGTTCTTGCCCGCGGCGTTGGTGGGCCCAGCCGGTTTATCTGTGCAGCGTTGACGTTGACTTGGAAACAACATCCATAAATGGCGAACTCCTCGCCCCCCAACCCCTCTTGGGTTCCTCCATACCATCCGTCAATCGCCACCCCAGCCGTCGCCGGAGGCGGTGAGAGCGATGAACTCTCCTGCAAGTCGATACCTCCAATGCTCCGTCTTCCTCTTCTTCACCTTCTTCTTCTTCCTGAGAGTGGAACATGCCCTGGTTCGAGCACAGCCAGGTGGGTCGGCCCTCTATTTTTCTTCTTATTACCCGATTTACAACTTAATCCACCAAATGGGTTACGCAGGATTCATCAGCGTTGACTGCGGCCTGCCCGATGAGTCGGACTACCGAGATGACGCCACCGGGATAACCTACGTTCCCGATACCCCGTACGTCGATGCGGGGGTGACGGAGATCGCTACGGCGGAGGGTTTCCCCAGGCGCTACCGGACCCTCCGCGTCTTCCCGCAGGGGGGCCGGAACTGCTACAACCTCCGGCCGGTGCATCTCGGGGGAAAGTACCTGGTGCGAGCCGGGTTCTTCTACGGCGACTACGATGGCCTGCAAAGCCCCCCCGAGTTTGAGCTGCACATCGGGGTCAACGTCAGGCTCACCATCCGATTGTCGCTTAACGACAGTAGTCTCTCCGAGGTCATCGCGGCGGCCCAGGGGCATACCATATGGGTCTGCCTGGTCAATACGAACAAGGGGACACCCCTGATATCGACGATCGAAGTAAGGCCGCTCCCAAACCTCTTATACCCCCACGCCAACGCGTCTCAGAGTTTGCATCTCCAACGGCGCTCCAACTTCGGAACAGAGGCCCTGTTAAGGTGAAGTGCATCTGCATGAACAGTGCATCCAATGGCTACGCTCCCACCCCCTCTTTCTGTTGTCATTACGCAGTAAAGAAGAAACTGGGTAGGGGATTTCTTCCATGAATGATCGATGATCAGCATGAATCTGAGAAGAAAAGTCAACTCGCCTGTAGGTACCCAGAAGACCCCTACGACCGCATCTGGCTAGGCTTGGCGGGGAGTTTTCCTGTGATTAACACCACCAGCCCTGTGGCGGCGACTTCAAATGACTCCTTCCAGGTACCCTCGCTCGTTCTCAGGACGGCAATCTCGGTTCCAAACGTCAGCTACAGCTTGATCGTCCGGGCGGCCGTCGGAGATCCGGACGACATCGTCTACGCTGTCTTGCACTTCGCCGAGCTCCAGAATATGACCCGGCCAAACCAGACGAGGATCATGGACCTCTTCGGGGAGGGTAGAGAAGAGGGGATACTGAGGAATTACAGCCCACCGTTCCTTGAGGCAGATCACGTAAGGGTCACCGACGCCGCAATCGGACAGACGGGGATATACAACATCTCCCTGATCCCCTCGATCGCATCGACGCTGCCTCCGATGATCAACGCCATGGAGAGCTTTCTGGTGAGGAAAGTCGACGAACTACCGACAGACCTTGGCGATGGTGAGACCCTATTAATCTCCCCTTTAAATTTCGTCACTCTATTAATTATTTCGTCTCTCTGGAAAAAAGTCAAGGTTATTATCCCGGACTAAGTTTACCAAACGACGAGCGGCCAAACCGTGAAACCATCAATTTTCTCCTATTTTTTTCTTGAAATCAGCCCAAAAAATTTACCGAGATAACTCGATATCCCCGACTTTTTTTAGATGGGTGATTAGACGCAATGAGATGGGAGAAAGTGTTGTGGTTCTATTTTTTCACATCTCGACTACTTATTTACCGCGATCTTTTGTCCAGTTCGTGCCATCCAAGCCATCAGAGCAGCGTACAAGCTAAAGAGAAACTGGCAAGGAGACCCGTGTGTCCCCATAGACTATGTCTGGGATGGGTTGCGCTGCGACTACTACGATGGCTTGAAACCCCCAAGGATCGTCTCTTTGTAAGTGGGTTGAGCCCATTCGATACAAAACCAAATCAATATATCCAACTCCAACCATTTCTTGATCTGAGTTGACTTTCTGTCAATGATGCAGGAACCTATCGTCGAGTGGACTAATTGGTGAAATTCCGCTCTCCATTGCGAACCTCACTGCCTTGACCACCTTGTAAGATTTCCTCGTGTGGTTTTGGAAGTCTTTGCTGGAAGGGACACTTTTAAGGTTTATATTTCTTGTTGCTTTTTGTAGGGATATGTCAAACAACAACCTTTCGGGCTCATTTCCAGACTTCTTGGCAGAGTTACCTGCACTTAAGTTGCTGTGAGTTTCGAGACTTTCGCTTCCCAAGTTCACACTAATAGAATATCTCAGTAATAAAATGATGCTCTGACCCTTTGTATCAGGAATTTGGTAAGCAATAAGATCACACTACCCTCTCGAGGCCTTTGCACAAAATTAATGAACAGGCGTCTTTCCTTAAGGTTCGTCCTCATATCATTTCCAAGGAATCGCTCCGGTCCTTACTTCTCATTTGAATAATAACGTAAATTATATCTCTCTTGGAAAAATACTTCACGAAGAGATGTTGCTTCACGTCTCTCGTACCATGAGATCATGTGATATAAATCTATGATAGGCTTTAGATATTTCATCTTGGGATTCCTATTTGTTCTGACCAAGAAAGTATTGTTTTAACTATCTTTCAAAAATTTAGGATTGAAGGGATTGAAGAAATGTGCTCCGTTCAGCCCAGTTTCAATTCACCAAGGGCAAGTTCTTCAGCCTTAAACAAACAAAAGTATCTACTTCCCATCGCCATAACGACATCACTAGTTCTGCTCATTGTCATCTTGATGTGAACCATTTTAAGGAGAATAAGGGGGTACATATCTTAATGTCAACATGAATCTCATCTAGGGGGTTCTTGCTATCATGGGACAGGCTTTGACATTTGTGTATGATTCACTAAGCTATTGTGTAATTTATGTTATTTATACTGCATAATATGATGCATATGAAAAAAATACCGCTGTGTGGAAAAACATAGAAGTGAGGACAATCTTACATGATACAATAATAACCACCTTACAAAAAAAGTTGATTCAGATTTTATTAAAATAGGCACGATTCTTCTTCTTGTCAACAAGATCAACACCCAACTAAATGCATTAGTATTTTAAACATCTAGAGAAGAGTGTATCATAGTCAAGGGACTTCTGTGAGCATGCTACACTATTAAAGGAATGAGGAGTATAAGCATCAAACCCCGGAAAACTTGTAACAAGTTCAAGTTTGTTGATTTATTGGAAACATCAGATCTAGGGATGATGCATGACATCTGCAAGAGTCCAAACGCCTATGCAATATTTGCATCATATCAATTAAAATTCATAAAAAAAAAATGTTATAAGTATATAAAAAATTAAAAGCATCTCATACATGTTCTTTGGATTATTAGAGCAAATAGAAACATGGTTGCAAAGGAGCTACCACAAGATTAGGGAAAGGTAAGGCGTGCTGACTATTGAAGAGGCCGGAGTCATGGAGGGCATCTTTCAATTATGGGGAAGCTGAAGAAGCTCAGCCGAGAGAAAAAATAAAGCTTAACGAATTGGGAACAAATAGCTTAAAATAAGTACAATTTATATACATTGCGTGATCATTTCCCTGTGATAAGTCAGATCTGCATTGTTAAATACGAGCACCCTACGTCTGACAGTTTGCCTAATCTGCCTGGTCCTAGCCTCACTTCCTTGACTGTGGATGACTGTGAGCGAGACTTGGATTTCTTCTTCTTCTATTTCTGATAGTGTATGTGATTTCTGTATTGTTTATTAGATTTCTCTGGCATTCTCATTTTCATCCGGATCAAATGGGAACACGGTCAAAGCTGCCTCCATAAATCCCAAGTTCTTGGATTATTAGATCGATTTATGGGCCCTTAGAAAAATACCAACTTTGGAAGCTATGGCATAAAACTTAAGAAATGAGGTCAAGCTTTGAGAAGCCAAGCATGACGAACATTTTCATAGTAAATTTTGCAGCCATGAAAGTACCTCGGGGCATTTTTCTGAAGCGCAAGAGAAAGATAATTTTTCTACCAAGTAATGTTCAGTGAGGATGATATCCCAAGATTGGCATGCGATGTGCGACCCAGGCAAACAAGTAGCCCACAAACTGGTCACAGATTCCCTTACGATACGGATGGTTGTGGTCAAGATCGGAAGATATTCTGAACTTTTAAATAGAACAAAAATAAATCTAATACATTTTCCTGCGGCTGTTGTGTGGATGATATCCAGAGACCGGCGTGTCCGTTTATGCAAGCCCAGGAAATCAAATAGCCCGGAAAATTGTAAAAACACGTTGCCTTACAATGCGGATGGATGTGGCCCAAGCAGGAAGATATTTTGAACTTTGAAACGGTATAAAAATATATGTTATATTTGTGGCGCGGATAAACGATTATGTTCTTGATACTGCCTTGGAAATGCTCGGCCGAATAGGGAATCTTTCACTGCTGGCCACCAAGGCTGTTCACTTCACCGCGCATGGGCATCGTGGCCTAGACGGCATCTTGCGTTGATAATGAGTCGGACGAAGACTTGAGATGTTGCGTTTCTTGTTCTTATGAGCGGACCAGTTTTGTTTGCTAGGTTGAGTCGGACATGTCCTGATACCAGGGGACCCCATAACAACGGTTCCCGGGAGGCTCCAGTGGCTCGGACTATGGAGACAAGTGTAATGAAGTAAATTACACCGGTGACTCACTATTCATCAACACGGGAGCGAACAAGATCGTCACTGAGAACCGATATGCGCGGCGCGCTATGGAACTCTCCGTAGATTTCCAAACGGGACGCGGAACTGTTACAGGCTGTCGCCGGTACAATCCGGCAACAGGCACCTGACTCTAGCCGGATTCTTTTATGGCAACTACGACGGCAAAGGCTCCTCCCCCACCTTCGATCTCCACATCGGGGTCAATCTCTGGACAACCGTCGAAACGGAATCCAGCAAGGGTCCCGTCTACGACATCTACAGGATGTCACAGGTGTGCCTGGTCAATGCCCTTCATATCGACCTAAGGCCCCTCCTCGATGGCATGTATCCTTTCGCCAAAGTGTCTCAATCCTCGGCCAATCAGAGGTTCGTGAATTACGGAAGCGGGAGAGCAATTAAGGTACCACTAAAGATGATTTGGAGTCATTAAATTCAGTACCAGCATCTCTTAATTTTCCTCGCCCGGCCTTCATTTATTTCCCGGACTGTCGAAGAAAGAGACGTAACAATCATTTATTTCTCTTGGGCGCCTTCTCCACTTTGCGCACCTCCTGCGGCTACACCTTCAAGAACAGTAATTATATTGAGTAATGGAGTGGCGTTCAGTTTCTCCAGACAGCCGTGTCTGACAGAAAAGCCGACTTTCAATTGAACATCAGGGCAGTCATTATGGTTGACGGTAGTCAACGGTTGATGTTAGCGTGAAAATGGGGGTCGACAGAGATATTTCGGCGTAAGAAATGTTCCAGCAACTATTCCCGTGCCGTGTCGATCATGGCCAGCACACAGTCCGCCGCTGGTCAATGAATCAGAGGCCCATCAAACCCAACAAAGACGGGAAAACGATCAGAGGAAACAAAAATAGGCCCGCCATATTCAAAGTCCGCAGGTCCACATTTCCTGTTCGCGTCGTTAGAGGGCCGACTTATCAGTACAGCGTTGACATTGACTTCGATACACCCATAAATGGCGAAGTCCTTACCATCCATCCTCTCCCGAGTTCCTCCATCCCATCAGACAGTCACCACCCCCGCCGAAGCCTTCCCTCGCCGGTGGTAACGAGAGAGATGGACTCCCCGCCAAAGCGAGCCCTTCCACGCTCATTCTTCTTCATCATCTTCCTCTTCCTCAGACTCGAGGACGCTCTGGTTGGAGCCCAGCAAGGTAGCCTCTCTATTTTTCTTCTCACGATCCGATTACAGCGTATAATCCGTGGATTTATGGGATGCATGCACCCAGGATTCATCAGCGTTGACTGCGGCCTGCCCAATGGCTCGGGCTACCAAGAGAACACCACCGGGATAACCTACGTCCCCGATACCCAGTACGTCGACGCGGGGGAGACGAAGACCGTTGCGGCGGAGGGCTTCGCCAGGCGCTACCGGACCCTCCGCGTCTTCCCAGAAGGGGCCCGGAACTGCTACAACCTCCGGCCGGTGCAGCCGGGGGCCAAGTACCTAGTGCGAGCCGAGTTCTTCTACGGCAACTACGACGGCCTGCAAAACCCCCCCGAGTTCGAGCTACACATCGGGATCAACGTCAGGCTCACCATCCGATTGACGCTTAACGACAGGCCCGACTTCTCCGAGGTCATCGTGGCGGACCAGGGGGACACCATATGGGTCTGCCTGGTCAACACGAACAAGGGGACGCCCCTGATATCGACGATCCAGCTGAGCCTGCTCCCAAACTTCTTATACCCCTACGCCAACGCGTCTCAGAGTTTGCTTCTCCAACGGCGCTATAACTTCGGAACAAACGACGACCTGAGGTGAAGGGCATCTCCATGAATCGTGCATTCATGGCTACCCCCATCCCCCTCCTCTTCCTCTCATCATTATGCAATAAAAAATATAGAGTAGTTTGGGGGCTTCCTTCCATGGGCGATCGATGATCAGCATGAATCTGAGAAGAAAAGTCAACTGGCCTGTAGGTACCCAGAAGACCCCTACGACCGCATCTGGGAGGGCTTGGTGGAGGATTTACCTGTGATTAGTACCACAGTCCCTGTGGCGACGACTCCAACTGACTCCTTCCAGGTATCCTCGCTCGTTCTCAGGACGGCCATCTCGGTTCAAAACGTCAGATACCGCTTGATCCTCCGGGCGGCCGTCGGAGATCCGGACGACGTCGTCTACGCCGTCTTGCACTTTGCCGAGCTCCAGACTTTGAACCCCCCCAGCGAGACGAGGATCATGGACATCCTCGGAGAGGGTAGCACTCAGGCGACTCTAAGGAGTTACAGCCCTCCGTTCCTGGAGGCAGGTCACGTAGAGATCACCGACGCCGCAGTCGGACAAACGGGGATATACAATATCACCCTGATCCCCTCGATCGCATCGACGCTGCCTCCGATGATCAACGCCATGGAGAGCTTTCTGGTGAGGAAAGTCAACGAACTGCCAACTGAACTCGTCGACGGTGAGACCCGATTGACCTCTCCGTTTAATTTCGACACTCTATTAATTATCTCGTCTCTCTGTTCCCTCTTTCTAACATTTGGAAAAAAAATGGCTATTATCCTCGTCTGAGTTTACAAAACGACTAGCGGCCTGACTGTAAAACCATCCATATGATCCTAGCATCCTCATCCTCAGGAACAGCCAAAAACTTTACCCCAGATACCACGATATCAGCCAAAACTTTTTAGCTGGGTAATTAGACACAATGTGATGGGAGGAAATCCTGCGGTTCTATTTGTTCATATCTTCAACTATTTATTTACCGCGATCTTCTGTCCAGTTCGTGTCATCCAAGGCATCAGGGCAGCGTACAAGCTGACTAGAAATTGGCAGGGGGACCCATGTGTCCCAAAAGATTATGTATGGGATGGGTTGCGCTGCGACTACTTTGACGGCTTAGAATCCCCAAGGATCATCTCTTTGTAAGTGAGTTGAGCCCATTCGATACGAAAAACCAAATCCAAATATCCAACTCCTACCATTTATTTATCTGAGTTGACCTTAGATGAATGATACAGGAACTTATCGTCGAGTGGACTAGTTGGTGGAATTCCTGGCTCCATTGCGAACCTCACTGCCTTAACAACCTTGTAAGAACTCCTCCTGTGGTTTTGGAAGCTTCAGCTGGAAGGGACACTTTTAAGGTTCATAGTTTTTTGTTGTTTTCGTTGTTTTTTGTAGGGACTTGTCAAACAACAACCTTTCGGGCAAATTTCCCGACTTCTTGGCCGAGTTACCCGCTATCAAGTTTCTGTGAGTTTCAAGATTTTGGCTTCTTCGGTTCATATCCTTTTAATCTTAATGATAAAACGGTGTCTCTCACCCTTTCTATCAGGATTTTGGTAGGCAATAAGATCACTCTACCGTCTGAAGACCTTTGCGCAAAAGTAATGAACGGGCGTCTTTCTTTAAGGTTCGTCCCTCATATTATTTCAAATGAATCGTACCAGTCCTTACTTTTCATTTGAATAATTACGTAAACCACTACTTATATCTATATTGGAAAAATCCTTCACGAATAGATGTTGCCGTATGTCACTCGCACCATGATATCACATGCTATAATGCTATGATCGGCTGCGGATTTTTTTTATGCGATTTCCTATTTGTTGTGATCAAAAAATATATTTGTGTTGACTATCTTTCAAAAATTTAGGATTGAAGGTCTTGAAGAGATGTGCACCATTCAACCAAGTTCCAATTCACCAAGCTCAGGTTCCAATGCACCAAGTTCCAGTTCATCGTTCTCAAACAAACAAAAGTATATTGTTCCCATCACCATGACCACATCACTAGTTCTGCTAGTTGTCATCTTGATGTGAATCATTTTAAGGAGACACCTTTCTTAATGTCAACCATGAATTTCATCCGAGGGTTTCGTGCTTTTCATAGGATAAATTTTGGTACTTTTGTTGTGATTCGCTAAGCTATTGTCTTCTTTGTCTTATTTATACTACATAATATGATGTACATGAAAAATACTGCAGCACGGAAAAACATAGAAGTGGGGACAATCTTGCGTGATACAATAATAACACACCATGTAAACAACTTGAGTCAAATTTTCTTAAAATTAGCCTGATGCATCTTCCTGTCAGCAATGAATTGATATTTTAAACATCTAGAGAAGAGTGTATCATAGTCAAGGAGCTTACGTGAGGGTATGACACAGTTAAAGGAATGTCTAATATAAGCATCAAACATGGGAAGATTCAGAACATGTCAAGATTTTTGATTTATTGAAACATCAGATTTAGGGGTGTTGCATGGCGTATAAAAGAGATGTTACCAAATGCCTAACACATATTTGCATCATATATGAATTATAAGATAGTTCCTTACATGTATGTTATAAGTATAAACGAAAGTAAAAGCATCCCATACATGTTCTCTGAATTACTTGACTAAATAGGAACATGATTCGAAAGGAGCTACCCTTAGATTAGGCTAAGGTAAGAGGTGCTGGTTATTTTAAGAGGAGGAGTGCATGGGATCTTTTAATTATGGGGAAACTGAAGAAGCTCTAACCCAGAGAAAAAATTAAGCTTAATAAATTGGGAACAAATAGCTCAAATGAAGTATGAGGGAAGAATATGCCTGACCCGGAACGGTGAATATTTATTTCCATTGTGAACTACACCCACATCCTCGTTAAGACGAATGAATGGAACCCCTCCCTCAGTTTCTGGGCTGCATTCATCTACGGCTCCATCTTGGTTGACCCAATGCATTGAAGAACCCGATTTTGTCACCACTAAAAAACTTAAAACCAGGTTATCCTTGTGCAATCGATTCGCGATGACCCAAGGAACTCAGTACGATACGTCTCTCGGAGGTATTTTAATAAATCCCAGACATGCATCAGACCTGATAAGAGGCTATGAGATTGGAGCGTCCTACGCGACTTTAAACCAGAAGACATATTCGACGAATATACGGTGTTCTCCGATGAAAAGGTCAGCGAGGAGTAGAGTGGAGGCCGCTCACGAATCTGGATGAGGACTGGAGAACGGTCGCGAGCCCCTGATGGTCGCTGCCCGAGGACTTCACCTTATTCGATGACGTCAGGGCCGACAACGGAATTCCAACAGCGGAGCGTGGGGGGGAGGATGTAGAGGTGGATCAGTTCAAATACCTTAGAAGAGATGTTTCAAAGGTCATGGCGGTATGGGTGGCCACCGTAGCCATCCGGGTCTTTGTTCATAAGCTTTACCAAGGAGTCATTTGCCGACAGAATAGCAGATTGCCCAGCTGATATTCCACCAGCCATCCACCCGCAAATTCGTCCCAAAAAAAATAAAAATCTAATGATCCCGCAACTCTTATGGATGTAGATCCTCAGCGATCGTCACTCTTTCTAACGAGGAGGATGGCCAGACTAGCTTTTCTAACGAGATACAATTTTTTTCTCATGGATGAGGCCGATCTGGTCTGCTCGACGACGGCGAAGACGCAGCTGCAGTCGCAGGCTTGGCCTCTGCTAACGCTTATGCTGGCAGCCCGATAGCCTCTGAGAAACCCTTCCCGGCGTTTCCAGTCCGCCGGGGAAGGGCGCAGGGCTCGCCTTGTCAAATGGGTGGGCTCTCCGGGCCGGCGAAACACATCGTGTCTCTCCAGCCCCGCAAGGGCCCGAAGTATGAACCAGGAAGCCCCCACTAGGTATCAATGGCGCGGTCATGTTCACGCCTCCCATGGTCCACCAAAGACTGGACGCTCTTTTTGAAAAATTGAAAAAGCTCATAAACGGCCCAAAGCTGGCGTGAGAGGTGTGGCCGTTTCTATGAAGTCATTAGTGAGAGAGAGGGAGGGATAAAACAAATGTCCGAAGGTAATAAAATCCATGTCCCATAAATTTGCATGATAGATTCAATTCGATGGACAGGCCGAGTAAAAACTAAGAAATAGTATTAAGTGATTTACTAAAGTTTGATGGGACAGATAATTCAGAGGGTCTATGGGGAGTTTAATAATAAACACATCTTTTAAACGCCAAAATGAGAAAAAAAAGACCAAATGGAATTAAGAAAATATTCCGTCGTGTCTCTATATAACTTTTTAGAAGGATAGATTCGACTCCTCATGAAAGGCGTTGAGTTTCTGTATCCCGGATGAATAAGTCAACCAGGACCGACTATTCCCTTTGTCCCCACCCCACCGCGTGAGTAAAGCAATCGCAATCCTGCTATTATTGTTCATTTTTTTTCATTGAATTGAGGATGTCCACGAAGTCAACGGCTGACGGTTGTGTGGAAATGGCGGATGACGGAGACACTGCGGCGTAAGAAATGTTCCACCAACTATTCCCGTGTCGAGTCGACCACCCCTAGCACATGGGCGGACGCCGGTCAATGAATCGGAGGCCCGCCAAACCCTACCCAGGTTGGAAAATGATCAGAAGAAACAAGAGTAGGCTGGCCATATTCAAATTCTGCAGGTCAACAATTCCTGCCCGCGGCATTGGGGCGCCGACATCAGTACAGCGTTGACAATGGCTTGGCACATCCATAAATGGTGAACCCTTCGCCCTCCATCTCCTCTCGTGTTCCTCCATTCCATCCTTCAATCGCCACCCAGCCGCAGCCTGCCGTCGCCGGAGACGACGAGAGCGATGAGCTCTCCGCCAAGTCGATGCCTCCAACCCTCCTTCGTCTTCTTCATCTTCTTCTTCCTGAGACTCGAGCACGCCCTTGTTCGAGCACAGCCAGGTGGGTAGGCCCTCTATTTTCTTCTTACTAACCGATGCACGACTTAATGAATCAAATGGATTCCGCAGGATTCATCAGCATTGACTGCGGCCTGCCCGATGGCTCGGGCTACCGAGAGAATGTCACGGGGATAACCTACGTTCCCGATACCCAGTACGTCGACGCGGGGGAGACGAAGACCGTTGCGGCGGAGGGCTTCGCCAGGCGCTACCGGACCCTCCGCGTCTTCCCAGAAGGGGCCCGGAACTGCTACAACCTCCGGCCGGTGCAGCCGGGGGGCAAGTACCTGGTGCGAGCCGGGTTCTTCTACGGCGACTACGACGGCCTGCAAAGCCCCCCCGAGTTCGAGCTGCATATTGGGGTCAACGCCAGAATCACCATCCGATTGCCGTTCAACGATAGCAGGCTCTACGAGGTCATCGCGGCGGCCCAGGAAGACGCCATATGGGTCTGCCTTGTAAACACGTACAAAGGAACGCCAATCATATCGACGATCCAGCTGAGGCGGCTTCCAAACTTCTTATACCCCCATGCCAACGCGTCTCAGAGTTTGCTTCTCCAACGGCGCGCTAACTTCGGAACAGAGGCCCAGTTTAGGTGAAGCGCATCTCTGTATGAGACATGCCCGCCCCCGCCCTTCTTGCTGTCGTCATTATGCAGTATAAGAAACTGGGTAGGGGCTTCCTTCCCCATCGTCAGCATGAATCTGAGAAGAAAACTCAACTTTCCTGCAGGTACCCGGAAGATCCCTACGACCGTATTTGGCAAGGCTCGGTGGGGAGTTTTACTGTGATCGACACCACCAAACCTGTGGCGTCAACTCAAACTGACCCATTTCAGGTACCCTCGGTAGTTCTGAGGACGGCCATCTCGATTCCAAGCGTCCGCTTCGTGTTGACCCTTAGGACTGCCGTCGGAGATCCGGACGACACAGTCTACGCCGTCTTGCACTTTGCCGAGCTCCAGAATTTGAGCCCCCCCAACCGAACGAGGATCATGTACATATTCGGGATGGGTAGCAGTGCGACGATTCTAAGGAATTACAGCGCTCCGTTCCTGGAGGCAGATCACTTAGAGATTACCAACGCCGCAGTCGGACAAACGAGGATCTACAACATTTCCATGATCGTCCTGAACACATCGACGCTGCCTCCAATGATCAACGCCATGGAAAGCTTTCTGGTGAAGAAAGTCGTCGAACTACCGACTGACCTTGGCGATGGTGAGACCCGATTAACCTCCCATTTTGATTTCGTCACTCCTACTATTTCGCCTCTCTAACCCCTCGTTTTAACTTCTGGAAAAAATGGCTATAATCCCGGATTGAGTTTACCAAAATACCCGCGACCCGACTGTGAAAAACAATCGATTTATCCCAGTCTCTAAAGAATCAGTCCAAAAAATATTCACCCAGACAGCTCGGTAATGCCGAGTATTTTTAGCTGGGTAATTAGACACAATGTGATGGGAGAAAATTCTGCGGATCTATTTGTTCATATCTCAATTATTTGTTTACCGCGATCTTGTCTCCAGTTCGTGCCATCCAAGGCATCAGGGCAGCGTACAAGCTGAAGAGAAATTGGCAGGGGGACCCATGTGTGCCCAAAGATTATGTATGGGATGGGTTGCGCTGCGACTATTATGATGGCTTCGATACCCCAAGGATCATCTCTCTGTAAGTGGGTTGAGCCCATTGAATACGAAACCAAATCCAGGTATCCAACTCCAACCATTTATTTATCAGAGTTGACCTTATATGAGTGATGCAGAAACTTATCGTCGAGTGGACTAGTTGGTGGAATTCCCGTCTCTATTGCGAACCTCACTGCCTTAACAACATTGTAAGAACTCCCTCTGCTGTTTTAGAAGCCTTAACTGGAAGGAATACCTTCATGGTTTATATTTTAATTGATTTTTTATAGGGATTTGTCAGACAACAGTCTTTCGGGCATGTTTCCAGACTTCTTGGCGGAGTTACCCGCTCTTAAGTTGCTGTGAGTTTCAAGAATTTGGCTTCCTCGGTTCACATCGTTTAAGGTATCTCAATGATAAATGGTTGCCTCTCACCCTTTCTATCAGGAATTTGGCAGGCAATAACATCACCCTACCGTCTGAAGACCTATGCGCAAAAGTAATGAACGGGCGTCTTTCTTTAAGGTTCGTCTCGTATTATTTCAAATGAATGGCTCCAGTCCTTACTTTTGATTTGAATAAAAAAAAATAGTATGTATATTTATCTTGGAAAAATACTTCACTAGAGATGTTGCTGTGTCTCTCTCGGACTACGAGATCACATGCTATAAAGCTATGACACGCAACAGATTTTTCAGTCTGTGATTTCCCATAATTGTGACCAAAATGTTTTTTTTTTTTTACTTTCTATGAAAAATCTAGGATTGAAGGGCTTGAAGAGAGGTCCTCCATTCAGCCAAGTTCCAATTTACCAATCCCAAGTTCATCGGTCTCAAACAAAACAGGGTATCTTGTTCCTCTCACCATAGCCGCGTCACTGGTTCTGCTGGCGGTCTTCTTGATGTGAATCATTTCAGGAGAACAAGGAGACACCTTTGTTAATATCAACATGAATTTCATCCGAAGGTTTCTTTCTTTTCAAGAGACAGATTTTGGCATTTGTGTGATTTCTCAGTTATTTTCTTATTTACGTTATTTATACTACATTACATATGTATAAAGTATATCAGAAAATACTGTAGCGTGGAAAAACAGTGGGGACAATCTTCCATGATACGATAAGAACACAGAGTACAAACAAGTTGAGTCAACTTTCACTTTAAACTAGCACGATTGCATCTTCTTGTCGGCAATGTCAACATCCCAACTAAATGAACTAATATCATATTTGTAGTTTTTTTTTTTTTTTCTTTTTGTCCCGTCCATGAGTCTATTCCGTAATAATTTTGTTTCACGTTTGACAGCTTGCAAAGAGTCTTTCATAGTCCAGGAACTTCTGTGAACGTATTATATGTTGAAGGAATGTAATATAAGCTTCAAATTTTGGAAGATTCAGAACATGTTCAAGCTTGTAGATTTCTTGAAGACCTCAGATTTAGGGGTGATGCATGGCATATGCAAGAGATGTCACCAAATGCTTAAACACGGTTTGCATCATATCATTTTTTCTTAATTATTAAACCTATTCGAAACAAGATTGCAAAGGAGCTACCACTAGACTAGGCTAAGGTGATGTAAGGGTTGCTGATTATCGAGGAGAAGGAGAACTTGGCGGGAATCTTTTCATTAAGTAACGGAAAGCTGAAGAATGCCTAACCTAGAGAAAAAAATCAACCTTAACATATTGGGAACAAATTGCCTCAATGAAGGATGAGGGAAAGCATACCCCTGACCCAAAACAGTGAACGTTGTGATTTTCTCACAGAGGGCCGGGAGCTTTAATCTTGAAGTTGTCCTTCCAAAGCGACATGTCGAGATGAGTGCGACAAACTTCAAACTTCACTGAAGTTATCGAACATTAGATTCTCCTCTTCTACGTGTGAGTGGATGTCTCATGGCACCTTCCAAAGTTTTAACTAGGATGTGGATGTAGTTCACATCCAGTGAAGGCATTCTAATACTGAATAAAAAACCGCACAAAAATATGTGAGGAGATTCTAACCCAAGCCCAATCAACCAGGCCTCTGCCCAAAATTGTGCCAAATCAATCTCAACTGACTCTTCCCAAAATCTCATGATTGGTCAGAAGAGAACTAGATATTAACTTTAGACGCATGATTTCATTGTTTTAATTCAATGAGGAACTGGTCATAGAATAACGAGGCCCATCCTACTCCTTTTTAAAGTCCCATATTGGGTGATTTGCTAACTTAAATTTAGTCCATAGTTGTAAAATGTGACTTTTCACTACTTCATCTTCCTCTTAAAGATGACTGAAAGAAATGCAGCTTTGACCAACAAAAATGATTAAAATGAATGACATAAAGCTTCAACCAATATGGACACTTAAACAAGTCCTCATAGGTGGAGGGCTTCTAGAATTGAAACTTCTAAGTCGTTTTAAATTGTTAACATCTCTAACTTCAGAAGAATTTCTATCCAATAAACCCAAATAATTCATCCTCAAGTTTAATACTTGAATACATAGCAAGTAGTTCGCTTCATTTTTTACGTTACTATTTTGGGCAAACTTTGACCTTAAGCCTCATGAGTCTTATGCCATTTTAGTGAAACCTATCGAGGATCTTTGTGCTTAGTACTTTCAAACATCACTTAAGTACCATCAAGTAATTAATGATGATTGACTTCTAGGATGTAGATGTTAACATCACGCAATGTAAAGTGGCTTTACATTCTAAAGCAATTCACTAATTACTTCTAAAGAGGCCCAACTCATAATCCTCAAGTGTGGTACCAAAGTTAACTTATGCATTACTTTCTAAAATAGTTTAATCCTATTTTCCTCTCTTTGATTTAATTTTTTTTATAGAAATTAATTTCTGATAATTATTTCCTATCACTTAAAAGGATATAACCTTAGATAAACCGTTTATTTTGGATGAAATCACAAATGATCTAAATGAGGGAGAGCTAAATAATACTCTTGAAAGAATGGGTTAAGATGAAAAATAATATGTTGTAACAAATTAAAAACATAGTAATGTCACACGAGTTGAGCGTCTCTCAATAATTAAGAGGATTAAGAAAATAAGGTATAATTTAAAAATGCTCAAACTTTGGAGCAGAGACCCATGTAAGGTAAAGGAAGTTTGACTCCCCTTCTTTCATAGGTTATCTTCCTAAAACACCAATAGTGACTAGTGACAAACAAGGGAGAGAGGTGCAGTTGCAAGAGGGAGATGTTCCCTCATTTCATATTCTTCAAGTAGTCCTCATGCACATATTAGAAATCATGCCTTTTGTAGATATCCAAAAGACCTGTACAACCACATCTAGGCAACCACCGTGGATCAATAAAGGAACAAAGATACATGATAAATGAAATGTGAGAAAGTCATATCGAGTTCCACTAATGAGTTTTGAGTACCCTCACTAGATCTAGCACAACAGTTTTTCCAGCCATTAGTTAATGTTTGTTCATCTAGTTAGCTCTTAGAGATCTAGGGCGAAACTTCGTTGAGGTGCAGAATCTCATCCATCCTCAATAGATGAGAATTTGACGACTGAAGAAATAAGTCATCATCCACATTAGTAGTGATCATCTAGGTCCATTAAAAACTATTTTATTTTATTAAACATCTAATTCCTTCTATTAAGTATTAGAGAGGTTATAAATAAACTCTTCTAACCCTAGACATAAGAGAAGAAGAATCATTTCAAGATTTTATCTTTTATTGCCATCTATCATCACTCCACAAGGAGAGGCCATACGGGTCGTTCTCCATCAACTTCTATCATCGCCATCTATCATCCACCATCTAATAGTACAATCATTCATTGTCATTAAATGTTATTCAGTGTCGTCATTCTCTATCTACTATCATTGCCTACTATCTGTTGATGCCTTATACTGTCCATCACCCTCATTCACTTTTTATTACCATCATTCATTGCTCGTCTCCTCATGTTGTAGTTTTGTGATATTGATAATGCTATCAACCTTGTGGACACCATTCACTATTAGTGTACTGATAAGTCTTCATTATCATGAGTTAGTAATTAGTAAATAATCTAGTTTTAGTTGTATCTCATAATAAATAAATTTATATTTGTGTTAAATTATGAAAAGTGATTTTTAGTTGATTAACGTAATTTTTTGGCTAATTATATAATTTTCTACGAATGTATATAATTTTTATAGTCTTATTTTTGAGATAAATAAAGAAAAATAAATTAAAATAAAAATATAGCAATTGAGGGGAGCCATGAGCAGGGGCTCGAGCAGCTAGGACAGATAGGGGCACGCGTGCGCCACTCTCCTTCCATGTCACCGGTGGCCAATTGGCTGTGGGGCAAAGAGTGGTTGTACACGCGAAAGAAAAAGGACTCATTACTTTCAAATGTGATATTACTATATATTCATCTAAAACTTCAGCGCACAAATAATGTGGGATTAAACCCGTGTCACACTTTTCTCCGAAAGGCTTCGAAGATTTGAATACCTAAACTACCCCTTCGTTATAATAGAGATATACCATGATGACGTCACTTGATAAAGGTATTAGAGTACTTATTTCAATCTCTCTCATGCAGACGGACAACTGGCGCGGGTTCAAATCCTCTTAGAGCCAAAACTTGTATTTTTATTCAATTATCATGACTTTCTTGTAAATCACTGGTGAAAGATTAAGCTGTCAGAATCACTAGATTATTAGCAAAAATCTTGTCAATGCGATTCGCAGAGCATTGTTACTAAAATTATTGAACAATTCGTAATAAAAAGATCACAAATCCATCGAGTAAAGGATCTTTGATTGATCAATGAACAAGCCGTCATCGGGAAGAGGATGATCCATCAGGAGATGAGTCGCCTCCTCTTGAAAGTGTACTAGATGCAATGAGGAGCCTCCTCTTGCTATGTGGACTTGAGGATGAAGCTCCCTAACACGCACCCCACCTCCATCTAACTCCTCTTCGTCGAGTGACAACCGTTAGAGAGCCGCAAAGTCATCATTTTTCTGCTTTGTCAGATGACAACTGTCGAAGACGATTCGACGACTTATTTCATTGATCTCTCGACTTCACAAGGAGATCTAGAGATTGCCCACGTCATCCTTATCCAATGAGAGCCTTCGAGGCTATGGACACTGCACGACGATCCTCTCGAACACTTAGGATTCTGGTGCATCACCAACGCATCACTGTCGTGACGTCGGAACTCTATTTTCTTGCTTTCAACTTAATTTTTGCTTTATTTAGTGATAGTCTGTGTGATTTAAATTTATCAAGTTATACTTTATTCAATTAAGATTCTTCTAGCTTTTACAGATCTTAATGTGATCAATTAAATCATTTGTAATCACTTACGTAAGAATCACCAAGTGAAACTCTATTTTCATTCGATTCGCATTCGTTGAGCACTGACGTCATCTTGACGTCCTCACCCTTATTTTCTTTTTTCATGAATTTTAAATATATTTTATTTTCATTTCCTAGTATAAAATTTATAGAAAATCGTATTCTTTGAGAAAAATTCTAAAAAATTACCTGATATTATATTACATCCCTATGATCAATTGAGAAAATTACCATTATTTTTGGAAATTTTATTAAATTATAATTAATACATTTGTTTAGAAATACTTTTAAATATCTAAAAATTAGTATTTTATAATTTTATAAATACCTTTGCCAACTGCGTCTTCATCGATGTACCTTTGCCACGTTGTGTAAGTCACATTATGTACCTTTGCCAATCGCGTCTTCATCGATGTACCATCACTGAAATCAGTGTTTGCCACTTAACCATTCCTTCTATCTCTACTTTTGTGCCACCACCTACTTCATCCATTCAATCAATTCCCTCGATTTTGATTAAATCCCCACTAGTTCATGACCTAGTGAACTGCCAAACCCAAACCAACTTTGAGTTCACCAAACATGACTCAGACCTCATTTGTCAAGCCCAAAGTGACCTAGTTCCATCAATATGCTTATACCTAGTAGGCTAAAACATAGGTCTAGATCCTCTAAGAAAAAATAAGCCCAAATCCGCCAAATTCAAACACCTAGATCCATCAAGTCAAGTCATTCAAGGATATGCCAAGTTTGAATTCTTTCAGATGTCACAAGTTAATAGAATTGGTTCACAAGTCATCTTAAGGATTTGTAGCACCTAGAATTATTTCAGTAGACTACAACCCTCCATTTCTCAAGGAAGACAATGTGGAGATCTCTAATTTTGTAGTTGGACAAGCTAGGGCATATAGTGACTCTAATTATCCTCCAATGATCAATGTCGTGGAAGGCTTTTCTGATGAAGAAAGTAAACAAGATGCCGACTAAACTCAAGAATGGTGAGAGTTGACTAACCTCTTCTTTCATTTTAACTATTTCATGATTATGTCTAAGTACAATAGTGGTAAACTTGGCCATGCCTTCCAAACTCTGGTTTTGTTTTATAGAAAAGTTGATAAATTAAAAAAGGGGCTTGATTGATGAATAAATAAACCTTTGTTATATCGTAAATTTACCTAAATATTTTTTCCCATAGAATGAGGCCAGCTCTTATATAAAAAGATTCATACCATGCACCTTTGTACAGTAATTATGATACCACAGTGAGAGTTGAGTTCTAATTAGTTATGACCAACTTTAATATCATCTATTTACTAGTAATCTTGAATCTTGTTCATTATATCCATGTCATCAAAATAGTTCACAAAGTGAGGACTAATTAGCAAGACTATTTTCATAATTATCATGTCTAGTATAGAGTGACATGCAAGTAACTCTTAGAACCTAGAGAAAATGATTATTTCTTTATTAGTGAATTTAATTAGCATGAAATGAAATATTAATATTTGAGTGACTGCAAGATCTATCCATCATCCTACTAAGTAGCTAATGTGAATAACATAGGAACTTGTCATATAACTAATCAACATTTTTATCTCATTACCTTATCATTGCAAGTTTCATTCTCCACATTATTATCTTGATATCCTTGTATGAATATCTATCATTAAAATAAGTTATGTTTCAACCTACTGTCTAATTGAGTTTTCATTTTTTTAATTTGACAATCATGAAGATCAAACAGCTCATCAAGAAGTTTTAAAACTGGTGCAAGGGGAAGATATGACACAGCATTATATTTTATGAAGGTTTTTTAATCAAGAATATAATAGATACAATTTTACATTACTAATAGCAATTACTATCTCTTAACCATATTAGACAAAAATATCTAATATAGACTCACGGAAGTTGTGAAGTAAAGAAATAAGATGCAAACAACTCATGACAAAAAGACAGATTTTACGTGGTTCAGAGGTTGGTCTCTTACATTCACAAGTGATGATAAAAGCTCCACTAGATGTGAAGTAAGTACATAATAACTCTCCCCAAGAACTCAAAAATGAAATCTCGGCCCTCAAATGAACTCACTAACTGGAGATGTTGAAGAAGCCTAAAGAATGATGAAAAATAAGGCACCCTCTGTTTATAGCCATTGGGAATCACTTAATAAAATACACTCGCAAGCACCTTGGGAAATGTGTTATTATTTCCTCTTCCGCTTAAACTGTTCTAGTTCCTCGTGACTCGGTCCAGACATAGAGGCCATTAGGTCCGTGAGAATCGGTCTGTCTAGTGACAGGTTCTCTCGTGGACCCCATCGTTTCTCTCTGCATTAAATGCAGTTCATCTTCTTCTTCTACACAGCCGCCATATGAGCTGAATACCTAGACCACGTATTCACTTAATGAATCATGTGCCCAACAAACCATGAATAGTTTAACTTTTAGTTTACATCACGATGATACCTCATCAATTAAACCATCTCTCTCGACAAGGAAGCTCACAGGCAATGACATGACGGCATCCAAATGTCCAACATCATCAGTAAAAGCAAGAGGGAGATAATGAACCACTAAGCCTACTAGTCTATTAGTTGATTGATTCTCGGTGAACTCATCTAAACCAAACTACATGTCGGAAGAATGGATTGTCGGAAAGAGGCCCAATTGGTTTGTCAACAAGCTCAGTGAAAGATAGCTATGCCCTCATATTAATAAGACATTAACCATAGATAAACTATTTTTTATTTTCAAATAATCAAAATTATAAATAGACCCAACTTGAAAATATATCTTACCCTATCATGCGCTTAGCTGACAAGTAATGTAAGCAATCGGCTATCAAGCTCCGATCTCATAATGCTAAAATTTCTTCACATTAGGGAACTACGTGATGGTCCTATTCTTCAAAGAAGACATTCTCGAAGCTATTTCCCATTCCTCAAGGAAGACAGCATTGAAACTATTTTTTACACATATTTTACTGAAGATAACTCTTAACGTCATAACGAGGCTATGATATCACTCATTCAAGAAGCTTGCGATAATGAAATTACTCCAGTAACGAATGACCAAACTTGATTTCCAGTTTACATATCTTCAAACTGTGAAACAATTGGATACAAAACTTGAAAGCGTCACGTATTAAAACTATATCGGCTAAAAAATACCTCATTTTTCTGCACAGTTCCAATCTAGATACTTTATTGGAAGGCACCTCAAGATATTTCACTATTGGTAAAACTAAATGTATCCAGCAATTTCCCCCAAGGGAAATAAATTTGAGATTCAAGAATAAAGAAGTAATTTTAGTGTCCTTTTCTTCAATTGGAAGACTTTTGAAGAGTGGTGAAACACGGTACCAAGGAAGCAACAAGAGTAATGAACTCATTTATCAATTTAGTGCTAGAGCGAGACTAAGACTATGCAAAAAATGTTTTCAAACATGTAGTCATTTCTTTTCATATCAAAACAGGAGGAATATTGCATAGTCTTCTTATTTTTAAACATATAGAATCATAGACATGTGCGTGCAAGGACGTGTGTGCGGTGCACCAACACCCATTGCCTCCCTCATCAACGTTTCAAGATAGTATTTCAACTCTTATGTGTGGACTCAATCGCGCTAGCAGCAGCAGCAGCGCCTGCCAGACTAGTTTTTTCGTCCAAAATTTCCGTTCTGTGTCAATGGGGCCCGGATACGGGGATCGAATCCGCCTCATAAAAATTTCCCGTCGTACATCTCCCAGGGCTTACGATGACTGACCGATCCCCGATACAATGGCGAACACCTTAAGATTCGCCAGGTGGGCCCACCCCGCAGCTGGCCGGCTCCACTGGATCGTCAGGTGCTCCAGGTCGCTGACCCCTCTCCCCCCCCAAAAAAAATATAACGGCTAGTTGTTGACCTAGCCGGAACATCTCGGCCAATCCCAATTTCCGGGGTCCATTATCAGCCCACCTGGAGGCCCCCCATCCCCACCTCCTCTCTCTCTCTCTCTCTCTTCTCGTGAGACCGGGGAGAGTCTTCTCCTCCCATGCTGCCAATTGGCGAGCTTCAGCTTCGCGGGCTGATCAATGCCCGTTCGTCCTGCTCGCGGCCCATCAATGCCCGTCTGCTATGGACGAATCCGCCGGCAGCAAAGATGCCCCAAACACAAGCGCAGACAGAGGAAGAGCGGGCGGGAGAGGTGACTGTTCTCCCATTAATGCCGGTACTAATCACCTTTCGTGTTTGAGGACATTCCGACCCCAGTTCAGACGACTGGAGAAGAACCCCGCCCCCCCTTCTCTCTCCTCCTCTTGAGGACGAAGACCCGGAGAGAGAGCAGAGGCTTCGAAGGGAATAAGGAAACTGAACGATGGAACTGAAATGCTCTGAGGGGTCACATCACATCTTGCGGAGAGGAAAGAAGAAGAAAGCTGATGATGGGTGCCTGGCTTCGATCAGGAAGGGAAAGAGGGGACTGTGAATCCAACTCAACTGTAACTTCTAATAATCTCTGCGACCAGAGTATTTAGGAACACAGCAGGACTCTCGTGAACGAGAATCTAAGGGACACATGCGAGAGAACAGGACAAGGAACAGGGTAAACTGAGCGAAACAGAAGATAACTAGAGGGAACCTCTCCGAAGACCCTCAGGACGGCTGATTCGAGAGAGCCACTCTCCCTTTTCCTCACAGGTAGACTGAAGTGATTTCGCCTCCCTTTTCCGTCACCTTCGATGGCCTCTTATATTCGAGGATCGCCTCCCTCTGTCCTCCCACGCCCCACCTGCTTCCAATCGGACCGTTTGACCTTTCCCCCACGTCCCGGTGGCTGACCCGGCCCTACAGTCGACCGTTAAGGTTGTTGGCCCGTATCACGTCAGATATTTTCCCTCATGGATGGTGGCTGGAGGCTAGGGTCTCAACAGCTGACTACTCAATTCAATGTTTGTATCCTCTCACCTTCGTTGAATGCTTCGATGTGCCTCCACTGTCAACGCCGAATTTCTCCCTGGCCAGTTTCCTATCTGTCGGTAGGTCGCTGATCATGCTGAACAAGCATTTCCAAGGGCGAGGATAGAAGTTCCTTAGTGATCGTCGTCACTAAGTTCGAATGAGGATGACCTAATTAGTTTCTAACTAAGCAAATGCATTTTTGTTCTCATGGATGAGGTTGGTCTAGTATGTTCTCATCGATGAGTTGTGGTCGCAAGCTCAACCATTGCTAGGGTTTAAGACAACCAGCATGAGAGCCTCTGAGAAACTTGACGTGACTTCGTCATTGTTTATTAAATCACATAAATTAAATATTTATAAATCTAAAAAATACTAATTTTTAGATATTTAGAAATATTTTTAGATTAAATAATAAAGGTAAAATATATTTAAAATTCAAGAAAGGAAGAAATAAGAGTGTGGATGTCAAGATGACATCTGTGGCCCGACAAATACGAATTAGGCAAAAATAGAGTTCCACCTGTCAATTCTTACATAAGTGATTACAAACGATTTAATTGATCAAATTAAGATCTATAAAAGTTAAAATGATTGTATTTGAATAAAGAAGATTTTCGAAATTTGAAATCATACCAACTATCATTAGATTAAGTAAAAATTAAGTTTAAGATAAGAAAAGTAGAATTTTGGTTTTACTATAATGATCACTAAAATTCTGTGTTTGAGAAGATTATCGTGCAATGTGCATAGCGTCAAAAGCTCTCTTTAGAAAAAAATGACATGAGTAATCTCTAAATCTTCTTATGAAGTCTAAAAATTAATAAGGTGAGTTGACGAATCATCTTCGACGAATGTCACCGAATGCAACAGAAAAATAATAACTTTGTGGATCTCCAACAATTATCACCGATAGATATAAGTTGGAACTAGTGACATGGAAGGGGAGTGACCCACATGTGTCCCCAACTAATCTTTAGTCGCTTAAGCCTTCTACTTGTAGCTCCTCCTAATTGTGCTTCTATCTCACTTGTAGGCCTAATTGACTAGTAGGTCCCTTTTCTTTTTCTTTATTTTTATTTTATTCTCTTCATTTATCTCAAAACATGATTATAAAAATTATAAAAATTTATAGTAAAATTATATAATTAGTCAAAAAATATATATTAATCAACTTAAAACCAATCTTCATAATTAATATAAATATAAATCTATTTATTATGAGTTAAGACTTAAAATATATTATTAATTAATTAATAACTCATGATAATAAAGACTTATCAAAACCTTTCTCGTTGCCATTTACAATAATCACGGGTGGACAATTTGGGCCCATAATGTACGTCAGGTCCACCAACATTCAGGTCTGAACTATAGACCTAGAAGCCCCCTCATACTAGCCATGCACAATAAACATGTGGTCATGGGGCATCCCACCCTTTTCCTATGTCAATGGGCTGGCCTAAGTATATGCCTCATATAGTTAGAGCCGATATCACTCATGTATCCATATAACTTTCTAGATGGGTAGATGCCACTTTTCAAAAAGGCGTTGACTTACTTTATCCTGGATGAACTAGTCAACCAGGACCGACTACTCCCCCTGACCCCACCCCACCCCACCGCGTGAGTAAAGCAATCGCAATATTGAGGTACCCAACTGCTCATCTTTTCATTGAATTGAGGCTGTTCACCAAGACAACGGTTGACGGTGGCGCAAGTATGGCGGGTCGACAAAGAAATTCCGGCTTAGAAATGTTCCACCAACTATTCCCGCGTCGGGTCGACCACGCCCAGCGTATGGGCGGCCACCCGACAATTAATCAGAGGTCTACCAAACCCTACCCAGATTGGAAAATGATCAGAAGAAGCAACAGGAGGTTCGCCATATTCAAGGTCCGCAGGTCAACATTTTGCTGCCGGCGGCGTTAGGTGGGCCGACTTATCAGTACAGCGTTGACGTTGACGTTGACGTTGACTTGCCACTACCATAAGATGGTGAACTCCTCGCCCTCCATTCCCTCACGTATTCCTCCAACCCAGCCGTCAATCGCCAGCCCACCCGAAGCCTGCCGTCGCCGGAAGTGGCGAGAGAGATGCACTCTCCGCCAAGTCGAGGCCTTCCATGCTCCTTCCTCCTCTTCATTTTTCTCCTGAGATTCGAGCACGCTCTGATTGGAGCACAGCCAGGTAGGTGGGCCCTCTATTTTCTTCTTGCTACCCGATGCACGACTTAATGAATCAAATGGATTCCGCAGGATTCATCAGCATTGACTGCGGCCTGCCCGATGGCTCGGGCTACAGAGAGAATGTCACGGGGATAACCTACGTTCCCGATACCCAGTACGTCGACGCGGGGGAGACGAAGACCGTTGCGGCGGAGGGCTTCGCCAGGCGCTACCGGACCCTCCGCGTCTTCCCAGAAGGGGTCCGGAACTGCTACAACCTCCGGCCGGTGCAGCCGGGGGGCAAGTACCTGGTGCGAGCCGGGTTCTTCTACGGCAACTACGACGGCCTGCAAAGCCCTCCCGAGTTCGAGCTGCACATCGGGATCAACGTCAGGCTCACCATCCGATTATCATCAGACGACAGCAGTCTTTCCGAGGTCATCAAGGCAGCCCAGGGGGACACCCTATGGGTCTGCCTGATCAACACGAACAAGGGGACGCCCCTGATATCGACGATCCAGATGAGGCAGTTCCCAGACTTTTTATACCCCCACGCCAATGCGTCTCAGAGTTTACATCTCCGACGGCGCTTCAACTTCGGAACAGAGGCCCCGTTAAGGTGAAGGCCATCCCCATGAACAATACATACTTGGCTAACTCACCACATTCCCCCTTTGCTGTCTTCGTAATGCAGTAAATAACAAACTGGGTAGGGGCGCTTTCTTCCATGAATGATCTATTATCAGCATGAATCTGAGAGGCAAAGTCAACTCGCCTGTAGGTACCCAGAAGACCCCTACGACCGCATCTGGAAAGGCTTGGTGGGAAGTTTTCCTGTGATTAACACCACCAGACGAGTGGAGACGACTCCAACTGACCATTTCCAGGTACCCTCGCGGGTGCTGGAGACGGCCATCTCGTCTCGAAACATCAGCGTCGGGTTGGCCATCTCGGCGGCCGTCGGAAATCAGGACGACGTAGTCTACGCCGTCTTGCACTTCGCCGAGCTCCAAAATTTGAGCCGCCACAACCAGACGAGGATCATGGACATCCGCGGGAAGGGCAGCGCTGAGGCGATTCTAAGGAGTTACAGCCCTCCGTTCCTAAAGGCAGCTCACGTAAGGATCACCAACGCCGCAGTCGGACAGACGGGGATATACAACATCTCCCTGATCCCCTCGAACGCATCGACCCTGCCTCCGATGATCAACGCCATGGAGAGCTTTCTGGTGAGGAAAGTCGACGAACTGCCGACTGACCTGGGCGATGGTGAGACCCCATTAACCTCCCCTTATAATTTCATTTTTCTATTAATTATTTCGTCTCTCTAACACTCATTCTAACTTTTTGAAAAACAATTGGCTATTACGCCGGACTGAGTTTACAAAAAGACGAGCGGCCCAACCGTAAAACCATCAATTTTCTCTATCTCTTCTTAAGAATGTGCCAAAAAGGTCTCCCAGATACCTCGATATCGCTGGCTGTTTTTACCTGGGTAATTCGACGCGGGAGAAAATCCTGCGTTTCTATTTGTTCAAATCTCGAGTATTTATTTGGCGCGATCTTGTCTCCAGTTCGTGCCATCCAAGGCATCAGGTCAGCGTACAAGCTGAAGAGAAATTGGCAGGGGGACCCATGTATGCCCAAAGATTATGTCTGGGATGGGTTGCGCTGCGACTACTATGACGGCGTCGACACCCCAAGGATCATCTCTTTGTCAGTGGGTTGAACCCATTCGATACGAAACCAAATCCAGGTATCCAACTCCAACCATTTATTTATCAGAGTTGACTTTATATGAATGATGCAGGAACTTATCGTCGAGTGGACTAGTTGGTGGAATTCCCCCCTCTATTGCGAACCTCACTGCCTTAACAACTTTGTAAGAACTCCTCATGTGGTTTTAGAAGCTTTAGCTGGAAGGGACATTTTTAAGGTTTATATTTTAATTGATTTTTTATAGGGATTTGTCAAACAACAGTCTTTCGGGTATGTTTCCAGACTTCTTGGCAGAGTTACCTGCTCTTAAGTTGCTGTGAGTTTCAAAAACATTTCTTCCTCCATTCACATCTTTTAAATATCTCAATGATAAAAAATGGTCTCTCACCTTGTCTATCAGGAATTTGGCAGGCAATAACATCACTCTACCGTCTGAAGACCTTTGCAAAAAAATAATGAACGATCGTCTTTCTTTAAGGTTCGTCCCGGTATTATTTCAGATGGATGGCTCCAGTGCTTACTTTTCATTTGAATAATAACGTAAATTATTATTTTTATTTATATTGGAAAAATACTTCACGTAGAGATCTTGCTGTATGTCTCTCGTACCACGAGATCACATGCTATAAAGCTACGATAGGCTACAGATTTTTCACCTTGTTATTTCCTATTTGTTGTCACCGAAAAAATAATTATCTTTACTATGTTTCAAAAATTTAGGATTGAAGGGCTTGAAGACATGTGCTCCATTCAGCCAAGTTCCAATCCACCAAGTCCAAGCTACAATTCACCAAGCCCAAGCTCCGATTCATCAGTCTTGAACAAACAAAAGTATCTTGTTCCCATCACCATAATCAGATCACTAGTTTTGCTAGTTGTCATCCTTATGTGAATAATTTTAAGGAGAATAAGGAGACACCTTACTTAATATCAACATGAATTTCATCCGAATGTTTCTTGCTTTGTATGAGACAGTTTTTGACATTGATGTGTGATTCTCGAAGCTATTGTCTTCTTTATGTTATTTATACTACATAATATGAAGTATATGAAAAAATCACCACTGGATGGAAAAACATAGAAGTGGGGAGAAAATCACATGATAGGATAAAAATACAACCAATAGAAAAGTTCAGTTAAATTTTCTTAAAATGAGCACAATGCATATTCTTGTCAGAAATGTCAACATCCCAACTAAATGAATTAATATTTCAAACAGCTTTCAAATAGTCATTCATAGTCAAGGAACTTATGTGAACTTATTGTATTCTGAAAGGAATGACTAACAGAAGCTTCAAATTTTGAAAGATGCATGGGATATGAAAGAGAAGGTACAAATGTTTGTACAAGGTTTGCATCATATCATCTAAAATTCAACAAGAAAATCTATTATAAGTATCTACAAAATTATAAACATCCTCTACATGTTCTCTTAACTGTTAGGCCAACTAGGAACATGGTTGCAAAGGAGCAAGCATTAGATTGGGGTAAGATAAGGGTCGCTCTTTATTGAAGGGAAGGGGGGCCATGGAGGGGGATACTTTAATTAACTATGGGGAAGCTGATGAAGCTTATTGTCTTGGGAACAAATAATTTAAATCAAGGATGAGGGAAAGCATTCGCCTCACCTGCAATGGTAAACATTATGACTGAATTCTTTTACTTCTCTTCCTGTCATTGTCATTGACATCTTTCTCACAAAGGGCGAGGATCTTTAATCATGAAGTTGTCCTTGCCAAGCCACATGTCCATAGTAAGAGCGACTAACTCCCTCTTCTACGTGTGAGTGGAGGCCTCATGGCACCTTACAAAATCTCTTAACTCGGATGTGGGTCTTGTTCAAACTGGAAAGATTAGGCAAAAACCAAGGCATATTTGCGCTTTAAGAGCTCCTTAGATGATCCGGGTTTGAGTCTTGCATGTGCACATTTTGATGCATAATGTTTGAAGCACGGCGCGCACTAGAGTGGCTAATGAGGAGGTGGGCTCAAAAGAGGCTCTCTATGAATGGAAAGAGGACATGAGGGGAGGTGAAAGATACGTACCCTGGACACAATTAAAACGTCAAAGAGACGTTCCCACGCCCAATAACCAATTAAAAAAATCGTGATTTTGATTTTCAAAAACCTTTGCAAATACACCAAACATTACATTAGTTCAGTTCCTTTTTTAGCCACGATTATCCGATCATTCAACTGTAATATGTAGGTGTGTCATGTGGTCACTTTTTAAATATTATGCCCTCGGTTAACACCAATAGTTGGCTTAATGTTGATCTCGTGTCTAGCGGCTGGCCCATCAAGCCCAGTTGTCTATAACCCGACTTTGTGGAGTAGAGTAGGTGTCATCCTTGTGATCCAACCCAGTAACATATGGGCCCTGTACACCTTAATGCGTGCCTAGTCCTGCTACATCTCTAGTTGGTTCATCGCTTATGAAAATGATCTGCCCAATAGCAATTAGCCCACATGAAAGTAATATTATGTGGAGACCTTATAATAATGAATAAAAGACCAAAAGAAAATATGTCCAAGAGATTCTAACCCATATACAATCAACTGGACCTCTGGACATAATTTTACTAAATCAAGTGAGCTTTGACCAAGGACCACACATGATTGACGAGAGGGAACTAGACATTACTTCAGACACAAGATTTGAAAAACTAGTGCAATAGAATAACAAGGTCCACCCTACTCTTTTTTAAGGTCTTATATTAGGTGATTTAGTGAGTTACATTTAGCCCATTGTTATTAAGTTTGACTTTTCACCTTGTTAATTGTTTCATCTCTACAATACACAATTTGAGCTACAAGGTTGGATGAAACACAAGAGGAGGGATGAATTGGGTTTTAAAATATCTAAAAAAAATTCTATCTAACTTCTACTTATGTATAAGTGTTGCTAGATGTGTCGATACACATGCGCTCAATGCTCTCTCATCAACTAACACAAGAGTTTTCATACTTGTTCTCCCTTCACTAAGCTACATCTAGTCCCAAATGAAACTTTCATCTAGTATTTACTGATTTCCTCAATAATTATACTAATTTTCATAGGACCAATGACCCAAATATCTCAAGTTCATCTCCTTAGAGGCTCAGCCCTTCTTAGGCCAAAATCAATTACTAGTGCCTCATGCTTTTGTCAAAAACACTCTCCCCTCACTACCTAGTTAGCTTAGGGCCTAACGAAGAGCCCTAAAGTAGAGAAGATGGAGTTAATTGTCTTGCCCAAATCAGTTAGAGAATATGCTACAATATTCTTGCATGACAATGATGTCTATAGTATGAACAGCTTGAGAGGATGACTTGAATCCTTATGTATTCAATTAGTTTTCAATCCTCAAACCTTCTTTGATAACTAAACCTTTGTCTTCTAATAATTTCTGCTTTTACATGATCTCTAATATGCAAAATATTCATTCAAATACTTATCATTTTCCAAAGTACACAATAACAACCTTTGAACATTCCAAACTTTGAATCTCCTTATTTACTCATCATTTTTTATTTTCAACTGAAGCTCTCTAACTTGATAGAGATCATGTGGATGTTCAGATTAGATCCAAATCATCACGTTTACTTTGACCTTTTGTCCATATAGGTAGCTGATGTATCACTATCAAGATGCAGTGTTTGAAAATTAAATATCTCTTTCATTTTCTAACTCTTTATATGATTTGATCCACGAGAAATCTTAATAAACCTATATATCATCGTTTCTAAATACTAGATACTACATAATATAGTTAGAGAAATATATAACCAATAGATAAGATTATTCTCACAAATTATTTGTGCATTTAAGCATATATTTATCCTTTTATTGGATGATGATTCTTCAGCTGATTTCTTTGTTGACCAAATATTCCTAATATGAAGAATCACTTAATCTCAAGGATTAATACCTTGATTTTGATTAGTGACAAGATCATTAAATGAATAAAAATAATTATTATAGTAAGTATATTAGGCATCTTAAATACTTGAAGACATATATAAATAAATATTAATATTCGATAAATTTTCACTTATAATTATCAAAACTAAGGGAATCAACATACCCTCCAATGATCAACATCGTGATGGCTTTTTGGTAGACAAGTAAATGCAACACCAACTAAAATGGGGAATGGTGAGAGATGACTTACCTTTTATTTTATTTCTGTTATTTTATCATTATGTTTAAATAGAACAATAGCAAACCAAAATTGAATACTTGAGTGACTCTAGATCTTTCTACCATCCTACTAAGTACCTAACATGAACAATGTGAGAACTTGTTGTTTAGCATGCAGTAGAGATAAAAAACGTGTGGATAAGTTTTAAGTTTGGCACATTTCATTGAGTTTTTTCTAAGATTTTTCAACCAAGATCATGACAGGTACAAATCTAGATTCCCCTATGGCAGCTACCATCTCTCTCAGTGATATCTAATGCATAAAAAAACAGAAATAAATATTCTATTTTGAGTCCAATTCTAAGTCAGCCTACTTCTCCAATGGAGATCAGTGAATTTTCAACAGTGAAGACCAGTTTATGTCCAAATTTTGACCCGCAAGATTAAAAGTGAAAGATCGACACATTTAAGATGCTGCTTAGGTTAGGGTGCTCCACAAATAAGGAGTTGATTAATAGCTATCCACATGACCCTCTCAATTAAACCAGTTGGGATAAGATAAATAGTTTCCTTCAGTGGTTCTTTGGCGGCACCTTCAAGAAAATCTATAGGAAAAAAACATTCAATCAAAGACAAGGATCAAGATTTACCACGACGAGAAATAATCATATGCTCCATTGGAGCTGGCTGATGACCGTCACAGGGGGCATCTGAGAGGATGAGGTGTGTGGAGAAACTATGTAGGGAGGCGATGGTGCAATCAGGTGGTGGCACTTTGGCGGATATGATTGAGTGGGGAGTGATGCTGTGGATTTGTAGAAATGGTACTGGGCCTCACAGTCAGCCCCTCATGAACACAAGTAACCCTCACTGCCTCTTCTTCACAAATCGAATAACACGATAATATCCAACTTGTGATTACAGGGCTCTTTATATAGTTCTGAAGGATGAAAGAAGTATCCAAATAGATGAACAACTAAGTACAAACTAATAATAGATGAAATCATGTTGTTCAGGTGTAACATGCGTACATCTTGATCGTGGCTCCAGATTCCCTTCATCTTACGCGGTATTCTAGTGAGATCATGGTTCTTCATTACTACATTCCTATCATCTTTCTCAGTGCCCTGGTGGGATCATGGCTCCACTACTTCCCCATCGCCATCGACATCTCATTGGTTAAATCATCTCTCTCAACTACGAATCTCAAGGGCAATGGTGCAGCAGCATTCAAATGTCCAGCATCGTCAATAAAGGCAAGAGGGAGACAATGAACATTCATCCCAGCTGATTTGTCTGTTGGTTCATTCCTGACGAACTTATCTAGACCAAAATACTCGTTGGGAGCAAACCACCATGGCTAGACAACATGAAAAGGCTATGACTTCTCTCATTCAAGAAGCCTTTGATAAACAGATTAATTCTCTCATTGATATGCTCCAAATATATGCTTTCTTGGAATACGATAGGTAAAACTAAGAATACCTACTAATTTCACCCAAGGGAAATAGAGTGGAGATTCAGTAATCAAATAGTAATTTAAGAAGGTTTTTTATCTTCAATGGGAGTACTTTTGAACAATGACGAAACATCATACCAAGTAAGCAATAATAGAATAAAAGCATTGCAGAATTTAGTGCTAGAGAAAGTTTACAACTTTCAAAATATTTTCAAACATGTAATCATTCGTTTTCAAATCAAAACAAGAGTTATGCTGAATATTCTTCTTTAAAAAAATATATTATTAAAACTAAGAAATTTTATAACCAATAATCTTCATCCCGAGAATGTAAAGAGAAATCAAATGACAGTACATGCATGTACTGGTGTGTGGTACAGAACAAGATGGTATGCTACGTTGCATGATTTCAAGTGCTATTGACTTTGGCTCAACACCCATCTCCCGAAGGTCAACTAAAATATTTGAGGCACCTCACTCGTCAATCGTATAAAGATAAAATTTCAACTCCTATGTGTGGACTCAATCGTGTTGGAAGCAGCAGCGCCTGTCAGACTAGTTTTTCGTCCAAAACTTCCGTTCTGTGTCAATGAGCCCGGATACGGGGATCGAATCCTCCTCTTAAAAAATTCCAGTCGTACATCTTCCAGGGCTTACGAGGACTGACCGATCCTCGATACAATGGCCCACACAATAAGATTCGCCAGGTGGGGACCAACCCCCCCAGCTGGCCGGCTCCACTGGATCGCCAGGTGCTCCTGATCGCTGACCCCCTCACCAGAACTATAACGGCTAGTTGTTGACCCCAAGGGGCAGCGTGGTGGGCTCATGAGCATCCGTTGGGCCCCCACTGGCCTGCTGTGGGCCGACTAAGCCACGACATCTCGGCCCATCTCTCTCTCTCTCTCTCTTCGTGAGACCGGGGAGAGTCTCCTCCTCCCACGCTGCTGGTTGGCTTGCTTCAGCTTCCCGGGCTGTTTCTTCTTACGTTCCCGTTCGTCGGCGTCGTCCCGCTCGCGGCACATCAATGCCGCTTAGCCCGTGTGCCATGGACGAATCCGCCGGCAGCAAAGATGCCCCAGACACGAGCGCAGACAGAGGAAGGACGGGCGGGCGAGGTGACTGTTCTCCCATTAATGCCGGCACTAATCACCTTACCTGTTTGAGAACATTCCGACCCCAGTTTAGTTCAGACGACCCCTCCTCTCTCTCTCTCTCTCTCTCTCTCTCTCTCTCTCTCTTTGAGGATGAAGACCCGGAAAGAGAGAGAAGAGAGAGAGCAGAGACTTCGAAGGGAACAAGGAAACTGGGGTATGGAATTGAAATGTTCTGAGAGATCACATCACATCTTCTGTGTGTGACCCTTTTGTCTGTTTATTCTCAGGCAAGAAGAGATTGAGCGAATGGATCGGGAGAGGACGATGGTTGCGGAGAGGCAAAAAGAAGAAGAAGAAGAAGAAGAAGAAGAAGAAGAAGAAGGGGAAGATAAATAAATGAGACCCCTCTCCCTCGGTTGCCAGGGCTCCATTGATCTACGGCTCCTCCGCAGAAGCTCGGGGGAGCTGTTCCGCTTGCTGCTGCTTCGCCGTCGGCGGGGAGGCCTCCACTGGAACCACGACCGGAACGGCGGCGGCGGCGGCGGAGGAGGAAGGTGGGGGACCCGAGGCCGGCAGCTCCAACCTGCCGTCGATGCAGGAGGCGCACTTGGTCTCGATCCATCGTTCGATGTCGTACTGGCCGTGGCCGAAGATCCGGCCACTGGCGCAGAGCCGCCCAATCATTCCGGAGATGATGCCGAGAATGGCGATGACGGCCAAGACGCCGATCAAGGGCCCCACGGACCCGCCGCCGTAGTGCGGCGGCGGGTTCAGCACCATTGCCATCGGCGGCGGCGGAGGATGCTGCTCCAGTGGCAAGGTCGACATTGCAGACGGCGGGAGATGCAAAAAGGGAAAAGAACCTCGACGCGGTTCTTCCGACCTGGAGACGGACGGGAAAGGTAAGATCTTCAGCCGGGGGGGTAGGGTTGGGAGGGGAAGAGCTTGAGATAGAGAGCGGGGAGAGGGCAGAAAACCCTAGATGGGTAAGAGAGAACGAGTTGCCGAAGGGTTCAGCTCTTTCTTCTCTCCTACTCTCACTTGCGACGACGGAGAGGGCAAAGAAGAAGAGGGAGGCCTTTCTCCTTGTTCCCCCTTTACGGCGACATTAAGCTAATGACCCCTTTTTGAGGGAGCCCAGATCGGACAGTAAATGAGGCGAAACTCGAGGAAACATCGGCGACGAGAGAGGAAGAGCCCTGAGGAACGAGGACCGTACCAGCGGGCGGGGCCACACAGAGATAGACCAAAGATAGATAGGGAGCGAGAGAGAGAGCAGGATACTGCAAGAAATGATGAGAGAAGGGGAGGGGAGTGCAGTGGGCCTTTAAATACGAGGGAAAGCGGGTTGCTTTACCAAAACGGAGGCAAAAGCGAAGCAGGGGACGGGGGAGATTGGAGAAATGCCCACCACTGTCTTTTAAAGACCCCGCAGAAAACCAGGGCCTTGAACCCGGCAGCCCCACGTCATCTCTCTCTCTCTCTCTCTCTCTCTCTCTCTCTCCCCCCTGCTTCCTCCCGCCGTCAACATTATCTGACCCATTAAGTGGGTCGCTTCATTTTTTTTCCACCATATTAATAAAACCATGTAGAGCTCATATGGTCAACGTCAGATGCCTCCGGAGACGATGGACACTAATGAGGATCAAGTAGCCTAAAGCAATCCCATGCTCTTGGCCTTCTTCCGGCAATCTACGCACTTCAATCAGTCAACGGGCGTCGTTCACCCGATTCAAACGTCGTTGACCTGAATGGAAGCTCTTATCGACGGATACCGTCCATAAGTCAGCCCGGTGCGTCCAACTCTATCATCGCAGCCGCCGTTGATCTACTATCGCAGCCTCGTGGGCAAATACCGTGAGACAAGAACACGCGAGATATGATAGAAAGCAGGCTGGGCTACGATAGTGCACCGTTGACTCTAGCCGTGCATTATTGGAGGAAAAATAATGGAGGATAGAGGATAGGTCTAGAATGGCACGCCGTGGATGCCAAAATGCGTTATGGTAAGATCCTCATACAAGATCTTGGATCCTCAATAATGCCCTCGATCTAAGGGAATATCACAAAAGTCAACCCCTGGATGTAACCCCGAGGCCGAGTCACGGTGGTAAGTCAACTCTCAAGGTCGTCATCGACGTCGCAGCTATCCCCGTTGGCGATCCCCCACCTCCTTCTAGATGTAACTACGCAGGCCTTCCATTGTAAGGTCTCGCTGCAGCCGGCATGAGACACTGCAGTCAACGCGAGCCTTTCTGGGCTGTCGAAAGGGATCTACCATCCGTTGGAGCTCTTGAGTCAACTCCTTGCGAGGGTCAGCCAGCCAGCCGTTCACCGCGGGGATGCCCTCCTGCCTGCTCCTATTTTTGCGCTCATCTTGACGGCGACTCTGTCCACACGTGCGCCATCTGACGCGGCACGTGAGTAGCCCGACCGTTACCTCACGTGGGATACAAACAGCAGAGCTCGGCTACGTGGCATCTGTCAGCAAATATTTAAATAACCCAGATTTAATGTGTAATTACATAAGCACCATCCAACGTGTTCAAAGAGACGTGGGGTTCGCCTAACACGTGTATAACTCCAAACATGAGATGTTATTCAAAAAATAAAAAAAAGGTGGAAATCCGAGCTAACTGAGGCAGCTTATTCCCCGCCTTCCATGGCCGCCCGCAAATGGCGGCATGAGGCTGTACGTTCACGCGGCGCCGCCGCCAGTGGGGCCCATGGGCTTCCCGCGGCCCATGGAGAAGCCCCGTGTGCCGTCGGGCATTCTGGGGCCGCGTGGGCTGCTCTTTCCTGACGTTTCGCCCTGAGCGGAGCCCCCCGCCACCGCCGCCGCCGCGGCCGATGGGAACGGCGACAGGATGCCCCGGCCGCCGTCGACGGCCGGCCGCGGGCTGCGCGGCGCCTGCTTCCCCAGCGCAGCGGCCTGCGGGAGGCCGGCGCCGGCGTGAGGGGATAGGGTGAGCAGCCCGCGGCCGGTGTGAGTCTGCGCAACTCCTCCACCGCCGCAGCCGCCGCGGGGCTTTTCCCGTCCCCGAGATGCCGCCCAAGTTCTTCTCCCTGCACCTGGGCTCTCCTCGCTCTGCAGAGAAACAGATTGTGTTGACGATCGTGCGAGAAGAAGATCAATTCTGGCGAGGAGTAGAAGCGAAAAACTGGTACAGCGCTCACGTTCTGATCAATGGAGTGCCCCGTTTGAGGCTGAGAGGTGCCCGAGGCGGGCTCCGACGATTGGTGCGTCTCCTCGTCTTCAGAGTTCACGTCGAAGGGATCGCACTCCGTTCTTCTTCCTCTGATCACCGACCTCGGCTGCAAGAAAGCGGGTAGGTAGGTCAAATGGACGGACATTGAAAGACCCGAGGAAACCAGCCCATGCGGCAGAAACAGAAGCAGAAGCAGCAGAGATGGGAAGTCTTCTGGATCTCGACCCACCGTCCGCCGGAGCATAATCCGGACCCGGAGGCCTTTCCTCCAGTTGCCCTCATCGTTTAGTCTCTCCACCTGCGAGCCCCACCCACCGCAAACGAAAGAGAGTCATCATTCCGACCGGAGGGAAACCGGGAAGAAGAAGAAGGTCGAATGGTCAGAAATGAGGGGAGGAGCTTACGGCTCTCTCAGCTTGGTCCACGGTCTCGTACTCCACCAGGGCATGCAGCTATCAGACCGAACAGCAGAACCAGAAGAAAGAGGCGGTCAGAAGAAATAAAATTGATTCGCTTCCCTCATCCTTGATGATGATGGGCCTTACCTTGTTGCTGATCACAAAGTCCCCCTTCAAGGATCTCACTGCGCTGGGCTCCTGCGGACGGCAGACCTTAATGTTCTTGATGCTGCTCACAGAAGAGAAGAGGTACACCTACTTTGTCTCAGGATCTTAACAAAGGAGATCATCATCGCCCTTACTGAGACTCATTGAGAATTCAATCTCACGATTATGGAGCTTAACGCCACGGCATGAACTCGGTTTAAGGGCCCGAGGGTCAAACCTTCCCGCCACTCTGAAGATCTTCTCGAGGTTCTTGCGTGAATGGTCCTCCGGCAGATTCTCGACGACCACCGTCCGGGCCTGGAAGCCAAACAGGAGAGAGAGAGAGAGAGAGAGGAAGAAACCCTGAGAGACCACCGACAACTCGAATGTACGGAGATAAGGAGGGGCAGTCGTAGTATCAGGGGGGACCTGCAACTCCTCCTTGTCCCTCTCGGTGAAGGCCTGCCTTCTCCTGACCTTGCTGCCATCTTGGCTGACGACCTTATGCATTGAAGAACGCGATTCCATCATCACTTAGAAGCATTAAACCAGGTCATCCGCGTCCAATCAATTAACGAACGTCTCTCGGAGGAGATATCGTTCGCCCGCGGTCAACGCTGGGTATTCTATCTAATACATCCTAGCCGCATACATGAGACCTGATACGAGGCCATAAGATCGGAGCGTCCTACGCAACTTTAAGCCAGAAGACATGTATTGGACATGTGTTCCGTGCTCTCCGATGGAAAGGTCAGCGAGGGGAGTAGAGTGAAGGGTGCTCACGAGTCTGGACGAGGACCGGAGAGCGGTGGCGAGCTTCTGATGGTCGCTGCCAAGGGACTTCACCTTCTTCGACGACGTCAGAGCAGACAATGGAACTGCAACAGCAGAGCGAGGGGGAGAGAATATTGATGTAGATCAGTTCAAAATACCGTAGAAGAGAAGTCTCAAAGGTCATGGGGGTGAAGGGCAGCCCACCGTAGCCTTCCGGGTCTTTGCTCATAAGCTTCACCAAGGAGTCATTTGCCGACAGATTCGCGTTGCTCAGCTGATATTCCACCTGCCGTCCACACGCATATTCATTCGTCGAAAATAATCTAACGATCCCTCCAGTGAAATAACATGAAAATCGCATTTATTATGATTGCAGATCCTAGTCACTACGTTCCAACGGGGAGGATGGCCCGCCTAGTTTCGCTAACAACAAGTATTTATTTCTCTCTCATGGGTGAGGGTGGTCTTGTCTGCTCGACTAGGACGAGAAAGTGCACCACTTGCAGAAGAAGAGGGACCTGCTTGACGATCTTGTGAAGGGCGTCGGAAGAGCTGTCGGGGCTGCTGGGGATGGCGGCGTCGGAGAAGACATGGAGCGGCTCTTGTCCGATGAAGTGGAACCAATCGGTCCCCAGAAGCCCGTCGCCGGCGAAAAATCCGTACCAGGGGTGGAAGACGCCGGCGACGGGCACCGTCGGAGAATGGGAGTTGTTGGGGACAAACTCCGGCGCCTCCGCGTTGAGCTTGAATCCGGACTCTGTCTTCTTCTCCTCCTCCGCCGCCGTCGCCGCCGACCTGTTGCCTTTGTCGCCGGCGTTCGCTTCGGCCATGTCGTCTTCTCTCTCTCTATCTCTCGTTTCCTGTCTTCCTCTACACCCTTCCGCGTGGGACCCTGCTCTGTATCTCTCCTTTTGCTCTCATTCGTCTCTCTCGCTCTCTCTTTCTGGGGTGGGGAGCGTAGGCAGCGGCGGGTTTCGTGGGGAGGAGCAGGTCCACGGTCCCCGCCAAAAAGTGGGAATCACTGCTCGGTTTAGGGCAGGCAGCCTCTCTCTCTCTCTCTATAAATCCGACCGTTGGTGGGTGACCTGGCCGTTATTTATAGCGTGTGGCGTCTCTCTCCTTAATTGACGCTGGGGGCGCTAAACCGCAGGACAAGACCCGCTCTCCCGCTCCGTCATCCGCTACCCGTGCACGTTAGCCACGCCCGCTCCACGTAAGCTGCCGCGACGCATGATGACCTCACTATATGAGAATTCTGGCCCAGAAAGCCCAAGCCAATACAAAGCCCAATACTAAGCCCATTAATAATGGAATATGATTACATCTGGGACCGGCCCAATAGAAGAAGAAGAAGAAGGGATCTTCCTCCATCATTCACTCCCTCTCTGCAGGAAAACCCTCCCCGCATCCCGAACACCATCAGCGGCGACGACCTTAAAGAGCTCCTCTTCCTTAGGCATGGCCGCTGAAGCCGGAGGACGGGATACTTCAGCGAGCGAGTAGGGAAACCTTCCGGCGCCGAAATGGTGAATGCCTGGAAGAGAGAGAGGGCTTCCTCCCTGCTCTCTCTCCGGGTCTTCCTCCTCGCCGCCCCCGCCGCTCTCCTCCTTTTCCTCCTCTTCTTCTTCCTCTCCTCCCCCTCCTCATCCTCCTCCTCCAAGATCTACACCACAGCCGCCGGCTCCTCCGAGATCTACCCAGTGTATGGCTTCCCCACATCGATCCCGCCGTTCGACTGCCGGAGATGCCCGCAGGCGTCCCCGGTCTTCGCGAGCGTGGTGGAGGGGGTGCCCCGCCCGTTTTTGTACTCGCTCGCCGACCTCGGGAGCCTCCCGGAGAGGCCTCACAAGAACATCGCCCGCTTGCTCAAGGGAAAGCCCTTCCGCCGCCCCGACATCTCCCTCACCGTCCAGGACCTGCTCGAGAAAAAGAAGACCGGGGGGCAAGAGGGGCTCGTGGTGGACGTGGGCGCCAACGTCGGCATGGCCTCCTTCGCGGCCGCGGCCATGGGGTTCAGGGTCCTCGCCTTCGAGCCCGTCTTCGAGAACCTCCAGCGGATCTGCGACGGCCTCTTCCTCAACCGAGCCTGGGATCAGGTCACCGTCTTTGCCGCCGCCGCCTCCGACCACAGGGGAAACATCACCTTCCACAAGGTACCAACCGACCCTTCCACTCCCCCAATTCCGTTTTCTTACTGCTTTGATTTCTTCTGAGACCCTCCCTCTCCCTCCCTTCCTTGCCGCCGTCCCCGGCGTCTCATGGTGTTGGATTATAATTACTTAATGGGTGCTGCTGCGCCGCCAGCTGTTGGGGAGGCTAGACAACAGCGCCGTGTCGGCGGCAGGGGCGCGGCTGGCGTTCAAGTCGAACGAGGAGGTGGCGGTGGAGGTGGCGGCGGTGCCGCTGGACGAGGTGGTGCCGGCGACGGAGAGGGTGGCGCTGCTGAAGATCGACGTGCAGGGGTGGGAGCTGCACGTGCTGAGGGGTGCCGAGCGGCTGCTCTCCAGGAAGCCCAGGGAAGCCCCCTACCTCATCTACGAGGAGGACGAGCGCCTCCTCCAGGCCAGCAACAGCAGCTCCCACGAGATCCGCCGCTTCCTCGCCAGCCTCGGCTACAACCACTGCACCCTCCACGGCACCGACGCCCACTGCACCAAGGATTAGCCCCCAACTTCCCCCCTGCGACCACACCGGAGGCCAGATGAGACCAGTTGAATCTCCCCCATATTCTTTTTCTTCCTCCTATTCTTCCGTTTTCCCAGTGGTTTGGGAATGAAACAGGGGGCTTCCTTCAGTCAACCGTCAGTCGAAATGATGCACCTGTCGAAACAGAGGAATTGGACCAAGATTTCGAGGTTCAATGTAGAAGTTAATGATAAATGAAACCGATCGATTGAGTCAAAAAGAATATCAGTCATCTCCCACAGGATCGCATCCACGCTTGTCTCTGCTACTGCTGCTGCTGCTGCTGGTTCAGCACAGAGCTGAACTCAGACGATGTGGTTCTCCTTCTCATCGTAGAGCTTGGTGGGGACTTCATCCGTGGGGCTCCTTGGGGGGAGGGCGCTGATCCGCTCCTTGGCCTTGCCATTGTCCTTGCCCTCGGTGGGGGGCTGCTGCTGATCCGGCCGGGTGGCGTTCCTCTCGCCCAGCGGCTGGCTGCTGCTGCTGCTGCTGCCCGGAGGCGGCTGCTGAGATCCCATGGCGCGGGGCAGCCTGAGGACCACGACGTCGTCTCTCGCTAATTTCGGGGGGGCCACTGCCTCCTCCCTACTACGGCTGCTGCTAACTTCGGGGTCGGGCTGGGACTGGGACGGGGCAGGCGGCACCGCGGCAGGGACGAGCTGGATCACCGATTTGCGCCAGTTCTTCCGGCGTCTCGCCTTGGACACCCCCCCTGCAGCAGCAGTATTCACCTGCGCGAGGACCGACTGCTCCGTCAGCACAGGCTGCTTACCGCAGTGTTGTGGTATACCCCGGCGAGATATCAAAAAAGATACAAAAAGGAGGAAGGACCGTCTGAGGTTTACCACGGTATTGCCGATGTCGGACAGGGGCTTCCTCCGCTGGCCGCCGTCTTCGTCTCTGGGAGGACAAGCGGCGCTGAAGGCGCCCTGGAGGAGCATGGCCCCCTGCGAAGCCAGCTCCCTGCCTCTGTCAGTGACGGACGCCTCTCTCTCGGCGACCTCCGCCTCGAGCAAGGACCCTACGTCGTCCACCCCGACGTCGCCCTCTCTTCCTCTGTTGGTGCATTTCGATGCCACGCAGCCACAGGACAGGCCGCAGGAGCTCCCGTGAGCCCGGCATTCGCACTTCTGGGTCTTACAGGAGGAGCTCCTGGAGCAGGAGCAGCAGGGGAGGTCGGAAACGGGGCTGGGCTCCTCCGGCTGAGCCGCCGGCGCTCTTTCTCCCGCGGTCGACACCGACTGGATGACGGCTTCCAGCTGCTCCGGAGCTTCGTCGGGGGAGGACCTTCCTGAGTGGCGGCGGGCCCCCTTCGGCCCGGACCTTGGCTTCGCCCTCTTCTTGTTGGACTCTACCCAGTCCTTGTCCTCCGTTTGCATCTTCTTTGGCCGGCCCGAGTCCGAGTCTTCGGAGTCAGAGGTATCCATGTCCATCAGATACGCGCTCTGCGATTTTCTTGGGGCCTGATGAAAGAGGTCGAGGAAAAACAGTTAGGAGAGAGGCGCAGGCAGGCAGGACAGGAAGAAATGAGTCTTTTCGCGTTTGCAACAGAAAACTGTTGGAAGTGAAGGAAGAATACCAAGCGCAGAGCGTAGGCGTGCCCATCCTCCCCCGAGTTTAATGCTGCGTGGGATCCGAAGCTCCCGGCTGCTGCTGCGTCTCTGGCGCACTTCTCCCACGTCTGTACAAGAACGGTGTTCAGAGGCATCGCAATCGATTTAACAGAAGATAAAATGAAAGCGGAGGGCGGGCCATTATCCGAAAGAAACCATGGCGCTCCTGACGTGAACGGTCGAGGTGACTCACCCGTGTTTTGTGCTCCAGTTCGACCCTCTGGGCTTCTGATTGTCTCAGCAAATTGGTCACCCTGACGACCTTCTCCTTGAGCTCGTTGACGAGCGAATCCTTTTCGAGGCATGCGGCATATTTATCTTGGACCTCACATCTGGAGAAATAAAAGGATGTAGAAGAAGGTGAGATCAGCGTCTTTCTCAAAAGCATACTTCGATGCGGAAAAAAGGGAAGGAAATGTGAACTGGTATGGGTAAAGCTCACTTCGATGCGGACGCTATGCTGAACAGATAGTTGAGCAAGGTTTTTGCATCAGCAAGCGATCGGACTTGGCTCCAGCGGGTTTTGCCGCTGCACAGACGCTCACGCTCCTCTGCTTCCGACAGATGCGAGGCCATGGAGACGAGGGTGCTGGATGAGGTGGCAAGCATGTTCTCCAGCGCGGAGATCCTCGAGTTTCTGGCGCTTGGGGACATTCCCTGAGTACAACCGCTGCACAGTAGGAGCAGCGGTATCGAACGAATTAATGAAATGAGAGAACAACATTCCATGAGAAAACGGCGATCAACAAGCACAAACCTTGTGCTCTTCTTTTTAGCCTTTTCGGCCTCATCCTTCAGCTTCATCAGTTCATTAGCCACGGCAGTTCTCCTGCATGCACACCCTGGATAAGCAAGGGGGAAGCAAAAAAAAAGAAAAGAAAAAAAATCCGAAGCTTTTGAAAACATGGAAGAACAGAAAAACAACTTAGAAAGACAATTTAACTTCGCAGAAAGGCAATTCAAGAAAATGAAAATAATCCATCCATTTATTAATATGATTAAATATTTGGAAGATTAGTTAGCCAGTTTAAATTTATTTCAACATCAAAGCTAAGAACTTGAACCCGAAAGGTGATAATCTATCCTCACGAAAGCTGAATCCTGAAACTTCAAAAGAATACGTTGATGGAACCTACTTCCATGGGGGTGTGTTCCCTTGTAAGCAAGCCTGCGAGGGGCCCCCAAGGATTAAAGACAAATGAATTCATCGATTGTTAGAGACAGAACGGAATTTTGTCCCACAAAACAATTTTGGATGGTGGAATTTGATAGAAGGGAGAAAGTTTCGGTTTTCTTGTTGGCCAATGGTGATTAATTGAACATTTTTTATATCTGCAAAATGATAACAAAAGAAACTGTTCAACACATACAGATTATCAAAATACAAACCTTTTGCAAGCCGAAAAGGAGAATGAAGTCCATGTCAATGAAAGGGAGGAGAACTAAGATAATTCATAAAACTTGCACACAAACGTAAGGTAACTTTAGCTGCTGTATGAGTGCGCAAAGGATGATGCTCATACATAACATATAACGAAACCCCGAAAATATTATGGGTGCAAAGATGAAGTATTTACGCTTCCAGCTGCTTCTCATACTTTGATCGAACTTCATGAACTTGTAGAATAACCTCAAGTTCATGTTCGATTGATTGCATCAGAGCCTATTATAACAAGAGACCATTCAGAACTTCTAGATGACACAAAAGCCAATAACACAATTGAACGAAAAATTTGGCAGCTAGTCACCTGGGTTTGTTGTCCAGTGGCCACCCCATTCACTGAAAGAACAAACGAAAATAGAATTAAACGGTCAAGTGCACATAAAATAGTATAGAGGTTCTCATGGAAACCGTTGATATTAGTACCAGAATTTTCGCGGGAAGAAATCTTCTTCGCTTCCAGGAGCTCTTTAAGCCTTTTCGTAGCTAGAGAAGCTTCTTCTGTCTTGCGTTGCAAGACCTTCAATTAGAAAAGGTAAACGGTTAATGAAGGTCAAATGCTATATACCATATTGCAACGGCACGCTTTAACCAACTGACCATTTTCTGCCTCTGGTTTAGAGCCAATAATTTGTGCATCTCGTATTCATTCCTCCGGCCCTCCTTCTTAAGCTAAATACAAAAGGATACTCAAGTAAAAAAAAAAAAAAAAAAAAGCCGAAAAGAACATATATTTAGAACGAATCCAGAATGGAGGATTGCAACGCGAATTGAAAGTCACCCTGAAAATGGAATCCATAAAGTTGAAAAATATTTTAAAATAAGGAATCTGTTAAGGTAGATATTGAATTCTGTGGACAATACCCAGATGGCATCTGTGTTAGCACCTTTCTTGCACAACCATGTTTATGCACCAACAGTTAAATTATGAGTGACTAATATGTGTCATGAGTCATAAACCCATGAGAATAGCAGTAGATGCAACCTACCAATATTATCAAGGCGTGGCATGATTACCTTCGGAACAGGGATTTCATTTTCTTCTTTGGTCATAAGCTTCATTAACAATAATCAGCTGCAGGTATCTTCTCGGAAACAAATGTAGTACGATAGATATGCATACAATTATTTGTAGATATGCAGGTATCCTCAGCATAGGAAACATGTGTACCTGGAGAACCTCCTTTTCTCTAGAAGCCTTCCATGACCTAAAGTGTTCTGACTCTTGTTTGATCTTATGCTGAAGATTAACCTGGACAAGCACTTGACATAATAAGTGACGAGAAACAGCAGATTAAACTTCATGACAAATTTGATGGCCCACAAAATAGGAAATACCTTCTGAGCCTTGATCCTTTGAATTTCTTCCTGCAACCTTTTAGCTGCTTCATCACTTTTCTGTTTCTGCCGCAAAAGCTGAGACTGTGCATCCTGCTTCTTTTTCAATTCTGACACCTATCCAAAAAGAGTGAGAGTTTCAGATAGATAAATTCTAATACGGACAATTGCATTGAAAACTCTCGACAGACCTGTGATTCAAGAGTGTTCAACTTCTGAAGATATTCTTCCTTTAATTTCTGTGCACCATCTCCAGAGGCAGACGATATGTTGACAATATTGGAGTGAAGATCCTCAATTTCTTTCTGCAAAGAAGCTAAATAGATGAATTTTGTACAAGATTTGCGAAATCCACTCCAAGAAGAGGAAAGTTTACCTGTAGGACTTTCTTTTCATGCTCCAGTTCCCATATCTTTTTCTCATAGTGCTGCTTTAGCACTGACGTATCAGCTTTTGAAAATCTCTTCATTTCCGCCTTCAATATCACAACTTAGAGTTTATAATCGAACTAACATTATCTTCATGATAAGGATATTGTTAATCTAAACACACACACACACGCAGGCACCACAAAAATTGGGAGGGAGAAAGTGGAAAGAAGGTTTATTTTACAACAGGCAATGTTGAAATGGGCTTCCAAAACATAAATGTTGAAACATGCACGAATTTATGTCTGATGAGAGGAATGAAACCAAATACCTCCTTCAGCTCAAGCTGGCTTTCCAGTTCTTTAAGTTCCTTATCAAATCTTTCTTGCATGGTTGAATGCTCTTGTTCCTTCTCATCACTCTCAATATCACCTGTACAGGACATTGACTATTCAACATCAGCTATAAGTTGCAAATGATGAAGTAATAGATAAAAAGCCTCTGCAAAATTATTGAAAATAGACACATGGCATAGATTTTCCAAATGCTCACCAGGCAGATTGGCAGACTTTCCATCAGAAGTGCATGATAAATCACGAATGGCATCCTTTGAGCTAAGATCATCATCATCATCTAGGTCAAGAACATCTATGAAATCATTACGCCCAGAGCTTGAGAAATTTTGCAAGCGCAGTAATTCTGCCTCCAAATCCTGAATCTTTGATACATAATTTCTCACAAGATCAACTTCCTACAAAGGCATTCGTAAATATTATAAAGATGTTTTCAAACAGTCAGAAAGGTGTGACACCAGTTTTTAACTGCACAAGTTAGACAATGAAGGACAACAAAAACCTGCATCTGATCAGAGCTGTCTATCTCATTCCATGGCTTCCCACTGCGAGATGACTCGATTTTCAAAATCAACCCATCTCGTTCAACCTGCAGTCTTATGAACATTAATAACGCCCAAAAATTTTCAATCCAGATAAACCGATTGAAGCAATAAATATTACCTGAGCATCAAGGGCATGTTGTGCAAGACGTTCACAGGACATCTGGCGCTCTTTCAATTGTCGATGCAGCTCAACATTACTTGCCTCTAGCAAAGAGATTCTGTGACGAAGAACCTATGGCATGAAGAACTGTCATGAATAAACAAAAAAAAAGCCACCTAGAAACCTTTTTCTTTATCAGATGTTAGCAAAAATGTTCAAAACCTGCAGTTCCTCCGAGGGTACCCCCCCATTACGCCAAAAGAGCAGCTCTGACTGCAAATGCTCAACTTCACTTCGCATCTTCTGCATTTGAGCAGCTACTGGGTCATGATTCACCTGAAATTGTGTTTAGATTAATGAATTTATCAAGAAAAAAAAAACATGTGTACCAATGATATAGCACAAAGAAGAATGGAAGGAAAAATTCGTGAAAACTAACCACTGCTTTATTCTGAATGTTGCGAGCACGATTCGCATATTTAAGAGTGTTTATGGTTTCTTCAGCATTAGTGTCCGCGGGACTCACACATGCTGCATCATGACCTTTGTGAATAAAAGGTCTAACATACAAAAACCTATGAAATAAATTCGCAAAAGAACTTACCAATCATCACAGTCTTGCTGTTCCCACCCAAGGAGTCCTGCGAAATCAAGATTCAAGAGCATAAAGATTTAATCCCTTCAATAACAACATTAGCATAGCAAGAAGATAAGTTGAAAACAAATTATATCATGGCTAGCAAAGACATTGTAATATAAAACGAAAAAAAATATGCATAATAAACATGTAAAAGGAGTTATTAAAGCACGATGTCAAATTAGATCATATTTTCAGGTAGGTAATCTATAAACATAACTCTCAAAGGAGGTGAGTATGCTACAGGAAACGACACTGGAAAATATTAAGCAAGAGATCAAACACAGATCTTTACTTTTTCTTAAATTTAAACAGCATGATAAACGGAAGATATCTTGTCCACTCTAGCAAGAGTCGAGCACCATAACTACTCACTGGAATGGAGGGCAAAATCTGGTTTGAATAATGCAGCCAAAACTGAAGCACATGAAAAGAGACATAATTGACGAGAGGGACGTGGCACTATAATTGCTTTGAGAAAAGGGGTAACTGATCATAAAGCAAATCACGTATAAATTACAACAATCTTTTTAAAGCCTCTGTCCCAAGTCACTAATTGATTTATATGACCAATAAGAGAAACTAAACCAGATTTTACAATCTTAGCATTATCATACAAGGCCAACTGAAAACTACCACAAATCTATACAGCATAGGAAAACGAGGAAACTGCACCATAGGAAAAAGGCTTAAAAATTCTAAAAATAGATAACGGATAAACTTTCTATTCTCACGTTTGCACGAGTTTCTCTGTCTATTTCCCATGAATTGCTGCCAAAAAAGATGATTACTCTGAATACTACTCCAAACAAGCGTAATGAAATTGTCAGTGATACAAGTAACTGAGAAATTTAAGGTTTAGAGAAAAATTCTTAGGGGCATTCATTCAAACTGAACTAGTTTAAACATTAACAAATTGGAAAACTTTTTAGATAGAGTGTGCAGGGGATTACTTGCAGTAATCGAGTTAGTTTGCTGTCACGATAGGGAACATGTCCTCCTTCTTTTCGTTTCTTCTCATCTCCTAAGGCACTTATCACATTACCGAGAGCTAGCAAGCCCCGGTTTATATGAATACCTGTGTAAACAGCACAATTATAATTACTGTCCTCTTAGACGATAGTAAAAAGTAAATTTCAGACTGAAGTCCTTAAAAGAACTTGTAAAGATACATTACCTTCTTTCAACCTTATGCCATCGGCTCCAGTACGCTTGGCACGCTCGGAACCAGCAAGATCCACTAGATGAAATTTAGAGAAAACAATGTCGTCACAAGCCTCACTATCAGTGAGTCCAGTGCTGGAATATCTAGCACGCCGTTTCATCTCCATGTTTATGGTGAAGATGGCGTGAGAGCGACTACACAGAAAAAAGTAGAAACCAAATATTAGATCAGACAAGAATGGAAAAAGCGAGACAAAATATAGAAGAGAAGACAAAAGGCAAACAGGAAGAGTGGGATCATGTGCATTCAACCAGGAAGAGAGAAAAATAGAATGTTAAAGCACCTAAAAATTGCCTTCATACAGAGTTACTACCGTAAGCCCCCTGTTGGTGGTTGCAGGGACAAAGCCTTCCTGCCAAAATTTATCATATTTTTGTAAATGTATTCAAGGACTTTTTGGGTATTATTTCCCATCAAACTCCAGGAAAATCGCTATGATATAAAAGAGCACTTTAGGCCAGCTATCAGTACAGTGACACTTTTTAACTTATTAAAATCAATAGTGGAGTCTTGTAGAGGCAAGCGGACGTAGTTCTCGTGTTGGGAGTGATACATACGCTCTTTCTTCGTTCACCTCTTCTTCCAAATACTCATAATTTACATTACTTGGAAGATCACCGATTTAGGAGAGTCACTGTAATCATACATCCATTTTAATGATGAAAAGCTAAAATTAAAAGCCTACATAAGGTCAATCAAATGAGATATTTTAGCTATAAATTAATACAATTGATGACGAGCAGACTAGCATATCTTAACACCAGGTGATAAGAGAAACCTAGATTATCATTAAAAAAAATCAGATGATTACCGAAAACTCTGTAGTATAGCAGAATACCAATGCTAAAGAAGAAAGAAAAACCTTGATTGGCTATTCATGTTTGTACTCCCAGTAGCACGTGCTATGGAACCACGGGTCAAGTATGATGCCATCTCTTCTTTAGAATTCACTTCTGCTTCAGTAACACCAGCAAGAGTTATTCCTCCACTTGCAGTTTCTCTAATTTGAATGGGAACTCTAGGGGTTGCTGTCTGTTTGGATAAATTGTTTCCCTCACATCTCAAAGCATGAGGATTTGCGTCTAGCAAATCAAATACTTCTTCCTTGAAAATCTGTATAGTCATAACAATGATAGTTACTGTCCAAGTAGAACGAAATGCAACATCCCCAATCAATAATATTTTGCTGAATGCGGCAGAATATCGAAATAAAAGTGACGTAAAAAAAATATCAGTAGCTTTTTGAAGAAAACAAAACACCTGAAGTGATCCTATTATCAGCCAACTCAAGTCTGAAATAACGGTAACACAGCGAAGGGTTGCGTAACATGATAAAAGAAGGAGCGGTCTGAACCAAAAACCAACCTCAATGAACGAAACTCTAATCAGAAACTCTGCGTTGTCCCTCATTTCATACACTTTCGTGAATATGCTTTCCATGACTTTTGGGATGATGCCACCACTACTGGTGTCGGCCGTGTAATTGGTGCCCATGGTATAGGTCTTCCCCGAGCCAGTCTATACAAACAATTGAAACTCAGTAAGTGATATACTCGATTTTATCCTAATCCATAAGAAGATCAATAAGCTCTATACCTGCCCGTACGCAAGCACCGTGGCATTATAACCGTGGAATACTGCATCAACGAGGGGAGATACGCAGTCATCGTATAATGCAGAACAGGAAGAGCCTGAACCTCGATACACGTAATCATACGTGAAATTGTGGGCACCAATTTGCACCTGTGACACCGTTGCAAAAATTAGCAAGGGACGGCGTCTGGACCGAATCTAAGAAATGCTGAGAAAATGTTCGGCGAATAGAAAGAACGAAGACAAAAGATGTGAAAAGACTACCTGGGGTTCCCCTGGAACCACGGTGATGCAATCAGTGCATCCAACGATCAACTCGGGCTCTATGAGCGGCCGGATGTTCACGGCCACGCGTACGCACTCCGACTTGTCGTGATTTGGTGCCTTAACATCGGATATCTCCATAACCAGCTTCTATCTTCGATGCCAGCACGCAGGCACTCATGAACGAGCTCAAAAAACCTAGGACACATTATTCGGTGCATCAGAAACCCAAATTGCACCCAGCAGAGCGGTGAAAGACCAGGACGGGATGAAAGGTGAGAGAACTATTGGCAGAGATCGTGCGCAGGAAGAAAAAGCGCATGAAAATTACTGTCGATATAGCTGTCCTCAATGTGACAAGGATACGGGAGGAGCACATACTCTGGCGTATGACGGCCACCTTGAGGGAGGAAGAAACGAAGATATTCAGCAGGTCGGAGCCACTCAGAGATTTATGACTACGAAGCAGATCGCGCGACTCCTTTCGCAACTCCTCCTGGATCGATCCGCCGCGAGGACGCAGAAGATGGCGGCGAGCGAGGAAGAGGGAGCAGCAGACGCTCACACCGAGATGATGCAAAAATGAGGAAGGAACGAGAGAAGGGGATCTTGCCGCCCGCGACAGAATTCAAATTCACGCCTCACGTGACCAACGGGTGACCGATCCTTTCGTCTCTAGCGAGTGCGCATGGACGCGGGGGAACCGTGCGATCTCAGAGCGGATCTCGTAGACGGCCGCGATCAAACCCGATAGGGCCCGGAATCACGTAGACGGAGCCAAGATAAAGGGGGTGGATTCGATAACCGCCCAGGAGTTGCTCGGTCAACATACCCTGCAAACTCTTCTCTCACTCTCCGTTTTGACGACGCCCTCATTCCGGTCATGGATTAGCACCGTCATTAATTAATTATGATCGTCAGTATCTCTCCCTAACCACAGTCATTAACGGGCCGTGAGGTTGGCTGCAATGCGGATCGCAGTGTAGTCAAAAATGGGAAATCACTCTGAAATATAATTATTTGAAATTATTAAGAGAGAGAAAAGGGCCCCGCCGCAGCCGTTCAGCGTGGATCCCCGTAGGCCGTTGATCTCAGTCATATCTGGTCGCCCGTTGACCAGGCCAGAAGGGGGCATGCATCTCCTCTGGACCATGCCCGAGCTGAACGGTCTAATCGAGAATTTTCCGTGATCGGAAGAAGTTTAATCGATCTCAGCCGTCCATCTGATGACCCCTCAGAGCTTTGGGACCGCTTCGGTGGACCTCCTGGACTAGTCTAGGGCTCCTTCCCCCCCTCCCCTCACCCCGGATTTTGTTTTGGTTTACTCAACACTGCGACAGGGGAGCTACGGCCGTCCGCCTTTGGTGGTGTTGCTTGCCTGCGAAGGGTTTCCCGGCCCGCCGCCGGTAGCTATCGGAGGAATCTTTAGTTTTGCGAAGGTCTCGGAACTTGCCGCCGGACGAGGTAGTCCTTTATTCGTATATTTCGTTCTCCCTCTCTCTCTGCGCGCCTCTCTGTGCCTTCCCAAACCTCTTCTGCTCTGCTGATGATATATATCGTTGGCGCATAAGCCGGTGTTTGGAAATGTCGCAGAGATAATTTCTTTCCTGTTTCAAATGGCAAACAACCACAGTCCGGATATGGAAGACGATGGAGATGATGACTTCTTCAAGGAAGTTTATGGAAAGGAATATACCGGACCTCCTCGATTAACCAAAAGCAGCTCACAAGACAGACCGAGGGAGAGCAAAAGACCTCTTGCTAATGAAGAGTCCGATGGGGATGACCAGGCTCCTGACCCCAACGCTGTCCCGACTGATTTTACCAGTAGAGAGGCAAAAGTTTGGGAGGCTAAGGCTAAGGCTATCGAAAGAAATTGGAAGAAAAGGAAAGAGGAGGAAATGATATGCAAAATTTGTGGTGAATCAGGCCATTTTACTCAGGTATTACTTATCACCTTACTCATAACCATGGGCACATTGCATAGTCTCGGGAAATTTTCTCGTATTCTCATAAGAATTTCATATGAGTGATTTTCGTGAATGTCTTTTCTTTTTTTGGTTGTAGTGGTGACTTAATCTACTGAAACCAATATTTTACTCATTGGTTTCGACATGAACTTTCTCGTGGATCAATAAGACAAGAAAGGGGTTTTGTGTAGACGGTGATGCATGCATTAAGCAGCGCTATGTTTTGACTCCGTGTCCTGATATAATTTTTCTAAACTATGCCGCTTATGCGATGCTACTTTTTAGAAACCTTTTTATTTCATCTGTTTTAAACTAAAAGAAAGCCTCAATCTAGATTCAATTTTTAAGTTTTCTATGTAATGGCGTTCTGGAGCTTTTGTCAAGAAGGCAAGTTCGAGCTCTCGCGTTTTTATCCTGCACATGACTTCCGGGGCTTGTATTTTGAACAGGAATAATCCTGGCCTTAAGGAGTCTCTTCTAATGTCACACTGTTCATTACTCCTGGAAGCAATCAGTAGACTAGAGTTTATATAAAGTGCTTCGCCCTGATTTTCTTTTCGGTGCAAAATACTAGGAAGAAGCCATTATTTTGCAAATTCGATATCGATTGTGTTGGGTAGAAAAAGTATTCAAGCTCTTCATTTGTTCTGGTTATTCAAAGTGTTTATCGTGGGTCTTGTTTCACTCGCTATCTCCTACCTTCAGGGATGCCCATCTACGCTTGGAGGGAGTAAAAAGTCTGCAGATTTTTTTGAAAGAGTCGCTGCGAGAGACAAGAATGTGAGAGCCTTATTCACGGAAACAGTGATCCAACGGCTTGAGAAGGAGATCGGTTGCAAAATAAAAATGGATGAGAAGTTTCTCATTGTTAGTGGCAAGGATAGGCTGATCTTGGCCAAAGGTGTGGATGCGGTGCACAAATTGATTCAGGGAGAAGGGGAGGATAGGGGCAGGAGTAAGAGCCCCTCTAACACCTCTCAGAAATCAAAATCTAGATCACCTGAAAGGAGCCCTGCACCCCCACGGCCAGTAGGTCGGGAAACCCGGAGTTCCCGTTCCAATCCGCGAGATGCATCCTACGTCCAACGCAAGGGCTTCTCCCAGGAAAGGGTTGAGGATCATGTGCGTGAAGGTTCGCAGAAGTTTTCGAGGGGTTCTCCAAAAGGTAGGGGCCCTCATAGACTATGTTTACGGCTTAAGTACAAACCGCATGGCGTCTCAAGTTCAGGCCAAGTTGTGAACTTGGAACCCATGTGGTCAATGTAACCAAGGTTTGTTGGCTGGCATGGAATTCTGATGAAATCTTGTTTTGCCCATCAGCATTCTTGCTGCAAGAGGTAAGTTCAAGCTTTAATGTGTCCGAATGAATGCCTAGTAGCCTGCACTGCAGAGTGGTTCTTGTTCAGGCGGGTGCCTCCAATACAAAAATTGCTTACTGAAAGTTTACCCGGACCTGTCTTGGCTCAATGACCTCCCCATTTCCATGTTGTTTCTGGCTGCATTGGTCATTTGAATATCAGAAATGTCGTCAGTCTAAGCTTACCGTATGGAAAATGCAAGATTCGCTTACACATTCTTCATTTTATGAAGCTCATGGTAAGAATGGAGTAAAACGCCGCCCTGCCCAATCAAAATCACCACCCCGTCCTACCCTTGCTGGTGATGCATTTAATTCATATGATGTGTACCATCGGACCCCCTCTGGTGTGCGTAGAACGGATAGCTGGGAAGCCGAGCAGCATGGGATGGACATGCCCTCCGGACAGCATGATTTTCCTCTGTACGCACAGACGCTGGAAGAATTGGAGGCGGAATTCAATAGGCAGACCGGGGAAGTCCGAGCGCTGCATGACAAGGAAGAAGACGAGGAGAATTTCAGGCACCGAGAGGTATGTCTGACCTCCAGTTCTCTTTAGTTCATCTTCTCTTAAGAACACTCTTATCCATCCTCCCACTTTGATTGCACTTACTGTGTCCGACTACTTCAAAGATCTCTAGGCGGGGATCCCATTTCCCTTGGATTTTATGTAAGCTGCTCGAATTAAATGTTCTTACTTGAATTAAATCGGCCGAGTTGTTTGCTCCTCTCTTGCACTACATAAACCCAGCGGCTTAGAGAGCTGAGGGAGGGCTATGCGAAGAAGCTCGAAGCCATGAGGGGCCTGCACGCAAGACAATGGGAGGAGTTTCTCCGGGTCGACACCCAGAGGCGGCTGCGGGCGTACCAGCACCAACAGATGCCGGGCTATGCCGCCTACGCCGATGCCGGCCACCCAGACTTGGGCAGATCCTCCGAGAACCTCAGATCTGCTGGAGGCGGCGGCCGGACCATGGACTCGTGGAGTAGGTATCCGGCATTGAGCCCCCATGAGGCCTATGGAGAGCTCCAGCACCAGCACCAGAGGGAAGACATTGCCAGGGCTGCGTATGGCGGCGGCAGTCGGTACTGAACTTGAGGAGGAGGAGCTGCTAGATTTTTGAAGGAGGAGCCGGCACACACGCGAGCTTCCATTCCACCAGCAATGGAGTTTGCTGTCGTAGGTAATGATTCTGCGAGCAAGAGACGGGGGGGGGGCTCTACTGAGAGACAGAATCTTGTGTGCATGAATGACGATGATGCCCCGAGAGGGGAGAGGCTTTTGCTTCTGTGAGCACTCACCGCGACAGGAGTGTGTAATAGAAATGCTCCTTTCTTTTTTTATCCTTTTTTTATGTCCAGACCCTGGTGGCGTGATGCTGGGTCCAATGGGCTGGGCCAGTTCAACTGATGCCCGGTAATTAATCGGGCCGGGCCCAGGTAAGAAACAATAGCCGGGCAGGGGGGGGACGGTATGCGCTGACCGGACTCGGACGGACGGCGTGAATACTGCGGTCAATGAGTTCCACGCAGTGGATCAGAAGCGGGAATGCGCTGCGGTAAGCTCACCTCTATCCGATCCGATCCGATCCGATCCTGTTCGCCGCTCCACCCTGAATTCTACAGGGTTGTTCTGTCCCTCCTCGTCCTTGTCCTCTCCTGCTGCAGCGGCCTGCAGCTCTCCCCTTCTCCCGTCCTCTCAAGATCTCCACCCTCCCCTGCAAATGGTCTGCCCCGTCTCCACATCGGCCCTGCTCTCCTCCCCCCCATGGCGTTAGCGGCACCGCGGGTACACCTGCACTCCTCTCCGGCGCCGCCCCTCTCGACGAGCCGCCGCCGTTCCCCGCGCGTTCTCCTCCCCGGCAACGCTGTGCTCCGGCGCCGGCAGACGATGTTCTTCGACGCAGCAGCCCGCGAGGGCTTATCTTCTTCTTCTTCGCCGTCGCCCGCTGCTGCTGCTGCTGCTGCTTCTGCTGGGAGTCCGGTGACCTTGGTGGAGTACGTGGGGAACGGCGCGGGGGACGACCTCTCTGTGCTGTTCACCCACCTGCAATACGCCTGCAAGAGGATCGCCGCCCAGGTGGCCTCCCCTTTCAATGCCGAGTTGGGGCGTCGCCAAGGGGGGAACAAGGAGGCCGCTCCGGGGACTGTAATGACGGGGAGGGACGCCCCCAAGCCGCTCGACGTGATCTCGGTAAATTCCGCCTCGTTTTCATGCCGATGTGTTCTCTTTTCCCTCTCTCCCTCTCGGCTACTGACCGACTGCGCGGAATCTCTGCAGAACGAGATAATTCTGTCGTCCCTAATTCGGTCCAGGAAGGTGGCGGCCATGGCGTCGGAGGAAGACGATGCGCCGGTCTGGCTGGCCGACGACGGCCCGTTCGTGGTGGTCACTGATCCCCTCGACGGCTCGCGGAACATCGACGCCTCCATCCCCACGGGGACGATCTTCGGGGTTTACAACCGCCTGGTGGAAGTGGACCATCTGCCATCGGAAGAAAAGGCGTCGCTCAACTCCCTCCAGAGCGGCGCTCGTCTCGTCGCCGCCGCCTACGTCCTCTACTCCTCCGCCACCATCTTCTGCCTCAGCTTCGGATCTGGAACACACGCCTTCACCCTCGATCATTCCACCGGAGAATTCGTCCTCACCCACCCCTTCATCAAGATTCCCCCCAGAGGTACGCAAACATTACGCTTCTTCTTCATCTTCTTCTTCTTGGTTGTTCATCGTTGCTCATGGCTGTTCATCATTGCTCGTCATCATCATCCAGGGCAGATATACTCCGTGAATGACGCGCGGTACTTCGACTGGCCGGAAGGGCTCCGGCGGTACATCGACACGGTGCGACAGGGGAAGGGGCGATTCCCGAAAAAGTACTCGGCGAGGTACATCTGCTCCCTGGTGGCGGACTTCCACAGAACCCTAATGTACGGGGGGGTGACGATGAACCCGAGGGATCATCTCCGCCTGGTCTACGAGGCCAATCCGCTCAGCTACCTCGCTGAGAACGCCGGCGGCAGAGGGTCCGACGGGAAGCTGAGGATCCTCTCCATTCAGCCGGTCGAGCTGCACCAGAGGCTGCCTCTGTTCCTCGGCAGCCCAGAGGACATGGAAGAGCTGGAGAGCTACGGCGATGTCCAGCAGAAGATAAATCCTGGGTATGAACTCTGATAGCTGCAGAGAGAGAGAGAGAGAGAGAGAGCGACAACATGAAAAAGATCTCCTTCTCTGCATCTTCTTGCTTCATTTCAATTCAGAATGCAGCATCCCAGAACCTTGGGATATCCCAGCTGAGGCCCATTGGGGCCCATCTAGCTATCTATGTAGGCACGTGATGGGGCTTCAGTTCCTGTTAAACCCCATTATGAGAAAATCTCCAAGCCGATTCAAATTTGCTGCGTTCCCCGGCGACCTAGCCCCGCCGGCTGCCGGGGGCCTTCCTTCTTCTCCTTCTTCTTCCTGCAGTCGACCGGGGCCGTAACCCTAGGAAGTAGCTCGGGGACGAAGGCGACGACGAAGATCGGGGGAGGGGATGGACGAGGACAAGGCCTCCTGGATCTTGGAGTTCGTCCTCCGCCAGCCCCTCGAAGACTGGCTCGTCAAGGAGATCCTCTTCCGCCTCCCGACGCCGTCGTTCCGCGACCCCCACCTCAAGAAGGCCCTCTTCCTCCGGCGGCTCGCCTCTGATCTCTCCACCGGACGCTTCTGCGAGGACACGCTGCAGTCTCTGGAGCTCCTCGAGGAGCTCGACCGCTCCCTCGGCGCAACTTCGCCATACGAGGCCCTGAAGAGGGCCTACTGCGCCGTGGCCGCCGAGTTGACAGCGTCGCCATTGAGGGCGGGGGGCCCGGCCGGGGCTGGTTTTATGGAGGTGGTGGATAGGATATGGAATCGCCGGGTAGCGGACCTGGAACGGTCGGAGGCGAGGGGGCTGGTGGGAGAGGAGTTGCAGGAGTGGAAAAAGGTGGCGGAAGTGGTAGTCGTCGACAGTGTGTCGAGGGGGCGTATTCTACAGAGGGACACTAGCCGAGAAGCGGCGGACGCGTTGGCAGAGTATCTGAGCGTGGCCTTCAAGGGCATGGGGCCTCCGCTGCTGGAGCTGATGGCCAGTGTGCTAGGCGGGGAATCTAACGCTGACGGAGGCCAGGCGGCTGATGAGAATGCTGGAGTAAACGCCGTCCAAGGGCCATCTGGGATATCTGCTGAGCGCGTCAAGTCCGTAGAGGTCGCCGGAAAGTCTCTTCCTCAAGAAGCCGATGAACCTAGAGAACGGAGTTCCCCCACCAAAGATGATACGGAATCGGTCCTTCCTACTGCAGCAACTGACGCAGAGGCAATTCCCCCAATTCAACGAGGTCAGTGTTTTTTCCCTCTACTTACGCTTTTTGATGGATAAATAGACCTCATCTCTCTAATTGGGTGCCGCCGGTGTGAGGTTGTGGCTTGCCCATCCTTGCATGCCGTCCCAAATTTCATGCCTTCTCTCCTAATCCTCATGCTTCCAATTTTTTGTCTGAATGGATTATTGTAATCGTCCGACTTTAACAGAGGAAAATACTAAGACGAGTCGGATAGCCAGACGATCAGACACTTCTGACAATGGCAGGACTTCTGGGCTACAGCTGTTGCCCACCATGGAAGTTGACATAGTGAAGGAAGCACTGAAGTCAAGCTGTGAAGAACTCCAGATGGTGGTGAGAGATCCTCTTACTGAAGCTCTGCTACGGGCTGTTGAGATTCACATCAGAATGGAAGAGACATCAGCTAATCCAAATGCTTCAGGACGCGACAATCTGGCAGATTCAGATGCGGCTGGTCCTTGCATTGACAGCGATGCCCAAGCGGCTGCTGCTAAGGGAATGACTGACAAGAACCAGCGGGGGGGAGTGAGTGCAAAGGTACCACGCCCCAGTCTCATGGAACCTAATCCAACGGCTCGCACTTATGAGGTGATTACCTTTGGATCTGAGACACTTGCCGACGATAGTCTCTTTTAAAACAAGTGTTTGATGAATGAAAAATGTAAACTCTCACGAATGGGCTAATTTAGTTAAGAAAGTTTGTCTTCCACCAAAATCAGGCTTCTTCAAAGAAGTTACGTCTTGTTCCTCAGTGAATGAGCCATTTCTTCTAAAATGAGTTCATTCTGGTGGGATGCAGTTCTATGCTTGTGTGTGCTCATGTTCTCTTTATGTTTCTTGATGGACTCTTATGGACATAATATTACAATAGCTATATTCAATTAAAATGTGATCGTCAGGTTTCGTTGTTGTGGACAACAAGTTTTATGAATCATATGTTTGGTGATTTTCGTTGTTGTAAAAGGACACTTATCTTTCGTGAATCATATGCTGGTAGATTTGGACCGTATTTGCAGTTTCGCTTATATTATCTTTGGATTGCAATTAATCTGGTAATTCTCTTTTGTCTGCCTTTATTGCAATCATAACTTTCAATTTTTACTAATCATAATTGAAACTATGGTTTATTTGTGTTGTGCTGCAATATTTTTATTGCGTTGCTTGTGCAGGATTGCTGTCCTTGTTCATGTTTGCTATACCTTCTTTAATGTTTGCTGTCACTGTAAAAAGCTCACTATCAAGGGGTTAAGTCTCGACATGAAATCGTGGCTGCATATCAGGCTGAACTCCACTCAGAAATACTGAGTAGCTAGTGTACACTTATGATTCATCATTCCAAGGTATAAGCTTGTTTTAATATTTGGTTTCATTTATTCTTTTGTTTGCAGTGGGATGAAGATTCAGCTGAGTCGTTATCTGAAAAATCAGCCTATTCCCCCAAAAGGATTCGGTTGCCATCACCTAGGATTCAGAGAGTTTCTCCTCTAAAGGTGCAGAAAGGTACAAAGTTTGTGAGGAGGAGAAAAATCAAGAGATGGACTCCAGAGGAAGAGAATGCTTTGAGAGAAGCTGTGCAGAAGTATGTGAATATGTTTAGTCTTTTTTTTAAGAACTGCTGAAAAATACTGTTTATTTAGTCCAGATACTGTTGCAAAGGTTTTACACTGCATTAACTTTTCTTTTAAATGCTTAGCGAGAGTTTCCTGTTTTGTCAGAAAGTTTCATCCCGTTGACTCATTTCTGGATTTATTTCTTCTTTTGGAATGTGAAGGTATGGCACAGGAAGGTGGAAATTTATTTTGCAATGTTATCCTGAAATATTTGAAGATAGGACGGAGGTACAGTTCAAGTTATTTTGTCTTTCCGATAAAAGAAATAGATTTGAATGTGCGTGATTTTACTTTAATTTTTATTATTCTTGACACAGGTTGATCTAAAGGACAAGTGGAGAAACATGAGCAGGTACCCTGCCTTCTCCTCTTTTTTTTCTCCTTTTTCAAATAAAGTAAATACTGCTTTAGGTCATATGTTGTTCAACAGAGAAAATTTATATACTGTTTGTCTGAAAAACTCCATGTATCCAACTTTGTTTTTGCATTATGCTTGGAAATAAAAAAAATTCTGATAACATCTAAATCATTATATGGTGGAAACATTATAGACCATTCAAGGCCCCGTTGAACAATCTAGTGATTTGATGATGATCATGTGTGTCCCCCCATGGATGTTTCGTACCATAGCTTCACATCGCTGGAAAATGATACAATGCTGACCAGTGCGACCTGACGTTCTCTGGATCAGGTAGTTATGGTCAAGGTCCCAAAGGAAGTTATCCATCTCCTTGGCATTTCGTACGCTAGAGAACGCCTTTGGCTTGGGAACCCTGGCCCTCTTTGTGCTGCTGGTAGGGGACGCCTGCATGCACTCCAGAAAGGGAACGCTTCAGGAGCAGGACATGCTCAGCAAGGAGAGTCCCTTGCTGTGACACCCATCTCTAGTGACATCCCATTTTTCGGGTTACAACTTACTCTCTGTACACATAAGATCAGTCTCTTCAATGACAATCCGAAGAATGATTTTCTACCATTAACTTGCACATCAATTCTTAGAGGAATTAGACGAATATTTATAAGCGGTTTCTTGTTTTATGTTCAGTTGTGATGCCATAACTAGTAAATTATTCAAATCGTCATCTTGTTTCTGTGCTAGGGAGAGTTTCGAGTTCCTCTTTGGGGAATGTTTTCTTATTCTCTTCGATATATATATATATATATATTCTTAATCAGAAAGCGCCATTTCTCCTTTTTTTTTTTTTAATTTTTCCTGTGTGTGGGCTGTGTATGCAGATATCACTTGTAAAATCTTCATTCTTTCGTCAAAGAATGGAAATCGGTGAGAAAATGAGTTGGGCTACTTTTTCTCTCGGATTGCTTCAAAACTCCGATGGTTCTCGGATAGCAATGGCATCTCTGCTGGAGCTGGATGCCAAGTTTTGCCGTGTGCAGGTTGCCCTCTTTGCATCAAGACTCCATGCGACTGTTTCCTGCACAAGTCGAACCTGGACGGATGTATATTTGATGTACCAGTCGGTCAGTCAGTCTAATTCACAGGTGCTCCTTCATCTACCTACCTTGTTCGAGTCTGCGCGTGCAGGTGGAGAGTCTAATCCGTCTTGACACTGTGAGGAGCTGCTCTCACTCGGATGTTCTTCTGATCCCCATGTTTTTTTTTTGTGTAATCATCTTTGAAATAAAAAATATGTTCTTGCATCAACAAGACTTGATTGATGATGTCGTGCCGGCTACCATTGATGCTGCGGTCATTTTCTATGCAAAAATTCTCTTGCTTTTTCAGATTTTTTTTATTTTAGGTTTTTATAAGGGTTCTTCGAATCCAGAGAGAGAAAAAGATGGCGTCTCCGATCTCTGAAAGATGATGTCTCTGAAAGTCATGGTGCAGAGTAGAATGACGAGGATCTTTGTCGTAAAATTTCAGACCAAGATCAGATCAGATTAGCCGAGGAGAGGAGGCAGGGGAGCTCCTCCTGATCTCGGTTTTTCTACCAATCTTTAGACGGGAGGCGCCACATGAACAGCGGCAGCGCGTTGAGTTATTAAGTATTAAATACGGGGGCAGTGCAGTGCAAAGCAAAGCAGAGCAGAAGTGGCGGCAGGTCAAAGAGTCCTCCTTGATCCAATAGAGAAACAAATGGTGCTCTTGCCGGAGGAGGGAAGGGCTGCTACCATTAGCCATTGGCTGGGATGGTGGGTGCCTCCTCTTTGAATGCCGTCGGCGCCGTCGAGGAGGGCAAGAAGATGGGTGGCCCTGCAGGGGCCGACGCGCCGTGGTCAAGATTAACGACAATTCCAATAATGGGCCCCCCAACGCAGTACGGCAGCCCGACGACGATGGATCCACGTTCCTTTTCCTCCCTACCTTCCCTTGTCTCGGACGAGCGTAAAAGGAAGGAAGCGGAAGAGGAAGACGGCCCAAAAAGGCCTTCTCTCCCCCTTCCTCCGCCCAACAGCCGATAGGACCACCCTCTCGCCATGGCAACCGCGAAGCCTCCGCAGACGGACTCGGCGTCGAAGGTCACCGAGATCGACGCCCCCCTCGGTGCCATCGGCTTCCAGATCGAGGTCATCTCCCCTTCCCTCGTCAGCGGCCGCTTCAACGTCTCCCCAATCTGTTGCCAGGTAGGTTGTGTTAGGTGGTGATGATTAATCAGTCTAGCCGTTCGCTACCCCTCCCCTCTCTTTTTCCTCTCTGACGGGAGGCGGGGAGAGAATTTGGCAGCCCTTCAAGGTACTCCACGGGGGGATATCGGCGATGGTGGCGGAGGCGCTGGCGAGCATAGGAGCCCACGTGGCCTCGGGGTTCCGCCGCGTCGCCGGCGTGCAGCTCAGCATCAACCACCACCGGCCGGCCTCGCTCGGCGACGACGTCCTCGCCGAGGCGCTCCCCATCAGCATCGGCAAGACCATCCAGGTCCCCCCCCTCCTTCCTCGCAACTTATCACCATTCTATCCTATTCATCTCTCACGCCGGCCGCGAGCCAGCGAAACAACGACGACACCACCCGTTCGCTGGCCAGCCCCGCCCTCTGTGATGCCCATCCCACATCGTCGTCAATTTGACTGGCCTGAGCTGAGCAGGTGTGGGAGGTGCGACTGTGGAAGAAGCTGCCGGAGGAGGGGGGAAAGGGGCCGCTTTTGGCGTCCTCCAGGGTGACGCTTGTGACCAACCTGCCAGTGCCGGAGGAGGCTCGGGGGGCCGCCGATAAGCTACGGAAGCACGCCAAACTCTGACGTCATCCCTCGCAGAAGGGGAAGCCGTCGCTGATCTCCCGCAAGTTAGGTGGATCCGAGGGTCCAGGATGGAACGAACTGCACCTGCTCCCACGCCCATCTGCCCGTCCATCCCGGGCCATCATCGTCCGTTGACTGGCCACGGCGTTGTTCCCCACGATTGTACGAATAACATTCACTGCTGCTGATTAACCGCTCCCCACCCCACGTGGTTATTGTCCGACGAGTGAGGACGGGTCCAACCCCCCGTTTTCCATTCTCCCGCTCATTGGTGCCGTAGAATTTTACTACTGAACCAGAGAGAGCCAGACAGACAGACAGAGACGGGTGCATAGATAGCTCGCCCGAAGTGACAAGCAACCCCTGCCCAATCCCTCCTCATCTGTACAGCGCTGCCCATGGTGAGGGGTGGTCGCGGCGAGCTAGCAGTGAGACTTGCGGCGGGAGTGGCGGCGGTGGTGGGGGTGGTCAGTAGAAGTCGACGGTGCCGGAGAGGGTGAGTGGCGGGTTGATGTCGATGCGGGTGGCGGTGCCCTCGGAGACGAGCCTCGGCAGATCGTTGGCGTCCTTGGGCGAGGCCCCTGCGCCCGCCCACACCGTCACATGCGGCCACTCGTTCTTCGAACTAATCCTCTCTCCGTCGTCCACGCACCCGATAGCCGCCTCGAACGCCGCCAGCTTGTCCGAAACCAGCAGCGCCGTCAGCTCCACGGGCACCTGCCGGCCGACGTAGACCCCGTAGCTGGCCACGGTGGTCACCCCGTGGCTCCTCTTGTGCGCCAGCGTCACGTGAGCCCTCTCCAGGAGAGGGGCCCCGGCGGCGGCGCCACCCTCCAACTCCCCGTCCTTGCTGGCGAGGAAGCCCCTCCTCGCCCTGGCGTCCTCCTCCGCCAGCTATCCATGATAGTGGGCCAACACAGAAATCCCCCGCGTCGCGTTATAATAGGAAGGAGAGCAATCAAAGAAGATGGTGCGCGAAGGGAAAAATAATGGAGGGTGCCCACCTTGTAGAGGGCGGCGGTGACCTCCGCCATGGGGAGGGTGACGGCGGCGAAGACGATGCTCCCAAACTTCCTCTTCTCGGTGCTGGGCGTGGGCGGCCTGTACTCGCCCCTCGCGGCAGCTTTCAGCTGCTCCACGACTTGTTCGACGGCATTGGCAAATGGGACCTGCACCACACCACCACCACCATGGGCACTCACTTGTCAGGACCTGGATTCACTTGTCTGTCTGCCTAGTTGTGCAGTCACTGCACTGGTGCTTTCTTTCATCAGTTTATGTCACTGCAGGCAGGCTGAGCAAACCCAAGAATAGACCATGCAAGCGTGAAGAAAATGCATAAATTTTCAGCCAGCTCCTACCACCACCCAGCCGGGAATCATGCCAAGCCAAAATCAAAAGGCCTTGACAAAAAGGCATGAGCAGATGAGCAGGAAGCACCATATTGCGAAGGAAGGGATGATGCTAGAGCCAGCTGACCTGGATGGAATTGAGGTGGTCCGAATTTCCCAGCATGACCTCGCGCAGGCGCTTCTCCCATTGCGCCCATTCCTTTGCATAGGCGCCCTTGGATGGCTCCAATCTAAACAAAAAATTTTAACGAGGAGAGTGAAAGACACATCGTGAATGAAGAAGATGCTAACCACAGCAGTGCGGTTGAAGTGCGGTTTGTCAAACAAGATGATAAGTCAAGAGCGAGAGCGTGTTCCACAGCAGCCAGTATCATTCCAGTTCTCACTCATTTAGACTAGTAATTTATACTAACCTTTTGTGCTAGCAGAATTGGAAAGTAAAAAGTAGGTTGCACAGTGAACAGCAGAACGAGTGAAACACCAGATAAAGGAGATTCCTAATTGCTTTCGACAACCATGTCATTGTAAAGGAGAGTTCAGGACTTCCATGGCAAAGAAAATAAATGGCAGAGCAATTGCATAATATGGTCAGTCGGCTGTCCCAGGGACACTCACAGTCCTTAATTCTTATGTGAGATGATGCATCTTCTATGAATCCCTGTGACAATATGCCGCTACCCGAGCGCAGGTAACAATGTTAGCACGAGAGAAAGGGTAAAGCTACCTTCCATGCTTGTTTGAATGGAGCCTGTAAAGAGCCATGCCTTCTTCTAAAATAGACTTGACTGAATCTGGTAGAGGACTCCTGAAATATCAAATTGAGCAAGTAAAGAGAACAAAATAAGTGAGAATGCGGATGAGTACGCCCAATCTTAAATACTATGTGCAGCCAAAAACATAATTATTTTATATCCGAGGGAAGTGAGAGTTGGACCGCTGACAATAACGTCAATCCAAATGCACAGGAAAGGGCTCCAGATAACTAGCCCACAGAAGTCAAAAACAGAAACAGAAATAATTCGATACATTTAATAATAATAAAAAGGGCAGTTCTTCCGTTGATCTCATGCAATCTACCCATCATCTCAAGCAGTGATAAGGACCAGTCAAGGGGGAAACATGCGACAGAGCCATGCTAGGACACAACTTAGATACAAACATGTTCTCGTTTCCACATTTAACATAAAATAGAAAATAAATAAATAAAAAGGTAAAATAAAGGCTGAGTAATTGCCATAGACAATAGCCAGCATCTGCACTACCGACATGAGCACATGAAATTGTAGTATTGACAGAAAAAAATACACGGATAAAAGAATGATTAATTAGTCATCACAGGGGATAGACCTTCATAGTCCGGAAATATTTTATTCCGTAGGTGTGAACATGTGAAAGTTAATTCAGAACAGCGCTTGAGAGCAATGTTACCTATCTGGCTTAAGCAAAGGCATCTTAACCAGAGCACCAAAGCGTTCAACTAATTCGCTCTCAAATTCTCTGCGACTCTGAAACGAAAAAAAATATATATAATGTTAAGACCATAAAGATTAATCTAAATCCATGCATATGCAGAAGCAGAAGAGCAACAGCATGCCTTGCCCTCATAGAGGTGGTAGAACATTAGAAGAACATATCCGGCATTCGGTGATGCCTTGTCCAGATTTCCCTAACACAACAAAATAAAGGGGTTAAGTAGATAGCAGAGAGATACAAGAGATAACTTTATTAACTCCCTTGTGTGTGAAGCGACACTTAAGAATACCGGATGATTAGCACGTTGGAGTACACGAAAAATGAAAACAGCCAATGCATCAAGCGAGAATGGATTTGCGTCCGTTCCTGCACGTTCATGTAAAGAGTTTTGTAAAGCATATCTCAATCGTACAAGGGAGGAGTTGCTAATAATGTTGGCTAATAAACAGATTTCTGTCGCATAGACAGCCGGTTTTCCACCATAAGTTTTCCACCAGAATCTTAAATAACAGTAGAAAACTATGCATTTATGAGCCAGGAAAAGTACCGTTCCAGTATTTCAAGATACATTTAACTACGCATCACCTTAACAGGACTGACAGTAGGTAAGCCGCCTGACATAAATTGAACTAGGCAAAATAAAATCTCTCGTTACAAATGTAATATCACCGTCGAAATCTGATCTCTAATTTGACTACAATGACAGGAACTGATAAATGGATCTTGATCATATTCTTAGGGAATGTTAATGAGATGACATGCATGAGCCCAAAGTGCACTGGGTCCACATCATCCTAGATCAAAGTTTTTTTTTCATTTAAAGTTAAAGATGCTCCTCCTTGCTCAGTCCCCAAGCTCGCTGGAATCTTCTCCCTTTAATTAAAAGCATACTAGAAATAAGAATTTTCATCTCATCAAACGAATTTCTTAAGTGCAGGCTAAAAAATGTCATTCCTGGAGGACACAGCATGCATGTAATATCAAGACATGGGACCCGCCCTTGGGACCAGCCCGTATTGGGCATCACATGATAGTTGGTATCAAAGAGGTGCTTCGCTATTTCACCAAGCCAAAAGAGCCACACATGCACCACCCCTTCACGAGATCCAATTTTATGGATTCCCCAGCTAGACAACGAACTCAAATTTTCAATAAAATATTTTGAGGACCATAAGACAGGAGCAACAAAATTTAATAGAAAGGGTACCATCGTTAAAAGGAGACAATTAACCTTCAGAATCAGGAACAACAGGTACAGCGGAAGCTTTTGTGTGGCGGCACATATCCTCAATCTGGATGGCAGAAGTATCATCAGCAAACAGCAGAGAGTGGAAGGAACAGCAGGGGAGCTAGTGTCTTTGTTAAAGGAGTCTTCCATAGAAAATATCAAATAAAATGTTGTGATCGTATGAAAGCGGTCTAAACTACTAAATACTATTTGGTTTTGACTTGGATGACCTATTATGATTTCAGAACCAAAGTACCCTCTTGAAATGTGTGCACCTCATTTCTACTTTTCAAATGACAAGGTATAAAATGTTAGCTTTTATGTGCGCGGGCATGTCAGAACATTCTCAAATCGAAATATATGCATAAAATCATGTCATGATATTGATAGGTGTTAAACGTTTATTACCTATATCTTGACAAATTAGGTAATTAATTAATTAATTAAGTATAAAGCAACATGACTGCAGCATTTGACAGGGGAACACAATACCTGTCTCCACACCTCTTCATTTGGTGCGTTCTTATCTGCAAGAGTTATCGTGTATGGCCTTTTCTTGCGCTCATCTGCAACTTTTTGCCAGTATCTCCCTATTATAAGATGAATATTGTTAGATAACTCTTGCATCACTTTGAAGAAAAATAAACGTTCGATTACATTCTTGAGGCTAGTTGCTACTTTCTTCCTTGTCCATTTATTTTGAGTAGGGAGCCCAGTACCTTGCAATAGTGTTAGAATTCATAATTGGTCCTAGGTTACATACACCATTTGTATTTGCTCATGTGTCAAAAACATTAGAACGTATTGGAGAGGACATTAAAATAATTTAACAGAACAATAAACATGTGTTCATATAGAAGAGTCTATGTTGGTTTTTGAGTTAGATGACTCAAACGTTAATAATCACAATAAACTTTTTCCGAAATGAGGAAGAAAGTTTAGTCAAAGGAATTCATGGGATGGGACTCCAAAATATTAAAATTACCAGAAAATACACACGTGAAGCCCCATGTAACTGCAAAAACATAAGTAGAACAGTGTCATGGTGTAACGCTGTCAGAGATGATTATCCAGATGTGGATAAAATGGAGGCGAATTAGACTATCATGGGCCACCTGATCCCATCACTCGAGCAAGTCACCCTCAGCAATGGGAAATCAGATCCTTTAAATTCTGTTACAATTTAAAAATTAAAGCCAATGGACATATCTAACCTGATAATTAGAATGTCCCAATGGAGATCAAAGACAATCGATGTCCAGGTAATTTAACATCATTTGTATCTTCATTGAGAATGCATAATTTTTAGCCTATGATTTCATTCGTCTCTAGTTGGGAGCATTATAGATTCTGTTTAAGTCGGAAATGGTGAAAAATATATTTAGCAATCAATCAAGTTATGAGCAATGTACACTAGACCACAGGAATATAGGTGGCTGAACTAGGGTAGGTACTACTGATTGAGGGTAATTTCACAAAACTCTCCTTCCATTCATGTCTTCTAGTTTTCCTTTCTATTTTCTTCTCCTAGGCCTCTTTCTTGTTCCCCACAGAGGAACCAACACTAAGCACGTACTTTGCGACCAGGGCCCAAAGGCTAAACTCCCGTCACTAAGATGAATAAAATCTTTAAGGATCTATTTACGTTATTTTTCTCCACATCAATATGGAGGCGTTGGAAGAATGTGATCAGGATTCACAAGAAAAATGACAGTCTCTAACCCAACACAGTCAATGCCCCAGAGTCACACTCTTGGTCTCGTCTCAATACTGGTCCTACGAGCAATCATTTTCCTCTTCACGTTGTCTTCTCACCATTATCAATTCCAGACAGCCCCCACAACACCTGATTCTTGAGGATATGGTCCTTAAACCTGCAGGACTAACCGTCCACAGGACAGTATCTCAGTTTACTGTTTGTATTGTAAAGTGCAAGTTCTAACCACAAACATCAGGGGTCCCAAAGGAGATCACAGTTTGGAACTGAATGGAGAGGGTTCTTTTGAGGGGGATCATTTTCTAAACCTCAATACGATTGGCCCCTGGGACTAGCAATTTTAACCGACACCCATTGACTTTTATGTGCCGGATCTCCAGTGCAACTGGTGAGTGAAGAAAAGAATTATACCATGGAATGATAGCTGATAAGTCAGAAAAAAATGATTGTTTACTGTTGCACACAGAAGTAAAAAGAGTGGGGGAAGTAGCTGTACCATATTACTAGAAATTAATCAGCCACAACGTATAGGTATTGGAGGTTAAAAATAATTTAACAGATCGTAAGACAAATTGAGCATCAATATGCATGCAAATCGGGTGTCTCCTAATGAATTTAATAATATACTAATTTAAAATTGTGAATTGTGCAAGAGAAAAAATCTGAAGGGCACGAGTTCTGAACACTAATACTATCCTGCTTCACGAACAAAAGGACATTAGCTCATATAGTTACAAGCATTGGTTTTCATATTGTCAATAAAGAAAAATTTAGGCCAAGTGTTTTAAGAATAGAAATTTCTGTTCTGTTATGGATCATGAACAGACCTTTAATCAGGTCACCCATCAAACTGTGCACTGGGCGATCATCTCCAAGTAAACCAGGCGAATTGACGATCTCCCTACATAAGGCAGACTTCGCACAACCTGGTATGCCTGGAAAAACAAATTGTTACGGCACCATCATCAGGCAAAGCATGAAACTTGAAGAACAAGAAAAAGAAATTGAACTGCATAAACATATCCACAAGATAAACACTTAAACCTATAAAGTTTGCAACAGATGCACTCCTGGTTAATGACTGCAACCAACGAGAAAATAGTGTAACACCTAGAAACTACTAAACATTACCAGGAAAGAACACAATAAGACCATCATTCTTTGGAACTTTGTCCGTGACCGTTGTTGTAGGCGGGGGCGCCAATTCATCCCGGCGGACAAGGTCCCCTTCTTCATCTCTATCAGCATCAAGAACAGCCAAGAAGTCCTCAGTCCTCACTAAGTTACCCGCGGACCCTATCAGGGCCTGGTTCTCTTTACTCCGTTTTGCATACTGTTCAAGGAAAGGCTCAGCTTCAGTTAAATATGTAGACGATGCTAGCTTCTTATGGCCGCATTTCCTTTGGATATAACCAGCCCTACACATTGAACATAATCTGGTCAAAATCAATCATGAAATAGAACAGAAGAATAACCAAATAAACGGAAATAGTGAATACAGTCAACAAAAAGAAAATAAATACCATTCGTCCAGCATTTTGGAGAGTTCCTTCTGCTTCCGAGTTGATGTGCCCCATATCTTCATTTGCCTATTCACGTCAACAGAACTCTCTATTGAAAGCATTCCAATAAATGTAATTTATTAAATAAAATATCGTGAATCAGCATATAGAAGTTAATGTATAATAAGAATCTATCCAAGAGCATCTGGACTAGGAACCTGTTCTCAAAGCCAGAAGTTTAAATTGAAAATATCTCATCATACTACGTTCGACGTATACCTGCCATTACCCTATGTTTTGGACGTCAAGGAGTTGGCACCAGCGGCAATGCCAATGCCTTTAAAACTATTCATATCCCCTACTTACTACGAACTTAAGGAACATATGACTAGAAGAGCGTACCTTAAATAATAAGTCCTGTACGCAGCAGGACCATCCTTAAAAAGCATTGACAGCCCATTACGAATTAAAAACGTACGTATCTGTGCAAGGATATAACAAAATTAAGAGCTAACTCCACGGATAATGATAAATAACTAATCGACGTAGAGAATCGAATATTGGAAAAGACCGAACACTATGATGTAATAGTTTTTCAACATAAGAGCAGTTACATGCTAAATCTGAAAAAACCAAATACATTGGAAAGGAAAAAAACACAAGCAGTTATTGAGTACAAGACATCATTTTTCTTCAAATTGGTACAATTTCGGACAGCCCACATGCATATGCCCTAAAAGGGTTTTTCATGTTGATTTATCGAGCCCTCTGTAACTGGTCTGAAAATGCACAAGCCATATATGCTTCGCTTGTTCTCATCATAAATCATTTATGATGTCTTCAATAACAAACATCAGTGTCAGCATGCCCCATCACTGTCAGCCAAAAGAAAAATATACTGGCCAGTACAGTGAGGGATTTAGAGAACGCAGCATTTTCTGATTATTTCCAGTTCCTTAGATCAACCATCCACCAACCATAAGATCTGGGGGAGGAAGGGAAGGAGACAGCTAGCGAGGCTAAATTTTCACAGAAGAGGGTCTATTTTATTAAAAATTCATCTAAAAAGAAGATATTCATTTTCCAATGAGCTTGCATATATATCTTCCACGAATTAGGCCGCCACTCTCAATTATCGCATCTGATTAACTTCGGCACGACCTCATGTAAGGAAAAATGCCACTTGCGACAGGTAAGGAATATGATGCCCTGAACTAGTTCAGTCTTCGTTTCCAGCATACGCTTCCCAAATAACATAACCGAAGATTCATGTATTTGCATACATTAGAGCTCGTCGTTTCATCTCTACATTACTTACACTCGAGTAATGAATTTGGTAAGACAAGAAATGAAAGGACGCAACTCTGTCACACGTTTTGTCGAAAAGCTTTAACATCACGTTAATCATAAAACACCACAGGATTTCTGTTATGCATAAATATATAAGCAGAGAGAAATCATCCAAACTTAGTCTGAAAGGAAGCAAAACGCTCACCCAACGAGAAGAAAACCAAACAATATGTATTATCATAAGTTTCTTACGATTCGAATCATATATAGTCACAGAATCAAGGAAGGAAGCAAGGAAATATTTCTGATAGGCAGAAATACAAGAAACATAACAACAGAAAAATCTGAAGAAGGCGTCACATGTTTCATTCTAAAAGCAAAAGTAACCACTTAAAACAAACGCCACCTTGTATGTCAAAAACTTCAACTTGATCATCAGATTTGTATCTTCATCAGCTAGACTTTCTGTCACAGCTGAACCACTGGTAGAGCTGCCACTCTTATTCTTCAGCAGAGAATCGTTATCGTCTGTGCGTTCAGAAGTCTTCTCTTTGCCTTTAAATATATTGATGTCCACAAAAAAACCTACGATAGAAAAATAATTTATTTCTTTGAAGACTAATAAGACTACTAACAAAGAAAACTAATTTAAAACCCAGAGCACCACATGTTGCCAATGAAATGGAGTACGCAAACTGATACCTCACGTCAGCTTACTACAATTAAATTACATGGAGAGATAATCCACTCGTGACAGAGCCAGCAGGCTTAAACTGCCGTCACGTCATACACCACAGAAAGCATAAACTAAAGTCTGACAGATATGCCAACTTAAAAATTGACACATATTTTAGTCCTTCCCAAGACATTCAGTAGTAGCACTTCCCACAAAAGAATTTTCTTCATTCTTGGCCCACCTAATTAACAGGAGACAATCCCAGTAGAGCTTTCATTTCATTTGTTGTCTCGTTAACAATAAAATCAGACACAACCATGGCATCTAGTTCCCAAAAATTTAGCGAATTTGAACAATCATCCCATAAGCCTTCCTTAAAACGCAAACATTTAGCTTCATCAGTTCAAGAAGTTGAAACCAAAACAGTCAAGCAGTGTTCGCAATGACTGATGCACATGAGAAAGGTTAATACTTGCACAAACGGTTTAGAAAACACCTATCCCTTCAGGTCTTAATTTAGCCAAGAAAGTGCATCAGTTAAGCACTAGCTCTATCATTCCAGTTGACTCCCATTACAGAAATGATAAACCAGTCTGAAGAATCAATGGCGCCGTCGAAACCAGAATCCTCCTTGAATAGCGTTAATTTTCCGTTTATAGGAAAATAACACTACAGAAGAGCATCAGCTCAATGGATATGAGACTGTAGAAAGAGAACAAATAAAGCCATTGTTGGGAAAATTAGAACTTATGATTCCTTACCCCTGTACAGTGGCCATAATCCCGGATTTTTCCTGCAAAATGGTACATGGCATCATAAATATGAAAAAATAGGTGAAACAATGCTACACACGCAAATCTATAAGGTTAACACAAATGAAGAGATCGAAAATAGAAGCACTGTTCATAGAGGGTATCGAATAAACCTCATCTCCTGTTGATATCTGCGGAAAACTGAATCACTGTGGACGTGAATAACCATCTTAAAATCAAGACTGTCTGTTGACCATGAATCAATCTTGTGAAAATTATGGTAACACTTGAAAGCAGCGGGGAAATGTCTCTGTCTCATCAAACGGATCATCTCCTGTCCAGTCAAAAAGCAAAGGTCATTACGTTGAAGCAGTTTATGAGCCAGCGATCAGAAGGTAGAAAACTGAAAGAGGACAAACAACATAAAGCAGAGAATGCATAAGGACCATTTGATCAATACAGGGGATATTTATTATAAACACCTAAAATCTAACAAATCTATTCGATTAGAAACAGCGATGATTCCAGGGTAACTGAAGATTTTTTGAACCAATGCAAAAAAAGGAACAGTAAAAGGTAAATCTAAGCAGAGATGAACGAGACAGGTAGATGGCTGAGGGAAATGGTTTGGTATTCATCCCAAATTGACAACCTAATTCGCGTTAATGTTCAAGCTATTATAGGGTACGTGAAGCCCGCTGCTTAAAAGGGCAATATAGAATGTGCCATCATATTCATGTACTCTTTCCGAAAGTTACATGCGTATGAACTTTAACACAATACATTTCAATTAAACGTCGGGCAGATGAGATAGTTAAAATATGGATATTAAGGTTAAAGATAAGAATCAAGAGTCAAAAATCAGAGTTTCGGAGCACATCATAATACCAGTCTACAGGTTATACGGAAGGAAATATTTCTATAGCTAACTTTGTGAATTGTAACTTCTCAAAGTCATAAGCCCTCTGTATCCGATACAAGGTAGCTCCAGAATAGAGTTGCGTTTCATGCTGTTTATGTTGAGAGTAGCCACTGGATCCTCAACTGCAAGGCCCACGAATATAGACTTCTTACACTTCACTGTAACAGATGCGAACTCTTAGATAACAGAGCTTGCTATGTGATGATAGAAAAGTGTCAGTGCAAATTTTCGGTCAAAAGCCACTAGTTACTCTCAGACAAAAGAAAAATCAAGTGCTGCATGTTTGGAGTTGGTCTATATTCCTTTCCAATAATTACAGGACAAAATATCCATCATACTTAAATAAGAAAATATTTAAAAATTAAATTTACCAACTACACAAAAGAATCTTCTAAAAACCAACAATCCAATCCATATCAAATTAAAAGTCATGGTGCACAAGATAATTTGAGGATACCATTCGCACAACATTTGAAAGGGAACAGAAAAAACAAACGGAGCACATTCTGATAGGAAAATAAATGCCGCTCAAACCTCAGACCACAGAATTTCGTACTGGCAATTTAAGCATTGAACCAACAGTCTCATGTTGGTTTCTCAAAGGGAAAGCTTATGTCAGGCAGAAAGTTAATATATGACCGCTGTACACATAATGATAAAGAGCCACTGATCGTTGAAGGCAAATGAACCTACAAAAAATGACATACCTGTAACTTTGTTGTTGAAAAATCAGCAGGGCGAGCTTGTAAAAATTTGGACAGAACTGATCGATCGGCATTTTGAGAATGGGAACCAACTGTTCCACTCCCAAACCAATCTGCGTTGTCCGGACACATATCAGTGCCCACATTTTGAAGAAGTGATCTTATTTGCTGAAACATATGCAGACATTATTACGATGTAAACAACATGCAAAGCACAAACAAACATGAATATATTACTATAGAATACTTGACTTACAAATTTTTCATCTGATCTATTTGCAGCACACACTTCACGCAGGGTAAGTCCTAAATCATGTCCAGCTGAAACACAAGGGAAAATAAATGCCTTGAAAATAAACAAAAATCCTCCCTAAATATTTCAATCTGCAGTATGTAGGAATTCAACACAAACGCCAGAATAAATCGCCTTAAAAATCATTGACAATTGCAACAATACTTACTGGAAAGGAACTTTAAACATTTTAAGCTACTACAGATGAGCGATAGTCCTTATCAATAAAGTAAACTACTACGTGAATGTAGGTTTTAGTTTCAACTATGGACAATTATATTCCATGATCTACAAATTAGGTTGGGCTAAATAGGCTGCAGGTATTAGAACCATAGCCATCTCCTTCTATCCAATATAACGGTATCACCGCACTGCTGCCACATCCACCATCAAGTCCGCTGTTCACCAAAAAGGTAAATATTTTCAGAAACTCGCACGAAAGTTCAACAGAAGTCTCTAAGCCACTGGTAGGTTTATGTGACTACATCTCAAAAATCACGTTGGACGGCTAGATATGGCAAGACGACTTTTGGACGGTTCTTCAGGTGATAAAAGCAACTAAGGTGGTGATAAAAAAAATATTAAATATTTACAAGTCTCATGATAGAAATTCAACACAAAAGACAAAAATCAGTGTTACTAAATAAGATTTCAGCCTTTCATAGTACACTACGACCTCAGTCCCTTTTATGGCACACTACGACCTCAGTCACTTTCATGGGCAAGACCAGCATGGAGGGGTACAGCAGCCACAACATCAGGCAGAAGGAAGGTAGTAGCGCCAAATGACAACCATCAACAGTGAGCCACAAGCGACATAAACATTTTTCCTCCTTTCTACCCTCTTCTCTTTTGTTGTCAGGTGCGGGAAGCCATTCTATCTTTAGCCGAGCATAGAAGCAGTCATCTTCTGCCTGCTTCTTCTTTCTTCCGTCCAGTTACAGAGGCGATTGGACCTTGCCTCCCTCCTCCCCAAATGATGTCAGTAGATTCAAAATTCCTCGCATTGGAAAAGGTTTAAAAGTAGAAAAAAGTCTGAAAAATCTGTCAAAAGTCCCTCCATGTTGTTAAATTAAAAAATAATTGGCCCTTTCCTGAATCAGCTGCTTTATCTGATTTATCAAAACCAGGTAAAGAATTATAATTCGTTGATTCGCAAGCCCGATCTCGTGATAAAATCAAAGTGAATTCCATAGACTGAGAAATAAAAACAAACTTGTTCAAGAAGCCTTGAAAGAGGCAAGATAATTGATAGCCAACTGAAAAAGTCATCAACAGAACATTGACTTTAAAAATGAATAAGATATGAGTGAAAATAGTCAAAGTTTTGCGCATGAAATGAATTATGGAGATCTACAGGCCCCTTTTGCGGGAAGAATTTCTATGAACTGCAAAGTGGGACCATCGCCATGCCTTGTTTTCTGTAGCATATGATTGTCCCGGATGCGTGGAAAATTGTATTCCATTTCGTATAGTTAGATACGACTTTATGTAGAAAAGGAATGTCCTCTGATCGCCAAGCCTCCCAGTTTTATGTCCATTTTCCCGTAAGAGGCGACAGAAATTCAAAAGAAACTACACAGATTTTCAACACTAGAAAAAGAAAATCCTTACTGTTTTTTTTACTGTTCTAGTGGCCTCCTAGAAGAGTACATAGGCTCCAGAAGTTTTCCTATATTTCTGTATCACGCTATTATTTTTTCTGATACCGAAGTTAAGGCAGTTGCCAGCGTGGACAAGGACAGATGTAAAAATCTGTCTCTGGTGTGGCCTTTCCTAGAAAAATGAATACTAGGAATAGCCTGATATTGGTTACTAAAAGGTGAAACGCGTTACTATAAATATAAAACTGGGTTCGCCTAAGAGCTTAGGCAATGAATCGTCATTAGACATCCGCTATTAGGCCTTTAAGTTCAGTGACTATATTGCGTCCGCCCCTACACACTCTCCCCCACAAAGTCCACTACGAGCACAATACAAAACGAAAATTCTAAAACATGGCTGGAAACAAGAGCACTTCAAAAATAATTTTATTGCAAGCTCTTCAGAAAAGGTTTCGTATAAACAGAATCATGAAAACAATAATTATGGAATGGGGAGAAATGATTCTAAAAGAAAACTCTTTTTATAAATTTTAACCCCATCTCTAAGAGAGACAGAGAGATGTTTTCCAAAACTTTAAAAAATAAAAGAAGTTCACGGTTATGATTATCTTCCACTAATCTCTGATTATTAACGGATGAAAAGATAACAAACTCTCCCAAACATCTTCAAAACCACTTTGAAAAATTGAAGATCCATTGATGCCAAACATTCACATCAAGAGAAGAATCAAGAGTGAACTAAGCTACCCATCACGATTCAGGGGAAGGAACCACACTTGTTGTGCAACACATCAAAAGACTAGTTCATAGCAGCAACTTTGCATATATAGATCAGCACAGCATCACGAACATAATCTAGTGTTTTCCGTATTACAATGCTACTCCTGCCATTACATGAAAAGGCACGCATACGAATCTAGAAAAGCACAAAACACGATCACATTGAATATACATTAAGCGTGACAACATTTATAGGCGCACCCAGAATAGCTGAAGATATAATTCCGTCACACATCGTGTATATCAGGAAAGATGTAAATCCAACGGAAGGGGGCGTAGAAAACACTACCTCCCTCTAATGGAGCCGAAGGAAACTCCTTCAGAACCTCTTCCATGTGTTTTGAGCTATCTGGGCTGACAACACGAGCAACAAGACCTTCTAATATTTCACCTTGCACTTCCACATGATCCTTTGATCCTGAATAGCAACCAAGATAAAATTTCAAAATGTAAATAGTTCACATTTTTCCTAAAAATTAGCAAGAGCTTAGAACGCTGACCCAGGCTCCTCACTTGACTCCAACTCAACTAAAGAATGAAAATCCAAAACAGAAAATCAAATGGAATACTTTTATCTATCGAACAGAAAACTACACGCATGAAAACACGGAAACTGATGTAAAAATTCTGAAACGGGACGCAGAATGTCCTAAGAAAAATTTAAGATCGAAATGTAACCTGGAATTGATATGTCTGCAACTTCATCTAAAGCCCTACATACTGGTGTGGCAGTTCCTTCTTCACACAATGCATCATAAGCAGCAAAGAAAGAACTTACCGACCTCCTAGAAAAGAAAGAAATGTAACAGAATGAGAAATAAAACAAATGCAAATGATATAGCAGTAACTAAGTTGCTGACGTGAAGGTAACATATAAAATTAACGTGCTACTGATGTTGTATCAAATATAGCGCAAACTGAACCTTGTTGTCACAAAAATGATGCTTACACGGGAAAATTTGAGGATGCATCGTAGCATTTCACACTTAGAGAGGGAATTCAAAGCACAAGGAACTTATATCAATGTCCCAGGAAGAGTGCTGTTATTACTTGGTGAACTTTCTAGGATTGTTTTCCTTTCTATCTGCTTCTTTTCCATTGTATTTTGGTCCTTTCCTATCATCCCCTGTGTTAAGTGGATCCATTAGACTCTTAACGGATCCACGTAAAGATTAATGTAATGGGCCTGGCCCATTAACTCATGTAACCTTAACTAAGCGGGAAACTGTGATAATTGAGACAATCATTTCGGATTACGGAAACCCTGCTCCAAGAAGTGGTGACTAGTTCATCTTCCTGGAAAAGGAGGATCGTGAAGATCGACACCTTTCATTCTCCAAGTTGCACGAATCTCAATCAAGATCAATTGTCAACATTACTAAATCTTGCAGTGGTGAAAGAAATAGGAACATAAAGCAGATCAAAGAAATAGAAAAATTAATTTTATGATACAGTAAAAAGGGCATTATTATGCTAATAGGCACAGAACGATACATCCTAGCCAACAGGAGTGAACAGACGACCAGTACTAGTCTTTCCTAACACATAAGGATTGGAATAACAGATGTGTCAGATATGATGCCAAACTCTTGTTTAATTGGTGTACAGAAATATCCCGAAAATCGTAATATTCTCATGTTTCCAGAATTGTTTATATTTTCTTGGGAGTAAAAAGCTGATTCAAAACCTTGTAGAGAATAACCAAACATGATTTGTTGGCAGTCGCCACTTTCTGCAGAAGGCAATCACATCAGGCGTGGAATAAAACTTTGGTTTACCATTACCAAGCTCTGTCACAGCAGTTACTACAACTGCAGAGAAAAAAGCCAAGTAGGACCATTAAGAAATAATAAAAGAGCAAAAATAACAAATAAAACAAAATGAGCATCATTATGAATAGAACAAAGCGATTAAATAGACATCATATAAAGAATTTCAAAAAAATAATAATTACGTCCTTCTGTTACCGTATGCAAATGATGGAACGCCTTCAAAAAAGAAAAATCTTTTTATAGGCTGTAGTAATGTGAATTAAACAAAAAACCAACATAAACTCAAAACCTAAAACATTTCTAATTCTACCACGAACTCACGTGCAGAATACTTTACACGAGACCAAGGAAAAAGAATTTCATCCCCGATTTCTGCTATTGTCTGCGATATTGTATATGATAAACTTTTAATGTTCCTCTTTCCTAAAGATAAATGGCAAGCAACGCTTTTCCTTGCTATTATCTGGGAATGTAGGGGGGAAAGGAACCAGAGAATGTTCCAGCAAGCCATGAGAGAACAACAAGATGTCCATAACGAAGTCATATTTTTGGGAGCAGGTTGGCCAAAATGAGAGAAATTTTGTAATGGCCCAGGAGAACTGCAAAAACTCAACCAAGGGAAGAATGTCTTCGGGAAATCTCTTATAGCGCCATTAAAATATTGATGAAAAACTTCTAATCTAGCATCTTGTTAGACTAGATGTCGATTGATGAATCATTGGTTTATTTCGTTTTTTTTTTCCAACGGGAGGGCAGATTCAACCAAATATGTTTGACAGAACCTTTTTGATATACTAGTATATTTACGAAAATTCATAAAACCTATCATGCTCATAAGACAGTTGAATAGCCTCCAAAAATCATGGATGACATGTCTGAAGAAAGCATCTGACATGTGCCAAACTTGGAGGAACTCCATCTTTACGGTAGGAAGGGATATACCAATATGGCAAGAAGAAGACAGTTTCCACACTCTCCAATTATCATTTTCTATCTCATAAATTATTTTCTAAAAACACTCTCAACGCTTAATTAATATAGAAGTGTTGAGTTCTCTTTAAGGTGGTTTAGTCCACTATTATCTAAAAAGAAGTAGAATGTACGAAGTACAAATCAGGATCAGCCACATTTAAGGAAATGCTATAGCAGGTAATGCTACTACATGAAAGCCCAAAGGTACAAATCAGCAACATTCAGGATTCCTTTTAAGCCAGCAAGCTTCCTAGATTTCCAGAACTGTTTAGGAGCCCGATAATTCCGTCCTCAGCTCTGTTCTGTATCTGCCTATAATCTTTTCCACCTCTTGGAAATCGTCTCCACTGTTTAATTTTTCTGCAGTTATATTTGCACTTTACACCTTCAGCTCATGTGTAACAGTGCAAGAACCAAAAAGAATCAATAAGAGATGGCTGTAATCCTTCAAAAGTGCAGCTAGAATAAAAAAGACAACCCTCGTGGGAAAGGATGACAAACCACGAAAATAGTTTGTATGTTACTTTCGCAATCTAGACGAGTTTGCATGAGAGTAATATATGTACACGAATAAATACTCAAATCGATAAGGAAATAACATGTAGACAAATAAAAAGAAAGAAGAGGGATTTATAAGAAAGAAAAACCAAAAGGAACTCAAGAGAAGAGTTTAACAGAAATAATACTATATTCCACAGAATTACAATTGTTGTACCCTAGGTGAATTTTACATACTTACATACAAATGAAAGGATGTAAAAGAAGAAATATATACCGTAATCATCAATGGGTCGTTGCCCATGGTCCCCTAAAACAGCTGTGACAAGCTCCATTGAAATGCAGATGCGATTTTTCTAAAAACAGAAATGACCATTGAGATAAACTAATCCAAATAGGAATGGATCATCAAGTTTAAACGCTGGCATATTCAGCTAGAGATCCAATTCTGGAAACAATACGGTTGTTAAATTACCTCTAGATAATCATTGAATTCTGCCTGCTTCCTACTTGCCTGACTACCCCATGCTTCACGAAGCATCCGGCCAAGAACAAAAACACCTACTGCAGTGTATCTACAAAAGAGAGATTTTATCAGTTGCTTGACGAAGAATAAGAAAAAAAAAGGAGGTACAAATAGCATTAATTATATTCCCAAGAATAAAGCTATAAAAAAGTGGCCCAAAAAATATATGCAACTGTAAGCATACATGTTACCAAAGCTATTCTTCGCATAAGCTCCACCCTTATGTCCTGCATACATAAACAGAGATCCAGAGTGCTTGAGGGATACCTGTAATGAGTTCAGCATCAGCAAGCTTAGCAAGAATCGCATCTTCACCATTTTGATGCGCACATTGAATTTATTACTATCATCGCACCAAGAAATGACGATTACAATATTACTGAAAATCGCCTGCGGACTTTAAATGATCATGGAAAGTTTACAACCATACCTCCAGGGTGGCCAAACCATGTGAAACCAACTCTATCATCCTCGACCTGACCTGTCAGTACAGACCATGAAATCAACACCCCAATAAAGTGTAAAGTGCACTGCATGTTCGGAAAATAATGCAAACAATAAACTTAAAGATTTTGGAATTTTTATAATAAGCAAAAAAATGAATATATTCAACACCAGATCTGGTTTTTTTAAGCCACATTTCTTCCCAAGAGATTTACTAAGGGCCTGAATTAGGGAACATAACCTAATCTAACCAGATAGCATAGGTCAACAAACCATCTCACTCCAGCACGCAGTTGAAATCTCAAAGATCAGGATAAATTTTGAAGATCTGTTGAGATTTAGCACTGGCTGGTTCTCAACATATATGAAGCTCTACTGAATGATGTTTACTCCATTCCTCCAGACCATCAACAGAAAACAAGAACAATTAAACTTGCATACAAATCCTATTATAAACATGATAAGGAAGTAGATAGAAATTTCCGGTCAATATTGGATAACTGCGTAGCTTTTCTCAAGGAAAATACAAACCTTCTCCGCATTTGCAGAATCAAGTTTGCAATGAACGTGTCACATAATTCACAGAGTTTGTTAAATAAAAGAATGTGGAAAAGATCGACATCACTTCTCCCAAGTAACCAGTGATAGTAGCTTCTCATAATATCAAGAGAGGCCTGCGAACATACGACAGAAACGACCCAGCCACGCTGAGCCCCGATGTCTAGGTGTTCTCGAGAGCACTAAAAATTTTGCTGATCCATTAAACTGCATCATATGCATAGACAGGGTTCACGATGAGAATATCCATTTTAAATGCACAGCTCTATAAAACTCAGTCATACCTCTTGATCCGACTTCTCGTTCTCAAATTTCGGGTAAAAAGTAGCCCTGATCTGAGCCCGCGCGAAAGTGTGGGTATCCACAGTAAAATCTCCGCCCAAGGGCCCTTTGAACAACTTCGGCAACCCGCTCGCTTCCGTACTCGGAGAGGTTACCCCAGATGAAGAGCTCTTGTCAGGTGAGACCGCAACAGCAGCTCCTGTGTCAACCTCCACCGCCACAGGTCCGCTCGCTGTCCCATAAGACTTGACCACCCGTGCATCCTTCAACCCTTGCAAGGTAATGACGTTCTCCGACTTTTGGACGACACCAAACTGCAAGGGAGATAAAACAGAAGAAGAAGGGATCGCACCAACAGGGCTCCGAGCATCGCTCGCGGGCAAGATAAGCCGGCTCAGTCGGTTGGTCACAGCCTCGGCGGCCGGGGCTCCATCACCCGCAGTAGCGGACGACTGCTGATTCTGCCTAGGTTCCTGATCTGAACCGGCCGATTTCCGCTGCCCGATAGAAGACTTATAAACGTCAAAAATCACAGCCGACGTCCGTCGATATTCAAGGACGTTAAAGATTGTTGAGATCAAAGACGAAAACAACAGAGGAAGATAGAATCGCTCTACTTCGAGAGAGGACGACGACAGTGTGAACCCCGAGGAGAAAGAAGGCAGGTGATTCCACACCCCCGCTCGGAACAGGAAGGAGGTTCAGTCACACGGCGCCGGCAAAAGGAAAAAACGGCTGGACGGTCGTACCCGACTTCCCGACGGCATGGCGATCGACGACGGTCTCCCTGGATCGCCGATGCTGAGAGCGCCGAAGCGGAGGTCATCCAGCGAGAGGCACCGGCGAGAGACGCAGGGACCAGCGGAAGAGAAGAGGCGGAGGAGCAGGAAGGGGCGGGAGCGTGCAGGGAGAGCAGAGGGGGAGAGAATGCAGCAGAGGTTCCGAGGCTGGGCAGGCGACATATATATCCGCAGGAGAGGTGGGGAGCAGACGTGGCGCAGAGCAGTGGCGGTGCTGACGGCGGCGGATAGCTGCGAGCAGGGCTGGAGCGCCGCCAGTCGGAGGCCCGTGGAGAGGGAGAGAACAGGGAGGGGGGGGAGAGTAAAAAAGTGGCCGCCAAGTGTTCGTTGTAATGCCTTCAAAGGCCGCCTCCCGGGCCGGGCTTCAAAAGCCCGAGCTGCGGCCCGCGTTGCTGTTTAGTTAGTGTTCCTTTTATCACCTGCCCCATGGAAAAAGAAACGGGTAAAAGCGGGCGGCACTTAGCGTCCGCGTCGAGATGAATCGATACGTCGACTTCGAGCCGAAACGGGTCTCGGAGGCTGAGCGGGGCAGGCGGGCGAGGATGACGCCACGGAAGATCGCACGGCTGTCGTCTGCCCGCTCATTGGGCGTACATAGACGGTGATGTTCTTCGCCACGTGCTCCACCCGAAGGACGGACCGTACCCTATCGGTCATGGCCAAGGCCACTATAGTGAGCTTTCACAGGCCTCCTAAACCCCGCCCAGTCAGGGCTTATCCCCGACCGATCCGAGTCCCATACGGGCGGGTTGACTCGCCGATCCGACTCTGGGTCCCGCACAAAATATCCCTCGTCGGCGCAGAACCTTATCCCCAAAAGAGAGGTACCCTCACTGCGGTGATGAGATCTTCCGTGACGGAGATAACCTCACCTTCCGTTCCTCCCTCTCACTCTCTCTCTCTCTCTCTCTCTCTCTCTCTCTCATAATCCCCCCCCTTCCCCCTTCAGGCAGAAGCATAACAGACCAGAGAACCTCATCCCCAGAGGGGGGGAGAGAGGGTGTGCCAGCCGTTCGGTTTCCTTCCCTCGTCTCGTCTCCATGGAAGCCGGGAGGAGCCTCATCTCTCCGCCTTCGACGGCGTCTACGTCTCACCTCCCAAGAGTCCCCCTCAAGAAGAGCTCCTTCTCTCCCTGCCCAGGTACGCCGTCGTGCTGCCGAGCTTTTCATCGAATGTTTAGCTGCCCTGCCCCCTACTTCCGAACTCGGGTAGATTCAAGGCGGCCAATGCGTCAGTTGGGGCTCCCAGTTCCAGCTCGGAGCCTGCACATATCTGTCTTACCCTTCCTCTTGCTTGGCCATGCTTTTTAAGTTAACTTCCACCCGTTCATCTTCAGCTTCGGCCGACTTTTGCGGCGTGTTTCCCGTACGAATGCTGAGAATTTCCGTTTTATTCCGTCTAAGTTTGCTCGCTCCCGATGGCGTTGAGTTCAGAGTCGTAGCATGCTGCTTTTCTTCCTTCTTAGTGCTTTTACATGTGAGTGTTCTGTGGTGAATTGGCTTCAGCCCCTTAGCTAATCAGAATCCCAGCGGCTTAGGTTCGGGATTCCATGTAATGTCCATCGCCTGTCGTGTTATCCTTTTTGAGAAAAATGGTGGGGGTGTACCTCCGAATCTACAGAGGAACGGTGTAACCAATCATATCCTGCATCTGTAGCGTTTAGAATGCCGTCGATTGTGTTGTCATTTTTTTCTCCGTGCTCCTTATGGCGGTTTATGAAGGCGCATATTCACTTCAATCGTCGTTTGGGGCAAATTTTCCTCATTTGTTCCATTTCCTGGTTTAAAAAAAAGTCTTCACTTTGCTTATTTATTTTTCAGTTCTTATCATTAATGGGCAAGCAAGTCGGCCAATTTCATCCGCACCTATCATGTCAGTCGTGCGCAATTTCCCTTCGTCTATAGTATTACAGGAGCAACACGACGATTTAAGACCCTTCACCGCCAGGGATAACAAAACTGCTCAGGTATTTGCCTGGCTGTTCTTGCCATTTTTTTCTCATATATTTTTGAAACGCTGAGATTAAGACAGTCTTATTTAAAGAGGTATATAGCCTTTCTGTTGTAATAAATGGTGAATTAGATATATGTTTGGTCTAGAGTGCCCCTTTCTCCAGTTTCCCCACGATATGTGTCGAGAACTGTTGCATCAATTGGCAATGGTCAGCAAACATTCAGTTTTTCTTCTCTCTTTTTCCCCCCACCCTGAGGTGCTACCTGTGAATTCATTGAGCCTCAATTATCTTATTTTTCACAAACTAGCTCGTTGGGCTGTGGGAAGTTTTCAAATTTCTTGTTTTCTAGATAATTGTAAGCTTATAGGAAGACACTGGAACTACACAAATACTCGATTCGTGCCTAAACCATATTACCATGTGGATGTAAGTCCACAAATTAGATACCCATGGCTTCAATGGTTCCTAGTACAAGCTTTGTGATATCCAGCTGATCACAGGCTTCTAAGAATCTCTGGTTAATATCTTAGATGAAGAAGATTCAATCAAACAGATTCATATTGTTAATATCATAACAAAAAGAACCAAGGACCCCTTTTTTTTCCCTCAGAGATCTTTGATCTTTTTATTTGATTGCGAAAAGTGCCACGAATTATCTAAAAAGGGCAGAGGGCTCGGTGTACTTCTGCAGGGCTTTTCGTATGGCCTACATTCATAGATTTTTTTCTTAATTGTGTAGGAGATATTTTTGTATACTGTTAGATGGTGATAAAAACGTGTTTATTTCATCCTTTCAAGGTGACACTGAATGCAAGACCCGTGGAGAATGGAACACTAATATGTAAGGGGGGAGAGAATGAATTGGAGGAGTATCTGAAATACTTCGAACGCTTGTTGCCTAGTGTTGGGTATCCGTAAGTTAATATCTTTCCTCAGCTGGTCTCAGTCTTTTCATTTCCTTGCGTTGATCAGTCAGTGAACTTTATCTGGCGTGCTTTCTCTCCTCAGGTTGCCGAGTTTTACAGAAGGGAAGGCATGCTTGTCAGAGTCCACAGTCTCAGTCGGGTCTGGTGCAGGTGTAGATGCTGCTATAGGGGAAAAGACTGCCATTGAAGGTGGCTTCGACGACGTTATGCCTTCAGCAGTTCTTGAGCTTGCTAAAAAAGCTGTGTTGGCTTCCAGAGAAGCCGCGAGCTTGGCTGAGAGCCACTCCACAACTGCTCATGTTGATGACATCTGTTTTCCTGGGTATGCTTCTCATCATCAACCTGCTTCTGTTTGAAAATTCCTCTCTGATTCGAGCTTCCATTTGCTGATTGTTCTTGGATGTACTGCTATTTTGTCCAGTCGAAGCCCGAATGACCCAGCTAAAGTGCTCACAAAGAGGGAGGAGGAAGCAGAAAAGTCGAAATGGCTTCTTGATAGGCGATCACGGAGACGTAGAAGGTCAAACAAGACTAGTGCGGTTATCAGTGATGCCTCTCCGTATGTTATCCCTACTGATGTCAGCAGAAAGATGAGCAGGGGCGTCGACACAAATGACGCCCTCAGATTCTTTCTGTGGGGTCCTGAGACAAGGCAGCTTCTAACAGTGAAAGAAGAAAAGGAGCTGTTCAAGAAAATACAGGTATGTTTGATCCTCCTCGGTGCGTAGATCATCAGCATATTAGAAGAGAGATGGGCTTTATCCAAACATGAAGGAGATATTCTGTGCCGAACCAGGATCTCATGAGGCTGGAAGAAGTCAAACAGAATCTGCACTCACAATTTGGCCGTGACCCAACCCTTGTCGAGTGGGCTGAAGCCGTTGGAATGACATGCCATGTGCTCCAGTCCTGCCTCTACTCTGGCAACCGCAGCCGGGAGAGAATGATCTATGCAAATTTCCGTCTGGTGGTGCATGTTGCGAAGCAGTATCAAGGGAAGGGTCTCAACATTCAGGATCTGCTGCAGGTTTGGATTTGTTTCTCCGTTGACTTTATGAGTCATGTCGTTCCTTCTTCAATTTTTCCACAGAAGGTGTAGCTTAAATCAAAGCTTTTAGAGAGAGTAAGCTGATAGGTTGAATGAACAGCAAGCATTTCCCTTTCTCGATGAACCCAATGTCTCATGTCTCTGCGGCTGCAGGAAGGGAGCATGGGTCTCATGAGGAGCTTGGAGAAATTCAAACCCAAGGCCGGCTGCAGATTCCCAACATATGCTTACTGGTGGATACGGCAGTCAATCAGGAAAGCCATATTTCAGAACTCCAGGACCATCCGGTTGCCAGTATGATTCCTACCTTTGCTTCCCAGTTTTCTCCTGAAGTCGAAGAACGGCTCAATGGTGTAATGCAATATCGTATTGCAGCTGCTTCATTGCGTGATGATGTTTCTGGGTGGTTTGTAGGAAAACGTATACGCCCTTCTGAAGAAGATCAAGAACACGAGGGTATTGTACATTCAAGAGGGCCATGTTCCGACCAATGAAGAGCTGGCCAGGCGAGTGGGCATCTCGAAGGAGAGGCTGGAGAGGGTGTTGACTTCCGCGAGATCCCCTGTGTCGATCCAGGATCGTGCATGGACCGACCAGGACATCACTGTGCAGGTACTCTTGTGCAGGACATCCCCTGTGTCCTCTGTCAGATGCAATGAGCTGGGCCGGCGGCACTTCGCTTCTTTTGTGCGATTGATTTTGAGAAGGACGCTCTAAGTTGTGATGCTCTTCTTGGAATTTGCAGGAGATAACTGCGGACCCAGAGGTTGAGGGTCCGGAGTTCACTGTCGCCAAGCAGATGATGAGGCGGCACGTCCGGGGGCTCCTCCGGATTCTCCCGCCGAGGGAGCGGCAGATAATCCAGTTCCGCTACGGGATGCACGGTGGAGAGCCCAAGTCGCTGTCGGAGATCGGAGAGCTGCTGGGGCTTTCCAAGGAGAGGATCCGGCAGCTGGAGAGCCGGGCCCTGGACAGGCTCAAGGAGAGCCTACCGGGGCATGGCCTGGGGGCGTACGTGGAGCTACTGATTTAGTTAGGGCTCCCCTGTTTTTCACCTGCAGGAGAAGAGAACCCGGAGGCCCGAGCGTCGACTTCTGCCTCCCCACTGCCTCCTGCCCACCCCATAGAAGACGAAAGCTTCTGTAGAGAGAGCGAGAGAGAGAGAGAGAGACAAGTAAACAGGGGTGGGGATTAGAACGTCGGAGACAGCTGCTACATACACACACAAACCCCGCAGTGTAATATTTTATTGACTGTACATAAAACCGAAACAGTGGCATGGTTAAGCGCTCTTCAGGTATCAAATCACTTAGTCAAGATCGTCCTTTTCTACCAAGCTTGGAAAGCCATGGAAGGTTCAGATTCTCGTGCATTGCCATGAACATGGCAAGCTTATCCTTGTGCGGCAGTTCTTCTGGGCTTTGCAAGATGCGCACGAGTGGTGTGTTGGGATCTTAAGCCAATTTGCATCCCAAACACGGGGACTTGGACGTGGACCATTTGTGAATGAAGGGTTGTCTTTGGACAAAACCTTAGATGCGAGGTTCTCTCAAAGCTTGTGCTTTTAAAAAACAGTGTCATACTTAGTAAGAACATAAGATTTAGGGAAATAAACCCTGCAAGATTATATATCATTGAGCAGTGCTAAATTATATAATCTTATCTTGTATATGACTAAATTTACCATACCACGATAAAGTAGCCTCATCATCATTAAGATGATATGAGATAGTTGTATCACATATTACAATATTATCAATAAAGTTATCTAATATTCTCTCCCTTCGTCATAATTAAATCAATTTTTTTCTTTCAAAATATTGCTAGCATAAATATAAGAACAACCACTTTCAAATAGAAGAACATGGGGAGATTCTTCTCTTACTCTAGTTAGGTACATGCTCACCATCAATTAGACTAGACAACTCCACCAGACATCTTGATTTATAGGGTTTGATTCTCAATAATTTTACTGTCCAATAACTATCATAACAATTCTACCTCCATTATAGAATACATAAGAATCAAAATAGCTCCTAAACGAGTCCAAATGATATGAAGATTCACAATCACGAATCCATATGTTAGAACAATCCATGTATGAGAAGATTTTTAGAATATCTCATTCATTTTTTAAATCAAAAGTGACAATAGTTTCAATAAGTCTTCCTTCATCCTTTTTCTTAAACTTTTCTTGAAACTTAGGGAAATCTATTTTAGTAGTGGCATTTACCATATTCATCAAGATTAGATTTGGAATGATTTTACTTCTCATCTTTGTTTTTGCCATGCTCTCTATCTTTATCCAGACTCCTTCCTATTACATTTCCAACACCTAAAGTTTTTTTTTACCTTGATTGATAATAAATTATATTTATGATGGGAGTCACCAAATGGTTGTATGATTATGGTGACAAGTGAACTAGAAGAATTTGATCTTCTTCCTCCATTTTAGTCTCTAAATTGTGAACTTATGAGATTAGTTCATTTAATACATTAACCAGATTCAAAATAACTGTTCTATGATATATCTGACATTTGTTTCACATGGATAAATATTTTAATTTATTTCACAATAAATAATAGTATCAACTTCAGTAATATTGTATAATTCTTTGTCAATCATGCACATCTAAAATGTACTTACTATGTTTAAATCTAGTTCATTCATGTTATGATTCCTCAACTTAATTGCCTTTTCCTTTAAAAAGAAAAAGAAAAAACAGTATGGTAGTTTTCACTCTCTTATGTTGTAAATCAAAATCAAAATTTGATGTTCACATCTTTGTAACATGAAAATTGACAGAGCAACATACATATAACTCTGGTCCTAAAAGTTACTTTGGCTAGTTAGCATGGATCTATATTTTCAGGTAACATTCAACTAGTGAAGTGGTGAGAACCCCAAAGGGACTCCAATATATTTCTCCCTCTCTCTTATTTTTTTCTCTCCTCGTCTATCTAAAGAGGAGGAATTTAAGAGGATTGAGAGGGGGGTTTTGACTTCTCTCTCTCTCTCTCTAGAGTGTACCAGTCCAGTGGAAGAAGACGGATTCTTTGGAGTGTACCATCTTTTACAGATTAAATCGTCTTATAAGATTCTCAGTCTATTCTCCATGTCTCCTACAAAGATGCGTGGTGCACTTCGACTGGGTGTGATGACGGAGGTCTCTCTGCTCTTCGACAAGTGCAGGGTGGTCAGGTGCCGTCAACTTCGACATCCCCGCCGCCGTCGCTGTAGCAGGACGACCTAGTCCAGTTCCAGCGATCAAGCTTCCACCAATCTCTTGGGTCTCTTTTGTAGACGACGCCCTTGTGAGTACCTGTCGTGAATCGGAAGAGTCATAGTTTACTAAACCTGCAGCCCATCCCTCTTCTGCACTTTTTATAATTCTTCAGATTCCCTACCTCTCTCTCTACGATGGCCCACCATCTCCGCTCCCACCGACTCTCCCTCCTTGCATCCCCTACCACCATAACCAAAACGTTGGACAGATCGAGCGCGGGCTCTGTTGGGTGGAAGACGCCGACGGAGGGAGTGAGGGAGACAGACAGATGGCCATGGCAACGGCGTCCCGAAGGCTTCCCGGTGCCAGGCCCCTTCCGCGCTACCTCTTCCATGGCGGCGGCTCCCTCTATTACATGGTGAGTACCTGCGGCGCTATGATCTGGTCTCCCCCATCGGTCGCCTTCGTCTTCTTCTTTCCCGGCCGCCGACGATGGCATGACGCTCTAATTTTTCTTCGCGAAGAATAGCGGAACTCGGAGAGAGAGGATCGACTCTCGTTGTCTAGAGCCTCTTCACTCTTCTTTTCTTCCCTCTTTCCGTGTTTGCAGTCGACGCTGCCCCACGAAGCCGCGCAGAACAAGCCGAGATCTCTCCCCGTGGTGAGTTAGCGGCCCTCGTTCTCTTTCTCTTTCTCTCTCTTCTTTTCCTCTGCGGAGCCGGTGATCGATCCAAACCCGCCCGCGAAATCTTCATGGGATCTTGGCTATTGACATCTTCCGTTTCGTGGATTTTGCACAGTGGCCGAAAGGACTAAACGCGCCTCTGGAGGAAGTGGATCCGCAGATAGCCGACATTATCGAGCTCGAGAAGTCCAGGCAATGGAAGGTTAGATTAGGCGGCGCCATGCTGCTCCTCTGACGACATGAAGTTCCTTGGGCAACATATCGCCCCCGCAGTCCCTCTTCCTGTAGTTTCACTACAGGAACATAACGCCAGCTCCCACTCGATTGGTTTCATCATTGAAGGGCCTCGAGCTCATTCCCTCGGAGAATTTCACATCAGTCTCCGTCATGCAAGCAGTGGGCTCCGTCATGACCAACAAGTACAGCGAAGGGTACCCTGGAGCTAGATACTACGGAGGAAATGAGTGAGGAACATCATTCACCTTTTACCTGTTTTCAGACGCCATTCTGGATGGATCTACCTGCTTACTGAGTATCTCGTGATCACCACTAAAGACTGGACCTGCCGCCAGGTTCATAGACATGGCCGAGTCCTTATGCCAGAAGCGCGCCTTGGAGGTCTTCGGGCTAGATCCTGCAAAATGGGGAGGTATTTCGGGCTCTGGCATTCGATGTTAGCCGGCAGTCTGCTTCACCCATAAGTTTGCCTTCTAGCTCCTGCCCGAATCTTATCCCAGAACTCTACTGTTTTTTTCCATGTTCGAAGTTTGCATTCCAGCTCCAGCCCGAATCTTATCTCAGAACTCTACTGTTTTTTTCCATGTTCGAAGCTTGCCTTCCAGCTCCTGCCCGAATCTTATCTCAGAACTCACTGTTTTCTTGATGTTCGTCGCAGTGAACGTGCAGCCATTGTCGGGATCCCCTGCCAATTTCCAGGTGTATACGGCGCTCCTGAGGCCCCATGAGAGGATCATGGCTCTCGATCTCCCCCATGGTGGGCATCTCTCCCATGGGTATCAGGTGCGAAAACTTTCCAAAACTTTGATCTCCCCCGAGAGAGTGAAAATCAGTTTCGGGTCGCCTGGCGGAGGTGCCATCCCCTCCGGAGGCTCATCGTACTCCTCTGCTTGTGGTTGTTTCAGACGGACACCAAGAAGATCTCTGCTGTGTCCATCTTCTTCGAGACTCTTCCCTACCGTCTCGACGAGAGTACGGGCCGCATCGACTATGACCAGGTTACGTCGTCTTCCTCCCTTCCCCTGCTTCTCTAGGATCCCGACCGCGGGGCTTGACCTTCGGCTCTCGTACACTGCTGCGACCAGCTATTTTCCTCACTGAAATTTTCCTCACGCGTGGTTCAAATCCGTCTCCTTCAATGCAGCTGGAGAGGAGTGCCGCCCTGTTCAGGCCAAAGTTGATAGTCGCCGGGGCCAGCGCATATGCTCGCCTCTATGACTATGCTCGCATCAGAAAGGTTCCTCTCTCTCTCTCTCTCTCTCTCGCTATGTATGTATGTATGTATGTATCTCTCTCTCTCTCTCTCTAAATGGGCTTCCCTTTTCTCAGGTCTGCGACAAGCAGAAAGCCGTCCTGTTGGCCGACATGGCGCACATCAGCGGCCTGGTGGCGGCGGGCGTGATTCCTTCTCCCTTCGAGTATGCCGACGTTGTTACGACGACGACCCACAAATCGCTCCGCGGGCCGCGTGGAGCCATGATTTTCTTCAGGAAAGGCCTCAAAGAGGTCGACAAGAAGGGCGGAGAGGTGAGGAGGAAGAACATCACCCCTAGTAGCATGCTGCCGATAGATATGTCTGCGGAGCGATGACAGCGTCCCCTTCTCTCTCTCTCTCTGTAGGTTATGTACGATTACGAGGACAGAGTCAACCAGGCCGTCTTCCCTGGTCTTCAAGGGGGCCCGCACAATCACACCATTGCTGGCTTGGCCGTCGCTCTCAAGCAGGTCAGGACGCTGAATCTATCCAACTCTGTTTTTTTTTTGTACTGATTCCAGCTGCGGGAAATCTCTTCCTCTTCCATGAAAAACTGTTGAATCGAGGGGGAATGAATGAATGATTCAGAGGCTCTCATGCCCACCGCCGTCAAAGTTCAAGCGTTTCCTCTTGTCACACTCAGAGTTTGGAGCATCAGAAGGCTAATTCGCTCACTCCCTGCGGTCTTGCCAGATCCTCGGCTACTCAAGTCCGGCGTCTGGTTTGGATGGTCGCAACTTGGTGCAAGAAATAGGGCAGACGCTGAGAAAAATGCCGTTTTAGAAATAGCCACATCCATCTAGTCCCATGGTTGATTACATTCGTCGTGTCCTGTCGGCTGGTGGTGGACGGACTCTCAAATGTGTTGAATTTCTGCAGGCCATGACTCCGGAGTACAGGGCTTATCAGGCGCAGGTTCTGAGTAATTGCTCGGCGTTTGCGCAGGTATGTGATAGCCGGTGGCGCGACTGCTTTCGTTCTTGATCACTGGAAACAGCTTCTTTTTTGCACTACCTCCGAATGCAGACCTGCCTCACACTGATCGTCGCTCTCACGGATTCCGTATTAAACTGTGGCGCAGGCCTTGATCGAGAAGGGTTACGATCTCGTCTCCGGCGGGACGGACAACCACCTGGTGCTGGTGAACTTGAAGAACAAGGTGGCTGCCGAGGAGAACTCACAGATCACTTTGGTGTTGAATTTCCTTTTCTTTTTTTTTGTTTGTTTGGACGGGGGGCCATCTCCATCTCCATCTCCAGCTCCAGCTCGAATGGCGACGGGCACTGGATTGCCCGTTTGGTAATCGGCCAGCCTTTTGACTTTTGTGTGCTTGCTTGCTGCGTCCGTCTCCAGGGAATCGACGGATCTCGGGTCGAGAAGGTCCTCGAGCTGGTCCACATCGCCGCCAACAAGAACACTGTTCCCGGCGACGTCTCGGCCATGGTACCCGGCGGCATCAGGATGGGTGCGATCCACCTCTCATTCTTGAAAGAAATCTCCGTCTAGTATACGTGACAGAAGGAAGAAGTGGAGACGTGGAAGACGTTTTTCGTGACGAGCTCTGCTCTGCTGTTCCAGGAACGCCGGCCCTGACGTCCAGGGGATTCGTCGAGGAGGACTTCGTCAAGGTCGCAGAATTCTTCGACGCCGCCGTGAAGCTCGCTCTAAAGATCAAAGCCGACACTCAAGGTGGGGCGCGGCGCAGCGCAAACCTTCTCCCGCAGTCCTTCGTGTCTGCTCTCTCCGGCGAATGACGGGGTTATCTTGTTCCGTGGTTCAGGGACCAAGTTGAAGGACTTCACCGCAACCATCCAAGCCAGCGACGGCATCCAGTCGGAGATCAAGGAGCTCCGCCTCGGGGTCGAGGAGTATGCCAAGCAGTTCCCGACCATCGGATTTGAGAAAGAGACGATGAAGTACAAGAACTGAGTGAGGCGAAGAGAGGCGACGAAAGGGACTGCTCCGATACGCATCGTTCACCAGCGGTGCACCGTCGATTGCCGCTGGCGGAGGAGCGCAAGCCAGCAAGCCAGCAAGCCGCCGCCGCTGCCTCCTCCTCGGATTGTAACTTTGTTTTCCCCTCGGCGGGTTCCATCTTTCTCGGGGAAGGGAAGATGGGTGCAGCGGAAGCTGTGGTCTTTGATGCCCGTAGAGGGCGTTTGTGAAACGATTGAGCTCCTCGAATGGAATAACAGACTCCGCTGTGTGCTTCGATCGAGGATCCGTGGAGGTCATCTCAGATACGAAATCTATCTGCTGAAAATTATTCGGGTTTTTCCGGGAAGCCCAGCTCGTTTGCCCGTAAGGTGAACCGCAGGTTCACAGAGCTTGTCGTAGTCCGCCGCAGCGGGGGAAGGAGGCTCTTTTCCCTCGGGCCTTTTGGTGCGCCGTGTTCCTTGTCCTAAAACACTGCTGCTACCCGAGCGGCGTTATCAGTTGCAGGTGGGTGTGGATGTGCAAGGGGGAGAGAGTGATGGACGGGTAGCAGCGTCATCTCCGATGATGGCCGCCGTTTCAGGGAAATTCTCCACCCGTGCCTGCCCTTCTAGGGGCATCACCGGCGCCGACGCGGGTCGACCTCCTGTCCTAGCGGCCGTTACTCTCCGTCTCGGTTTTGCTAGCAGCAGACGCGGCGGTGCGGCCATTCATGGTGGTGGAAGCTGCGTCGTGAGGCAACGTAGGTCGTGCCGCTCACTGTCGGGTGAGGGGCTGCTTCCTCCTCTCCTCTCCTCGTTTCCATCTTCCTCTTCTCTCTTCAGCGTGGCTTCTTCTTAAAAAAACCGTACGACGGCCTGCTTCTACTGATTTTTGCCCAGTCCCTTTTCCTTCTCTCCACAATCGGCTACTGCTTTGCATCTCTTACGCGTGGGTGTGCGAAAAAGGCGGAGAGAGACTTTCGCAGTTTCTAGCGGATGATTATCCTTTGGTACCTGTTTCGAACCTCCTCCGGTTCTTGGTTTTGGTTTCTACATTTGGCAACTCGTTTTTTCCGGTGAATCTCGAGCTTCTTTCGCTTACAAATTCCTTCTACCCAACGAGTTTAACGCTTGGAGGCACACCGTCCAGTTCATGCAGTTTCAAACGTGGATGCTGTTCTCACGGGTGAACAGACTGAGGCCGAAGTGGCTAAAGGGTACACGATGACCCAGTTCTGCGACAAGATGATTGAGGTTTTCCTCCATGAGAAGCCCCAGTCGAAGGATTGGAGGAAGATACTGGTCTTCAGAGACGAGTGGAAGAAGTACCGGCAGAGCTTCTACAATCGGTTGCAGGTCCGTGCAGACACCGAAAAGGATGCCACCATAAAGCAGAAGCTGGGTTCTCTTGCCAGGAAGATTAGAAAGGTAACTTGCTATCCCTTGTTATGAATGCCGAAACAGTTTTTCTCCTGCAGCTTCCGATTATGAAGAGGTTCTAGGTCGTCGATTTTCAACTGCTTTTTTATTTTTAAAACTAATGGGTTTTGATTGGTTAGAAACATGAAGAATACGGTCTGATGATTTCACTTAGGGGCATCCCGTTTGTTGATTCTGGTGTTGGCTCGTGGTGGTGCCATTTTGCAGGTTGATGATGAGATTGAGGTGTATACTGATCTTGTGGAGGAGATTCAGCAAAACCCAATGGATATCGACGCTATTGTGGCAAAACGGCGAAAGGAGTTCACTGGTGAATTCTTCCGCTACATTAATACCCTCTCAGAGACCTGTGAGAGCCTGGAAGATCGAGATGGTAATCAATCAAAGCTCTTGCTTTTATCGAATGGCTGCTTCTCTCTCTCTCTCTCTCTCTCTTAAATCTGAAACTGAAAAAGGGGCATAGTAGAACAACTATTCAGCTGCAATAGCATGATCACTTCTAAAAGGCAACATATTTTTGCACCTCTGCATCTCTTGTTCCTATTGCATTTTCAGAATTGTTCTTCATGAATAATCGAAAATGACTCGTAAATTCTCTTATATTCACCGGAGATCAGCAAGACCCACATTTCTCTCATGTGATTCGCGTGCAAAACACCTCTTGAACTCCCATTCTCTTATATTCTCTTGGGCAGCAATGGCACGGTTCGGGACTCGATGCTTATCTGCAGTCTCAGCCTACGATAATGCGATTCGAAGTCTCCAAGAACTGGAAGGTGCCCAGTCAAAGTTTGATGACATCTTGAACTCCTCTTCCTTGGAAGTCGCATGTGAAAAAGTAAGGAGCCTTGCCAAAGCCAAAGAGCTCGATTCGTCACTTATTCTGTTGATAAACCAAACTTGGGCTGCTGCAAAAGGATCCAAAACGATGAAGAGTGAGGTAACAGACTTCCAACATCTGTTATAAGTATTATCCACCTAATTACTATCAAACTGCATTGCTCTTTTTCACTTGTAGGATTAAGCTGTGGGGTTGTCTTTCAGTTGTTTTTTGGTTACTAGTTACTAGTTACTTCTCATATATTCATATCTACATGATTTTGTGCATTTATAGACTTGTTGCCTGGATATGGTGGTGGGAAGCATTGCTTCTCTGTAGATCCTAGGGTGCCTTGTGTGTCGGCAAATGCTTCCTCGCTTCCTCGTTTCATACTACCAGGTCAATTTATGTTTCTGCTCTTGCCATCTTGGATCTGATATTTTGTCTGGGTGAGAGACATAAAAATAGAGTAGGCTGGTTTTAGTTCAAATAATTGGCGATAGTTTACTCACCCACATTTTATAAGATAATGAGACTGGACTGAAAGAGAGTTCGTATCCATACCTAAATCTCCAGACCGCCATTCATAACCCAACTGATAAACAGGTCTTCCTCACCGCACTGGCCATTCTATCAGCATGTCATGACTGAACATCTTTGATCTCCTTTGAGATACGGATTAGCTCTCTGAAGTTTTTGATCCTTGCTTTTATCTTTCCTTTTTTGCCACTACTCATAGCTTAGTGCTTCTCATCTCGTGCTTGATCACATCTTCTTCAGTGTACATTCAGGGCTATGATTTAGGGTATCTCCATGGATTTTCACAACTTTCATTAACCTACGCCCAGATTCTGTATTTAACGTTTATTTTCTGGATTAGAAACGAAACTTTCGTGTAGCTTTGTTCCTAAAGTAGTTGTAGCTTTCTGTGAAGCTGGCATCATCTTCATTTCTTTGCATCACACCTCAAGAAGCAAGTCGATCAGATATTCCTTCCGACAAGGAGCAAGCAGAAAAGTCCTGGGGTTTTTAAGATCATAATTCCATTCACCAACCCAATCTCGAAGAATTGATGAAGATCGTTCAGTTCCTATAGAACTATAACTCAAGTACCCCGGGCGATGAGAAATTCTTTGTAAACTGCAGTTCCCGTGCTTGTTGAGTAATCTGTGTTCTGTACTTACTAGGGGAATGATAGGTGCTCACACTGTGCTACAAACTTTTGCAGACGAAGGAGATTATGCATCAGATATATAAAGCTACGCAGAAGAGCCTCAAGAACATTGCACCACCTGAGATTAAGCTGCTCAAGTACTTGCTGAACATCATAGATCCTGAAGAGCGATTCTCGGCGCTGGCAACTGCTTTCTCTCCTGGAGATCAGCGGGAAGCCAAGGAGGCTGGTGTCATCTACACGTAAGCTCTTTCCCCCTTTGTCTATCTGTTCCACAAAAGATTATGTGCCTTGAATGTTCTTTCTTGTCAAAACTCAAATCTTTCGGATCTGGGTCACTTGGGAATCTCGATTGGTTGTTCAATCGAGCATCGCATGATCTTCGTCTTTGCGTACATCGACCTTAATTGTCTTTCTTTGCCGATTTTTCTGCGAGCTGTCCGGATGATTGATAGTTGTCTTGGTCCTGTGTTACGGAGGGCAGCACGCCCAAGGAGCTGCACAAGTGGATAAAGATAATGCTGGATGCCCACCAGCTGAACAAGGAGGAGACGGAGATGAGGGACGCCAGGAGCATGGCCGATCCAGTGGTCATCCAGAGGCTTTTTATCCTTAAAGAAACAATCGAGGAGGAGTACTTGAATCGGCAGGCAAACCAGGATGCACCAGCGGAGTCCAACGAGTGATGTGAAGATGACGCCGGGGTTCTCCTCTCCCACGGGAGGGTCATAAATGCAGAAACGAAGCTTCGTCCCGTTGTGCACCATGCTGGGGACGTTCGTTACCTGCGGTAGAGTGAGGCTTCTCCTGGGCGGGCGCCTGCGAGGGCCAGGAGTTGCTCCGAGCTTGGAGGGGACCTGAAAGGCTTCCTCCGTAAAGGAAAGTGAAGTGATACTCCCTCTACTCTGTTTCTCGTATGGACAGCAATTGACACCGGCGAAACAGTCGACGATCAGTTCATAGCACTGCACCACCTCAGACCCCCCGCGTGCTCAGTTTGAGCGGGGGCGACGATGACGCTGGAGCAGGATATAGAGGGCGGGAAGACGTCTCTCCCTCTCTCTCTCTTCCTCTGACAGAATGTCGTAGAGAAAACGTTCGGAAAGCGCACTGTGCCTGGATGGCCGATGGCCATGTTTTCGATGTGCTTCCTTCTCCTTCCGACTTCATACTTTTCTTCTTCTGGAGCAAACCGCAGCTTTGTGGGGCCCACATGAGTTGTTCGCGCCAACCACGCGTCGACCTACACTGCGGTCTCTAGAACGTTGGGACGGTGGCGCACGGATCGCGGACCAAGGCAACCAAATCTCCCGACACGTGTCGGTCATGTCAGGAATCGTTAACCGGCTTCTAGATCCATGCTACTCTCCTATACACCCTGAGGTCCTGGTTCCCCTTGTCCTTCCTCCCCGCCACAAAACCCTAACCTGCCCCGTTCTTTTGCTTCCCCCGCCTCCGCAGACGAGAAGAAGAGAAAGGAGGGTCCGTTGATAGAGAGGGGACGGCTATGGCCACCTCCGCGTTCCTCAGGGCTGCGAGGCGGCGGGAGCTCCATGCGCCGCTGAGTACCCTTCGATCCGTATGTTCTCTCCCTCTAGTTTCTATACACCCACCTTTAGCAAGCTGTACTCGGACTAGAAAGTTTGGTTACGCTTCCTTTGTCTCGTCCCCCCAAGCCTCTCGGTAATCGATGTTTCATTTCGTTTTCTTTCTAGGTCTGGCCTGGTTTTCTCTCAGTAGTGGTTCTTATTCGTCACGGTATTAACGGTATAACCAGCTGCTATAAAACGGTCCATAATGGGATGCACTGATCTTTCCGCTCGCTAACGGTTTATTGACTTAACATAATTTCTGGCCCGTCTAAGGTGAGAATTCCTTGGAGGGCAGGATTGATCCGTTAATCAGTTGATCAACTTAGCTTAGCTTCAACCAACCTCCGCCATGTTGTTTTTTCTTGTCTTCTATGTTATCCTGCCGGTTTGATCCTTCGTCTACCCGTTGTGCAATACGCACGTACTCAGTTCTGATTTCCAACGTGTGTCAACGTTCATGGAGGTATTAGTCTGTCTAGTATGGGAATTAATGAGATCAGGAAATCGTGTTTGTTTAGGCTAATGTGATATTCCCTATCTCAATGAGGTAATGACCGTATGATCGATTTGATTTTAAATTTTTTTCAGGGTTGATGTGTCTGTTTAATGAGACTTTCTGTAAAAGCCCTAATGCGAGAATCGTATCTAGTGATGTTCAAAATTATCCTATAAGGAAATCGAACTCACATGTTCTGTCAGTGCTTTATGCAAATATCAATCTTTTACTCCCAAGTTGTGCGTGGGAATCGCTACCAGCCGTGCAGGATTACTTGCTGGTCGGAATAGATATGTTGAACCTGACTCCGTCGGGAGATTATTGATTCCCATTTGTCCCGTCCCAGCCTCCAACCCAGTTCTTCACTGGAGCAACTTCATTGAAAATTGGATCCTTCCGCTGACATATGATGAAAATACTAGTGTAGCAGTCGATGACTATTTTTATCTAACCGTCCTTTAATTACCGTGCCTTTGAGGATTCCTTAAAGATCGTATCTCTCGGGAATAGTTTTGTTGTACTCTGCACGTTGGAAACAGACCTTACTCCTGCTCTATTTTTTCTTATACACGAGTTTAAGATGTATTCGCATGCTCTGTAACTTATCATGTTGTAGATGTATATAGCTACTTTATTAGAGGTTTGACTCTTTGTGTTTCCTTAGCCTCTCACGCACTTATAATTTGATGTGTAATTCTATTTTCTTCTGCCCAAGGCAGTACCTAACTAAGTGCGATGGAAATGTCATTTAGTGGATTCAACCACCTTTCATGTTATCGATTTTTGCTATTCTTTTCGAAATGTGGCTTCTAATTTGTAACAAAAAATATTTAATTTACTGGGTGGGAAAAGTCCAAGATTTGGGATAAAGTATTAACCCCTAGTCCAGAGAAGGTAAACTATTTTTCTGGTCATCATTGAGAGCCACACAACGTGACTCTTGCAGGACACCGGGTGTTGGTTTCTCTTTACAGTTGTAAAAAAATGTGGCATCTGACTGCTCATTCTCCTATGTTCTCATTGCATGGTCTTGAAAAGTTGTGTTATCAAGCTATCTGATATATTTGCTTTCGTTAGTTCTTATCGAGTACTCGTGTTATTTATTTTGAACTAGTTTAAGGGATCTAAGAGTTTTTTATGTCGCTGTTTCATCCTATGTTTTCTTTGCTGTTTGTAAAAGATGCGGAAGATTGTTTGGTAATAGTAAATTTTCCTTGGCTGGAAGGACGAATTTAGTTCTCCTTGTTAGATATCTAGGTTAACGCAGGTTAAAGTTTTACCTTAACGAATTTGGATAGTGTTCGAAATACGAAAGGCTGTCTCGCCTGTGTTTCTACATGCTTTAACAAGCTTTTCATCACATAGATTGAGTATGCGCTGGCGTAGTATTGATTACAATTACGGTTTGATGGGCTCATTTTCCTCGTCAAAGAATTTTTTCAGTAATTTAATATATATTTCAACAATTTGGAGCAAAACAGCGAATAAGTGATAGCATTTTTCGTTGCAGGTTTCTAGCAATCCAAAAGCATCATGGACTGTTTTTGGTCACAGATGGACAGGCTTAACTAGGCCGTTCAGGTAACAATGAACATGATATTCAATATCATGCATAATTGGATAGCTTTTTTGAGATGCCTGTGGCTAAATCGATTTTTGTTACTTCAGTGCAAAGTCTACCAGTAATGATATAATTGGAATTGACCTGGGAACAACAAATTCTTGTGTGGCAGTCATGGAAGGAAAGGTTAGCTATGTGATGTTTTCCTCGTGCACTTATTTTTTTAATTTGTATGAAATACTTCATTCTACCGGTCCTATTGCAGAATGCAAAGGTCATTGAGAATTCTGAGGGGTCAAGGACCACACCTTCAGTGGTTGCTTTTAACCAAAAAGGAGAATTGCTAGTTGGAACACCGGCAAAGCGTCAGGCTGTCACTAATCCGACAAATACTCTTTTTGGAACGAAGCGCCTGATTGGTCGTCGTTTTGAGGATCCTCAGACTCAGAAGGAAATGAAGATGGTTCCTTACAAGATAGTAAAGGCTCCTAATGGTGATGCATGGGTGGAAACTAATGGACAGCAGTATTCTCCTAGTCAGATTGGAGCATTTGTTTTGACAAAAATGAAAGAAACTGCCGAGGCGTATCTTGGTAAAAGTGTTTCAAAAGCAGTGGTTACAGTTCCAGCTTATTTCAATGACGCACAAAGACAGGCTACAAAAGATGCGGGGAGAATTTCGGGTCTTGATGTGCAGCGTATCATTAATGAACCCACTGCTGCTGCTCTCTCTTATGGGCTTAATAACAAGGAGGGTCTTATTGCAGTTTTTGACCTTGGAGGGGGAACATTTGATGTCTCAATTTTAGAAATATCAAATGGTGTTTTCGAGGTAACAGTTTCGGCCTGGTAACTCGTACAATTTTCAGCTTTTAAATTCTTATAATATTTTCCTGTTTTACAGGTGAAAGCAACTAATGGTGATACTTTCTTGGGTGGAGAGGACTTTGATAATGCTCTGTTAGACTTTCTTGTTGGTGAATTTAAGAGAACTGAGAGCATTGATCTCTCAAAGGATCGGCTTGCACTACAGAGGCTTCGAGAAGCAGCTGAGAAGGCTAAGATAGAACTCTCATCTACATCTCAGACAGAGATAAATCTGCCGTTCATCACAGCTGATGCCTCGGGTGCTAAACATTTGAATATTACACTGACACGGTCCAAGTTTGAATCTTTAGTGAACCACTTGATTGAGAGAACTAGAAACCCTTGCAAAAACTGCCTGAAGGATGCTGGCATCTCCACGAAAGATGTTGATGAAGTTCTTCTTGTTGGTGGGATGACCAGAGTTCCTAAGGTTCAGGATATAGTCGCAGAGATTTTTGGAAAGCTTCCAAGCAAGGGAGTGAATCCAGATGAGGCAGTCGCGATGGGTGCTGCGATTCAGGGAGGCATCCTCCGAGGAGATGTTAAAGAGCTGCTTCTGTTGGACGTTACTCCCTTGTCACTTGGTATTGAAACATTGGGTGGCATCTTCACCAGATTGATCAACAGGAATACGACTATCCCAACAAAGAAAAGTCAGGTAAGCTCATTCCATTTCTTCTTACTTCAGGTTTTTGGATCTAGTACGTTTGCTATTTTTTTGGTCTATTGCCACCGAGCGATGGTAAGTAGAGTTTATTTTTAACTATAATTAGTATCACCCGAATCGTTGGCAGCCGGTTAGAAGGCCATTAACCCAGGGATATCTTTTCAGGCATGGTCTCCATAGTTGCATGCACGTAAACTGGCCCTGGCAATGTGATTTGGATCGTAATTGGATAGAATACGATAGGAATCAATTAGGAAACGGGTAAAAAATGAGCTGATCTGTGTTTCTAATACGGATTCTGCGATTCTTTTGTCTCTGTGTATGTAAGCTACGCCGCTGGTGTCCCTGTTCGTGTTTTTTTCCTATCCCTCGTTGGGAGGGCAGCCGCATATGCTGCTTTAATTGCTCTTCATTAGAGAATCATAGTGAGGGGACACCTGAGAAATAGTGGGATGGGTGGAGCATCCTCTCCACCCTATGTTATACATATGGATAGAACAAGTGTCGTGGTCTGCTGGTCAGTGTGCCCAGTGCAAGCAGGTGTAGTGGCGCACTGACATTCTGCCGCATGTTTTGATGGAGGAGGTTTCAGTTGTATGTTTCAACTGGTACTCGTTTTTTAGATAAATTTAGTCATTTCTAGGCACTGTCCCAGGAGATGCTTATGTCCTTGGACCATGGAGTCTCGGTGGCTGATCAAAACTTCAATCACACCTTGAACATATTCGTTGGCCATTGGATTTGGATTTTCAATGACAAATGAGGCACTGAACTCACGTTTCTTGTAAGGTGGTTTCATGCAATTTATCTCCATGGTTGGCAATCCAGGTAATCTGAGGTTGCGTACACTCGAGCGTGCAAAGGACACGTGCTTGTAACAATAAAATTAGAAGGCTGCCTCTTTGTTTATAACAGGCCTACTTTACTCACACCTACTAATTATGCGCTTGATTGATATTTTGGATTCTGGTCTTTCATGTAATCGCTGGACTGTAGTTCTAGAGTATCTATTTACACCATGCTTGTACTCTTTGTTGACGGTTTCAACCTGCATGAGTCATTCGTTGTTAGCTGCTCTGTCTTTAACTATGCGCACTAGTTTTGTCTGGCGTATTTGGGCACCTGATTGGATGGATTATCCAGTCATTCCCGTCCCTGCAGCGTGCGCAGGCAGCAGTTAGCTGTACTAATTGAGTGTTCTTTGCGGTACTTGGCCAGACGTTCTCTACTGCAGCCGACAACCAGACTCAAGTCGGAATCCGCGTTCTTCAAGGAGAGCGTGAGATGGCTTCGGATAACAAGCTCTTAGGGGAGTTTGAGCTCGTCGGCATTCCACCTGCTCCCAGAGGGTTGCCTCAGATTGAGGTCACCTTCGACATCGACGCGAATGGGATCGTCACAGTCTCGGCCAAGGACAAGTCCACAGGCAAGGAGCAACAGATCACCATCAGGTCTTCCGGCGGCCTCTCGGAGGATGAGATCCAGAAGATGGTGAGGGAGGCCGAGTTGCATGCCCAGAAAGACCAGGAGAGGAAGGCGTTGATTGACATCAGAAACAGCGCGGACACTACGATCTACAGCATAGAGAAGAGCCTGGGCGAGTACAGGGACAAGATACCCTCGGAGGTTGCTTCTGAGATCGAGTCCGCTGTGGCCGACCTGCGGAAGGCCATGGGGGAGGAGAACGTGGACGAGATAAAGGCTAAGCTGGATGCGGCGAACAAGGCGGTCTCCAAGATTGGGCAGCACATGGCCGGGGGCTCGGGTGGGTCCGCCACCGGCGGTGGAGCATCAGGTGGCGGCGACCGGGCCCCGGAGGCGGAGTATGAGGAGGTCAAGAAGTGAGCTGCGCGGTCCCAGAGGAGACATTTTTAAAAAATGGGGACTCGAAACGTTGAGAACCATCGACGACGATACGCAAATTTTGTCCAGAGGGCCTGCAAGCTTTAGATTTGTGGTTTCGTCTTTTTTTTCTTTCTGCTATTTCTCAGCTCAGCTCAGCTCAGCTCAGCTTAGTGGTGCTGCCACCATGTAGAGAGCTTCTTTCCCTGGAGTTGGTTTTTATCAACACACTGTGTCGAACTTGCAGCAGCAGCAGCAGCAGCAGCAGCATAAGGCTCACATCCCAGAGTGTGAACGTGAACCAGCGCCCCCTTCTGCGGCATTCCATCTCTGCTTGTTGTTCACATTCCTTTCGACAGTCTCTTCTTCTTCTTCTTCTTCACCTTCCAGAGATCGGCAGCAGCAGCAGCCTCTCTATGGAGATGAGATGGTCTCGGGGTAGAGTGAGCAGGAGGCGCCAAGGAACAAACAAGGGACGTGCGAGATCCACAGACTGTTGTTGTTGCCCAAGCTTACAAACAACATCGCTCCTTTCTCGATGGGCGACGACGGACGGTGGTCTCTAAGGCTGCCCCTCGACCCTGGTACAGTAACGTGCTCTCTCTTCTTATTAACTGGGAAAAGACTCTCTCCTTCCCTCCTCTCTAAGAAGCGTTGCTCTGCGTGGAGAACTCGAACAGCATGGAATGGCGGTACTCGTCGCCGGGGTGGACGACGACTGTGGGGAAGTTGGGCTGATTGACGGCGTTGGGGAAGCCCTGCGTCTCCAAGCACAGCCCGGCGTGCTTCCCGTACACGGCGCCGCCCTTGCCGACCACGCCCCCGAGGAAGTTCCCGGTATAGAACTGCATCCCCGGCGCGTCGGTCCACAGCTCGAGCACCCTCTTGCTCCTCGGCTCCCTCACGCGCGCCGCCCGCCTCAGGCCCTCCTTCTCTTCGCCCTCCCCGAGCACGAAGTTGTGGTCGTACCCGCCGGGGACCAGGTCGATCCTGCTCCCGATCTTCTTCTCCTCGGCAGTGAAGTCGAACGGCGTGCCCCGGACGGGGGCGATCACCCCCGTCGGGATGGAGTGGTCACCGAGGGGGGTCATATTGGACGCCCATATCCTGACGCTGTGGTCGAGCACGTCGCCGGCGTCGTGCCCGGCCAAGTTCCAGTAGGTGTGCTGAGCCAAGCTGATCGGCGTGGCCTTGGTCGGCACGGCCACCATGTCCAGCCTCAGCGCCGTGCTCGAAGGTAGGCTGTACTTGGCCGTCACCACGACGTCCCCGGGGTACCCTGTTATTTTTTACCGTGAGGAAGGAAGGGAGGCAGTGCCATTCTCATTCTCAGCAAGCCCGCTAATTAACAGAAGGCAGATATAAGATAAGATAGATTGATAGATGCAAGAGGGACGTCGTGTAGTGTACCTTCCTCCCCATCTCGGCTGAAGTACCTGAAGGTGATGGACGGGATCTCAGCATCAGCGCGTTCCAGGACCTCCCAGAGGACTTTGTCGAACCCACGACGCCCGCCTGCACATGATGACGATAAAAACGTCCTATCTGATCAGATCTGATCTGACTGTGGACAGATGGATCACTTGGTCGGCGTGCGGGGGTGGCCTGAGGCGTTGAGGGCAGCTTGAGCACGGCCAGAGGAAGGGATGGGGAACGAGGCTTGCCCGCCATATGATCAAGAGGAGAAATGGTCTCTCTGCAACCAGAAGACCATGGGGACAGAGCAGAGCATTCGAGGCAACTCTCTCTCCACACGGTGTATACACAGCCACACGCGGATGCGCTGGGATTAAGGACCAGGATCTTTAGGGTTTCTGGGTGGGCGATCCAACGCGGATAGCTCCTACGAGGCGATCCCCGGCACATTCCCTCCTCATTCCTCGAGTGAATTTGATCGTGTGACGCGCTCCCCGTAAATCATCATTTATATATATATAAAAACAAGTAGCTGTCTTGCTCTTACCATGGAGAGAGTTGGGGGGATTGTTGATGGGAAGCGAGTAGTCCACTCCATCGAGGGTGAATTTCCCATCTTTGATCCTGTTCGCAACACGGCCGACGATACAGCCGAAGTACGGGGCCGCGCCTTCCTGATCAGAGAGAGAGAGAGAGAGAGAGAGAGAGAGAGAGAGAGAGAGAGCGCCCGGCCAACACATTCGACGGGGTTAGTGCGTCATCTTGTTCCTCGCGTGGTTAGAGGAAGAAGACGAGCAATGCAGTGAAATGGGTTCGATCTCAGCGCGTAGAGCTAATAGGGATCGAGGGAGGGAGAGTTTCTCACGATATACGGCTCAATGGTTTCGAATCCGAGGACGACATCTGCGACTTTCCCTGAAATAGGACCGCCCCGTGAGGATGCTTACATAGAAGGGGAGGGGAGCCGATAAATAATCTCGCGGAATCAAGCCATCGTATGAAGGGAGAGAGCTTTTCGATCACCGTGGGCATCCGGCACGAGAAGGGAGGTGATGGTGGCGCCCCAGTTGCTGACCTTCACCGTGAGGCTCCCATTTCTCAGCTCGAACACGTCCGCACCACCGGCTTCTGCCATGCTCCACCCCTCTCGTGTCTGCTGCGGGCAATCAGACGACCAGAGAGACAACGGAGGGGAAGCTTCGGTCCAAAACGGATGAGATCTCTCCGGCTCCGTGGGCGTTCGGGGGGTTGAGGTGTCAGGGGAAAAGAGAAGATAGTCAAACCAGATCACGACGAAAACGCCGACAAGTCCGCAATTTCTCATTTTCTCTCAGCCTCTGGGAACCGGAGCCCGGCGTCCATCACGGCACCCGCGACTACTTACTTGACCGGATTAGAATTTCAAAGGCGCCGAGTCCGGCACAGCACGGTCGGGGGGGATGAGGAGCCTCCCTTCTGTGCTTGTTTAACGCGAGAAGCTCGTCGTCACTTCTGCCGTCCAAATATTCCGTCGTTTGTTCTCCGAAAACCTCCCATCGGGTGGGCAAGGACCCTCCACCATGAATCACCCTCCTTCTCGGGGGACACCCTCCAACTTATCTTAGCGTAGGAAATTGATTGGGGAACGCGGTATCTTGTCCAACAGCTGCTAAAAAAAAATCCGCCGCATATATACCTCGTTACATTTCTGCCATGAATGGCAGAACGCAGTACCCTGTCCATCCGTCTTCCTCGACTGCGTAACTTGGGATTCTTCGGCGAGTGAATGCATCCAAAAAAATCGTCTGGAAACACCTAAAAAAATGAGATGAGATGAGCCGAAGAGGACGCGTACGATTAGCCGGTGGGTGGCTTGGGGCGCTTTGCCTCTTTCTGTTGAAAACAAGCACAACCCTCCATCCGTCGTCGAGAACCAGTCGGATCCTCTTCTTGGATGGGGGTGTAGGCGTAAAAAATGATGCAGAAAATTGATTTTACATGCACAAACAACGGAGAGCTGCGGGCCATGGAATGCCCATGGGATAAGAGGAACCGCACAACGTGTCAGGAGAGAGCACCTGAGCTGAATCCTCACTGCCATCTCCTACAGAGAGAGAGGTCTACATTTAGGCTACGTCAGTCGACTAGCATGGAGATTGGGATACTCGCCGCCGCCGCCGACGCCACGGCAAGTCAGCGCCTCGGCATCTTGGCGACGCGCGGTCTGCTCTTCTCGGCGGGAGGCTTCCAAACGAGGTCGTCCACTTTGCTGCGAAAGCTCTTGTAGAACTGCAACAAGCGCAGATAGTCAGTTTGAGGAAATCGAAAGGATCAGCCGACATCCCGCGCGGCGACGGCAACAGCAATGAACAGAGTGAGGAGCGCAACAACGGCGGAGGCGAGGATCTTGCCTTGAGGTAATCTGCAGAATCCCCAGCCGCCTTCTGGATGTCTACCATGAGGAATGCGGGGGCGACCTCGAAAATCTGCGATCGCCCAAGCAGAGATGAGACGGGAATAAGCAGGACGACTCTCCTGGGCAGGACGAGGGGAGCGGGAGCGAGCGTTACCTCCAAGATGGCAGAGAAGTGCGCGGCTTTGTCCGCCGAAGGCCCCTCCACCCTCATCTAGTTATAGACCCGTCATCCCCAACACAAGGAGAGTCAGAAAAAGGCCATGGGCGATAACAGTCCAAGGAAAGCTCGATAGGGGCTGGTGTGTATCACCTTGTAATTACGAATGTGCGTCTTGAAGCCCATCGACTGCGCCACGACCTCCATGGTCGACACGACGACCTTCGCCGGTTGCTGCGAGACGAATCTGGTGTGATTCTTCACGCCATCCTGATCAAACGCCACCACACGAAGATCAGCCACTTCAATAAAAAGCTGCATGCATAGGTAAACTAGGAGGGGAGTGGGGGGAGGGGCAAAAACATTAGGTCCCCGCCACCTTCGAGCACACAAAGGGATTCGTTAACCAGAGGGAATTCAGTTTCGACGCATGCAGACCAAACGATACGTTCATGACCTGACTAGGATGCAGATATTGACGACGCTCAGGGGAGAGCATCGTTTTAGAAAAGAGCTTGCCAACGTCACGACAGGTAGCATTCCTGCTCATCTTGCCTTGTACAGCGGTGAGAGAGAGAGATAGAGAGCCTCTCTCCATGAACGGTAATGAAGGGACGACTCTCAGACGATTCACACCATCTACACTGGGATGGTAGTCGCATACCCGCAAGGCAAATACTCAGAGAGGCGACCCGACCCACCCGCTTTACACAGTATCATCGCAAAGATGATACGCCATGCAAACCGCCGGGCAAGCCTTTCAAGATTATTCGAGCAAAAATGAAGATACCGCGCAATACACGGACAAGAAAGCTACTGCACATCCAGCACCTTAACAGCAAGATGATGAAGCACGAAAAACAATGACCACAGAAATCAATAGTGCAGCACAAAAGCACATGGCTGTGGAAAACACATCGATCATATGCAAAGACATGACGCAAAACCAAGAGCAAATTCATGAACTGACAAGTACCTGTCCCCGATCGAACATGGCCGAAAGATTGAGCCCTTCAGAAAGGACAATCAGATCAAACGCATTAAGAATCAAAGGACCCGCGTTTCCGTTTTCAACTTTCCCATTGCCTTGCTGATCCTGAGGAAGATGAAAAAAGGGTATTTCATAAAGGTAGCGTAACAGTGATGCCTTCCGTCAACAGACGAGGATGATTTGAAGCAAGTCCACAGAGGATTTGAGTACACTTATTGCACGGATTCGAGGATCAGCAGATGGTGACCCCAGTCGGTTCGTCTGACTCGAGAACAGGTAGGAATTCACTACACGGTAAACAAAGAAACGAGGGCTCGACTCGGGATGATTCACGGTTGACTAGATCTGAAGGAAAATCGTGAGACTCTTATAGACTTTTGGTGGACGAACACAGAAAACATGAAAATTTGGGCTTCTGAAATCACTTTCCTCCTGAGCGGTTTGTGATATGTATAGATCAATTTTGCATTCTTCGGGTTATCAGATGTTGAGAAGTCCAATCTTTTCTCAACATCCTTTTTGTCAATTCCAATGGAGGTAACACCATTACAAAAACTAAAAGACAGTAAAAATAATAAACAAGATGTATTTAAAATAAATAAAATATCCAGAGAACATTTGCCGGAGTCTGTTCATGACCACCCACATGGCTACATGTAATACTTGCAGCACCCAGAGAAGCAAAACGAAGGATATGTTTGGCAAATTGAAGTAGCCTACAAATAGACAAGTACAGTCTTGTAGAACTAACAGGAGTCAGAAAATTGGAATAGGCGAAATGAAAGTGGTTTCTACGAGTATACTTCCCTTTCTTACTAAATTTTAAATTTGATTAAATTAAAGGCATGAAATTTGACAACATATTGGATGCTGGGGAAGACTAATTAATCAGAAATGTAGAAGATCCCGCTAGCATCCATAGAAGTTCTTTCACCAGTATAATTGGATGCATCACAACTTTGTCAAGAGCGCCTTCACACAACCCTCCCCTCACTCCACATTCGCGTAGCCCTGGAGAGAGAACAAGAGAGGATTTTACGAGGAAAAGATCGGTAGAACTTCAAGCCCGCATTTCAGGCCGACTCTAACCCTGTGTTGCATCCTCTAGGAGGGTCAAGAGAAGGCTGGAAAGCAATTTACTGCAATGGAAGAATAGCTCAAAGGAATAAGCCATCAACCAGGACAATCACAGGTAGGAGAAGCTAGTTCTAGAGATATTCACACAGGAATTCAAATGTTTTTAGAATGAACAACAGGCCAAATACCTATACACGAAATCAAAAGATGTTAAGAAAAAGATCTACGAAAAGCGCACCTCGGGATCATTAAAGGCATTGGATATGTCATCTAGGTTCACGTCCTCAGTTTCAAAGTTTTTAATAGCAACATAGCCCTCCTTGAACCACTCATCTTCTCTGATGTCCAATATTTGAACACGCTGAAAAAAAATTAAAGAGACAGATTGCTCAGAACTTTATGTCAAAGGTGATATGGCACCGGTACAAAATCCAGCAGCATAAATGAATTACCCGCCTAATATCAATAGTATTCCTTTTGGAATCCGAAAGCATATTGTCATAATCATCGAGAGGTAATATTATAAACAGGATGCAAAGACTGACTTCCAGAAGATACTTACAGTTTCAGGATTAGGATCCAAAATTCTACGAATTAAGGATTTTGCTCCCACAGAAAACCAGGACGGGAAAGAAAACTCTGCTTTTCCAATCTGCGGAAATCAATACCGTAATACCATGAGTCTTGGCATTGAATCAGAGGCAGGTTACATTCGATTCAAGATTAGGAAAGATAGAAGCAAGCATACAGACCGCAATAATGTTAAATAACACAGTACCCTACATGTCATCTATTTTAGGCAGGTCGAATTTTTGTCTCGGTTTTCAAGGCTCTAAACTAGAGAATGCAATCAAGTACAGCTATCTCAAAGTAATGGCCTATTTTAGAAACCCACTCCTCAAGGGTATCAATGACTACTCGATCTTTATGGAGTAGACCTTTTAGGTTTTCCTACTCTCAAGTTTGTTTTTTACGATTTTCTTCATGATGGAAATACCATTCACCATTTAAGGCGGTTTATCACGATAAAAAAGCATTAACCCATGTGGTTTGACGTAAACTCAGGAAATAATATGAGAAGATAAAACTAGGCGTGATTGAACATCAAATGCAGATACCTTGTTGTATAGTGTGGGTAGATCAACCTCATCAAATGGCAAACACCCTGCCAGTAAAACATAAAGGATGACACCACAAGACCAGACATCTGCCAGAGCACCATTGTAACCCTTATGTTGAAGCACCTGATACATGCCAGAAATCAAATTTCAAATATTGTGAGGACAAAAGATGTAGCAGTTATGCAATATAGGAACACAAACATTGACAAAAACTTGTCGATCATGATAATCCAGTTACATGGATGCATGAGCATGCAGAATTTTTGAGAACACACAGACGAACATGAAGAAAAAAGAAGGCAAATTATTTAATCCGAGGTGAATCCAGCCCATACAATTAAACATTGAAGGGGGGTAGGACAGCAACAGTGTCTCAAAAAATTGAAGTCATAGTTTTAGATGGCCACTCATGAACCTGCCAAAATGCGTGCATTTTTTTTTTAATCAAGAAACGCATTGCGGACTTTAACAGAGTTTCAGAGAGTTAGTCACCCACGAAGTATATGAAATTCTGTTCGTATAAACGAAATGACAGAATTACAGGAGAGATTCCAGTCTACATGGTGCTAACAGAAACCAGAATCATATGGCTTTTCTAACGATCACTTTATGTGTTGCATGGAAATGAATTCATATCAGTCAATAACTACGCCAATTGTTTTTCCTCTGAAACACATCAAATAAATCAAACTATGTAGTTCAATAATGTTTAAAAGTTAATTCTGTCATTTACGAATAGGTAAAGTTAGATGATACTCTAGCACTCTGAGGAGAAAGTCAAAGACAAATACCTCTGGGGCGACATAGTTTGGAGTCCCACATGTAGTGTGAAGAAGGCAAACCCCCTACAGCTAAAACCAAAAACATAAAATGATACTGGATATATTGCTGGTAAATCATAAGCCTACATATGCTATTGACCTGTGGAGGTAGTGCACTCAGACCAAAGTCTGAAATTTTCAGATTTCCACGTGAATCGAGAAGAAGGTTTTCAGGCTGCACAATGATCAGAGAAGCACAACGATGTCAGAGGGAAGCAAATTTCTCTTTTTTTGTTGGAATTTAGCAATGATAGACCTTCAGATCTCGATGATAAACTCCTTTGCTGTGGCAATAATCGACCCCATCAATAAGCTGCTGAAAGTACCTACGGGCATCGTTTTCACTAAGCCTACCGCGGTGGATCTGCAAAATGTGATCAGTGTAAATACGGGGAAGACGGATAAAAGAAAAATAAAACAAGCACCTTGGTTTTTCTCTCAGCAAGGATAACTTCTAAATGCATGATAAGTTATTGCTATTATATGGTGAACAGGTAAAGTTAAGGAGCAGGAACCAGACTTGGCAGTATAAAAGGGCCAACTATGAGTCAACTTAATATCTCATGGGTCTCCACCAGGACCGATTTCTACATGAAAATTATGATATATGAAATATTATGCATGATGTTTTTCATTATTCTCACTGGAATATCAAGTCCGGCAATAGAAAATGTAACTTTGAAGACTCACTATTTTATCAAACAATTCACCGCCTGTGATGAATTCCAATACAATATATATCTTGGTACGGCTTGCCAAAACCTACGGAAAAAGTGGAATTCATTAAGAGCTATTCCAGACCAACAAAACCAGATACGGGAACTGAACACAGGATACTGCAGCTTCAAAATAATTAGAGTCCAAGAAAATATTAAAACCATGCCTCATGCAGTCGGACGACGTATGGATGTCTGACAAGCTTCATTATGGATATTTCCCTCTTAATCTGAAAAAAGTGGAAGGGAAGGAAAGGAGTTACGTACAGTTATAAGAGTGGTGGCATGCGGCAAGATACCGATAAAACATAAATGCTGGTGTGATGATCAGTCTATCGACTGGATAAGCATCAGCGTGGCACATTGTATAGACAACCTAAACAACGTTCATAGCCAAAGAGCATTAAAAAATTAAGTAAAATTAGACGCCACATGCAGAGCTACAAGGAGCGGTGACAAACATACTGAGGGAAGCAAATAAGAAAAACAGTAAGACGAAGGTTGAGTGACCCTGAATGGTAAGCAGTTTTTTTTTTTTGTTCTATGTGCCACTGCTACAGAGAAAATCGAGCATTCAATGGTTGAATGTAACCTTTTATATAGGAGCATTCTTCGCTGTTCTTTTTCCCATGGGTAACCTTTTACTAAGCCCAGCCTTACCGTCTGCATTGTCGTTACCTTCTGGGTGAAGCATATTCTACCTTCATCGGCCAAATTTCTAGCCAGCAGGATTCAGGTGACCTTAAAAGGTCATTTCCTATGGTCTATCTCTTAGCAATGCCGCGTCAAAATAACGCATGAGCTTTTCAGCTGAATCTTCATCCGAAGCAAGTCGCGGCCTCACTTTTGGGGAGAGAGGTCCCAAAACTAAAAAAGTCAACTCCTACCATCATCGAGACCAAATCTTCAAGAAGATTCGGGCAGCAAACAGAGTTACAAGGCAGGCAGAACTTTGCTCAAGTACCCAGGGTATGAATGTTTTCCGTCTGTGGTTCAAGCATGGAGGAATTATTTTGAAGATTTTGAGAATCTAACGCGTTCAAGGTCCAAACAGAGCGAAGACTTTTCGCGTTACGCTCGGCCTCTGCGTCCTGTACTGGCGGCATGGGGCCTGGGCCTTGGCGTTTTGTCCATGAGAAATAGCCAGTTGGAATCATCAAGATACCTAATCGAAGAGGGGCGGGGGGTAATCCACAGAAAGACTGAACCTTGCCGAAAACAATCTTCCCGAAAACGTCGACTAAAGGACGTCTGATGAGAGATTAAACCTTGCGGCAAAAGAGCGGAAGCCGTGAAAGAAGAAGAGAGGTAAAGGGGCGACCTGGTCAGCCATCTTGTGCTTGATAATGGTGGAGCGATCGAGCACTTTCATGGCGACACTCTCCCCTGTCTCGGTGTTCTGAGCGAACTTGACCTTGGCGAAGGTACCCTCGCCGATGGTCCGCCCCACCTCGTACTTGCCTACTCTGCGCAGCACCATGGCGTCTGGGGAGGCCGCGCTCTCACCCCAGTCGTCCTCTCCCTTTCGCCAGTTGCCGCCGCTGCTACCGGTTGTCTTGCCGGCCTCGGCGTTCCTCTTCACGCAACGCACCGTCCTCTCCTTTTTCTTAAAAGGAGCAGCTGCTGCGAGCGGGTAAAGAATCTCCTTTAGACCTTCATTTCGCCATTTACCAGGATTCACCGCGACTTTAAGCCGCAGGTGCGCAGTGTGGTCGAGATGGTGACTGTCGATGAGGTGGGCGCCGGAAAGAGGGAGCGAACGAATGGGTTTTGAACTGGATCGGGGGTCCGCCTTTACACCCCCAGAAATTGGGGTTTCCTACCATTCTGTGCAGCAATCAGTTCGATTTGCCGCCGGATGTCGGGGGACGAACGATCAGAACAGGTTATCGCTACTCAATCAGCCGGAAAAGAAGATGGAAACGGAAGAAACATACCTCAAATCCCTCTCTTCCCTGTTGTCACCGATCATTAAGCGCAGGATCGACGCGGTCCATGCCAAAGAAAATTTTCAGAGGACGTAGGCACCCTGAACAGCATCATCGACGGTCGAGCAGGTAGGCAACTTCGTGCGATATCACGGAACTGAAACAGGAATGCGGGAGGACTGGGCAGACGGCGGTATTGATGACCACGGCTGGACCATCTTCGTGATGGAGAGGGAGGGGAAGGGGAGCTGCTGCGACACTGCCTGATCGGAGAAGAACGTTTTGGTCAAAAAGGGGGCAAGGGAAGGCCATGGAATGTAGACTTGTGTTCTCGCGGCCAAACAACGAACGAGGGGGAGGACTGGGGTCCTCCACCCACCGATTGGCGGCGGTGTGGTCGTCGTCAGGACGAGAGGACCACCCGCGCTCGCTTGACATCCGGGAATAAACAATCGAGGAAGTGGGTACATGGGTTCGGAAGAGGTCGGAAACGGAGGATCGGTCGTCTTCGAGAAGATTATGAATCTTAGCGTGCCCGGTGACAGCTGCTTAGACGTGCGTCTCGTTGGGGGAATCAGCCGGCGTTCGATCAAGATCAGGAAGGTACACATGCTCCCCTCGCGAGCGAACGGACTCATTCGGTGACGATCCAAGAGAGGGTGTGGTGGCATGGTGGCATGGTGGCATTTCGCCGTACTCGCAGAGGATGGAGGTGCCCGATGAACCAGTCAATCAATGAGAGGGAGGGATGGTCGGCAGCCGAAGAGGAGCGGGAGATTTACATTCATAGCGTTCGTCCCATGCAACTACAATTTACATCGTTCGTTCCACGACGGTGGGCGGCGCTTTACGGTCGTCCAATGAGAGGTCTGAACCTCTTACATATCGTTATCACGTCTGTAAGTAGAGTAGGTAGGTATCGCAGTCCTGACAGTCCGGGACGGGCCAATCAGAAGACGCAGATGACGGAGGGATCACAGCAGCACTCGTCGATGAGCCAGCAGCAGCATAGCGCGGCAAGGCTGCTCGCATCGCAGGCACACCACGTGTCATTGTCGGAACTTTCCTCTCTTTCCTACTGCTGTGAACGGAGAGCATTTTGTGCCTAGTTCTGCTATGGGGAAGACGGGGACAGAGGTTACCAGCCCTCGAGGAAGCCGGACGAACGGCGCGGCGGCGCGGCGGCGTAATGTGGCGGCGCCATCACGGGGGGGCCCTGGTAGTAACCTGGCTCATCCGCAGAGCATATATATATATATATATATATATGCATACATCAAAATCAACAGACCCGAATGTTTTCACAAATAGGAACTTCAAATCGTGGGTGCACAAATCTTTCTTTTCTTGATAGGAAAAAGAGAAGATAGCGACGTCGACTGTGCACGAGAATTATCGAGAGGCGAAGTCATGCTCGCGCAGTACGAAGGCCGTGACACAAGAACGAGCTCATACCGTAAGCCCAACAGCCTTTTTTCCTGGGCGGAATTCCTTCTCTCTAGAAGCGAATGATTGAGTAGGGGGGCTCGGAAAACAGAGCTAGCTGCTAATTAAGGGAAGAGGGCCGAGGGATGCGGGCGCACCTTGGGCGGGGTAAGGATAGGCGTAGCCGGGCTTCGGGTCCATCCCCGATGGGATTGACCGAGCTGGTCTGATCCCCGCACGCAGAAGAGAATTAGCTTGCTCCGGAGGAGGTGGTGAAGAACCGGCTGGCTGGCTCTCAGCAGAGCGATAAGTAGGCGCGGGAGGGGGCACTGTGGGAGGGGCGGAGCAGAGCGGAGGCGGAAGCTCGTTTTATGCAGGGAGAGAACCCATCGGAAGCGAGATGGATAAGGGCACGTGAGCGCGCTTGCTCTCACATACTCGGCATCGGCGAACCGACTTGGGAACCGCCAATCCGACTGCAGGAAAGCAGCCGGAGATCCTTCACACTCCCTCTTCCGTGTGAAAGGAGTGGGTTTGACTCTTTCCCCTCCTCGCCCCCCCCCGCCTTTCAAAAAGCGGAGAAGAGAAGAATTGCGTCAAGGCCAAGTATCCTCCTTTGAGGGGAGAGGAACCGAGGGCAAGTGGAGCGGTTGCCACTTCCACTAGTGGGGCGGCTCGCTCGTGTTCAACCCGCTTCGACGTCACCTCTTTGCCTTCCTACTTCCAATCCGGCTGAGACAAAGAGGAACAGCTCGCTCCCGTGTCGCTTGCGTACTAATTCGTCGCTAATGCTCGGCCTCTCTCCTCCTCCCAGGCCGATGCTCTCGGGGGCTGTTGATGAGCCGTCCCCTGCCGATGCCTCCTGCTTGACCGTCCTTACGAGACCTCTCCTCCCATCAGCGAGCAGCACGGAATGGGCGAGGTCCCGGGGAGTCCACTAACACTGGTCGATTATGACATACAACAATGGTGTAGTCCTACCGGAGAAGAAAGACACTAGTGGATTCCCTATTTGTTAGTGCCCAACTCCTTTGGATTCCAAACACCCCCATTAAAAACCATAGAGCCTTACAGCTGCTTAAAGGCCATAGAGCTTGCCTTACAGCTGCATAAAAACCAAGGAGAACCGATTCCAATACATAGAAAAATGGTAAACGATAATCCAAAAGGTGATTACTTTGACAGAGCGAAAGGGTGCCTGCAAGGCTGGCCAGATTTTCTACATTTCTCCAAAACTCCCCTCAAGTTAGGGTGGACATTGAAATGCCAACAGCCCATGAGTTATACACTCCTATCAAAGCAGAAGGCAGCGGTCCGTCACCTCCAAACCCTGTTGAAGAAGGTTGCCAATTGATCACATGGCTACAATTTTGGGGGAGCAATGAGACCTTTTTGATTCTTCTCGTGAGCAACTTCGCTACAACTTTAAGCACGCGAATACCAGCTTGCCCATGACGATGGACACAAATTGACTGTGGATGTACAAAATCTTTGATCAAGACATCTGAGCCAGTAAAATTCTGAAGTAGATACATCGCGTGGTTGGTATTCGACATCGACAGAAGAATTAATAAATTTTAGTTGTTATTTGGTTCCCCAAATACAAGAATATAGCCCAACAAAATGTGATGGCCACCAGTAGAATGAAATCCCAACAAGATCAAGTGAACTCTCTATTTGAAATTCAAATTATTTGCGAACTCAAAATTGATAGTAACAAATGACCAAATTGATATCAACAAGCTAAGATAAAGGTAATGTATCATATGTCATGCTATATTACTGTTGGAGAAGATGTCAAGAAATTAAAAATTATTCTAAAGTAATAAGACTGTAGTCAATGTAGCCAAAGGCCTTTCTTCATTGGAAGCTCAAAACCTCATGACTGGTTATTAGCAATTCAGAATTGGATAACATTTCTAGAGTGCATCTTTGTTGACGAGGAAATCTCTCTTATTTAGAATTACATACATCAATCACCATAAAAACTATGTGAGAAAAAGGCTAAGATTTAGGATACAATCATCATTTTCCGTAATTAGAATTGATCATCTACGCAAATGATATGAAGCTTGGGTTAGATTATGCATACGGCTTATTTAATTTAGATACATAACACTCTGAAAACTTTAAGTGCGAGGCTTACAAACTCTTGATAGAGAAAGATAGTATTAATTCCTAATTGATCGAGGAGCAAACTTTTATAAGAATAGTAAAGGAGGAGATGAGTTCTGGCTAGATTGCCAATAGTAGTGCTTATGTTTCAATAAATGGTATCATTAACCAGAATATAACATTCGACAGTCATATAGGCTTTTATATCATTCAATTGAGCCATCACAATGTTTTCGGAATTTTATAATCAGTTTTCATTCAATGAATAACTTAATGTTAGGAAGGAGGCATGAGGAGTAAATATTATGATGTTCAAGGGATTCAATTTTTATCACTATTACTTAATGCCAGTGAACAAATTTCGTAACTTGGGAGTAGAATATGGTTCTTCCATATCCATGATAATTTAGTATTGAGTAATGGAATTCAAAACAAGTTACTAATGTTGGCAAAAGCCCATGACAAGTTTCACACTATTTGACATGGTAGGGTGCGTTAAGGTTGATAGTTTAAATCTGACAATTTATCTTGCATAAGAATTTAGTACATCAAGGTTGATATTTTAATACATGAAAGTTATGCTGTATAACAAGGGTGATGCTTTAAAATATAATAAGTTGCATTGTGGAATATTTGCAGTAAATAAATGATGATGCTTGAACACATGAAAAAATGTCTTGAAAAATAATGGAGTACATTTAGGTGTATATTTCAATGTATAAAATATTATGTTGCAAAACATCAAAGTAAATTAATGTCAATTTTTAAGGAAAAAAAAATAGATTGCAGAAAGAAAGCAATAACGGTGACAAAGTTTAATTGAGAAGCATAAACGAAGAGATCTTCAAAAATATGTTTGCACCTTGGCAACAATTTAGCGTTTACAATCCAAATCTCCATCATTCATCTTTTAAGCTGCAATGAGAACTTTCAATCCAAGTCAATAGACCACACAACATGAAATTTTCAGAACTAATGTTTATAAAGTTTAATTTAGATCTCTCGGAAAAAATATTGCATTCATAACGATTGAGTAGATTAATTTAACATTATCCGTAGGCTTGACACCATAAATATTATCTCTTTGCACAGTTTGACAGCAAACTGAAGGTTAAGAATCATGCCTGTACGGAGGAAAAAAATAAAGCATTAGATCATGGGGACCCTAAATGAATGTTGGAGAACTGTCCGTCTCTCGTTGTGTGATTTTATACATAAATATCGCAGCAATTTGTATCTGAGGGCATGCCGTGTCCTCGACATTTTATCCGACTCCCCGGACCACTGCAAGATAAGACGGTAACATTGTAAAATTTAGCATAGGAAGAAATGTCATTTATATATATTTTTTAATACGAAACTCCGGGTTGTCGTCCACTCCGCTCTTTTGGACCGGCGCTTGACCGCCTCGAGTGCTCGCTGAGGCCGTGTCTTCCATGTCAATGATTCTTGGGGAACAGTTTCCAAGCAAGTTTTAGAGAGGGTGAGAATGACGACACCGACCTTGTGATGGGTTTTTAAGTTTTCTGATGTGTTGCAGAGGTAGGGAGAACTGAATTTTCGTTTCGTGCTCATTTCCTAAAAGGTTACGATTGTCTACGAACTCTCAGCTTAAGATTGCGCCTTATGTCGGGGATTGCATAGCTGGAAATAAGATGTGCAGTCTACGACTGGAAGCAAGGAAGGACCTTCCTGTGCCTCCTCCGATTGTGAGATCAGCTGTGCCGAACCAGGACTTTGCCGTGATTGTTGTTGCATTCTCTGCTGTTTCGACTATTGACTGGAGTCATTCTGCCAGTATTTTTTTGAGATGTGATGCAATCGTCAAGGAATGCTTCACCTGAGAATATGATGTGGTTAACTTGAGCTGTACCCTCCGAGAATATATGGCAAGGACAATTAGAGACAGCATTGGTTTGGGTGTTGAGCACCACTGTAGACGATGTGATAATAAAACTGATGGAATCTCACATAGAAAGAGGCCTTTGTACGCTAGCGAATCTCTCGACCCCAGGGACGACATAAAAAAGATTTGACTTGTGCGTATGTTACATAGATCTGAGCATATGAGGGCAGTAAGCTTGAAGAATATTACTGAATTAATGACGGCAAAAGGTAAATTATTTGCATGCAGAGATACAAAAATGAGATAAGCATAAACCCTGTCAATGATTCCTAATTTTTCAGGGTTGATGCTTGTCTCATTTTAGCATCTCTCCGCTGACAGGATGACAGTCTGATGTCGTGTATTTGGAAGATATCTGGAAGATGGAAGATTATCCATCTTCAGGTGTTCCAGCAGGTTAGCTTTCTGACCAATTACTAATTTTTCTCGGTCAAAATATGCGGAAAACTGTCTCTGCAGATATGTTAATGTCTCATCTAGATCTCGTTGATTTAGTTATTGTATGCTCATCTGCGATGTCTGCAGTCAATTAGTAGATTTATCATGCCTCTTTTCCGCCTGGTCCTGGAAATAAATTCCTTCAAGAAAAGGGTTCAACTTTCCATCGCAAGAGACACAGGAAAAATGACGATATCGTTGATGAAAGGTATTGTTGAAGGAAGATCTGCCAAGCTTGTCTGCGCAAGTGTTGTCCATGTTTTCTCATCGTCGCGTATAGAAGACCAACTAGGCCGAGTTCTGCGAGAACTGAGAAGATCTCAGAAAGCAGAGTACAGCATTGCTGAAGAGAAGCGTTGAGCATAGAAACCCATCCTAGCCAATTTATCTCAGCAACTCCACTTCCCCAAGGCCAAGTTTCTACTTTCACCGGGGGTAAAAACTGAAGCATATGATGCAAACTTCGAGGGGATTCGGAGAGACCCCGAAGCAGATCGTCAACGATTACTTCGATGCAACCTCGGATGATTGACTTAAAGATGAACCGCGGCTACGTCTTTCAAGTTGTTTTTCCTCGTGTAAGTAATGCCGCGTGAGTCTTGCTGTGACGAGCGATTTCCTCTGCATCGAAGGAGGGCGGGAGGGGCGGTGCTGTACTGCTGGTGCCGTAGAATGACGCGAAACGCGGTCTCTTTTCCCGCATGCATAATCTTGGATGTTCCTTACCCCCTTGCTCGTTCGTATAGAGGACCCGCGGCACATTCCATCAGTTCCTATGATAAGGGGGATGCGGGGATTGCTCACCATAGACAATAAATGATGGAAAGACATGTTCATTTACAAAAAGAAAGACGGCCAGTAAACCGCAGGCACGTTACAAGGGTTCATCAGGCTCGCGAGCGACCTTAATCCTTACATAAATGTCTGTTGCGCAGCAGGGCAGGGTATTATCACCTTATAGACAGGTAGGGGGCAACGCGACTAGAGCAGATGGTCGATGGGGGGCAGGGGAGGAAAGAAAAGCACAAGACGCAGGGGCGGAGGGGGGCCGGTCATTCAGTGTCTGTCTGTCTGTCTCTATACGACGAGGGAATGGAGAATCAATCCAGCGTGACGCTGAGGATTTCTTCCCCTTATTTGCGTCCTGCGGACAAAATGAATCTGCGGGGCGAGTCAGAAGGTCGGAGTGGCGTCTTTTACCAGAGAGGATGGAGGTGACGACATGCTTGAGCCGGCTCCTTGCCTATCTCTGCGCTTTGTCGACTTTGGCCTTGATCTTCTGCTCCAAGATGGACTTCTCAGTGTCCAAACTGAACATCCTGTTGAGCGCATGCATGTTGTCGAGTGTCTCGTCGAGGCTCCGGCTGTCGCTGCCGTCGCACCTCAGGTGCTGCAGCGGCCCGTGCAGGAGCTTGTTGACGATGCCGGTGCTCAGCTCGTCCACAGCCTTCCGAACCTTCTTGGTCAGAGCCTCGTCGCCCATCTTCTGCAAGCATTTCTCGAGTTCCGAGACCCTTATTCTGTCGGCATAGGACCTCAGCTTCTTGATGGTGGGCACGGTCTCCAGGGAGTCCCTCCAGGCCCCGAAGCGTTTCATCTCTTCGGTGATGATTACCTGGGCCTCCATGGCTTTGCGCAGGCGGTCTTCCTTGTTTGCTTCCACCACCTCCTTGAGGTCGTCGACGTTGTACACTCGCGCCGTCTCGACACTGGACACGCATGCGCCGACATTCCTCGGGACAGAGATGTCGACGAAGAGCCGCCGTCCCCCGACTTGTTCGCTCACAGGGGGAAGAACTTCCGCGTGCTCCTTCAAGAAGAGGGGAGTGTCCGAGGCCGTGCTTGTGAATATCACGTCCGCTTCCGCAGCGCAAGAGAGCATCTCGGTCAGCGGCTGGTAGATGATTTCGATATCTTTGATGTCTTCCCGGATGGCAGCGACCCTCTCCTCCGAACGATTAACGACGACGACCCTGGTACAGCCTTTTGCAGCCAAATGCTTGATCACCAGCTTCCCCATCTTGCCTGCTCCAATCAGAAGCATTCGAGCTGAGAGAGCGTGGGCTCTGGGAAGCTTCATTAAGGCCAACTCGACGGCTGCCGAGCTGACAGAAACTGCACCGGAGGAGATGTTAGTCTCGCAACGGACCCGTTTCCCGGCGGTGATGGCGTCCTTGAAGAGCCGGTCAATGTTCTTTCCAAGGCCACCGGCTTCTTGCCCAACTCTGACGACTTGCTTAACCTGTGCGAGAATCTGCCCTTCTCCCAGCACGAGGGAGTCCAGGCCTGCAGAAACCTCGAAGAGATGCCGCGTTGCGTCGTTGTCCCGGAGCATGAACAGGTGCTTCTGGAGCTCAGAAGCAGGAATCCCACTGGCCTGCAGGGGGAAAGATAGAATGGGGTGTAATCGGCGGCGTAGCCTCTCAGATGGAAGCGAAGCAAAGGGGTAGATGCAGGGGAAGCTGCGAATCCGCGAGCAGAAGAGTGAAGCGGGTTGAGAAGTAGCTCGGTACCTTGGACATCCACCCGATGACCTCTCTGATTCCCCGGTGCCAGGAGAGGGCAACGACATAGATCTCCATCCGGTTGCAGGTGCTAAGGACGGCCGCCTCTTCGATGTGGTGGAGGTCGCAGAGCTCGGCAATCGCGCGCGGCCACTGCGCTTCAGGGACGGCGAGCTTTTCACGCATCTCCACAGGCGCCGTGTGAACGCTGAGCCCAATCACCATGATGCTGCTCCGTTCTTTTGTATACCCTGGGAAAGGGAGCAATATGGAGGCGTGAATATCCACTTTTGTAAGAGAATTGGGGATCGTCCGAGACCGGCAACCCATCTCCCAGACTGGATGCAATGGCTCAGAAAGAGGGACAGGATCGCCGGTATCAAAATGGAAACTCAAATCGATATAAGTTTGCCAAATTTCGAGAGAACTCTGATCTCATCGCACGGTTATTCGAGCAGAAAGGGTGGGGGGTGGGGGGGCTGAGGGAGATAGATATGAATTCGTGAAGAAGGAATCAAGTAGAGAGGAGGGCAAGGCGGCACGGAGAATGAGAGCATCCAATGCTTGATATAGTATGGAGGGGAGGCGTGGGAATGACGAACTTACTATCCCCAGCGGACGTCTTGAGCTGTTCGAGGGCGGACATGCTAGAGGTCCTCGACGAGGAAGAAGAGGACGCTTCCAACTCCGCTGCTGCGACCAACTTGTCCGATTCCTGATCAGCCATCGCCATGCATATTGGGAGGGCCCCCTTCCGGGATGGAGAGTACCGGACCCCCTGGATGGGGGAAATGGGAGAAGAGGAGGCAAAGGAGGGCGACGAGGAGGTCAAGGGCCGCCGCAAGGTTCCGCGAAGGAATGGCTCGACCGGCGCCCCCGCCAGCGAAGAGGAAAAACCTCCCACGGCCGTCATGGCGGGCAGAAAGGGAGACATTTTCGGGGCGTGAAGGAGCGTCGAGGCCGGCGCAGCAAGAAAGGGTCACCGGAGGAACCCTTTGACCCCCTTTCTCAATTGATGAGCTTTGACAGGGGCAGGAGCTGCGACGGCCCCGACGGAGGCGGGAGAGGGAGGATGGGGAGAGAGGGGGAGCTAGCTGCCTTCCGACGGCGCAGGATGGGGTTGAGAGGAGGAGGAATAAGGACGGATGAAGGCCAATGTGGGAGGCGTATTTTGGTTGGGGATGTGAGGGCGACTGCGTGGCGCTTGGGTTTTCACTGTTTGTGGGACGAGACGACTGGATCGCGGCTCTCTCGTCGCCGCGGTGGGGCCGGGGGTCTCGTGGAAATCGCGAGAGGCCCCCGTGGCCGGCTTGCTCGTGGCTAGAATCCCGCGGCCGCGGATTGCGGTGCGCTCATTGGTCCGCCCTACTGCGCGCTTTATCCACACTCACCCAAGCCTGACATTTGTTTAGTCGTAGCCGGCGGCAGCCCTCCACCACGGCCTCTACCTTAACTCCCTGTCCCACTCCCCTCTCTATCTCTCTATCTCTCTATCTCCGGCCTTCTAATCGGCCGACGTAATGCCATCAAAGAACTATCGAGAAAAATCTTGGGGAATCCGGGAAGCGGCTCCACGACATCAACAGGATATCAGGCCGCAATCACCCCATGCAAACGGCAACCAGGAACCAATTTTTGCTATGCTGGTCATAAATTGGGCTGTGGATCAGCTCTCTCATTTAGCAGACTCGGCTCGGAGGTAACACTCCGGACGGAACCCCTCCATTCCCTGGGCTCCGAATAGTCCCCTCTCGTCGGCGCAAATCCCTCTCGAAAGGAGGTCAGCCCACTCTATGAGAAATTAATAGATTAAACAAAAAAATCATCATTAAACTCCCGAAGCAGGTCCAAAGTTGGCTGATATCGGGCTATGTGAGGAGGCCCATATGGACATCTTAGTCCCATCCTCCTCTCCAGGGCACGATTCATGCGCTGACCCTTCCCACGTTGCGCGAGGAACTTGGGATCCATCAGTTTCAACTCACCTCTTCGCGTTGAACGGGCGAATGGTAGCTGTCCCGGTCGATGCTATCTCGAGACCAGTGGCTACCAAGTGGACCCCCTATCTTACCAACCCCTTATCTTGGCTGATACCTTGACTAATATTCATAGGACGTGCACACCTCATAACTCCAGAAAAGATAATGGCAGCAAGCAAAAACATTTTTGGTAACGAAAAGTTGTGTTGAAAAATGCACGCATTGATGACCAAACTCGGTCCTCTATCGAGACGAGGCATGTTATTGAAGCAACTAAATAACTAATACTTGTAAAAACTAACGCAGAAATAGCATGGAAGTCATTATGAGTCACAATCCTTGCGACCATATGTCATGTTATTTGTATTAGCAACACAAATGAGTAAGACTCATATCTTTTGATGTTATCATCAATGAAAAATTCACAAAGGTAATGGTCAATAAGGGGGCGGATCACTTCTTTTTATCAGAGAAAAACGTGTCTCAGTCGGAAATGACGTTGTCATAAGGAGATATCTAAATCAAAGTTGTCAAATTCGAGGCACATACCTTGACTGATGTTATGTCTGGAGCTCTAATGTAGGTTAATATATGAGAATAAACCATGTTCTTTGTTGGTTACATTGTTCGTGAATGACTTCAATGCAATTACAGGTATGAAATTCTTAAGAAAGTTAAACATATTTTTTTTCAGTTTTGTGGTCTTCTTTGGCAAGAGGACAACAACCTTGCTTCATCTTGGAGATAAAGGGCAACAAGAGAGGCTTGCAAACAATGCTGCACTTTAGTTGTGCAGCGGATTGTGAATATGAGGGGAGATCTTTCTCGTGACGATACATTAAGGTACTAACGAACCCTTGATAGAGGAGCTAGATTAGTAGTGGACAAGTACATGACACCTACCACTATCACTCACAAATACCAAAGTGCGCTGTGGAGCTCACGTGATGTACACATGTGAGAGCACAAAGGCGAAACCCTCGAGAGAATACAAGAGAAAGTTCACTAATATGGTTCTCTTATAACAAGCCATTGAGGTCCAAAAGTCGTCACATGTACATAGCGCCAACAAGCATCAGCACATAAGAGACCAACGTGTGCGTGATATATGCATAGTAAGAGAGGTTGGCACATCAAAAAGCCTCAATTCATTTCTGTTGGAGAAATTTTATGATATGATTTAGAAAACTTCACTAGTTGGACTACACTCCAGTATGAGATAGACCATGAGATTTTGCTTTTGGTAGGCACATGTACACTAGCGTGATTTTCTTACAAGATATCACCAACGTAGTAAGAGGTTCTATGCTGATAGTTTAAGGATATGTTGCAGTCTGGGGATGTGTACCTCTAAACTTCACTTAGGAGGTGTGCCAACTACCTGATCTTAAGAAAGGTTAAGTTGACGAATAAGTATTTGGTGCCAAATAAGGTAGACCTATAAGATTGCTTGGGAGGGCCTAAGTACATTTTTAGGATAAGCCTAAAAAGTAGTTACTGTTGGGTCTGATTCAAGGATTATGATGTGCTCGACTCTGTATAGGTCATACAAGTTCATAATGATACAATTCATTCTTAGCCACATCCTAGCAATGTTCTGATCTCTGATGAATATCCTCTTCAAAGAGCAAACTGATATATATCCTGTTGTATTCCTTGGTAATATATCTTTTTTTGTATTGTTTGGTAATATTATTTGGTCATACAGATAACCAATTACTACATATGTGTGGCTAAGTTAAAGAAATATTAGTTATTCCTCAATGTGAAGAAGTTTGACTTTATATTAGAGGAAGTTAACTTTATTAGCCACATTGGGGTCGGGGGGCGGCAATGGCATGCAGAGGAATTAAGAGAAGGTTCTAATTATCAATGTGTGGTTATCACCTAGTTGAATATTGAAGTTGTAGTTCTTTATCACATTGGCCAATTAGTTCTGCAAAATTTATTGAGAGATACTTGTGGGTAGTATCGCTATTGATATATTTTGTAAAAAAGAGCCTGTGTTGACACTCAACGAGCTTGTTCTATAGGCCTTTATGGGCCTCGAACGTGTAGTGACCAATGCACTAGCCTTATGGTTACTTTAACTTAGTTGTCCTTTTTGGGTACACACTAATGTGCCTGAATCTACTACATTAAGGACATTTGGTGACATGAAAATTGAAAACACAATAATACAAAAAAAAATATTTTTTGCATTAGAAGGAGATGACATGTCGTGTTTGATGCAATGGGCTTTCTTATGTACTATCTCAAGATGTACTGTTGCTATTCCTTTTGTGTTAAATGCAATGGGCTTTCTTATGTTGCAGGCCAAGTAATGGATCATCATCTAGTGGTAATGGGCCACAACATGTTTGACCCATTACGCTGCCTCTAGGGTTAGGATATAAATCCAAGACCGCTGTCATTAATAGTTGATTTTGTGATTTCCATCATCTACACTGTGCCTATAATTTGTTGGGTACACAAATAATGTGGTGGCCAGTTTTTTTGAAATACAAGGAAAGCTTCTATAGAATTAGGGGAGGTCATAAATCTTGTTTTGGAGTATCATCTCTACCTTCAGTATAAGATGATGCTACCACCCGATGTGGTGGCCAATATCCTAAGCCGAAAGTGTCATTAGGCATCTCTTATGATATCCGTAGCAAAATGAAAATTTTTTGTTGTATATTAGGTGACCATGAGACACAAGAGATAGTTACTGAAATGACATGACATTTTTGGGCAACAACTTAGAATCTCTACACATAAGGAACTGAGATGTAATGTTCATCAATTGCTTTTGAATTACCTTCTTTGTAATGATGGTCACTTATTTGAGGCTCTCAGTTACCTTCTGTTCACATATAGATTTTCATGTGTAATGGGTCAACACAAATGGTTGAATCAAATCAGCCTTCTTTACATCAGCTAATTCTCCTAAGATCTATCAGAGCTTAGCAACAAGTTAGTCATTGTTCGAGTTGGTAACATGCAATAAATGCTAACCCCACAGAAGATCACAAAACAAGGTATCAATAAGAAATAGAGTTCAATGTTGGAGATGTGTCGTACTTTGTCTACATAGAAACATGAAATATACTAAGTAACATCAAGTGCACCACTTCAATGAACTATTCGAAATTGTTGGATGGGTAATTAGATTGGTCAACTATCTCAACCTTCCAAGATGACTGGCAATCTATGTACTGTTTCACATATTCCTTACGTAGTGGTATATTAGATGAAGTGGGTATAAAGTATAGCTATCCTCAAAAAGCACCACTAATAGTGCACATCCAATATTACACTTTGGTCAAATAAATTTCAGACTTAAAATAAGTGAGTGGGGGCAAGAAATTTAATACGAATTACCATGTTTACTTCCCTTCATATGATGATGAAACTTAGTGGAGGTTGCAACGGGAGAACACACATCAACCTTGCGCTTTGCATATGTAGATCTGTAAAGCAAGATAACAGGTGTTGTATTTGTGCACATAGATGCACATGTTGATACGGAGTCCCCTAGGTAGGCTAACACATAGTGGCACTACATGACACAGTGCAGCGTGGTGCAACAGAGCAGAAGCTCCAGAGGTACTAACTACATTGATGGTAGGATACAATACAGAGGCAGGCGATATGAGCATGTAAGAGGAATGTTCCCTTATCATGAGTTGGGGTAGGGATAAAAATGGTTACGACAATTGCTATTCTGATCAGCGCCGCTCAATTAAATATCCACTGTAGTTTTAGGGAAAGATATGAGGGTAAGACGATGTAAGCCTGCCACCGTATAGAAGAAGGTGAGAGGCTCTCTTGGTAACGTATTAACCTAAAAGACTAATGAATGCGAATCATCCCCCATTGTGGGCGGATAATTTCTTTTAGCTTGGTGTGACGATAGCGACGGGCAAGAGAAATCTGATTGATAAATTGAAGTCGACCAGACAACAATCAATCGCACCAAGAGCTCTGAGAGCTCCATTCGGCTGCAAAGTCAATTGAGCATATAGAAACAAATATGTCCGTATATACCTAGGTGTGCAGGGACAAATACGTTCATCTCCATACCACGAGGGGGCAACAGAAGGCGCGTGCGTTGTCAAGACGTGGAATGGAGACGTGGACTCGTTGTCAAGAAGAGGTCGGTGGGCGGAAACTCATCTCTATCCCCCGCCGCGACTTTGAACAGATTGTCTTTATATTTGACTGGACCGGTGAACGAGGACTTGCTTTGGCCCCGTGAGTCACGAGCCGTACAATTTGGTTTTATAATGAACGGACGACGGGGGATCGTGCAACTTGACTTTATTAATTAATGTAAGCTAAACGCGATCACGACGTCCGGGAAAGACGATTTTCCTCGTTTGACTTTTGTGGGCTGCGGCCCAACATCTCCAATGGCGGCCCAGCCGATCTCAGCCGAGGGCCAGACTCGCGCATTTAATGCCTTCCTCCAAAGGATAATGTTCATCTGGGGGAGGTCGCAACCCCAACCCGACCCGGGCAGTTGACAACCATGGTTAGTTTACAACCCCGGTTAGCAGACGTGTCAGAAAAGCCCCCCCTTCCAGCCTTCGGAGGCCTTTAAAACGGAGGCCCTGCCGCTTATTAGTCTGCACCACCGGTATTTCGTATCCTTCGACTGTGGCAGTTCCGGCGTCGGATGGTTCGCCTCCCGCGTGATTGCTAGGTCTTCCCCTCTTCTCTCTCTCTCTCTCGTCCCCCCTCCCTCCCTCCGACTCCCCCCCAACCCCCCCTTCTTCCTCGCTCTTGCGGCACTGGCAAGCTTGGCCCTCGGTCGAGAACTCGGGAACACTCCATCCTTCCTTGGAGAAGTGAACGAAACTACGGGGAGAGGGTCGGCTCCCCTTGCCCTTCGGGATCCTCCCGTTAAAACGAAAGCTAGCCACTTTCTCCATAAGAACCCACCGACGTCCCAATACGTGTCCTGCGCATTACGTCGGCGATCCTCGCAGAAATTGACTGAACAGTGCCTGTAGATTTATGCCGTTCCCGTGCTCTTTCCTGCAGGCGAGGAGCGCGTCACCGGAAGGTAAAGGATAGACGGTTGCCATCCGAACGCACGGCCAGAGGCGCCATGGCTAGCAACGGGGACTTCAGCTTCACCAACGGTGGCGGCAGTGAGGCCACACCGCCGGGGGGGCAGGTCGCCGGAAAGATCCTCCCGAAGATCCAGACGCACCCCAAGAGGGAGAACGGCATCTGCCACGATGACAGCGCCCCCCCGGTCAAGGCGCAGACGATCGACCAGCTCCACTCGCTGCAGAAGAAGAAATCGGCCCCCACGACACCCATCACGGGCGCCCAGGGGGCCTTCGCCTCTCCCACCCTCTCCGAGGAGGAGCGCCACAAGCAGCAGCTTCAATCTATCAGGTTAGCGTCAACTATCTTCGCTCATATCCGCGTCACCATCACCGGCAAAACTACGTTCCTTTCGTCATAGTACCACCTATCCTCACGTTTCGGCCCTCCTTTCCCTTTCCCCTGTCCCTATCCCGGTCCTCGTCCCTGTCTCTGTCCTTCACGCGAACCCCGCCGGCCCGGCACGAGCCGCCTATGCCTCGGTCCGAGCTCATCTTCTCCGAACCAGGAAATATCTCACCGCCTGCCTGCCTCTACTGTCCTGCGATCAGATTTCTGTCTTTATCTCTCTCTCTCTCTCCCTCTCTCGCTCGTGGCGGGGTACGTCTATTAGGACATGCCTTTCTCGAAGGCTTCGAAGCCCTCAAAATTCCCATTATCAACCTCTCGTCATCCTACGACTTTATGATTTCAGATGCCATATTATTTCATCTTTTCATCTTATTTCTCGTCTCCAGCGCCTCTTTGGCGTCACTGACCCGCGATTCGGGTCCCAAGCTGGTGAAGGGCGACCCCAACCGCAAAGGTTCGGACACGCCCAAAGTCGTCCACCACCACCACCACTTCACCCCCACCGTCAGCATCAGCGACAGCGCCCTCAAGTTCACCCACGTTCTCTACAATCTCTCCCCCGCTGGTACGATGTCGTCATCCTTCCCCTCCTTCCTCTTCTTCCTCTCTGTGCGGTCGCGCTCGGGTGTCTCTGTCGTCTCAGCGGTGTCGCCCTTGGCTCTGCAGAACTGTACGAGCAGGCCATCAAGCACGAACACGGTTCCTTCATCACGGCGAGCGGCGCCCTGGCCACTCTCTCCGGTGCCAAGACCGGGCGATCCCCCAGGGACAAGCGCATCGTCCGCGACGAGACCACGGAGCACGACCTGTGGTGGGGAAAGTGAGCGTCCCTCCCTCGTCGGCCTCCTCTCTCTCTCTCGTCTCCCGCTTGCCTACGGGGGGGAGCCTGTTATACGGGCATGCCTACTCACGATGCTCCTTCCTTACTGGCCAGGGGCTCACCCAACATCGAGATGGACGAGCACACCTTTCTGGTTAACCGGGAGAGGGCGGTCGATTACTTGAACTCCCTTGACAAGGTACGTCATATCTTCTCTTCTGCACTCAACGCTATTGCTGCGTCTGTGTCTGCTGCCCCCTGTTGTCCTTTTTGGCTGCCGATTCCTGATCGGCTCTGTCTGTTGTCCTCAGGTATTTGTGAATGATCAGTTCCTTAACTGGGATCCAGAGCATCGGATCAAAGTCAGGATTGTCTCTGCAAGGGCATACCATTCCCTGTTCATGCACAACATGTAAGCAACGCGCGCACCCTTTGTCTCTAGTAGTCATTTGTCTGGCCGCGATGGTTCTCTCTTCTTGCCTTCACGCAGATAAGTCGCGTCTCTTCTGAATCTCGCATGCATTCCCCTGTTGATTTCTCGCTCCCCCCATGTATCTCTGCATTGCCTTCCTTGTTCTTCTAGCTTCTTTTTTTTCACAGAAGTAGGCCGGAAATTTCTCCGTGTCATCTGTGCCCAGATAGGTGTGTTGTGGACGGAATAGAGAGCGGCCAGGACATCTGCACATTGAAGAGAAAATATGTTATATCATGGCATAGCTTAGTTGTGTGCTCTACGGTAACAATGTGGGTCGCAGGTGCATCCGACCCACTCCCGAAGAGCTGGAGGATTTTGGTACTCCGGACTTCACCATATACAACGCTGGGCAGTTCCCCTGTAATCGTTTCACCCATTACATGACGTCATCGACTAGCATAGACATTAATCTTGCTAGAAGGGAAATGGTGATCCTCGGCACGCAGTATGCTGGGGAGATGAAGAAGGGCCTGTTCGGCGTGATGCACTATCTCATGCCCAAGAGGGGGATCCTCTCCTTGCATTCTGGATGCAACATGGGAAAAGATGGAGATGTTGCCCTTTTCTTTGGTCTCTCAGGTAAGGTTGGCCTGCCGGGACAGGCGGGCACTCGTCCCCGGCCGCTCTGCTGTCGGGCCCTGCCCTCGCTCGTTTTCTTCTTTTCTAGGCCGCTCGGCGGCCGCCGATGACCTTTTTGGTCCTTGTCTCGGACCTCGTCGCCCTTCCCCTGTCTTGATTCCCAGGGTTCTTGATTTTTGTTCTTATCAGGCACCGGCAAGACGACTCTGTCCACGGACCATAATAGATTTCTGATCGGGGACGATGAACACTGCTGGAGCGACAACGGTGTTTCCAACATCGAGGGAGGCTGCTATGCCAAGTGCATCGACCTGTCGAGGGAGAAGGAGCCCGACATATGGAACGCCATCAAATTCGGGACTGGTGAGTGTGTTTACTTGGTCAAGAGGAGTCCCACGTTGGGAGTTCCGGTCTCATGGATTCTTTGGCCTTCTGCCGTTCAGTTCTGGAGAATGTGGTGTTCGACGAGCACACTCGCGAGGTGGACTACTCGGATAAATCCGTCACCGGTATGTGGCACCTATAGAACCTCTCATCTCTATCTTGGAATTCAAGGCGCTTGCATATACATAATTCCCAATCTATTTGTACGCGTATGCATGGAGAGCCGACTATTTTCCTAGGGAGAAGCTGAGACTCACTCGGGCTGCTTGCAGAGAATACCAGGGCCTCCTATCCGATCGAGTACATCCCCAATGCAAAGATACCCTGCGTTGGACCCCAGCCGAAGAACGTCATTCTTCTGGCGTGCGATGCGTTCGGCGTTCTCCCCCCCGTTAGCAAGCTGAACTTGGCCCAGACCATGTACCACTTCATAAGCGGCTACACAGCACTGGTACGTCCTCGGTTCCGCCTCCAGCCTCCTTCCGCTCTTCTCCATTTTCGAACGATATGATTCCCCGTCTTATGACCCCGATCACCAATGCTCGAAAAACAGGTGGCCGGCACGGAAGACGGCATCAAAGAGCCACAGGCCACCTTCTCGGCGTGCTTTGGGGCGGCTTTCATTATGCTGCACCCCACCAAGTACGCCGCCATGCTAGCCGAGAAGATGCAGAAGCACGGTGCCACAGGATGGCTCGTCAACACCGGCTGGTCTGGCGGGAGGTACGCTCGGGCACAATCTCCTCCGCGTTCGCGTTCCCTTCTCTCTGCAGATGTGTGGGGTGGGGGGGACTGGGGGAAAGGAAGTCAGGCTAAACTGTTGCTTCCGATATTTGATGCAGCTATGGCTCTGGCAAGCGCATCAAGCTGCAGTACACCCGGAAGATTATCGATGCCATCCACTCGGGCAGCCTCCTGGAAGCCGAGTACGTGAAGACGGACGTGTTTGGGCTCGAGATCCCGACGGAAGTCCCAGGTGTCCCGTCGGAGATCCTCAGCCCCGTCAACACCGTAAGTTGGCCCTGCCCTCGGTCTTTCCGTCCCCCCGCGGGTGTTAAGCGTCCAAACTGTATTGAGTGACCCGGTTTTTCGTGCCTCTTCAGTGGGAGGACAAGGAGCTATATAAAGAGACTCTGCTGAAGCTGGCCGGGCTGTTCAGGAAGAACTTCGACCTGTTCGCAAGCTACAAGATTGGCAAGGACGACAAGCTGACAGAGGAGATCCTGGCAGCCGGACCCAACTTCTGAGCCTCGGATTGAAGAAGACAATAAGATACCATGCGGTGTTTCTGCCCCCTCCTGTTGCCGTCCGTTGTCATCTGTCGTAAGGCCCGCCTCTACTCTGTTCTCGGAGGAGGGGCGTCGTCACTATTAAGCAATTTCATCGTAGAGGGACCGTCATAGGGCCCTCCAAATGCGACCGCTGAATCACATCCAGCCCCGGCTGCGCCCCGACGTGACGAGTCCATACTGTCATCGTAGCCGCCGGCCAGAATGGACCGCTCCAAAATCCTCTCCTTTCTTCTTTCCGTTTCTGGGGGCGGCCGCCTCGGTGACGAGAACGGGTCAGCCGACGCCACCCGCGTCTGCCCATCTCGGCGGATTGCCCCACTCTCACATCCCGTCTCGATGGCCAGTCCCGCATTTTATAGAGCTCGATCCTTTTGTCAGTACTCGGCGGCAGGAGCACACTCGTCAGTCGTCGCCGCCTCCCATCTCGCCGTTCCGTATCTGACCCACTTGGCGTCTAGAACCGTTTTCATTCTGAATTCTATATATAATACGCAATCCTTCGGTGAGGGCCAACAAGCAAGACTGAATTGTTCCCCCGTGGCGTCGACTGGATGAAGGTGAGCATCCGTCTGGTGACGAACGTCCCCATAAATAAACCACTATGGCGACAGGGGAATGAACGAGACCGAAAACGTCCTTGTTGATGTACAAAAAAAAAAAGGGAACCTCAAAGTGGGAAGCAAAAGAAATGGGCAGGAAGATCACAACCATCGCCAACGGCGATCGCCGGGAAAAGGGCTCCTTCTTGTGCCTACCAGTTGACAGATTGTGATCAAGCGGTCAGGGACGGCGATGAAACGAAAAAGAGCCATTTCGATTCATAGAAGAAGATAGAATATGGCGGCACCAAAGGCAAGGACCACTTCTACAGGATGACCAGGAAGACACTGGGGGAAAGTTAACAGTAACGTAGGATGGACCTTTTTGCAGTTCTCTACACTCCGTGCGTGGCATGGATGCCACGGAGTATGAGCAGATTTCCGTATAAGTACCGGGCAGCAAGCAATGAATGAGCTCGAGGAATCTCCCCATTCCCATCAAGAGACCTCTCCCCACGCTCCACGGCAGATGATTCCCAGAATAATGGGAGCCCAGGAAATGGCGTCGGATTCCGCGGTAATCAGCCTACCGAAATGCTGATGCGAGGATTAACTCATCAGGGGCAAAATGCGAGTTTACGAAATTATAAACGTGTTTGTATTTCTTTTTAGGTTGGAAAATTTTGTCTTTGAAGTTTGTAAAAGCATGAGATACTAGGAATGTAATAAAATAGATAGCTCTCAAAAGAAAACTAATCTTATGAAAGCATAAGATGCTAGGAATTTGAGGATTGTGCTCCCAGTTGTCTTAAAGTAGGGGAATAATCACCTATTGCGATACAGAATACTCGAGTCCACTCTTTTAGCCATGCATAAATAATGAGGTGGAGATGGCGTTGAGGTCAGTTTATTTCTGCATTCTCGATAAGCATGCGGGGGCCTTTCGACAGTGCTTAATTATGCTCCATCAACTTGTATCTTGTTTTCTTGTATCTCTCTTCTTGTGCGCAGAAGAAGCATTTTCAGCTTGCCAAGGACTCGGAAGATCTAATTGAGCAGCAGAGAGCAAGTACACAACTTGGTCCTACTTATCACGAGATTTTCTTAAAATCTGAAGATGATCATTATGCCTTACAAAATGCTAAAAAGTACTTCAAAGGCGGCCATGAAGCTTGCTATAACATTTAAGGAGAAACAATCATATAATAAATACTCCCTCTTTCCCAATAAATTAATTGTTGCGTACAACAACTTGTGGATGCTTGAAAAAGGACCTGGATAATCTGGGAGAAGCCAAGAAAATTCTTCGTCAGGGCCTAAAAATTTGTGATACTGTAGAGGTTTCGGAAAAAATGATGATGGACGAACCAGACGTCATCACAATCTTGGGAGTGTTTATCTGGAACTTCGACAATGGAGTAGAGCTAAAGAACACATTGAAAGGGATATAACGATTTGCAAGAGCATTGATAACCCAGAAGGGGAAGCAAGAGGTTTCATTAATCTTCATGAACTGCATTATCAGATGCAAAACTATGAAGACGTTATTCATTGTTATCGGAAGGCTCTAAAATCGCAAGTTCCAGTTGATGTAATCAATCAAAATATTGACACAGAAAAAGATGCCAAAAAGGTACTGGACGAGTTAAAGAGAGAGGAGATGAGGCTTAGAAAACTGGCAAGGACCACTTCTGATGCTCGTGGCACAGGAGTTGACAGTGTCTATTGGAGCAGTATGCACTATTGGACTGCCTGATTGAGAAGTCCCACTCGATTTCTGCATGGTCAAAAAGTAAGCATTTTATCCTAGATCCTCTGTTATCACTTTTCATCTGTTGAGGTACATGTCTCATCATACAATTAGCACGGTCGAGTAACTAAGTAAAAAAAACAATTGAGGTGGATTCAGTGCATTGGAAGACTCGTGTTTTCTTTTAGGTTTAGAAAAAGTGTTGAACACATACGTACGGCTTTTCTTCTTTATTTTATTGATGTCTGCATAGATATATGCAATGAAATACTTGAAGCATTTTGCCTTTACCTGCTCAATATTAGGATCACTCTTAATTTGCGTTAATCTTTTCCTGAAATAATAAGTGGTCTGGGCCATTGATCACGATCAAATATTTCTCATTGTACACAGTGCAATGTAATTGTTTGGAAATTTAAGAAAACATTGTGAATGAAACTTCACGTCACACATTGAATTCCCAAAAACGACTAAATGGATTATGAGACAAATCTGAATTTGAATATTACATTCCAATCGAATACTAGTCAAATGCAGCGTTTCATAAAACAACTAGTTATATTTGAAATCCGTTAAGAATAGGATCATAAAGGAATAACTCCTTTTAAAATTCCAGGGAAGCAGAAGACAGAAGAAATCCGTAAACCACTGAAAAGGTGTCTCAAGAGAAAGATGAGATGTCATTAACATTGATGATAATGATACAGGCCATTTGCAAGGACGGACACAAAGCTGGATGAAAACTTGGGAAATCATTTGACACTGTTGAAAAACCATTGTTTGTCCTAAAAGATATGTGGTCATTTTTCTTCAATGTTCTAGGCTTCTATTTCTTATGGCTTCGTCACATAAGGCAGACAGATACTTAACATCCACCTCTAAAAAAGTTATTGTCACGATATAAGTGAAATGTTTAAATTTCCACAACCATAATTATGGAAATTAAACCAGTATCAGACTAGGTCATGACATCGAGGAGCAGATGAGCTGTCATTGTTTCTATATATCATTAGTTATTGATAGACCACAGTGAAGCTAACGAACTATAGCTGAGACAAGAGATGGTTACCGTTATCTATCATCGGCCAACAAAGTACCCCTCACATTGTCACATAGAAATCTAGGCAAGTATAGTTACAGTAAATGATAATACCCATGGTGAAAGAAGACCCATGACTCAGTATAAAAATGCGGTATAAACCGAATAAAAACATACATTAATACTCCTTGTTGTTTTTTCCAACGTCTCGATTCATCGTGTAATAACTCCCATAACCACAAGATAGAGCTCAACCTTGTTTCCATCTTTTCCACCTTGGTGGTGTCCTCATCACTAACATAATAATATTGTCCTATGTTCTGGCTACTGATTTGAAGCAGATACTATCTAATTTTTTGAATGACCATTCACACATATACGTTGGCAAAGTGAACATGAAAATAGTAGCATGAAGCTACAATCGCTGCTACTTGACTCTGCTTTCGCTTAAGTTCGATTTAATCGTGGTGTTCAATTCCTTATACATGAAATAAATGTTTTTCTCTGTAAAGTTGGGTCCCAGTCGCAAACCGTGAAATTAAATGTTTATGCCATCTCAAAATGCTGGTCTATATCAGCAACCCTCAGTTGGGCTTTCGCTGTGGTCCTCATGCCTTCTGGTACGGATGGACTGAGAAAGGAATATTTTTTGAGAGATTATAATGTAAGAGAGGTTGGTACAAAATGGAGAATCTTTTCTAAGTATTCTTTAAAAGAAGTGAAATAAAAAGAAAGCCAAAGTACTCAAGATCGAAGTGATTAAGACAAAAAAAATGTAAAATAAAAAGAAAGCCAAAGAAGATATTTAGGTGGCAGATGAAAACTTTTTTAATACATTTAAAATGCTCAAGCATCCTAATCCCCCAAGACCTTCACCATCAGTCTGGCACAGTCGCACATTTGATCTCAAGTATTTCTCACCAAACCATATTCAAATCATAAAAACCATAGTGTAGGAGATAATCATCCACCAAGTTAAGATAGGTGTATCTTCAAGGTCAACAACTTTGCCACGTCATTTATTTACCTGATAATAAGTTGCGAGCGCCTTCAATGTTTACTACACAAGAGGTAACAAAAAGTCTAGGATTCAACTGATGAACCCTCGTCATCTTTGTGCTTAACTACTCCCGAGTCCACGAGAATAGGGATCTCCGCTGCAAGCCATGGTGCTAGGCCCAAGCAGAGTGCATGAGCAATCCCGAATCTTGGACTGCAATAAAAAGAGGACGACGGAAGGGGAAAGGAGAATGTCAGACAACTTGCTGATTTCTTGGTAAAGACAACACAAAAAATAAAAAAAAAGGTACTGTGACTCTAATCCCATTGAGCATTTTCCCAGTTACTACAGTAATGAAATCATTAATAGACAATTCCAGTTGGGTAGGTTTCGCCGTCAAAAATCAAACCAGAAAAAGTGACGAGGAAAGTAACAACACAAGAATGAGAGATCAAAGGACAGATTTTTCTCACCAGTTCTTAGCCCATAACGGCTTAAAATGCACTGTCAGGCAGATCTTCCCTCCGCGATACATCTGGGAAAGAGGACAGGGACCTGGAGTTAGATCTGAATAAAAATCTGAAGGATTTGTATCTTTCCATTGTTTTCAAAAATAGTTATTTGAAATTAACGGAGTAGGGATCTAGGTAAGTTCCCCGGTCGTCGACAACTTGCCTTGTGGGTCTTGCCGTCGAGCTGAGGCAGCTCGATCTCCGGAGCAGTGGCCGGGTACGTGACGGGTATGTCGAATTGGACATCGAACTCGTAGCGACGGAGGTTGTGAACATACCAACAACGCCCCGTCCAGCGCGTGCCCTCGATGTTGGCAGCCGAGATCCGGAACCAGTCGTTGTCGTTGGCCTTGTTCATCCCCGTGTAGGCGATCAGCGCCCGGTACTCCTCTTTCAGCCGCTGCGTCCAAGCCGCACCATCCCGCGGCCCCGCTCGCGTCGCCAACAACGGTATCTGCGTCAGCGCCGACTTCGTGTTGGGATCCCAACCCTCCATTATCTCCTATTCCTGAGGAGCCGGATTGGAGAGCGAGGTGGTGGCGGCCGGAGGGGAAGGGGAAAGGGGGAAGGTTAGACTCGTACCGTTTGTGCTTTACCGGAACAATAAATCGGCGGATGAGAACAAGTTATCTTATATTACGGCAAAATGATTTCAGTCCGATTCCTTTCAAGATTTTCATCAAAGCGAAAGTTTTCTGTGTTGTCAGGTAGACTCAACGATTTTATTCAGTACGAGAATACCCCACCTTAAATGAGGTAAGTACGGGGGAGGGGGAATTATTTTCTAAGATTGCACGGTTGAAAGCGAATTATGCAACAGGTAACTCCTGCATTAGAATTAGACCCATTGGCGTCCAGTCTGACTTCTTGCTGTATTTTCTTGAGAATTTCTCGACACTTCTCTTCTAAGATATATGTATATATACATGTACATATATTGCCCGGCAAAACTCAAAATACTCGGGTCGAAATACGATTGCTCTGTCAATGTAGATCACCATCGAAGTCGTATAGTTTTACGGCTCTGAAATTCCCTCATTTAATGGGTGTGGACTTCGCAAAGGCTATTATTAAAGCATGCCCGCACTTGCATATTAAAAAATTAGCAGTCTTCAAAGGCGTCGACGCCGGTTGTTGAAAGTTGTAGCACATATGATGTAGGCATTGGGGCATCGGGGGGGAAGGAAGACAGGGCAAGGAGATTACGAGAGTCGACGATCAGACAACGCGTGTCCGAAGCAAAATCAAAAAAACCAAGGATGAGATTTTAGACTGCTGAGGTTTGGAGAGTTCATTTTAAATGCGGGCTTTTTTGAGGAATAAAGCTTGGCTCCCGTAGCTCTTTTTCCTAACCCCCCCGAACAAGCATTCCTTAGTCTCTACACGTTTCACCTTTCTTTCTTCTTCTTTTTTTTTTTCTTTGGGTTACATTGAACAGGATTCAAGTTGCTCGTGTATGTATGTGGCGGTGAAGATATCTGGTGAGAACCTAACTCAGACACAAGCACCATTTTAACAAGAAATTAGATAATTAATGCGGGACTAAAATTTCTTCAACCAATTAAAAATGGTACCTGGTTTAATGCTTACAGTTTGACCACTCGAAAACATCACAACAAACTTACGCGTTATTAGCCGCATGGCACTGGCGTAATGTAAACTAAAGAAAGAAAAAGTATACAAGGAAGCAAATGGTATCAAAGAGAGATAGTAGTAAGAATAACAAACATAGTAAAAGGCCAAAAAAGGCCAAATAAAAGAAGGCAGCAAATATAGAAGTAAGATAAATGAACAGCATTTGTTCATGTGCCACCATGCCAGGATAAATGAGAGAATATTTCAGTAGGCAGACTAAAGCTAGCTTTCATGTGTGGAATAGTGGTTCAGAATGAATAGAGCAGGACCGATTAAGGGCGGCAAATGTGAAGCAACTGGAATCAGAAAGATGGATAGAATTGATTTTGTGCGAGGGATTCTTTCTGAATGATAAGATGGATAAATCTTGTTTACCAAAGACTAATTCGTAAGGGTTGTCAACAGAGTATTCCTTTCGAAATGCTAATTATCAAGAGCATGCATCAGCACAAACAATAACGCCTATACGGAGTGACAACAGAGGCAGGTAATAAGATGGGAAAAAGAAAAGGAACAGAAAGCTGTCTTCACGAAAATGAGTTCAGAAAAGAAGAGTCTTATTTGCATATTTCGATTAAAAAACACAAGGGAAACGTGCAGTGAGTTCAATATATTGTATCATTATATAATCCTTTCATGATAAAGCTGTGGGTAGAGAAATTTCATCAAATGAATGTATAGTCAACTTTACATAATGGGGGCTGTTTAAGCCAAATAACCCAAGCATTGGGGGTTCTGTGAATGCTTTATGTGCCAGTAGGCGAAACGGAAGTTTTTTATACGAAAACCTTCGATTATGTGGATCAATAATAAGACTCTCTCAATTACGTCAAAGTTAGCTTATCGATTTTATCAAGAACACATCAATTCAGTCGTTATTCCACGAAAATCCTGAGAACAATTGAAATTTTACTGGACACATTAATCAACACATTTTCTTCTGAAATTTCACAAGAAGCCTAAACAAGGCTTGAGCAAAGTCACTCAAGAAATCATAGAATGCGTCCTTCTTTTGTAACAGGAGGTTAACGTCAACATGGGAATTTAGGTTTTAACAGTCATGAAGAGGTGAACTCCGAGTAGGATACCTGGCTATTAATGAAGAACATGGTACTGTGAAAGAAACATTGATAGTAAGAATAGATGATACCGCACAAACATGAGTTTAATTCGAGCCAGTTGAAAAAGGTTTGCACATACTTTAATCATCTCACATGCTAACGGAAGTTTCTAATCTCCCAGGCCTGCTTATTGGCGGATAAAAAGAATATTTAATCAACTAAGATACCTAAAGTATAAAACAGGTCAGCAGGACGAGTTCAAAGCCCCACAACAACAACGAAGCCACAACCATCTCTCTGATAAGAGTCACTGACTCGAGAAAAGCTCACTACAAGAGTACAAGCCCAAGATTTGATGGGTTCAATGGGTGCTGGAGACGGTAGTTGTAAAGGTAGTAGTGCAGCTGCCCATCTCCAGGACCAAACTTCAGCTCCTTCAAGAATTTCCGATTGTGCATCACACCAAGCGCGTTGAATACATCATATTCCTTCTGCTTGGCCACAATGAGCGCATCGTCCATCAATTGGAGCAGGGGAGTTTTTGGAGCAACATTGTAATAAGACTAGGCAGCCTTGAGCACTGAGCAGTTCTGGTTTGAGAGGATGGATGACGGCAGGGTATAGAAGCTGCAGAAGTCAGTAACCTCATATGTTTGAGGGCACTCAACAACATAGCTTTCCACGACATCCTCCTTTGGCAGGAGCCAGTGTTCCACATCGGCGTCTTCAAAATCTGGGCCAACAACAAGCTGAGCCAGGTAGCCTCGGAGCAGGCGTGTGACAGCAGGCACATCCCGGAGTTCCATCTTCCGAAACCCAGGCGTGCTTACAGAATCCGGCAGCTTATATAGCTTAATGGTGCGGCTCATTGTCATTCGGGGCCCGAGACGAGAGAAACCCACCTCAATGAGCTTCTTCGGATTTAGAGAACGATGGCAATACTGAGTGGTGGTGATCGGGGTGGGGAGGACGACGCCAACAGTGTAAGCAGCCTGCCACATATTCTCCAGATGGACACGACGGGTGACCTCTTTAATCATGACGGGGGCAAGGCGTTTGGAGCGAAGCTTCTTATGGACGCAGAGGAAGTTGATCTCGGCCAACCCAACAACGTCGTTCCGGACGCGGATCCTCGCGGGGACGCCGGTTATGAATGCGACAAGCTTCTTGGACGACTTGACGCGCACGCCGATGTGCCAGGTCTTGAAGTAGGCAGGGGGGTGGAGGGCCCAACGGAGAAACTCACGGGAGTAGTTGAATCGGAACATGTTCTCGTCGTCTTCGACATAGTTGGCGGTGAGGAGGTTGTAGACCTCGGTGGCGACGGCGTCGTCGGAGATGTCGCAGGTTGACCAATCGTAGGAGGCCGGGAGGATGTAAGGATCCGGCTTGACATCGGAGAGTGGGATTGGGGGTTCAATGGGGCCCTCCGGAACAGTAGGATTCCCGAGATCCCTGAACTACCCCACGGGCTGCGTCTCCCAGAAGCGGTGACGCTGGCCGAGGGCCAGAGAATCCTGGACCTTCCTAGCCAGGGCGTCAATACTTGAAGACGATGAGGATGCCGGTGTGACAGAGGAGGATGACGTCGGAACCATACATGAGGCCGCAAGATCTCCTGTCGAAGGCGCTGGGTCAGCCTGATTGGAGATCTGGTTCTCGACGTGGTTGGCATCCTCCTCGCCCGTGGCCATGGTTACAAGTTAGTCCGCCTCCGGCGATCGGAGTAGCGAAGAGGAATACGGTGGCGGTGCGAAGAGGAAAGGTGATGCAGGACGAGGGACCAACTTGGGCTTATTGGGCCTCATTAGTGGGCCTTATTAGCCTGGAATTTTGAATAAGACTACCTTCGTTGAAGCTCTGTTGTCTGCTGTCGCTCCGGTAGGGTTGGTCGTGCGTGTTACCGTCGCCTTCTCCATCCGCCACCGCCATTCCACCGATCTCCGTCGCCATCGCCGCCGTACCGCTTCCCAGTCGCCTCCATCGTCGTCGTCTCCCTCTGGCGCCGCCGTCCCGCCTTCCAGCCGCCACCGTGGTCATCATCTCCTTCCGCCGCCACCGTTCCACCATCCGGCGGCCTCCACTGTCGCTCTCTCCATCCGTGTCGCCTTCCGCCACCTAACCTTCGCCGTTCGCCGCCGTTCGCCGCCGTCCGCCGCCACCATCCCCTTGGTTCGCCATCGCCGCCTTCCCCTTCGCCGCTCGCACTACCCGGTCGTGCGCCTTCTCACCTCCCTCCGGTTAGGTTTAAAGGGCACCGATTCGTGATACCACGAACCGGCGGCCTGAACCGAATCGGCTCAGCCTGAGCCGACCGCTCCACCGCCTGGTCCGAGCCCTACCGCTTACCCCCCTGGTCCGGGCCCAACCACGTCCCGGTCCTAACCACCCATGACCCTTGGTCCAGACCGGCTCATCTCGCTGGTCAGAACCCTGCCCGACCACCTGGTCCGCACCAACCTCTGCTCTGGTTCGAGCCAGTCCACGCGATTAAACCTGCCGGTCAACAGTCCATAGTCAATAGTCAACCGTCAAAATATCAAAAGGTCACCTTTCCACCATCAGGTCAACGGTCAGCCTCTACGACTAGGGTCTCATTAGTGACTTATTTCCACAACTAATTCTTTCGCATCTCACGCCTAGTAATTACTACTCTTTTAATATCTTTTTCTTGTGATCGTCGCCACATTGAATGATTCTTATGGGATAGCCACTTTTTTCATATTGAGTGATCGTATATTGTAGTAAGCTAGATCTGCATTGTTTATTTACGAGCACCCTACGTCTGGTGGTTTGCCAAAACCGCCTAGTCCTAGCCTGCTTCGCTGTTCGTGGATGATTTTGAGCCTGACTTGGATGTCTCTTCTTGTTGTTTTTGATTGTGTTTGTGCTTCCTGCATTGGTTTTTTTGATCTCTTTTACATTCTTATTATCATTCGCATTAAAAGGGTTAAAGAGCGAAACATTAACTCCCCCCCCCCCTCTTCCCCAAGGTAAGAAGAAGACAATGCAGAACGGGAGACAGTGAACTTAGGACATTCGAAAATAATAATTAAACGGCCCGATGTTTTGTTTCCGGTATAACTTGTATACCAGTTCTAAGCGTAATCCAGATGCACCTGGACCAAGCATGATAGAATCGTCTCTCTCTGGGAAATGGGGTGGAAAATGAAATTATTGAACTTAGGAGTTTGGACCATCAGTACCTGGACAGCCTGACTGGCTTCCTCATATCCACTGCCTGTCCCAGACGCAGGCCAGATCGCCGTCGACGCGGGAATGGACACGGCTCTCTTCTCACCGTCTTCTCTCTTCCGCTGCTCCGACGACGACGAAGAAGAGGGTGAGTCCAAGCGACGTGCACATTTCCCCTCTTCTTTGTTTGACCTTCCCTGCTGTAGTTGCGCATGACAAGTTCTTGATGGGCTTTCGAAATGACTGCGTCTACAGCCCTTCCATCTTCCCCTTTTTTCCGTTTTCTGTGATCATGGAATCAATCATCATTGCTCGTTGTCATCTGGCGCTGCAGCAATTGGGGGTCGACAACTGGGGAATCAGAAACAGCAGCAGCAGCTGGAAGATCCCACGACGTTTGTCGAGAGGTTCCATGCTTTCCCTGGTGGAATGGTACACCACGAGCCCTTCCCATCATGTATTGGTTTATTCTTCGTATTGGCATAGTCTGGTCAACATTGGCCCAAATGTTTCGGTAAATTAAGGAGAATAAATTAAAATGAAGGACGCAGTGAAATAGTGCTTTCAAACTATATATGAAGAACTTCAGCGCATCCCCAGCAGCTCAGTCGAGGCCCTTGCTTCTGGTTTTCTTTGCCTAATTTCTCCCTTTCATCAGCTTGAAACTACTTTTGGGGTGGAACTCATTATGTTGAATTATGTAGATGAACCCTACGAAATAGGATGCCCAAGGCCTATTACATCAATCTGCGATTCCGGGACGCCTAGTTTTTTTCCCCCACATTTAAACTCACAACGTCCTGTGATTTCGCATGAATGATTAAGAAGCACTGAATCCTATCTTAGTATGATATGTGCAATAACATTACTGAATTTTTAGCGCAGGTTTAAGAGATTATGCTAGACCAGTGTTGAAAGGTTCACGATTCTGTCTCGGTCTATTATCGTTTGTTGATATTTGCCTACATACGTGTTCAACAGCACTTATGGTTTTTTTTCGACCTCTGCCGAAATATCTAGTTGTAAAAATGGCTGATTTAAGAAATGTTATCATTTGATTTCTCAGAGGATGATTTAGAGGGCAGAATATCACCGAAGGATGATCCTGAAAACCTTTATTTACTTACCTGATACAGCACAATCTTGGACATAGCACCATCGTGTTGGCGTCTTTCTTCTTGCATGCAATTTGGGTCTAGTCTTAAGGCATTTGGCTGGAAACTAACCTTGTATTCTTGCCCATTATCTGCTAGACATTGATGTGGATGGCTCAGTGAACATTTTGTACTCATAAAAAAAATCCCATAAAATCCCCTTTAATGGGATGTGTGCGGGCACTTCAGTTTGCAACATTGGAAGCTATACTTGTTTTAAGATGGTTCCTTGGACCACAAGCAAAAGGCAATCTCTTCGTTTTGAATCTAGTGCTTGTTCTTTTTTCCTCTTAAATGCACTGGAGGAACACATAAAAGGTCATAACATCAAAGGAAGCGGCACTTCGTACTTACCATCCACATATCTATCCCAATCTAATCTTCCCTAATGAGAATAGGCGTAAACCTATAAAGAAGAAAGGCATGATATGATCCAACAGTAATGTGAAGATCTACTCTGTCAAGAAAGCCGGGCCTGCTGACACATGAGCATAGACTACATGAGTTCCTTGAATTTTAAATCATCAAACCACTCACAAGACTTATATCTGTAATGGTGGTGCATGCATCAAACTGCTATTTTACACCTTATTATAATTAAATTTGCCTCTTGAGGGCTGAGAAACGGACCAGAAATGCGTTATGACTTCCAATTTTGTGAGAGAATTATTTGACCCGATACTTTTTCCTACTATTGTCAGAATTGTCCCATATGAGTGAAGTTGTGGTTACATATATATACACACTAAACTAATTGTCAATTGATTACAATGCACAGTAATTCTGACATGATGTAAGAGCCCATGCTCTTTGGCTATACGCCACAATGTTCACTATGTCTAATGGCAGAGGAGAGGATCTACGAGAATGTTCCTGGATTGATTAATGCAATTGTGAAGTTACCACTGGTGATGAGTTTACACATTATGGATTAATATTGAGTTAAATGGCCTCATAATCTTAACAAGTTTCTCACTATTGCTTAATTTTTATATGATGACAGGAGCTTCTTGTCCGGGAATTTTCATTTCACCAACTCAATGCAAACATGCTTTGGCCTGGAACTTTTGCATTTAGTGAATGGTTGCTCCAAAATCAAGCGTGCTTTGAGGGGAAACGCATTTTGGAATTGGGAAGGTATACATACTAATTTTTTACAAAGGAAGCATTTAACATGACTGGAATCAAATTGTTCGTTAAATCTATTTGATACGGAAGGTCAGAATTAATGTGTTGGATTATTGTCCCTTATTTTTCAGTCTGTGGCAGAAATCTTGTTTGTGTGTGATATGGGGCAGTGGACTGCGCAACATATTTTCCCCTTTGATATTTACTAGCCGGTTAAAGTTACAAAAAACATGGGGGCTGGATTTTGTCTTAATGAAGTTTTGACGGATCATACATAGATGTATCAAACTCTGATTTGAGATATGGTTCTCAGGCTTATTGGATGTCCACGAGAGCCAAGATCAAGTATCAAGGGTCACTTGGCCGTATCAAATTTGATTCTATATCTTCCTGGGGACAGTAGGCACATTTCTATTTTATTATTTTTTCGAAGACATCTAATCATTCTTAAGAAATGGGTATATCAGGGATCGATATCAAAGCAGCTTCCTACTAATACTTCGTGATGTCAATGTCTTACTAATTTTAGCCACTTCCTCTGGGCTCACAGTGTCGTAGTTGGACCCAGTATGTTGAATTTCTGAAGTGGATCCAAGTATCAAAAAAATGTTTACGTACAGAGACCGTCATGAACATCCAGTAGCGTTGACATAGCAGTATTTCGCATGCTTTTCTTTAGTTTTCATGGTTGATGTTCTACACAAGTTATTAGCATTCACATTGTATTCTCCTTTCGGTATTTGAAGGCACATGATTTCTTAGTTACTGCCCTTTACCGTTATTGTTTTTAATCAAAGATATTAATGCAATTCTTCAAATTAAAGAGATTTGACATTTCTTCATTTGCATTCAATGTAGTGGTACTGGAGCATTGGCCATTTTCCTGAAGAAGTTACTTGCAGTTGACATCACAACCTCAGATTTTGACGATCTGGAGATTGAGGAAAATTTAGCTTATAATTGTGCAGCGAATGGGCTAGAGATTTTGCCACATATCCGCCGTATGCTTTTTTACCTTTTTGTAGACATTATAATATCCATTGGCTATATTATTTATTACTTGAGCCTAGTTCTCTGCCCTCTGCATGATGGCGAACAGATTTGCAAAACCACTAGCCGACTGCTCTCCTTAGTTTTTTTTTTTTTTTGACAGGATTTCCTTGAAACAGTTTTCTTGTCCATTATCTTGTTGTGGCAAGTGTGACTGCCTTATGACATCATATTAATTTGGCGGTGTCTTATCTCGAGGAGCGTTCAACTTTAAACTGTTCCTTTTTTTACTCTATAAAAGAAGAGGTTTGTCCTGTTTGTCACAAACTTCCGAGATTTGGGTGAATCGACTCTCTTGATTATCTCGTTTGTCACACCTCTAGATAGATGGATAAAGCTTCACGATTAGTTTTGTCTTAGGCGAGTCGATTCTCTTTTTTCATCAGTGGTAGCCTAACTTCTATTTGAATGTCGGTTTTTTCACAGATTCATGGGGTGATCCTTTCCCAGTTCTTAATCCTGATTGGGAAATAATTTTGGCCAGTGATATTCTTCTTTGTAAGATTTATTGCCTTCAAAACCAAAAGAAGTCCCCGGAATATGCAATTCCTCTGATACATGATGCGGTGGTTGCAGATGTGAAACAGTATCCGAATTTAATCAAAACTTTGTGCTTTCTTCTGAGATCGAACAATCTCAAGGACAATACGAGAGGTCCAACAGGAACTCCATCGAGAAATAAACTTATCAACTTATCAGGCAAGATGGACAGTAAATACAAAAATAATGAACTTGTGATTGTTTATTATTTTATCGGAGCTCAGCAGCAGCGACGCGTTGTTTTTACAGGAAAAGAAATCCATCTGCCGTATCCAGTGTTCCTGATGAGTTGGCGACGCAGGCTTGGTAAGGAGGATGAGGCACTGTTCTTTAACGGATGTGAAGATGCTGCTTTGGCTTGGGAGCATTTGGGTTCTCGTGTTTACTGCATCAGCCCGCGCAGAGATACTATTTAGGAGTTAATCGCTCGTTTTTTATTTTTTTACCTACGCCAGGATATCTTTCCTCTTTCAAGCTTCTAGTGGGAAATCAAAAACTTTTAGTTGGGCCTCAGTGGGCCGGCAAGCCCCTTAACCCAGAGTGAACGGTGGTCGTTGGTTGCAAAGATGTAGTTCTCTGTGTTTATGACCTTATCGAGGGAGCATCTTTATCCAGTAAAGGATTTATGAAAATGCACCTGCGTTACTGGCTGGTCACCCCCTTCTTACCCAGCGTCCAATTGAATATTTAGTATGAACCTTGTTCATTATTTCTTGAGGGTGCTCCTGGGTTTTCACTTTTCATTAAGTCATTATGTTCCCTCTTTTGTCTATGGTTCATTTCACTATGTTTTTTCCTTCTATAGTTTTTGATCTGTATCCATCATTGTACAATAAGAACAAAATGTTGGTTTATTTTCCACCACTATTTTTTGTTTAAGCATTTCATTCTTTCATTGCCTATCATCACAAACTCCAGGATTGATACATATAAGTCTACTTAAACTCATGCCCTAACACATCTTAGTCTCGAGCGATGATAATAATTGAATGAGCGATGACTCTTACGGATAAGGGTTACGCTATATTTAACCCAGCGAAATCAGCAAAGAGACTCAGCACGACATAATTTACCGATAAGGGTAGGAAATAAATTGGATGAGCGATGACTCTGATGATATGGAGAGACTCATAACCAATTAGGCGTGTCTTCCATGAGAGAAGACAACCTATTGGAATGTTCAGCTGTTTTCTTCAATCTCTCTAAATATCTTCCGTGATATTTACGATTAGGAAAAGTACAAAAGTACGTCTTCGCTAGTGGTTCTTACACAGGGAAAGGGGGGGGGGGGGGTTGGTTTCGCCGAGTACAAATGTACTTGTATGCGTGCATTCATATTTAGATATATGGGAGCGAAACTGTGTTGACATAATCAGGTCCGTTCTCACCTGGATATTTACACCCCTCTCATCGTCTCCTTCGTTCATACGCGTACTACTCTTCTTCGTCTGCAACGCTTCTGCTTGCTACCTGTGAATCTTTTCCGGTCGCACTGCCGCCTCCACTCGAAACCCAAGTACGGTATTGGCTTCGTCCATGGTGCCAGCTTTTCCTTCCGATCGTACTAGTCTGAGACGTTTCCAGCATACCTCGGCCTCCGGACAGAATCTTCCGAGATGTGGTACGTAGTGAGTGTGGATAAACAAGTGGCGGAGATTGTGGATCCAGGGAATCAGGGACCCCACCTCAAGCCGGGAAAATGCTGCGGCCGTTGGAATCTGGCCCAGCAGTGCCATCATCGAATGTTTCCCTTCATTGCCGCCAACGCAGCCGTGGCCATCGCTGTCCCCTTTTTCGCCGCTGCTGCTACTGCCGCTGTGGAATCTCTTCCTTGTCGACGGCGTGACAAGGCTAGCTTCATTCCAGCTTTTCAGTGCAATGTGCGGGTGGAATCCGGAGGAAGGGAAAACTCCGGTTTGTCTCTCTGGAGGGTCAGACGTGGCGCGGGGTTGATCGGCTGCCGGCGGCGGCGAGCAGCCCCTCCATGAAGTTATCTTCATTATCGAGCATGTTGCCGTAGTTTACCACTGTGCCATCGTATTTATCTTCATTACCTGATTGGAGAAGCATCGGGTTTGGGCAACTGGAGGCGGTGTGATGCTAGAGAAGCGGAAGCCGCAGCGCTCTGAAGATGTGCTCCCCGGGGCCGTCCTCCTCCCCATCTCCTTCCATCAACTTCGGGTTTCCGCTGTAGTTCTTCTTGTAGATTCGGAAGAGCACCCAATCGTCCAGCTGTTCAGCACAGCATGCAGGAAGCCACCTGGGCATAAATTGATGCAGTAGATTCTATAATCTGTATTAACACTTTCCATTCAATTTTACTACAGTCGACATTACTTGACATAACATTTAACACCATTTTACCTCGATTAACATATAAACATGATGTGTTCATTGTTAGGCATGTGGGTCATAAAGTGGCCACGTCCATGACAGCAGAGAAGAACCGCATTTAATGTGGACGGGAGAGAGAGAGAAGATGAGATGTACGAAACGGGCAGATGTGGACCGTTTCTCACCCCTCAACGGGCCAGTTATGGGCAGGCTAAGCTAGAAGGAAGAAACGGCTCACTCGAACCGTTTCAGCTTCAAGGACGAAACGGTTGACATGTTTCTTGAGGCAGCTCAAGGAGGTATATAAATAGAGGCTACCTCTTCTCATCTTGTAGCACCAGTGACCAGAGAGTACCAGAGAGATTGAGAGAGGCTTTTCAATGGAGAGATCTCTACTTGATAGTGAGAGACTAGTGAATTCTTTGAGAGCCAAGATTAGAGATCTGCATTTTGAGTTTTGAGGAGTATTCTTTTATACTTCTACTTCATCTAGTGGAGTTTTTCATCGTCGCCTATGGATGTATAAGGCTAACCTCTGAACCACATAAATTTTTGTGTCTTCGGTTGTGAGTTATTTATTTTATTTCTATCTTCTAACTTCTGCACTAAGTCCATATGGAGCTTTTATCTCTAACATTGTTAATATCGCCCCACTTAAATCATTGAGTCCTATAGCCATACTTATAGGAATTGAAATTTTTATCAATAGTGATTTAAAATATCATGTTTAGGTGTATGATTGGTTTTAAACGAATTTATCATGTTTAGGGTTTTTATTTTTTTTGGAACGAAAAATTTGATTTAATGTTGGAAGTTTCACTTCAATCTGAGGTTACATGAGTGTGATCTCATTCACACAGAAGGTGAGGACGATTGAAGGATATATACCTCTTTTGAAGGGAGGATGTGACAATAGTGGAGAGAGATTTCACTTTGCTTAAAATATTTGAAGAAAGTGGTTGATTTGCATTGAACTGGAAGAGCCCTTTCGGGCATGAAGTTGAAAGATCTATTCAAGAGTAGTAGGGAGTATAGTTGTGCGCCATGATGTGTTTCTGTAAGACAAGAGTTTGCTGCAGTTGATGGTTTTAAGAAATAAATGAAATGATATGAAGTGATAAGAAAAGAGTTGTTAGGGCACTGAGGAGGACAGAATTATGTTAGAGCATGACAATAAGCTCAAATATGAACTTGCCTTTCTAGTGTTGCACATGTCTAATCCCTCTTGTCAAGATTTTGCTAGTATTATTAGTTGTCGTACTTTTTCAAAGTGACTAGGGGACCTTTCACCCCATGAGGAATGACTTGCTCTCTCTTTCTAACTCTTTTTTTTTTGTTATTCTCTCTCTCTTCTTTCTTTTTTTTTATTTTATGAAGGCCTCTTCTCTCACCCTCCACTAATTGCCCATGATTTTGTTGTACTTCCATTGTCTTTTTCTCTACATCATTTTTCCGCTCACATTTTCTCTTCTATCAACTAAGGGTGAGGTCTAGACGTTAGAAATCAAAAATCTTGTGGATGCAAAGCTGAAATTTCTTTAAACTTGTGGGACGCTGAGTAGTAGAAATGCTAGTTCGTTTCTCAAGTTGATGGCCATTAGAAGTAGACACTTTGATTGATCTCATTGCTCGTCCCTTGAGGACTAGTGTCATCCTCTGCTTCCTGACAACAGTGACCTAACACGACTTTGATATCTCTGATTCGATCCACCAACATAAGATAAATCTAACAAACGAAGCGAAAATGAGATGGGAGGATGAGGCGAGGGCACCACACCTCTTCCACTTTCCCCACAATCAAGTGCTGTTTAACAAAGAAAAAGGAAATTTTTAAAAAAAATCCCCAAGCTGATAGTTTTCTTCGTTTTCTGTTCTTTCTCCTTATCATCTTCTTGCTCTCACGGTCTCTACTCTTTCTCGTCAAACATTTTGAGGCTTTGATACAGCACCCAAAGTTTGATTTCAATTTTGATGACTAAAGGAGGACATGATCATGTAGAGGAATGTAATGGAGAAATAAAAGAAGGATTTTGTGTTTTGAAGAATCACAATGAAAATGAGAGGAATTAGAAACTATATTCGATTACATTTTGATCTGAACTTGAGACTCTATAACTTTTTTGGTTCAGCACATTGAAGTTGTTTGATCCATATGACATCTCCTAGAGCAATGGGATGTTTGAGGAGTGACTCTTGCATTGTTTGACTTCATTAATTAAATAAAAACACATATTTAGTGTAGACCTAGTTGGGCCTAGGCTTCTCAACATGCCCCAGCCTTAAACACTAGAAGAACCCTAGACCAATTGCAGTCCGTTGATACCCCCCAGTCTGACTTGATGACGTTGTTCATTTATAGTATTTTCCATTAGACCCATGCTGGCTAATAGGGAAGAAATTTAGGTTTAGTTCTTGGTACCTTGACGTAGTTTGAGGTGTCTAAAGTGAAGCGATGGTAGATTCCGGCTGGTAGGACGATCATATCGCCCGCCTTAATCTAGATGCGGATCCAATGGTCGTCCTTGCCGCAGACATCAAAGTAACTGTTGCCCTCCAGGCAGAAGCGGATCTCCTCGTCGGCATGTATGTGCTCGCGGAAGAAGTTATTCAGCTTCTCCTCGTAGTTCTCAACTTTCCCTGGGCATAGCTCTAGTAGATCCTGCGACCACAAAAGGAGAAGCATTTTCACAAAGAGTTGAATGGTCCACTATATGTTCATATTGCATAGTCAAAATAGAGCGAGAGAGGGATAGAGAACAGAGACAGGGGAGAGAGAGAGAGAGAGGGATAGAGAATAGAGACAGGAGGAGAGAGGGAGAGAGAGATCGAGAGAGGGATAGAGAACATAAATAGGGAGAGAGAGAGAGAGAGAGAGAGAGAGAGAGAGAGAGGGGAGAGAGAGAGAGAGAGGGATAGAGAATAGAGACAGGAGGAGAGAGGGAGAGAGAGATCGAGAGAGGGATAGAGAACATAAATAGGGAGAGAGAGAGAGAGAGAGAGAGAGAGAGAGAGAGAGAGAGAACGAGGGTATCAGTAATAGACAGAATAGACCTTGTAATTATATCCCCTGTTTTCTCTAATTTTATTTAACTGCTCATTGTTTTCAATCTTTTGGATCGAGATGCCAGTACAGGATATCGATCTCTGCAGGGTACAAATTCTATTAAGCAGACTGATTCGATCACCATGATAAATGTACACGGGGACACAGAATTATGCATTTTTTTTGCATAAATTACGAAAAAGTGAAAGATACAAGTTAGTATATTTCAGCTTCAGTCGCTAGATTCCTAAAACTCCACCGTATTAAGGCAACTCCATTACACTGGATGAGACAGCAGAGATCCATGAAACGTTTTCTGTACAACCAAGAGGCACGACAGGCCGGCTCTAGAAGGAGATGGAAGATGCCAACGGTTGAACCACGTACTGCCAAATTGGAAGGGCGTTCTGGTTGCCACCTTCCATAACCTGCGAAGGATCTGGTCATCTACATGTGGCAGGGGGCCTCCGACAGCCTAAGGCCTGATGGAAGCTTGAAAATCTGCGGCTTGGTGGCCTGTGTCCCCACTACAGGGGAGGGCATTCCCATCCATGGGCTCCTTCCAGCAGAAGCATTGTATGCTCTTTTCAGACGGCACAGAATCCTAATGGTGGGGGTTGAAGCTACTGATGTCAACTCAACCTTGACTTCCACAAAGATCAGGTGAAACATCTAAATCAACCGTGGATGGTGTGTAAATGGTGATGTAGATTTTTTGTGTTTCAAGATGATCGAGGAATTTAACAGAGGAGTTCGTAGGGAACTCGTTACCTTATTCGACTTTCAGTCTGATAACACGCCACACTTGCCTCGGTCATATTGTAATGTTTGGTTAATATGGTTCTCAAATTGATGATGGCAGAGATAAGTTAGCGAGTTGATTGAATAAATTAGTGACTTTATCTGAGCTAATGGCTCGTTCAGCCATCCTATTTTATTGAGCACGCATAGTTAGATAGATGAATTTGAATAATTGAGTCTAGTCTAGTTGTAATCAGTTATCCAACAACAATCTAAAACCCGCAAAAAGATCTTTATGTGATGATAGACCAACAAAAGACGTTGAAAAGATTTCGAATATGCTCTAAAGTTTAGCTTTATGTCGAATTGTATATGATCGGAAAATGTATTTATATTGGAAGATGTGTGTGAATGAAGTACACACTCGGGTATGGAGAGACAAACCTACAACCTTCCGTTCGCTTGAAGGGCTGCTGTATGTATGCATCCTTATAATGAATTTGCAAATGATACTCTGACGGGGTTTGAAAAATAGTACCTACAAGTTGGCTCAGCGGAACATACTCCACCGGAACGCGGTGGTGAGGCAGTCGCTGATCCTCTTCCCCATCGTCCATCAACCATGCCTACAAGACATGAAGAACATCCGTCATAGTCACAAGCTACACGCCGATATTCATAATTCAGATTAGCATAGCAGCTAGATCAAGTAGGGAATCGACAGCCACCCTCCGACTGCAAATCCTTGGAAGAAGTCCAGAGATACAGCAAGGAAAAGGCAGACAAGTCGGTCCGTTCCCACTGAACTGCCTCGCCGGATGACATTCGGGTTGTTACGCCACAGCCGGGCGAAAGCCGCTTCGCTTAGTCCGACCCCAGTGGTGGAAACCGCAAGCAGATGGGCGGGGAAGGAGAGGGGTCTTTGATAAGAAACAAGATGAAGAACGGCAGAATCACCTTCACAGCCATCACTTCCTAAGTCCCTCACCCGCCTTCGAGCTCACCGATGTCACACGCTGCGCTGCACGGCCCTTCGGACGGTTCAGAGAACCATGTCTATGGAACAGGAGAAGGGCTTCTTCTGGAAGCATCAGGTTTGTCGTGTTGCGGGGCATCCTGTAGAATCGTTCCACGTGTAAGACGAACAGCTTCTATTTCTCCTTTATAGCACAGCCTGAGCCACACGTTGCCTGTGATTTTCCTTCTAGACTGTTTAAAAAGAACAGTATGGCCGATTTTTATCAGGATCTGGGCCCAAGCCCGTTTCCGGGTCATTTTCTCGTGCTGATTGGGCTTCAAAAGGCCCACTTTGGATAGTCTAAATGGAAATTAACTCTGATTGCTCACCAGATGTTAGTCCACATGTCAGATAAACCAGCAAATGTCCAGAAAAAATATTATGCGTCTTTCTTAAGGTAGAGCTAGACCTATGTTCACCGCATAAATGGATCTTGATGATGTTGTTTGTGCTTCTGTTTGACTTGGAATCGTTTCCTTGTAATGATCTCTAGACCTAGGTTTCACAGTTCGAATAGTTACTAGATTATTATGCTGATTATGCAGAATGAAGGATACCATGAAACAACTAAGTTTACTTACTTTTAGAGACTCTAATTGCTTTTAATCTAGTTAGTTTAGAAGGCAAGACAAATGTTTTTAGGCACTCAAATTACATTTAATTCTTTCTGAGTTTGTTTTTATGCATTCAGTATATGCATGTCTCAAGCATTGATGAACAAAATGGCATAAAGCCCATCTACATTATGCTTTAGTAGACATTTTAGAAGAATTTATAAATTATGTACCAAATTATTTGAATTTAACAATTGCTTTTCTAGGAGGCTTTTGTAAACTTAAAACAACCAAATCTAAGTATTTAAGCTTTCAATGTATGTGAGCATGTATGCTCAATAATATCAACATAGAAAGAATCATTCAAGTTAATTGCAAATAAGGAAAAAGATAAAGTATATTTCATGTAGATATAAATCCATTGTTGTCACTAGTAGTCCCATCAACAAAATTAAAATTCAAGCTCATCAAATTGCTCAATGTAGCATCCATTTCATTTCTTCTTTACTGGTCTTATCTTTTATGTCAACTATTTGTAACCTATTAGCTCAGACCTGATACCTACATCTTTAGTACATTGATGTCCAAGAACGAATATATTCTAAGTTTCTCAAATGGTTTCAGCTTTTTTCTTTCAACTAAATAGTCTACAAAGCAAGGAGAATCAACAACTTTTATCATTTACAGTTTTTAGTGTAATGTGTAAGGCCTTATCACATAGGGGAATTTTGATTGCATGTTGAAATAATATATATATATATATAAAACTTGCAACTAAATTTAGAAAAAAAAGAATTTTTTTATTATCTCCATCATAATAATTGATTACTACCTTTTGAAGAAATGAGCTACTTAATTAAGAATAATTTAAAAATTAAATTTTCTGCACTTTATAAAAGTTTTTTGACTTCATACTTCAACATTTTATGTTTGCACTTTGTTAGCTGACCTACCAACCTACAAGAATTAGACTCTTAAATCACAAAAAAAATGTGACTCCTTTCATAAAACATATTATAGCAAAATACATGACAACTGATCACAAAAAGGTGCAAAACCAGCTAAAAAGAGAAAAGAAAATATCTAACCTAACCTACCTAAGAATTTCAAAAATGTGTAGAGTAATTTTGTTACAAAAGGTCTGCATTGATTGGTGACAAACTTTACTTTTCTGTCTGAAACATGCTTGCAGATAAGAGAATCTTTACCCAAGATAATTCATGTGACAAAAGGTCTCCTTGGGCCTCATGATGTCTCTCAATTCTTGTTGTTCTTGTAATTCTACTCATTCAAGTGTCTAGGTTTGTGAGAATTTATTAATCCATTGTCATTATCTATCTCAGTCTCCCTTTGCTTGTTCTGCTATGCAACTCCAACTTGATCTTGCTCTGCTTTTTGGTCTGTGTAATCATCTTTCTCTTGCTTTGTCATTACGTTTGCTTTCCTATCCTCATTTTAAACGCCATCTGATGTTCTGTACCTAGTTTCCTCTCATGGGTGTCCTTGAAATAAAGGTCAAAGCATTTATTTTGCTCCTTTTGGCCAATAATGTAAGGGTAATCCTATTAATTTTAGCATTTTAATTAATGAACTTCACTCATACTGCCATCACACATAAGGTATTCCCTCTTTCTCAAGCTTGAACACTCTTTGAGCCTGATGAAGTCAATGGGCCATCTATCTAGGTCACGAGGATCCATTCCGTTAGGTGGGCCTATGAGGAGGAAGAAGAGGGTGGAGAAGAGGCCACATCACCTATGCACCCCTTCTTCCCCTATATGAGTCGCCTCTCCCTACAAGAGATGTCTCATGGCATCCTTTGGGAGGGGGTGTCTCTAACCACCTTTCCCTTTTCTCTCATTTATAACTTCTCTTGTCACCCTTATTGAAGCTCAATAAAAACACTTGAGAAGAGGCTTGAAATTTGGAATCTCTTATTATCTCACTCACCTCTTGGATTGGAGGTTATTCCTCTCTCTCATTCACTTCTTGAATTAAGGGTTTGACAGAACATGATTGAGGGTCATTTAAATACTTCAAAAGTAGTGGATAAAAATATTTATGAATCTGAATTTCACTAGTTAAAATACAAAAAATCAAGTACAGTGGCAAGTTCAGGGTCGATTCATAGAGAGCATGAGATTTGAGTCATTGAAATCAAATGGGTGGACAAAGTAAGGAGAAAAATATAAAGATTAGAGGATAGAATCAAGAGAGATGGCAAAAATCATGAATCGGTTGAAAATTGATCTCCCTAAAAAGAGGAAAAACAAAAAAATAAATCATGATTAATGAAATTATCTAAACCCAAAGATTAAAGTTAGTAAAATGTAAATAAATCTATCTAGATTGGTCATAGTCAATAGGCAAGCCTCACATATATCTAAATTCTCACTGAATGTTTCAATGTACACCATATCCAAGGCTTTCTAAGTTTTTCCACGACAATAAAGCCCTTAATTTAAGTTGGGATTGTACTCTTGATACACAACCAAATCATAAATAGTTGGTGGCAATTGAATCATCTCCTCAAGAGTCTTTTCAATGATACTAAAATATTACATGGTGAGATAAAACAATGGTTGTATTCAGTCGAGATTTTTCGAGTCTATTTTCAAATAGATAGAAAGGAGAAAGAACACATGCATAGGGCAGTTCGAAAATGATGTAGCCCAAGACACAAGTTGAAATCTCAACATTGAATTTGGGCCCACTCATCTTAAATTTGGGGCATAAAGTGAAAAGTGTTAAAGAAGGAGCCCACATATGTCATCGGTAGGCTAGAAGTCCAAAAAGTAATATTTTATTTTCTACTTTATGTCCTTCCACTTTTATAAGATACTTTTATGTCTCTTTCTTTCTAGAAAGGACTTTAATGTGGTTCAGTATGTACCTAAGATCTGTTCAGGATCTTAGATTGTTAAAATCTATACCTAAGATCTACTCAAAATCTCTGATTGTCAAAGTTTGTGCCTAAGATCTATTCAATATATCTATCTATCATAGTCTATTTCAGGTTATTTCAGAGTTAGTCACATAGTATTTTTAGAAGATTTGTCTAAGATCTTAGTCTGTTAGAATCTATTTTAAGTCATTTAGAGTTAGTCGGACTTTGTCCCCAAGATTTGTACCTAAGATTAGAACTTCGTGGATTCAAGCCTAGATCTTATTCATCTTTTGCGTTACTATTGTGTCGAAGAGGAGGATCACCATCCAATTTTGATTGAACAGTAGAGATTGTGCCATGTCACCAATAGTCTGTCAAAATATCATCAAGTTTGCACACGCCACGTATCTCACATCCATGTAAGTCTTAGGCCAACTCGTAAGTTCCACTTTCCCTGCTGACCTATTGATGATTATGGCCGACCTCTTAATATTCCAGCTAGTTGGTCACTTAGCTTGGCCTGCCTGGCTCAGCCCAACCTAGCCTCTTAATATTCTAGCTAGTCGGTCACTTAGCTTGGCTTGCCTAGCTCAACCATGCTCGGTCTGCTCTGATGTACACTATGAATTTTAGGATATGTGACATCACTAATAGTGGTAGTAGTGAAAATATTGTCTCTTTTGTGATGGTAAAAAAATTAGGTTTATAGATAAGCCACACTCTCATCCATATCGAATTGATTGGATCAAGAAGGAAACAAAAACTAAAGTTTCAGAGACATGTCTAATCAAATTTTCAACTAATAAGACTTATTTTGATGAAATGGATGCTTGTCCCATGATATTAGGCAGGCCGTGACAATTTGATGTTGATGCTACACTATAGCAAGGAAAATACTTATATTTTCTATCGAAATGATAAAAAAATTATTTTGGTTCCAATGCAAGATAGTGATTTTAGCAAAGGAGAGAAGGAGAAAAGAAAAGTAATGCTCATAAACACCTAGATGTTTCTCCTTGGGAAGACCTTGTATAGTCAGTCCTTCGGGCATACCGGAGGCCAGGGCGAAGAAAGATTGCTATCCCGTAGGTGAAACTTCGTGTCGGTACTGGAGTGATGATCACTCCTTCGAGTAGATGGGGCGGTAGAGCTGAGTTAGGTTCCACTCTATTGGAAATGCATAGGAAGCAGCAAACCGATTCTTCGAGTAGATGCTAGGTTTCTTAAGGAGTTTGATATTAATATTGAATTATTTGTTATTGTTCAAAAACCTGATTTAGATATCAAAATAATTGACGTGATACCAAAAACTATTGAACATCTCTTATCTGAATTTTCTATAATTCAAAAACTATCTACTCATCTTCCACCAATGCGAGATGTACAACATCATATTGACCTTATACCAAAAGCAAGCTTGCCTAACCTTCTACATTATAAGATGACTTCACAAGAAAATCAAAATTTTCAAGAACAAGTCAAAGAGTTATTGAGTAAAGGATTGATAAGAGAAAGTATGAGCTCATACTCTGTGACTGCTTTACTTGTTCCAAAGAATGATGGAAGTTGACTGATGTATGTTGATAGCAGAGCTATCAACAAGTTAACAATTTAGTATAGATTCTTAATTTCACGTCTAGATGACATGTTAAATGTGCTTTGTGGTTCTAAAATTTTCTCAAAAGTTGATTTAAAGACTAGATATCATCAAATTCGAATTTGGCAAGAAGATGAATAGAAGATTACCTTTAAAACTAAGACAAGTTTTTATGAATGGTTGGTCATGCCTTTTGGCTTATCCAACACCCCCAATACTTTTATGAGAGTGATAAATCAAGTTTTGAAACCTTTTATTGGCAAATTTATTATTGTTTATTTTGATGACATTCTTATTTATAGTATTACAAAAGATGAACACATAAAACATCTTAAGTCGGTGTTCAAAGTATTAAATTATGTATTAACTTGAAAAAATGTGACTTCATGTCTACTAGTTTGTTGTTCTTGAGATACATTGTAAGTGCAGATGGTATCAAAGTAGATGAAGAAAAAGTCAGAGCCATCAAATATTGGTCAACACCAATCATAATTCATCAAGTTCAAAGTTTTCATGGGTTGGCATCATTTTATAGAAGATTCATTCGAAATGTCTCTTGTTGCTGCCTGTATGAAAAAGTGTCATTTTAAATGAACTGATGAAGCTAGTAAAAGTTTTATCATGATAAAAGAGAAATTATGCTATGCTCTTGTTTTAGTCTTGCCAAATTTCGATAAACTATTTGAAGTGGAATTTGATGTATCCATAATTAGCATTGGAGATGTATTATTACAAGAAGGTTGACATAGTGAAACTTGAGGAGGCAATGGCTTGCACTAGTTGTGATCAACTTTGATGTTGTGGAGGTTGAAGACAGTCTTGAATCCTCAAAAAATATGCTTCAATTGTTGTCCTTTCACTCTAAATCCATAGGGTGAAGAGGATAGGTCCCTTGAGTCCACAAGGGGATGACTCTAAATCCATAGAATCAAGAACATGTTCCTTGAGTCCACACGAGTGCTGGAGTCCACCAGCAAAAAGAGAGAACTTCATGAAAAGGAATTTGAATTCAAACAAAAATTTAAATTTCAAATGAAATTTGAATTCAAACAAAAATTTAAATTTCAGATAAAATTTGAATTTCAAACAAAAAATTGAATTTTGTATTTCAATTTTGGAATTCAAATTTAAATTTCAAATAAAATTTGAAAAATAATGAAAAAATATATATGGGCCTAATTTCGTAATAGAGCCAGTAAAGTTGGCTTCAAGCTACAACAATACTAGGTTCAGTGACACTAAATCTAGATGATATTTCCATTATCTTTAGTAAGTGCATGACATATGCACTAAGTTTGTGATAATTTTCTGCTAGCAATTGTTCTTTTCTCAAGTAATTGGTTGCCTTTTCCTTGTAGTTTGCATAACCAAATCACCAACTTTTGTCTGCCTTTTCCTTGTAGTTTGCATAATTGATTGTAACATGCTTCTTCACATTCTCATGTACTATTTGGATGTATTCTTCTATGTTATTTGCTGCTACACTAGTACTAGGTTTTCTTGGTACTTCAATTAAGTCAAGAAGGACTTTTGGTGGAAAATAGTAGACAATAGAAAATAGAGAGTAATTTGTAGACCAATTTATCATAGAATTATATGCGAATTCTGCTTGAGCTAAGACAAGATCCCATTGTCTTGGTTTGTCTCCTAAAATACAATAGATTAAATAACCAAGTGTCTTGTTTACAACTTTTGTTTGACCATCAGTTTGTGGATGACTCGAAGTACTGAATTTTAGGTATGAGTCAAATCTGTTCCAAAGAATATGCCAGAAATGGGACAAAAATTTTGAGTCTCTATTAGATGTAATAATCTTAGGCACCATGCAGACGAACTATTTCCTTAAAAAATAAATTTGCCACTTGAACGACATCATTAGTCTTTCTACATCGAATAAATTGTGCCATCTTTGAGAATCTATCCACAACCACAAAAAAAAAATCTGCTCCGCTTTGAGTACGTGGTAGTAGAGTGTACACACATGTGTTCTAGCACTATCCTCTATTAATTTGACATCTCCGCAAAAAACTTTCAAACTCTTTCTTAAAAGTGAACTGTGTTCTGACACTGTCATTTATTAATTTGACAAATTTGACATCTCTACACAAAACTTTCAAACTCTTTCTTAAAAGTGGATTGTGTTCTAGCACTGTCCTTTATTAGTGGACTCTATGCTTTATCTAGAATGGCCAGTGGAAGTGTACATACCTGTGTGTTTTGGCTAATAGCATCATTCCTCCATCATGTTCAAAATCTTGTCACGACCTAAGTGTCCACCAAGCCCTCCTGCATCTAATTCTTGAATTAACTTCTCACGCAAAGAAGTTCGAGAGATACATAACTTTAATTGATATTCCTGACGTACAAATCATATACTGTTGAGACTAATCATCGTCGTCTCGGTATAATTTCTTGAGATAATAAAATCTTGTGATTTCAGCACGCAAGTTCAACAAACATGTTGTTTTTCTACTAAGAGCATCTGCAACTCGATTCAATTTTCTTAACTTGTGTTTAATAACGAAAGTAAAACATTGAATGAAAGAGATCCACTTGGCATGAAAGTCTAACTGATTACTGATTTAAGAGCCTGATGATTAGTATATAAAATAAATTTTCATTGAATCAAATATTGTTCTCTTTTTGATCTAATCAAATAAATTTTGGTGAAATAAATTTTTTGAAACTTTAGTTTCTATTTCTTTCTTGATCCAACCAATTCAATATGGATGAGGACGTGGGCTTGTTTGTAAATCTAATTTTTTAACCATCATAGAAAAGACAATGTTCTCACTATTGCCACTATCAATGATTATATCACAATAGTAGAAGAAACAATAGTAGAAGAAACAATAGTAGATCTTCCTCTTTCTAGGTGAAGAATTTAATTCTGACTTCCAAAATTTTGAATTCTGATTTTTCCTTTCTCTAATAAGGCTTGAAAAATGATTGTAAAGCTACTTTGTCTTCAATTTCTCATCTGAGACCACCTTTAAATCTTGAAATCATATATTGTTGATACAAAATTTGTTCATAATCTGGGGGAAGAAAATGAGATTTCAAAAGTTTTTTCATTTTCTCCCATAATCATATAGGTTCTTTGCCTGACCTCGTATGTGTGATATGTAATTGATCCCACCATATAGAGGCTCCACCCTCCAATTTATAAGTCAATAGCTTGACTTGCTTTTCATCAAAAAAATCATTCTACTTCAACTAACCAATCTAAGAACTTTTTAATCTTCAAATGGCCATTAAAACATGGTAAGTCAATCTTCAAATGAAAATCTCGAAAATTTTCTTTTGATCTAGAACATGTAGAACTAGATGAATAGTGAGTATCTAATGAAGGTTCAACATGAGTGACTTTTTGAGGATGTCTGATTTCATGATCTCTAAGAGGGCATGAATGACTCTCTAATACACTCATTCTTGCCCAAAGTTATTTTAAGGTATCACTAATCTCATCTTTGATCCATTCAATCTTGAAAAGTAATAAAATCTGATTTTGAGATAGGAAAAACTTTAGGTGAATCATCATCACCAATATGAGTAGATTTACCTCGTGACATTTTTGAACTTTGATTGAAACGTTGACTTGCTCTGATACCAACTGATGCAATAGTAACGCGAAAGATAAACAAAATATGGGCTTGAACCCACAAAGCTCCAATCTTGGGGAAGAAACTTGTCTCTGACTCCACAGATTTAGAGTCTTTAACCTTTGCATTCACAAAGGGGTGCCTAAATCCACAAGCAAGAGAGAAAAGTTCTCATAGTGGAGAAAACTATTTCAACTAAAAAAAGTGAGTACCTCAAGTTACAATGGGGGCCTTTATATAGGCATAGAAAGGAGGTTGGGCACTCCTCAAAAGGAAGATCCTGACAGATCTTGGGAACAATCTGACTAACTCTAAAATAACTTAAAATAGACTCTAACAAATTGAGATCTTAGATAAATCTTCTAAAATACTTTGACATGACCTAAAGTAGAGTCTGACAATGAGAGACCTTGAGCGGATCTTAGGCATAGAATCTAATAGTCAGAGATCCTGAATAGATCTTAGATACAAGTTGAACCACATTAAAGTCTCTTCTAGAAGGAATGAGACATAAAGTACCTTTTAAAAGTGAAAGGACATAAAGTGGGCTCGAATTCGTATAGAACTGGTCAGGTTTTAACAGCTTCAACCTTTTCTTCATCCACTTTGAAAAACCTATATTTCTCTTATTGAGCGTAAAACAAATTTCTCAATATTTTTGTAAAAAATATAATGATTATCTCTATGAAGGTGAGTTGCATCTAAAACTTATTGCCATGTTCTACCAAAAATTAGATTACAAACATTCATCTCAACAACATCACTGTAAATTTCATCAAAATAATTTTTTTCCTTGCAACCCATTACTATTGCAGCTTGAAGCTCACTATACTTGATGCACACTAAATTACTATTGCAATTTGAAGCCCGCTTAACTAGCTCAATTACAAAATAAGGCCCATATATCTATTTTTATTCTTTTTCAAATTTTATTTGAAATTAAAATTGAAATTTTAAAAGATCAATTCGGTAGTAATAAGTACAAGAGTCATTAGAGGATGCTAGAAAACCTAAAGATAAATAAACACCCCCTTAAATGAAAAATTACTTGGGCCGCAATGCACTGATCACAAATCACTAATTGGTAGTGGGCTGATCCTATGATACTACACTTCAATATCAGTCATCCAAAACAATGTTCAACAGGGAGCAAGGAGGAATGAACTAACCTCCACAACGTCAATGGGTTAATTTTCTAGAATTGCATGAAGAACTCTTTAGCAAATTAATATTGGGCAAAGTTTAACATATAATATAAAAAATCTAATATTTTCATTTATTATATCATTTGGTTCTCCAAATCTTACTACTTCCCTTAGCAACTAACAATTAAAGAGGAAAACGAAAATTGCAAAAAAAAAATACAACATTTATGACACATTTGGACAGACTTCAACAAAGTTACCCACATTACTACAAGGCTGGATTATTTATATTACTCTTAATTTTGTGGCCATCTTGCTGAATGAGGGTTTCATATTTTCTCTCTATGATCAATGGGGTTTCTTTGGCATGAAACATCAAAATAGGGAGGGGATATGTAAAGTAAACTTCCCAAATAGACCACACTTCTTTTGGCATTTTTATCTTCACTCAGGCCACTCTTGCATCCCCACTTGCTATAATCTCTTTAGACATTAGTGACAATGTAAGCGAGGAAGTCAATCATATGACCTAGGTTACATATGCCTATTAATTAATACCATGAGAAAACTTTCTAGTTTGATCTATTTGATGAAATTCCATTTAATTATTTATCAACTAGTGGAAAAATGAGTTTTGACTGAAAATATAGTGGATGAAACAAAATTTGAATGGAGAGGCACCGTGACCCATGGGTTGTATATTGTGTGCCAGAAAACTCATGTTGCTTTGAATGAGCACTTGAACGGTTAAATCATGATGTGGCATTAAGTGGCATGTTGACCTGAAATACATGAGAACGAAACTATAGCTTGTTAATGGCTGCCAGCTTTTGCTTTTTCAACTTTATTATGTTTTCTGGACAAAAATGATTGACATTTCACTCAATAATCTGTTTTTCGGTATGTGTCTTTGTTCTTCATAGGAATGTTGATCGTCATGTCCGTTAGAGGGTTCTTATCAAATCTCATGAAGGTGAATAATGTGCTTTGAGATAGTTTACTTTCGTGCTAGATCGTTTTTCTTTGCTATGCTGAAAAAAATGGAAAAGAAGATCAATAGATTGCATAACGACAATTGCATCCAATTATGTGGATTCACCCACCCAATGATGTCCTTGAGTTTCAGAATACTACATTTTTCTAACACACTTACCACATGTGTATTCCATGAGAGAAGGAAGAAAAAATCTTTAAAGTGTTCCAAGTATGTCCTTCCGAGTGGATGGTGAAAACTAATAACTATACAGCATGAATAATGTATAACTTTTCAATTTTAGGGTTGATCCTCAAGGATGGTGAAAACTAATATTGACTAATTTCTAATTTTTCTAACACAAATACTAATTAAAAGAAAGGAACAAATGAAATAAGATGAGAGAAATGATAATATTCACCTCAATGTTTAATATTCTTCTTTCTCAATTACTTTCATAAATTTATTTCTCTGATTTAGCTCTACATAGATAGAAAGAAGGTTTTAATGGTGAGATGATTAAATCAAGAATAGCAAAAAATAATTTAGTGATTATGAAATGAAAAGATTTGAAGGGTGATTGTCAATAAAATGACTTCTAAGAGTAAATTATGAAATAATTTAGAGAATGTTTTGAAATAATTAAAACTAAGATAAAAAATTGATTGGAATCTAGAAACACATTAGTTGTTAATCAAGAGTAAATTAAAATAATTAATTTTGTGATAAAAAATAATTTTAAAACTATAATCAAACTTTGTTGTAAATCACATAGCAAAGTTTTTTAAACCTAAGAAAGTTTTAATTATCAGATAAAATTTAAATTAAATGTTATAACCTTGAATAAAAATCTTTTCCTTCCTTGAAGAACAAAATACTTAGATTAATTTAATTCAAAAATAAGATCTCTCTAATCAATGCTTGTCACCCAAAGAATAAAAAGACATAAAATAAGATTATAATAAAAGAATAAAACACAAAACTCTATTGGTCACAACCCCCTTGATTATGAGATCTTCCTCGTTCCTTGCTCTCCAACTTGCTTATGCTGCCCTTATGTGCCTCCTAACCTCCTAACTTCCAACCCACCATCTTCCTTTATTATCTCATAATAATAAATTCACAAAATTTCAGATTTTTTTAAAATTTGCTTAAAGTTTAAATAAAATCCCAATTATTAAATTTCTTTTACAAAACATCTCATCTTGGAATTTTTAATATTAAAATTTCATATTTAACCAATGTAACTCACAATCACATTTAACTTTTTATTTTCAAATAAATATCAATAAATCAGTGTAAATACATAAAACTTTGTTTTTCTGAAAATATATATCAATATGTATTTTTTAATAAGACAAACCATAAACATAGATAAAAATTGACATCTTAATTATATAATTCAAAGAATTATCAAGCACGTTTAGCTAGCTATCATGTACTTAGCAACATATGCAAAATTGTGGTGGAGGATGAGGATGGACAAGTCATACTCCCCCAATTTAACTAGTTCACTTATGAGTTGAGGGAGCAATTCCGACCCACCAATAGATAGTGTATGGCAAGGATGTCTCTTCAACAACTTCCTCTAATGGGGACTATATGAAAAAATGTGAAAAGGTTCTCTTTAGCCATCCTCAACATTAAGGGTATGTTAGAAGAGGATAATGTAGTCAACATTGAGGTGCTCATCACCTCAAGTCAACAATGGCAAGTTCCAATGTGTTCATTGACTTGCAAAGCTTTGACACTAATGAGATGTCAAGAGGGGCCAAATAGCAAGAGATCTAAGGAAGAAACACCAAGAGAAACTATGACAAGACCATGGTACAACAACTACCCAAAGGGGTGAGCACCTTTGTCCCCTTGCAAAGGACTGCACTTGAGGAAGGACTACCCTAAGTGAGCTGTCAACATGATGACAACACAACAAGAAGTGGAGTGTACACCAACTCTAAACCCCCTATAGGTGCTAAGTGTATAATGACAACATCAAGGTGGATCAATAGAGCTAAGCTGATCTACATGGTGATCACCATCAACGATCAGACTATGCTTGCAATGGTCGATAGTGGGGTGACCCACAACTTCTGCACAAAGAGGCAACACATATGGACCTAATGTTATCACAAAGAGACATCCAAAAGAAGGTCATCAACTCATTGGTGGCACGTACCCCTCTTGTTGGTTGGCCAAGTCCCTATTCTATCTCTAGAGTAAGGAGGGCAAAGCAGGACCCTATGTCTACACTCTAAGTGGGAGAAAAGTGGAGGTGGGGTGAAGAAGACCCCCTCAACATTGTCTTGATGCAAGATGAAGGGCTTGCAAGAGTGCACACAGCAGGTGCGATGCTCACCGGAGAGTAGGCTATGATGGGGGAAGGATGTCACAACCCTAACTAATCAGCTCAATATTCCAGCAATAGAATCTCACCACATGCCTAAAGAGTAGGCACATGCATGCATAGGTGTGCACACGTAAGAGCAATGGTGTGATAGGCACCAGTGAACACCCTCACTGATGTAGGGCATGGTGCTGGTGCGACATGGCATGGTAGGACAATGCAACCAGGCACACAGAAACATAGGCAAGTGCGGTGCGACATAGCAAAACAAGCTGGTGTCAACACTTGGAGGCATGCACATGGTGAACCTTACTGTAGAGTTGCAGCAGCCAAAAATCTACGACTATGTGAGACCCACCTAAGACCCACCGCTCCCATTCCTTCCCTAATTTCTCTCCTCTTGCTCCCACTCTACCATAGCTCCCACAACCCCCCTACTCTACTCTTCCCTCTAATGACCTTGTGATGGTCATGACAAACCCCTCTCCTTATCATTCCCCCGCTTCACCCTCTTCATAGGTGGGGCTGAGGGCTCCAGCATTTAGACCCCACAATACCCCCCCCCTCCCCCCATAGACTTGTTAGGCTAGGTGGGTCAACAAGGGTACATGGCAGGAGAAGTGACATGACGTGGCATGCACTACAATACATGGCAAGCATGTGGCACTAGTGAGCGCCCTCACTAACTAGTGTTGTGTTGGCATATGTAGGAATAGGGTGTCGAGGCATATGCGAAAGATGCGTGGTGAGCACAATCTCCTTCTCCCCCACCCCGTATGATCTAAGGGACAGGTAGAGGACCTCCCCTCCATTCTCCCCTCAAATGACACAAGTGGGTGGGGGGATCCTTGGGCCTAATTTCTCCCTCCCCTTGTGCCCCCACTCAAGTGATTCTGGTGGTGGACGCAACCCCCCTCCTCCACTCCGATGACCTTGTGATAGTCAATAGGTTCCCACACCCCCCAACCCTCAAACCCCTCTTGAGCAAGGTGGGTCGACACAATACGACAAAGAGTGGCCTAGTGCCGACGAGAGCAGCAGCTAGGTATGACATGGGCAGTAGTACATCACAAGCACTGCAACACCAGTGAGCACCTTCACTGGTATGGGGTATGGTGTAGTCAATCACACAGCGATCGATGTAGGCGAGGCGACATGACAAGAATGGGCTGGTGTCAACACACGAAGGCACAAGTTGCCACCGTATGCACGAGAGATGAGCGATGTGCAGCATAACTACCACGGTGCTGCAGGAGGGATGTAACCGTTGCAGCACACCCACGAGGGAGGATGAGGCAACACAATAGTGTGCTGCAGATCGAGGATGCATGGGGTTGCTCGTCAGATCCCTGACGAGGCACCGACCACATGACAATTGTTTCCCCAAATTTCTCTCTCCTCGTGCTCCCACCACCCTCCTTGTACTCAGATGACCTTGTGAGGCAAGAGCACCCCCCCCTCTTCACTGGTGGGCAGGGGCTCCTTGGCCTCAATTTCTCTCTCCCCATGTGACACCTTCATGCAATTTTGGGGGTCAGGCAGAGGCCCCCCTCCTCTACTCTCCCCTCTGATGACCTAGTGACGATCATAAGCCCCCCCCCCCCACGGCCTTAGGCTCGTTTTTCGCTCTCCTTGCACCCTCACCTTGTGACCTTGTGACGGTCATGACCCCCCCCTGTGACGATGGGGTGGAAGAACAGCTATCTGGCAGGAGAAGACCACGCACAGCTGTCCACAGCTTCAATGCTGACCACAGCTCCTAGACGTGAGCTGCAAGAGGAGCCGAAGAGCAGCATAAAGGGAGCCCCGATGGCAATGAGAATGCAGCAACCTGTGGAAATGAGAAGCATAAATCACAATAGAAATACTAAAGAGGACTGAGCAAAAATCACACTAAGAGAAGAGAGCACTAGAAGACAGCAAAAACGGCGAATGCAAGAGAAAAAAAGTAGTCGGCAAGAAAATAAGAAAGAAAGATATGCAGAAGAAGACGATGGCAATACGAAGTATGGAAGAAGATGATAAAAAGATACCACTGGAAGTTGAGCCCATGCTGATGTGTTTGGAAACTCGGGCCAGTCTACGTATGGATGAGGCGGTTCGTTATTATGTGCTTGATGATAATTTTCACTTGCATCTACACAAAAAATTTAAGGATAAGAATTATAAACAAGTTTAAAATCATTTCAGGACAATAAACTATTAAGAAAACGAAATTAAATTAGATTAAAAATTAAAAATTCTACTTTGACACGGAATTGAGGTGAACTAATGAATTTGAAATTGATTTTTGATGCATAAATCCATTCTGCAAACAAAGATGGGACTAATCCAAACTTAAAAATGACCACCATCAAGTGTCACCATCAATGTCAACAAGAAGAAGAAAATGATCCATTTTTTGCCCAAAATTGAATGTTTTGGCCATTGAGTGATTTTGAGTGAGAGTCCTCACTTCTACTCATTTCTCTCTCCTTAATTACGTCAAATTCAATTAAATAAATCTACCCTGTAGGCTTCTATAAATCACACTTTCTCCCTTCAATAATTCATGCCCTTATTTAGATGGTTGAAATCCAAGTTTGAAATAATATCTTTCTAGTGGACCAAACTTTGACCAAATCAACTGAACCCTAATGACATTAGCTGTTGATTCCAGCCGAGAAGACCAGGAAAAGGCAAATATTTCATTTGTAAACGAAAGGGACCATTTTCCTTAATTTGTTTTATTTCTTTCCCCAAAGTTCTAGTTCACCAAGTATCTTGATGGAGAAGAGGGTGGGTGTTGTACAAGCATGGTCTAGTAAATCTTTAATAGTTTGTTTTTTTTGCTTTGCAATAACATAGGTTTTTACCTTAATCCATTGAAAAAATGTTAGTTACATATCCCAATATTGAAGTACATATCCCCACTCTCACTCTATGATCAGTACCTGACTTCTTTCTATGATCACTCCTTTTGCCTCTCTCACCCATAATCTACTCTTCCCATCTCTCAATTCCTACATTATCAGGCTTCTCCATTAAATCAATTATCTTCCCCACCATTATTCCATAACTTACTTGTCAACTATAACAGGCATAGAAACGCTCCATACGGAAAAACTAAATGATCAGTTTGGTAGTAATAAGTACAAGAGTCATTAGAGGATGCTAGAAAACCTAAAGATAAATAAACACCCCCTTAAATGAAAAATTACCTAGGCCACAATGCACTGATCACAAATCACTAATTGGCAGTGGGCTGATCCCATGATACTACATTTCAATATCAGTCATCCAAAACAATGTTCAGCAGGGAGCAAGGAGGAATGAACTAACCTCCACAATGTCAATGGTTTAATTTTCTAGAATTGCATGAAGAACTCTGTAGCAAATTAATATTGGACAAAGTTTAACATATAATATAAAAAAAATCTAATCTTTTCATTTATTATATTATTTGGTTCTCCAAATCTTACTACTTCCCTTAGCAACTAACAATTAAAGAGGAAAACAAAAATCGCATAAAAAAATTGCAACATTTATGACACATTTGGACACACTTCAACAAAGTTACCCACATTACTACAAGGCTGGATTATTTATATTACTCTTAATTTTGTGGCCGTCCTGCTGAATGAGGGTTTCATATTTTCTCTCTATGATCAATGGGGTTTCTTTGGCATGAAACATCAAAGCAGGGAGCCTATGTAAAGTAAACTTCCTAAATAGACCACACTTTTTTCGGCTTTTTTTTATCTTCACTCAGACCACTCCTGTATCCCCACTTGCTGTAATCTCTTTAGGCATTAGTGACACAAACAAAGAAGTCAATCATATGACCTAGGTTACATATGTCTATTAATTAATATCATGAGAAAACTTTCTAGTTTGATCTATCTCATGAAATCCCATTTAATTATTTATATACTAGTGGAAAAATGAGTTCATATCTTTCTGAGATCCATATTCCACACGTGTTGCATGCCACTATAAAATCTACAGCTGTATTATCCCTTTTTTTTAAAAATGAATTTATGCTTTAAGAAACTTATTGAATCATATGAAAATTTCCCTAGAATCTAGAGACCTGATCACCAAATTGGCAAGGAAGACTTATGAACACATCATAGGGGATAACATTACAGAAATGCAAAAATAGAAAAATTAGCCTACTTAAGTACATTTGTATCAGTGCAAATCAACATATGCCTCAGGTAGTTTAAGGAAGATCCATGGCATGAATCATCCCGATCTTCAACTCTTGAGGCTGAGTTACATGTGATCTAAATGATTGTCCATGTAATCATTCAAATATGGATTGCAACATGGATTTTCTAAACCTTAGTCCCACCCATAAAAGTCAAACTAAGAAACTCATCTGAAACTATAATCCAATCAATCTATATGATGCTTATTTCCTTAGTATGAAGAATGAAAGTTATCACTAGAGGATATTGAAAAGCACACGTTACAAAAAATATAGGTAAAAATAAGAAATCAAGTTGAAATGTCCAAGACATTTATTTGCAAGAAATTGCAAGGTAAATAATCAGGTAGTGCATTTTAAGATTGAAATAAGGACTCCAAAACATCACGCAACAAACATAGGAAATAAAAATAGCTTCAAGCTGAAAATAGAAATTAATTGGGAGTACCTTCCTTAAACTGCAGCAACAAGATTCTTAGTCAAAGCTACCCCACCAATCTGAAAGATTGAAAAGTTGTCACTAAATCTAGACTAATGAACTTCAATACATCCCAACAATTAGTAATTTCAAATGTTGGATATCATAATGAGATCATAGACATAATCAGCATGTAAATGAGAGACCAGCTGATATTATCATTGCAGCCAAAGGAGAGAATTTCTTTGTTTGCTCCTTCAGACAAGAGAAGTATCTACCTGTTTGACAACCTCTGGCAACTGCTACATTCTCTTACGATCAGATGTGAACTCTAGAGTATCTAGCAGCTCATACCGAACAGCTGAGGCATTGAAATTTACTTCTGTAAAAATAAAAAGTTTTAAGAATAAGCACCTAAGTCAAAGATAAACAACAAAAATCTATAGTAAGACACATCAAAGTGAAGTAAATTAATAAATACTTCTAAAAGAGCCATCAGGCAGCAAAAGGTGTGCCTCAAAAGGTTTATTGAGAACATTTTCATTTCTATTTACAAGAACCATATGCAATTGAGCAGCAGCATTGACAAGTGTATCTTTATCTTGAGATTGGGCTATGTAGGAGATTTCTCCACTAGGACTTTAAGCAACAAGATGTTCTTACTCAATAGAAACAAAGATAGTTATATCTAGTGCACTTACTAGTTCTATGCTATTAGAGAGTTATATCACCTTTTAGTGGGCAGAAAATTATTGTAAATTGACATGACTGTAAGAAATCTGACAACATCAGGGACATTGTTGACATCATCATTAAACAATTCACCATCTATCTAGAAAAGAAAATTTGTTAGAATAATAAAGCATTTGGAGTATGATGAAAATTATCCAATTTGAACAATGAAACATGCATGACGTAAAGAAACAACTTGAATCAAATGAAGAGATTAATATTTCTATACATATGCCTAATGAAATAATCTGACTCAAATGAGGAGAATAATACATATCCAAACTATTGCATGCTTTAAAGTAGTAAAACACATCACATGGTATATGAGAAATTTTACCTTGTCATGGTCTTCTAGAAACCTTGAATAGACTAAAAAGAAAAAAATTGATATTGAGAGAGAAAAATGATTGGGCCATCACAAGAAAATGTAACAAACACTTTGCAAGCGTGGTGAGAAAAGAGGAAAAAAAGAGCAAGCTCACTTTCTACCTTTTAGTACCAACATACTTCATTCCTCATTCAATCCATTTATGACTTGGGGCAAACAAACATCTAACAAAAGTCAAAGAAGAATGTCTTGGCCACGGTGAAACAATAGTTAAAAAAATGATCAAAACTATAATTACTCTCAAGTGAAAATAACAGAGATTTGAATCGGTCAAAACCTTGCATATTGCCACGCTTCTGATTTAAGCTTCACAAAAATCATAAAAAATAATGTCCTCTTGATTCTATATTGAATTCTCACATTTAATAACAAAATTACTGACTCAAAATAAATTTTTCAAGGAATTACAACGATAGGACACAAGTTAGAAAATCAAGCAACAATTTCTCAAAAATAGCATGCAGATTAGGCAATAACTTATGAAGTGGATTCTATAATCTATTATGACACTTTTCATTTGATGTGTCAAATTTGACATTACTTAATGTGACATTTATCATCATTTTACTTAGATTAACATGTAAAATGACAAATTAACATCCACATTACTTAAATCATTACTAATCTCTTGGTGGTACTCATAAGAATTCAAATTCGAACTAATAATGATTGAAAATCTCATGTTTAAAGGTAAGATAAATTATAACTAAACCTTTTTACCTCATACATGCCTCAAATTGCAACAACAAGTATCAAGGGTGAATTTTATCTCAATTGTGCAAACACTCCTCAAGATTGCATTCAAATTTTCATCTTTATATCAATGCAAAGTCAACACTTTTAATTAGTAAATATCACCCAGTAGATATTTGAAACCTCTATCTAGCACTCAAGAATGTTTTCCATTCTATTAACACAGTCTTTTATTTATAGGGAGGATGAACAAGCAATTCTCCAATCTAAAAACTCGATTTTTGGAGCTTCACTCTGTCTCCTTTTTGTTTATTTCTTTCTTTCATATGTAGACAGGTAGCTTTTTCCTCACGGGTTTTTGTTTTTGACGAGAGGAGAGTGGATAAGCACTTCCCCTGTCTAAAAGCCCGATTTTTGGAGCTTCACTCTGTCCTTTTTTTTCCTTTCTTTCTTTCATACATAGATAGGTAGCTTTTTCCTCACATGCCTTTTTACTGACGAGAGGAGAGTGGATAAGCACTTCCCCTGTCTAAAAGCCTGATTTTTGGAGCTTCACTCTATCTTTTTTTTTTCTTTCATATATAGACAGGTAGCTTTTTCCTCACGGGTTTTTGTTTTTGACGAGAGGAGAGTGGATAAGCACTTCCCCTGTCTAAAAGCCCGATTTTTGGAGCTTCACTCTGTCTTTTTCTTTCCTTTCTTTCTTTCATGCATAGATAGGTAGCTTTTTCCTCACATGCCTTTTTACTGACGAGAGGAGAGTGGATAAGCACTTCCCCTGTCTAAAAGCCTGATTTTTGGAGCTTCACTCTATCTTTTTTTTTTCTTTCATATATAGACAGGTAGCTTTTTCCTCACGGGTTTTTGTTTTTGACGAGAGGAGAGTAGATAAGCACTTCCCCTGTCTAAAAGCTCGATTTTTGGAGCTTCACTCTGTCTTTTTTTTTCTTTCTTTCTTCCACATGTAGACAGGTAGCTTTTTCCTCACGAGCTTTTTCATGGCAAACTTTTGACCTCTCCCTATGATTACTTTGACTGAGGAATTTAGAACTTCAATCATCTTGAAATGTTCAATAGACTCTCAATACCTACTGGGTGATATCTACTAAAATATAAAGAGTAGATCTCGCAAATTCAATTTCATGAAAAATTTAATATGCACTTGAGGAGTATTTTCACAATCATTTTATTATTTCAAACCATGTAGCAAACCATAATTGTCCAAACATGGTCTAAATGCAAGTAATATAGTAATTTGTCTTCTTATATTCATGAGCACTATGTTGTACAACTATAATACATGGAAAAGATAAAAAAAAAAAATTAGAAATTATTACAAGCAAGAAGCTAGAGAGAGAATATTATCGAAACATAAAAGAAATAACTATGACAGTGATTCGGATGGTAAATGCAGGCTTGAGTATATATAATGTTTCACATGGAGTTCAATTTCCTTTCGATCATATCATATAAAAAAAAGGGAATGTCCACCTGCACTTCAAATTTTAAAATTGAACCAGGCCGATCATTTTAAAACGTAAGAATATTGATGCCTAATTATATGCAATATATGTATGAGAGAGAGAGAGAGAGAGAGATCGCAACGATGTTAGATTCTTGAGAGCGGGACCACATACTGAGTAGAGCACGATGATGTGGGTCATCTTCTCGTCATAGAGATTGCCGAGGCCAAGGTCGGAGATTTTTGGGTTTACATCAGCGTCGAGGAGCACGTAGCTGGGCCTCATGTCCCTGTGGACGGTCCTCAACCGCAACTCCTCGTGCAGGTACAGCAGCCCCCTCGCCGTCCCGACGCAGATCTCGTACCACGCCGCTCACTCCAGCTGCAACCCTCCGCCGCTCTTCCCTGCAACTCCGACGGTGGCGGCGCCCACCAGCCGCTTTTCGGTTCCGTAAACAGAAAAGAAAAACAAGAAAAGAAAAGAAAAGGAAAGAATGAAGGAAGGAAGGAAGGAAGGAAGGAAGGAAGGAAGGAGGAGGTGATTAGGTTGCTTCACGGTCACCCTCCTGCCGTCGAAGAGCTTCCCCAGCGGAAGGCGAACAGGCCACGGCAATGTGCTTCTTCTTTTTCCTTCTCTCCTTTCTCCTTTTTCCCTCTTTTTCTTCGGTCTTCCGCTCCTCTTCTCCCGTCGGGAACTGTTAAGATGGTTCACGGTGGACCTGCGGATGGGGCAACGATCACGGTGGATCGGCCAAATCGGGCGTTGGATCGGGCAAAGCCGCGGATCAAGACGGTTCGGCGGATCAGCGGACCGCTTTTGGGGGGAAAAACCGGAGCCTCTCCTCCCCCCCCCCCTCTCTTTCTGTCTCTCTCCCTCTCCCCCCTTCTCTCCCTCTCTCTGTGTCTCTCTCTACGCCTCTGTCTCTGTCTCTGTCTCTCTCCCTCTCCCCCCTCTCTCCCTCTCTCTGTGTCTCTCTCTCCGCCTGTCTCTTTCTCTCCCTCGTGTGTCCTTCTGAAACCGTGAGAACGTCGAGGAGATGGGCATCAACCGCCAGAACGGCTTCGTGTGGCTCGGCCAGAAGAAGGCCTGGTGGGGCAACCGTCTCAGCCCCACCATTGGAAGGGTCGGCGCCACCACAGGAGGGGAAGACCAGCACAGGAGTCATTCCACGTCGACATCGTCAACCTAGGATCCAAGATCCGAATTTTATTTATTATTAGGATTTTCTTTTCATTTAGTTTCCTTTAACGAATTCTTGACCCTATAAATAGGATTACCGCTGTAATAAACGGTTTTGGTGGTGGATTTTGAAAATTTAGACATTATTTTCAGAATTTGCCCTAAGGTTTCCTCTCAGCCGCCGCCGCCACCGCCGCCGCCGCTGAGAGGCGATCCTCCTACGCCCGTCCGCCCATTACGAGCGCACGACTCCCCCTTCCACCCCCCCACCCCCCCGTGATCCACCATTCGAGAGCGAACATCCAGTTTCTCTCGCCGCCGATTGCACTGTCCGCCCTCTGGCGCATTGTTGTCTACCAACGGCGGTAGACGACAACATTCACGTCGGCGAGTGTTGACTCGTCGTGAGGCCCCGCTTTCAGGTCGTCGGCAGCCGACGCAGCCATACGCCCTCAGCCGACTCACGCGTGATTCTTCCCCGCCGCACGACTGTCCATTGCCCTCTCGCGCGACGATTCCAGCAGCCGCCCGTTTCGCCACGGGAGCATCGAGGTCCTCCATCGGGCGAGTGCGCAGAATCAACCTCCGGTTTAGGTTTCGGGGCGTTGCCCCGAACCCTGCTTTTGGATTTAAAAAGTGAGGTCTGATGCCTGAGAATCCTATCCACATCAGGGCTAGGGGAGAGTCAACACCAGCAGAGAAAAATGGTGACCACCAAAAAGTGTTCATTGCCTCCTTTATGATGTTCTAGAGGGTTCTACTCCATATAAATCTAAAGTTTGAATTCATCTCAAATTTAATTATGATGTGTCATATGTCTAACGCTCCTACAAAGATGCTCCCTTCTAACTTTCTTAGCCTTATAAGTTCATCTCTAATGGTAATCAATAGTGGCCTGTTTATGTTATATTTTCCTACCATATCGTCTACAAATGATTCGGCTAACTATTCAATCTCATCTTCCATGAATTCTATTGTGGGTATACCTTCCTGAATGTAATGTGGTTTTTATGATTTAGTCTAAACATATTATGGGCCGATGTGCTCATTCCATGTTATCTTTGCATATATCATAGAAGAGGTAGAATTTGCATATCTTGTGGTCTGTTTGTGAACTGAGTTAACATTGAGTGATGCTGAGATTGTACTGTTATCATTAACTAGATTGTCATCGACATTCGATTTAGTACCCTCCCTATTTGTTTTTATAGTTTGTTTGTTCTTTTGAGTGATTTTATGCATTTGTTTAGTGGACACTACATCTACAATTGAACAAAACTGTAAATTATTCTACGAATTTAAATTAAGTTTGTCATGTATCTACGCCTTTGAAGTTTGAGTTTCCTTCAAAGTTTCCTACTTCCTTGATGCATCTCCTTTTTCATTATAATGTGAGGCATTCTTCTCCCTCTTCGTTTCCTTCATCTTCCATCTCCATTAGTAATATGATATTTTCTTTTGTACTCCCATCCTCATGCTTATCTTCATTCTGAGTATTCTTTCCAAGTCCTTTTCTCTTATCGTTTTCAATGATCTCCTCTAATCTCCCCTTTGTATACTTGCTTGCTTGAGCTGGTTCTATATCTTAGGATCATTGCCTCCTGCCCTTTGTAAATTTCCTGATTTGATTTGTTTAGTATAAGTTGATCCTCCCCCCCAGCTGTAAGTGATCTCCTTCTTTTTCTTGGCTTCTTATTTTCTTTGAAGTAGTCTTGTCTAATTCCTTTTCAATGATATTTTAAGAAGCTTTTGCCACTTCATTTGTTATGCTCAGCAGGTTACAAAGCCTGAATAGATGTGATGTTTCATGTTGGGCTCTCTACTACTTGACATGTTCCAATTGCAACCAATTATCTTCTTCCTCCATCAATTCTTCTTTATCTCCTGAATCATTTTCCTGCACCATCTCTTTACTCATCTAGAAATCCCACCCTTGTTAGTTAGATGCATTGTCCTCATTTGAGGTTTCTTCAACTATTTTCTCACTTATATCTAACGCAGATTTGTCATCCTCTGAATGGTTGTTTTCACTAGAGATCTCTAGGCTATTTATTTCTGCCCCTATATTTCTTTTCTGTAGAGCACTATCAAAAGTTTTATTTTACATTTGATGCTCTATTCCATCTCTTTTCTTTTGGGTAGTCCACCATGATTGGGTTTGTCCCCAACATGCCTACATGCTCTTTTCCTTCTCGGCCCTAAATTTTCTCTTGTTCGAATCTTTCATTCCTTGTCAAAGAGTTGAGTCTACCACTTCTTCAAATAACTTTGGTTGAGGCTGAGTGGGATTTCTTTCTACTACCCATTTTTGCTATAGGTAGCTATTTGGGCAACCTTCCTTAGTCTTCTCTGGTTTAGTCCCCTTGCTTTCAGAGCCTATAAGACTTAAGAGAGGGAAAAAAATAGAAACCAAGAAATTAAGCTAAACTAACTTTGATGGGGCCACTTGCTATCTTCTGTAGCTCTTGCACCCTCTATTGCACACCAATAGTGCCATGTTATGACAGAGACCACTTGCTGCCATCTGCCTTTGTTCATGTGGCTGACTGATGCTATTCCCCTTCCATGTTTCTATTTTCTCTTCATGCACCCTTTGTCGCTTTCCAATAGTTTATGCCTTTGCACTTTAACTCATAATCAATACGACCCTTTCTAGTGTTAGGAACCACTTTCAACAATGTTAGAGCAGCATGAAGGCCTTTGGAATCTCCAATGACCCACCTCCTAGCTTCCTACTCTCTTCTGCTCACTACTCAGCACCTCAGGAACCCTCTATGGGAACATTTAATATATGTAACCTTCTCATGTTGGCTGTGTCTAGGATTGCCTGACCACCTCACACGAAACCCTCAGGACTTGACCATCGAGATAAATACTGATAGCTCACCCAAGCATCATCTTCTCCTCTAATTCCTCCTCTCCCCCCCCCCACCCTCCGGGGGTAGTGGTCTCCCCCTCCTTGGAGCCATTGGAATCACTTGAGCTCGAGGAGATATAATATTTTTTTCACAAATAGGTTTTTTTTTTGGGTTTGGGGTTCAAGATCTATGGTCTTAAGGTTTAGGGTTTATTTTAGTTTTTTGGTTAAAGTCTTGTGTATTCTAAAAAGAAAGCACATACTACTATCTATCGCTATATTCTTCGACACATGTGACTATGGTCTAGTAATAAGGGGGGCACTTCTCTCCTTGAGTTTGATTGGCATTCAACTGTTTGAGAATTGGTCGATGACTAGTAGTTTAGTTGGTTTACTTGGACTTGGGGTTAGACTGCCCATTGCTAGTCCAACTTCAAACTTGCCTGGTAGGCTAACTAGGGGATACATGTAACCTCTTCACCGCTTCGCTTCTGGCCATGAGGAATGGGTTTTGGAGTGTGCTTAAGATTTTGGGTTTAGGATTTCAAGTTTTTAGTTTAGGTTTAGGGTTTAGGGGTGTGGGTTTCGGGTTTTGGAGTTTCGGGATAAGGATTTAAGGTATAAGGTTATGGGTTCTGTTTTTATAATAAGGAAAATCCTATTGATGAATGATCCCAAGATACACTATTGGGGTCAAACTTGTGCATACATGGTTTTGTAGTAGACGTAAGTACCACATTAGTTTGTTGAGTGGGGAATTGGTGGCCTTGTTTACCTATGAATTAGTCTAGGGGGCTCCTTTTGGGCTTGGCTTTGTGCTTCTCATTTGTTGGGCCTTTTTGATTCGGCCCATATGTAGTCTATTGTGATGGATTGAACCCTATTTCTTTTTTTTTATCAACTTTCTCTTCTTGGGCTTTTCTTTTGTAGGCTCACATGACTAGGATAAGTCAATCATGCACTTTGAGGTTTTATGCTTCTCAATGATTCTTGGTCTGTAAGAGGACCACCAGCGAACTAGGTGAAGACAATTATATTTTCTTAATACCAACTTGGCCAGTGGTCATTTTAACGGTTTTTGTCGCTTCTCTTTTGTGGTTGGGAAGACCATCCCTCTAGTTCATTTCCATGGCTTAAGATTGTTTTGCTTTTTGTCTCTACTCCTCTATCTCCATTCTTCTCCCTTAGACATGCATATGACATCAAGTTCTCCCACAACATATGGTAATAAAAGTCTGATTTGTTATATCATAAGGCATGATTTGTCCATGATTTTGTATAGTTTCAATATGATTATTTTTCTCAAGGTTGTCAATTACTTTCTTCCTTTTAATTCTTACCTCTCTTCCCCTTCCCTTTTTTTTATATCCTTCCAGCTCACTTCCACATGCCAATAGGCAGCACTATAGATATCAATCCTTGAGGTTGACGTTGATCAAATTTAAACTTTCTGTCTAGTTCTAAGATTTATCTTACAACTTAGAGATCCTCATCTATCTTTATAGCAAGAAACAAGATCTTTTGTATTTTAAGTAAGAGGTTTGCTTTTTTTATTTCATTTCCTCATTTCTCCCTACTTCTTCCTCACTTCTTTTTTCATTTTTTTGGGTTTTTTTTTTCTATTTTTCAGGGGGGAGAGAACTTATTGTCTTTTGGACCTTTCACAACTCTTACTTTCTTCTTTTTCTTCTTCTCTTTTTTTTTGGACTACTTTTTCTTATGTTTTTTATGATTCTAGATGTCATGCCCCAAGATTCTAGTTTCTGATCTTTTGGTTCTCCATGTTCTTTTGATAAGCCTTTTCCTTTTAGGTAGCCTTTATTTTCTTTTCTTCACCATGATTTGTAGCTCTAGTGTTCCTTGCACTATGTATGGCTAGTTGTGTCATTTGTGTTACTTTTTTATAATGTTTGGGACTTGTGTGTGTGTTTGTGTTCTTTTTTTCTGTTAAGTGCTTTCATTGATTGGTGATTTGTAAGAATACAATATTCTGGATCATTCTTTCAATCCAAAAGGAGTTGAGGGCTTAGGAATTACTCATGACATTTATCCCCTTAGTGATACGTTTGCAGCACATACACGGCAGTTTGAGCTTCATCTTCTTTTCCTCTTCTTTTGGACTTGTCACATGGTGTCTATTAAAGCTAGACTTTTGTGTTTTAACTAGTTTTATTAATTGATTTTATTTTTTTAACTTGTAGAATAAATATAGGATATGTTGTTAATTTTAAAAGTCTAAAGTTAAAATACTTAGCATATTTTTTTATTATTAAAATAAATAGAATAAAAGATAAAAATTTTTTTCTGCCCGCTGCCAAGCTAATACTCAAGCAAGTAGACCCAGATCGGGGGAGCCACGAGCTCGGCTTGAGTGGTGAAGGCCTCGCTCCACACACGTGTGTGTCACTCCCCTTCTGATAGCACATGAATAATGTGCTAGAATACACTATGAGTTAGTCAATTTTACAGCTCTATAAGATTATTAATGTGTTATTTACATTAATAAAGATAGTTTTCTAGTTTACATTAAATATAACTCTTTTGTGATTTTTCTAACCATTTTCTAACATTTTAGGAATTTCTACCTCATGTCGTAATCACTCCATCAATGGTTGTGATACAACAGCTCAATCGTCACTCACAGGAGTGAGGAGGCGGCATTTCAGCAGGAGAAAGATCTGATGGCTTAGGAGAGAGCACAAAATAAGGGAGTCCACCGATCGAACAAAGCGTGGCCACGTGGGAGAGGAAGCTACTTGAACCTTTGGGCAGTTTCTCGTGCGCACGCAAGAGGCGTGCGAGAGGCAAATTAGAGAAGAGAGAGAAAGGGAACACCACCCTATATGTTTCGGAAAACTAATGTTACGAACAGCTTTTGATGAAGGAAGCCTTCGGCGATTCAGCCAACCTAGAGGGGTTTAGGGTTTTTCGAGCTCCACATCGTGTGAATACAAGTGTGCCCATCTAGAATGTTCCTCATCTTGCCTGAACGAGGTCTCTCCCGCTGCTTCAAGTGAACGCCTCTTCTTGGCAGAAGTAAGGAAGAAGGAATAGTGACACTTGGTCAATTTCAAGATGAAGTAAATTCTGTTTGGTTTAGTTTAGGTTAGATTTTAATTAGGAATTAAATAGGAGAAGATACGAACAATTGATTCCCGTTCTTACGCCGACCAGATCTAAGAAATCAGATCCGGATTCATCGTTCCCCCTTCTTCTCTCTGTCTAATCCACGACCCTTCGTTCTCTTTCCCATTCCATCCTTCATTAGAATGAGCATTAAAAAATAAGCCTCAAATTCCCTAAGGAGACGACTTGACTCACTACTATCTACAAGTTTTTCATGAATCAGATTAGAACATAACTCATACTATTTTTGATTGAGGAGATTAAGGACTAATGACACCTGTAGAAAATCTAACTCATCAAATGGCACTATTGTCGGGGAATTTCAAGCATTGAATAATTTGATGCATGTTGTTTTTAATGAAGATGCTTTTAGTTTCTTGAGTTTTATCTACAGCAAACAAGGTGATGTGGATACTAGTCAATCACTTAGAGAAATTCTAAAGAACAAGGTAAGTGAGCTCTAAGGAATTTTGTGCAAAGATATCGAGCAAAATTTGATATGATTTTAGGAGAAATTGGCTTGAACAATATCCACTGAATCATGTCATTTAACTTTCTTTGTTGAATGTGACAGGTTTATTTGAGCAAAATCAACCTCAAGAGAAAAGTTTCTTTTTAAAAGCATTCAAAGATTAGAAATCTAACCTTGCAAGACTGATTAAGGATATTAATCTACGAATAGATTCAAAATTGATTGTCTAACCTCTATTTGGTGTTGTGACTTATATTAATAGTCACATTGAACAGCTATTATGAGAAGACGAGGCAAGGGAAGCCTCAGGCTAAAGAATTAACCTCAAAACAAGTAGAAATCTCAAATTTTGACTTTAAAATTTTGACCTATTTTTCTGTATTAGATGATTTTTCTAAAACTTTGATCAATTATAGTTGCTACATATGTGTGATGATTGGCTATGAATGTGGACTTCCACGAACGTGGTAGATTAGATTTCCCAAAAAATTCCTTAACTATCTCATAGTGATCCTTTCCAACTATATCCCAACATGCGATGAAGAAATTTACGCTCATACCATCTGGTCAAGGGGTGCTGTCTAACTTCATACCGAACATGGTTTCCTTAATCTCCTCGTCATCTGGGGGCTGACATAATGCATCATTCTGTTCTTGTGACACACATCTGGGTATGTAATCTCACAATTTCAAGGTTCCCTGATATCTGCTCTATCTTGAGCAAGGCTTCAAAATATTTCCTACCGCCTCCATTAATCGATCCTCATTATGTGCAAATTCCTCCCTTAACTCATGTAGGTTGGACAAGTGGTTCCTAACCCTAGTTGTCAAGTGGAGGAATTTAGTGTTTCAATACTCTTATCCCATCATGTTTTTAGGCTGATCTCTAGCTCCTCAATCCTTTTTCAATACTTCCTTCAACCATCTTATCCTAGATTTCTAGCACCAGAAAATCTCGTTTTGAAGCAGGATCTCCTCCAATTCTCCTTTTTTATTTGCAAGCTCTGTTTCAATACTCTCATCCCATCATGTTTGTAGGCTGATCTCTAGCTCCTCAATGCCTTTTTCTACCGACTCTATCCTCACTCGAATGTTTCCAAAGACCTATTTATTCCACCACCTGAGAGCTTACTTAATATTTCTAATTCGCTAGGAAAAGTTTACCAAGGGGCAATTAGAGATTGTACCCCCCCACCTTTGTTTTACAAACTCAAAGAGAGCCCTCTAATGGACATGACGATTAACATTCCAATGAAGAACAAAGACACATACTAAAAAACAGATTATTGAGTTAAATGTCAGTCTTTTTTGTCAAGAAAACATAATAAAGTTGAAAAAGCAAAGGCTGGCAGCAATTAGGGTTTAGGGTTTAGGGTTTTTTTTTAATTTAAGGTTTGATTATATTGATGTTGAGAAATGTTTATCCCCGAGCCTCATACGTGAGATCTAGGGGAGACATGAGATAACTCTTTATGAAAAGTGGTAAATGAAAGATGAAGTGGTAGATGCGATCGAAGTTGATCATCTCAGTTGAGACTATTGTGAAATCCTCCCATCTGTAGTGCGAGGATAGCTTTGTGTTGGTGGTGCTGCGTATGCCAGGTCGTGTGCTAGTTGGGGGTTGGCCTAGGCGATTCGCCACTGTCGGGGGGTGACAGGTCTCCATGTTCGCCGTATATGAAGTGCTGGCATGCCGATCTGCTCCAAGCAATGTCGACCTCGAGCTTCGGCCAACATCTCTTGCCAAGAGGAGAATACAGAGCACAGACGAGTGCATACTACATGTGTAGCGAGCGCGTCTACTATCTAGTTCCCTTCACATAATTGGTGTGTAATGGTAGTGATCCTTGTTCTACAACATATGATGTCAGTCCAAGTACTCTGAAGTCGCCAATAAGAATAGGAACCCTATTTGTAGCATCTACACAATACTTGTGAGTCAGATTCTACGACGATATCATGGAGATTGCGTTCCTCACAGAGGAGCAAACCGTCATGTATCGCCATAGCCTCTATTGTAGTGGTAGTTTGAATATTATAAAAATAAGAGAAGGCAAAGATAATACTCCTCGTACGATCCTGTAAGATGCCTCATTCTCTTGTAGGTCCAAGGTTCCCTCGAGCTGCTCCATCGACATTCAACTTTAGTATTCAATTGGCGGCAGTCTCCATCGGACAACATGAGTAGAGATCTCTATGCGCATAGGCGTGGCTTGGACTCCCCAAGTCTAAGGACCTCACAAATTGAGGCCGAACATGTCACTGAAGGCAACACTAAAGGATAGGTACTTCATAGTCATTGTGTGATGTGTCTCATGATCTCTAGTGCGCGCATCTACTGACCTGCAAAACAAGAGAGATTTTCCCCCTTCTATATCTCTCATAACATGTATGTTATGGAAATACATAGGTAGGGGCTGCCCGTAGAGCTTTGCGGTGAATCAAAGACTCTTCTGAAAATCTCTAGGGGTGTAAGAGATAGAGAAAGATGAAATGCTGGGGACCAATTCAGTAAGAGTTGGTTTCAACATTTCGTAGTAACAATATTATGAAAAAATAAGTGGCCCATAGTTTCACTACTCGGAGTGAGGGGACAACAATGACACTTAGAATAGATGTTATGTCCTGTGATGGACATACGATCATTTGTAGGAAGTCCACGGTGCATCGATTTCCACATAAAGAAAGAGACTCGAGGTACGATAGTACGGTGCCAAATAAGATCTCCCTAAAACTATTTTGCGGAACAATTTCTAAAGTAATTCTAAGAAGAACTACAAGAAAAACTCCCATCTTGGGTAAGAGTCCAGATGAGATGATCATCACTAGGACCCAACTCTATCAATGAGATCTCTGGTAGTATATCTAATGAGAGCCCGTATCTCTCGAGGAATACACTAGTATCTCCATCGAGAAGCTGAGCCACCGTGAGACGAGGTCAGGATGACATAAAGGAGGTAAAGGAGGCCAAGGGAGTGTCCGCAAGCCGTGTCATACCAATCAGTGATAGTGCCTCGTCCTACTCGACATTGGATTAAAGACCTCATCTGCAACCAATGTCTTTGCCAATCTACCCATCGCTTCCCTCCTTTTATGTCAGTTGGTTGGCTAGCCCAATCGCCGTATTTGGCTAGCACAAGGGTCCCTAGGGGTGATCTCGTCATCCTCATCCACCATACGAGTTTCTTCTGAAGCATGTCGAGGATATCCTCAGGGCGTCTAATCCCTAGGCCGCCTTTGTCCATCGATCGACATGCATTCTTCCAAGAAACTCGATGTTGACAATGAGGTCAATCGAGTTGACCATTCCATAAGAAGGAGGTACAAATCTGCCTCACAGATCGTAAGATGATATCTGGTACCCCATGTACTGCAAGTAGGTGCAAGGACATACTCAAGAGGACATGGCATATCAATTGGATGTGACTGCCTGAGGATATAAGCTGAAGCTTCCATCCGTCAAGTTTCTTCCTCAACTTGCACAAAAGAGAATCAAAGTAATGAACCCGAGTGCATCCGAAGAAGATGGGGCATTCAAGATAATCAAAGGGTAGATGACCACGTGAGAATCCTGTTAGGTTCTGTATGCGTCGTACGGTGCTAATGGTGGCAGAAGATGCTACCATGAAGCTACACTTTGAGGCATTGATGAGTTGACTTGCGGCCTACTCGTAGCTCGAGATGATAGTCATGAGTCTCCTAATAGACGCTTCACACCCATTAAGGAAAAGTATCGCATCATCAGCAAACAAAGAATGTAATATGATCGGGCAACCCCTCTTTGAATGATATGGTTGGATAACCCCACGTGTCACCGCTCGGGAGAGGGTTCGACTAAGGACTTCTTCAACCAATATGAAGAGAGTGGGTGATAGGGGATCACCCTGCCATAATCCTCGCGTGGCCGTGAAGAAAGGTGTGAGCAAGGTGAACTCATCAATAAGCACCAATTAGGCCTCGTCAGGCTTATTGAACCTATAATATCATCAGATCACATTCACCCATTATTTAGACGCCTAGGCATGGGTCAGTTTCATTCTAACCCTACGAACCATATCTGGTTGTTCTAGAAGAGATCATATTCTCTACAACTACTTGTTGAGGGGCCACACCATGTTACGATGAGGGTACTAGGCTCTGGCCACAACATGTTACGATGAGGGTACTGGAGTGATGATCACTCCTTCGAGTAGATGGGGTGGTGGAGCAGAGCTAGGTTCCACTATGTTGGAAATGCATAGAAAGCAACAAACCGATTCTTTGAGTAGATGCTAGGTTTCTTAAGGAATTTGATATTAATACTAAATTATTTGTTATTGTTCAAAAACCTGATTCAGATATCAAAATAATTGACCTTATACCAAAATCTATTGAAAGTCTCTTATCTTAATTTTCTATAATTCAAAAACTATCTACTCATCTTCCACCAATGCAAGATGTACAACATCATATTGACCTTATACCAAAAGCAAGCTTCCCTAACCTTCTACATTATAGGATGACTTCACAAGAAAATCAAAATTTTCAAGAACAAGTTAAAGAGTTATTGAGTAAAGGATTGATAAGAGAAAGTATGAGCTCATACTCTGTGACTGCTTTACTTGTTCCAAAGAAAGATGGAAGTTGACCGATGTATGTCGACAGCAGAGCTATCAACAAGTTAACAATTTAGTATAGATTCTAATTTCACATCTAGATGACATGTTAAATGTGCTTTGTGGTTCTAAAATTTTCTCAAAAGTTGATTTAAAGACTAGATATCATCAAATTCGAATTTGGCCAAAAGATGAATAGAAGATCAAATTCAAATTTAAATTTTAGATGAAATTTGAATTCAAACAAAAATTTAAATTTCAGATAAAATTTGAATTTCAAACAAAAAATTGAATTTCGTATTTCAATTTTGAAATTGAAATTTAAATTTCAAATAAAATTTGAAAAATAATGAAAATATATATATGGGGCTAATTTCGTAATAGAGCTAGTAAAGCGGGCTTCAAGCTACAACGATACTAGGTTCAGTGACACTAAATCTTGATGATATTCCCATTATCTTTAGTAAGTCCATGACATACGCATTGAGTTTATGATTATTTTCTGCTAGCAATCGTTCTTTTCTCAAGTAATTGGTTGCCTTTTCCTTGTAGTTTGCATAACCAAATCACCAACTTTTGTCTGCCTTTTTCTTGTAGTTTGCATAATTGATTGTAACATACTTCTTCACATTCTCATGTACTATTTGGATGTATTCTTCTATGTTATTTGCTGCGACACTAGTACTAGGTTTTCTTGGTACTTCAATTAAGTCAAAAAAGACTTTTGGTGGAAAATAGTAGACAATAGAAAATAGAGAGTAATTTGTAGACCAATTTATCATAGAATTATATGCAAAATCTGCTTGAGCTAAGACAAGATCCCATTGTCTTGGTTTGTCTCCTGAAATACAATAGATTAAATAACCAAGTGTCTTGTTTACAACTTTTGTTTGACCATCAGTTTGTGGATGACTCATAGTACTAAATTTTAGGTATGAGTCAAATCTGTTCCAAAGAGTATGCCAGAAATGGGACAGAAATTTTGAGTCTCTATTAGATGTAATAATCTAAGGCACCATGCAGACGAACTATTTCCTTAAAAAATCAATTTGCCATCTTTGAGAATCTATCCACAACCACAAAAACAAAATGCTCCTCTTTGAGTACGTGGTAATGCCAAAATGAAATCCATAGAAATGTCAGTCCATATTTTATCTAGAATAGGTAGTAGAGTGTATAGACATGTGTTCTAGTACTATCCTCTATTAATTTGAAAAATTTGACATCTCCGCAAAAAACTTTCAAACTCTTTCTTAAAAGTGAACTATGTTCTGACATTGTCATTTATTAATTTGACAAATTTGACATCTCTACACAAAACTTTCAAACTCTTTCTTAAAAGTGGATTGTGTTCTAGCACTGTCCTTTATTAGTGGACTCTATGCTTTATCTAGAATGGGTAGTGGAAGTGTACATACCTGTGTGTTTTGGCTAATAACATCATTCCTCCATCATTTTCAAAATCTTGTCACGACCTAAGTGTCCACCAAGCCCTCCTGCATCTAATTCTTGAATTAACTTCTCACGCAAAGAAGTTCGAGAGATACATAATTTTAATTGATATTCTTGACATACATATCATATACTGTTGAGAATAATCATCGTTGTCTCGATATAATTTCTTGAGATAATAAAATCTTGTGATTTCAACACGCAAGTTCAGTAAACATGTTGTTTTTCTACTAAGAGCATCTGCAACTCGATTCAATTTTCTTAACTTGTGTTTAATAACAAAAGTAAACCGTTGAATGAAAGAGATCCACCTGACATGCATTCTACTGATGAAAGTCTGACTAATTACTGATTTAAGAGCCTGATGATTAGTATATAAAATAAATTGTCATTGAATCAAATAGTGTTCCCTTCTTGATCTAATCAAATAAATTTTGGTGAAATAAATTTTTTGAAACTTTAGTTTTTGTTTCTTTCTTGATCCAACCAATTCGATATAGATGAGGACGTGGGCTTGTTTGTAAATCTAATTTTTTAACCATCATAGAAAAGACAATGTTCTCACTACTACCACTATCAATGATTATATCACAATAGTAGAAGAAACAATAGTAGATCTTCCTCTTTCTAGGTGAAGAATTTAATTTTGACTTCCAAAATTTTGAATTCTGGTTTTTCCTTTCTCTAATAAGGCTTGAAAAATGATGTAAAGCTACTTTGTCTTCAATTTCTCATCTGAGACCACCTTTAAATCTTGAAATCATATACTGCTGATACAAAATTTGTTCATAATCTAGGAGAAGAAAATGAGATTTAAAAAGTTTTTTCATTTTCTTCCATAATCATATAGGTTCTTTGCTTGACCTCGTATGTGTGATCTGTAATTGATCCCACCTTACAGAGGCTCCACCCTTCAATTTATAAGTCAATAGCTTGACTTGCTTTTCATCAAAAAATTTCATATACTTAAAAAATCATTCTACTTCAACTAACCAATCTAAGAACTTTTTAATCTTCAAATGGCCATTAAAACATGGTAAGTCAATCTTCAAATGAAAATCTCAAAATTTTTCTTCAAAACTTGATCTAGAACAAGTAGAACTAGATGAATAGTGAGTATCTAATGAAGGTTCAACATGAGTGACTTTTTGAGGATGTCTGATTTCATGATCTCTAAGGGGGCATGAATGACTCTCTAATACACTCATTCTTGCCCAGAGTGATTTCAAGGTATCACTAATATCATCTTTGATCCATTCAATCTTGAAAAATAATAAAATCTGATTTTGAGATAGGAAAAACTTTAGGTGAATCATCATCACCAATATGAGTAGATTTACCTCGTGACATTTTTGAACTTTGATTGAAATGTTGACTTGCTCTGATACCAATTGATGCAGTAGTAACACAAAAGATAAACAACATATGGGCTTGAACCCACAAAGCTCCAATCTTGGGGAAGAAACCTGTCTCTAACTCCACAAATTTAGAGTCTTTAACCCTTGAATTCACAAAGGGGTGCCTGAATCCACAAGCAAGAGAGAAGAAAAGTTCTCACAGTGGAGAAAACTATTTCAACTAAAAAAAGTGAGTAACTTAGGTTACAATGGGGGCCTTTATACAGGCATAAACAAGAGGTTGGGCACTCCTCAAAAGGAAGATCCTGACAGATCTTGGGGACAATCTAACTAACTCTAAAATAACTTAAAATAGACTCTAACAAATTGAGATCTTAAACAAATCTTCTAAAAATACTTTGACATGACCTAAAGTAGAGTCTAACAATGAGAGACCTTGAGCAGATCTTAGGTATAGAATCTAATCGTCAGAGATCCTGAACAAATCTTAGATACAAGTTGAACCACATTAAAGTCTCTTCTAGAAGGGATGAGACATAAAGTACCTTCTAGAAGTGAAAGGACATAAAGTGGGCCCAAATTCCTATAGAACTGGTCAGGTTTTAACAGCTTCAACCTTTTCTTCATCCACTTTGAAAAACCTATATTTCTCTTATTGAGCGTAAAACAAATTTCTCAATATTTTTGTAAAAAATATAATGATTATCTCTATGAAGGTGAGTTGCATCTAAATCTTATTGCCATGTTCTACCAAAAATTAGATTACAGACATTCATCTCATCAACATCACTATAAATTTCATCAAAATAATTTTTTTCCTTGCAGCCCATTACTATTGCAGCTTGAAGCCCACTATACTTGATGCGCACTAAATTACTATTGCAATTTGAAGCCCGCTTTACTAGCTCAATTACGAAATTAGGCCCATATATCTATTTTTATTCTTTTTTAAATTTTATTTGAAATTTAAATTGAAATTTTAAAAGATCAATTCGGTAGTAATAAGTACAAGAGTCATTAGAGGATGCTAGAAAACCTAAAGATAAACAGACACCCCCTTAAATGAAAAATTACTTGGGCCGTGACGTGACTCAGTCGTTGTATATTAAATCACGCAAATCTAAAATTTATAAAACTAGAAAATATGAATTTTTGGATATTTAGAAGTATTTCTAAATAAATATATCAATTATAATTCAATAAAAGTTCCAAAAATAGCAGTAATTTTCCAGGTCGATCACAGAGATGTAATATAATATCTGGTAATTATTCAGAATTTTTCTCAATGATTACGATTTTCTATGAATTTTATACTAGGAAATTAAAAAGGAAATATATTTAAAATTCACAAAAAAGGGAAATAAGGGAGCAGATGTCAGGATGATGTCAGCACCCGACGAATGTGAATCGGGCGGAAACAGAGTTCCGCCCGGTGATTCTTACGTAAGCGATTACAGACGATTTAATTGATCAAATTAAGATCTGTAAAAGCCGGAAGAATCGTAATAGAACAAAGTATATCTTGGTAAATTAAAAACACAAAAATTATCACTAAATGAAGTGTAAAGTAAATTGAAAGCAAGAAAACAGAGTTCCGGCGTCGCGACGGCGATGCGTCGGCGATGCACCGGAATCCTGAGCGTTCGGGAGGATCATCGTGCAGTGTCCACGGCCTTAAAGGCTCTCCTTGGACAAAGACGACGTGGTCAATCTCTAGATCTTCTCGCGAAGTCTAGAGATCAATGAAGTGGGTCGTCGAATCGTCTCCGGCGGCTATCACCCGGCGGAGTGGAAAAACGGCGACTTTGCGGCTTTCCGGCGGCTGTCACCCGACGGAGAGGAGCTGGATGGAGGTGGGGCGCGTGTCAGGGAGCTTCATCCTCAGGTCCGCTCAGCAAGAGGAGGCTCTTCATCGCATCTGGTACGCTCTCAGGAGGTGGCGACTCGTCTCCTGGCGGATCGTCCTCTTCCCGACGACGGCTTGTTCGTCGATCAATCGGAGATCATTTACTTGATGGATTCGTGATCCTTTTATCGCGAATCGTTCAGCAATTTTAGTAGCAATGCTCCGCGAATCGCGTTGACGAGATTTTCGCCGATGATCCAGCGATTCTCGTTGCTTAATCCTTCACCGGCGATCTGCAGGAAAGTCGCGATAATCAGATAAAAATATATGAATTTTGACTCTGGGAGGATTCGAACCCGCGCCGGTTGTCTACCCCGTCTGAGGAAGGTATGACGCGGGTTTAGTCCCACATCAGTTGTGCGCTGATTTTTTGGGCAAATATATAGTAATGTTACGTTTCTAAGCAAAGTTCCTTCTCTCGCGTGTACGACCACTCCTTGCTCTACAGCCAGCTGGCCACCGGTGACGTGGAAGGGGAGTGGCGCACACGTGGCCCTATCAGTCCAAGCCGCTCGAGCCGCTGCTCGCGGCTACTCCCTGACTGAGCTTCCGACCCGCTTGTGGGCCCGGCTGTAGTAATGTTGGTAAATTTTTAGTTGGTAAATAATCCAGCCTTGTAGTAATGTTGGTAAATTTGTTGAAGTGTGTCCAAGTGTGTCCAAATGTTTAGGGTTTAGGGTTTTTTTTTGGGATAACTGTCTTGGGCCGAACTTCTCGGGAGGTCACCAATCCCGGTACTTCACATGCCCAAGCACTTCACCAATCCGAACTTCACATATGCCTCTCGGCATGGTGGCAGGGGTGCCTCTTGGCACGTTCTTCGGAGCTGGGGGCATCTTGGCATGGTGAGATGGTTGCCACATATGCCTCTCGGCATGGTGGCAGGGGTGCCTCTCGGCACGTTCTTCGAAACTCGAAGCATCTTGGCATGGTGTTGGAGGGGTTCGTAACACGTGCCTGGCGGCACGATAATGCAGCGGTGCCTTTCAGCACATGCACAGCAAGCGTCTCGCAACGCATGCACACGTACCTTGGGACTTCCCAGGGAGGTCACCCATCCGGTGACTGCTCCCACCCGAGCACACTTAACTCCGGAGTTCTTATGGGATCCGGTGGCAACTCTCCCACTTAGGGGGGTTAGGGTTTAGGGTTTAGGGTTTTTTTTTTTTTTTTTTTTTTTTTTTTTTTTTTTTTTTTTTTTTTTTTTTTTTTTTGAAGAAGAAATTTGATTGAGTGATAAAAGTTTGACCTCATTCCGAGGTTACATAAGTGGGATCTCATTCGCACAAGGGGCGAGGATGACATGAAGAATGAAAGACCTCTTTTGAAGAGGGGATGTGATGATACTGGAGATAGGCTCCAAGGCGTTCATCATATTTGAGGAAGGTGATTGATTTGCATTGGGTTGAACTTTGAGTTCATGAAAGTTGGAAGATCTGCTCAACAGGAGTAGGACGAGAGCTCCATGTTGTGCGCCATGCAATGTTCCTGCAAGACAAGAGTTTGCTGCAGTAAGTGATTCTAAGAGATAAATAAATTGATATAAAGTGGTGAGAAAAGAGTGATTAGGGCAGTGAGGAGGATAGAACTATGCTGAAGCATGACAATAAGCCCAAATATGAACTTGCCTTGCTAGTGTTGCACGCGCCTAATCCCTCTGGCCAAGATCTTGTTAGTATCATCAGTTGCCGTACTTCCTCTAAGTAGGTAAGGGACCTTTCACCCCACGAGGAATGACTTGGTCTCTGGTTCTAACTCTTTTCTTTTCTCTTATTCTCTCTCTCTTCTTTCTCTCTCCTTGAGGGCCTCTTCTTTTACCCTCCACTAATGCCCATTATTTGGTGTACATTAGGCTAGTGATTAAGGGAAGGGAAAAAGGTTGCCCTTTTTTTTTTTTTTTTTTTTTTGGTTTTAGGGCCCTTTCCCTCACCCTCCACTAATTGTCTATGATGGGCTAGTGATTCCGGGAAAAGAAGTAGGCTGTCTTTTTTTTTTTTTTTTTTTTTTTTTCCTAGAGAGAGAAAGGGAGGGAGAAAGAAATAGAGAATCGAGAGAGAGAGAGAGGAGAGAGGGTCAATCCTATGGATATAGATCTTTACCTTCTCATGGGTTCAAGCTGGCTGATGGTACTAATAAGATCTTGAGAGAGGTGCTAGGTTGCCGATTCACAACTAGTTTGGCAGGTCTGATGTGCTATAGACCTATAGTTCAAAAGTGGGCCGATGCCAACATATGCTGATAGTTCTATGTCCTCACTACTTGAGCATGATAGATAGTAGATGTGATGTGATTATGAGGAGAGTAATGATTGGAAGTAATGTACCCGAGTGGATTACGATGTGCCTTGTTGTCCGTGTTGTGCTGTATCTCCATTGTGGTCTTCAGCGGCCAATAGTAACCACCCCTGATCTCCTCCAAGCAATACGCCACTGTCGTGGAGAGGCCGGTAGTGGAGTGCGGTGTATGCGTAAAGAGGGTATGCCGAGTCGCTCAAGTCTATGAGCACCTCGGGCTTCCAGGGGCATGTCCTGCCAAAAAGAGAAGACTGTCCTCCGACGCGATCTGACTCCATGCGCAGCAAGGGCGTCAGCTGTCTGATTCCCTTCTCGGAATTGATGCGTAATAGTTGTGATGCGTCCTCGACATCGCATGATGTCTGCCCAGATATTCTTGAGCCTCCAATGAGGACAAGAGTCTGCACGTAACATGTCCACTAACACTTTGAAATCAGATTCTAAGACAATGTTAGTAATATTTTGCTCCTCACAAAGAAACAAACCATCCCGTATTGCCATAGCCTCTGCCACAGTATTAGTTTGTATATTATAAAAGTTCGAAAAGGCAAAGAGAATGCATCCTGTACTATCGCGTAAGATACCGCCTCCTCCAGATGATCCTGGGTTGCCTTGAGATGCTCCGTCGACGTTGAGTTTCCACTGTCCAGCCCTCGGTGGTGTCCATCTAACAGATCGGACAGTAGTCCAGGTCTGTGTAGGTATGATATGGAGTCCCCAAAGCCCAAAAGCCTCACAAACAGAACGCGAGCGTTTCGTTTTATTTGGCACTAAGGAATGAGTACTCCGAAGCCATTGTGTTACGTGCCTCATAATCTCTGTGGCACGCATCACTTGGCCTGCATATCGAGATGAGTTACGTCCCTTCCATATTTCCCATAACATATATGCTATGGAGATACGGATGAAAGGACAAACCTTGACACTCGTCGGTGAGTCAAAGACTCTCCTAAAGACCTCTAGTGGTGGTCTCGTAGGTCTGTACGAGAGCATTGGAAGCCAATTCGCTAGAAGTTGACGCCAACACTCGACAGCGATATCACTATGGAAAAATAAATGTTCCATACTTTCGTCTGTCGTGATGGAGCAACAATGACATTTCCTTTCCACCTCCTGATCGGTGACAATCACTCGATCGTCGGTGGGTAGTCCTCGGTGCATGAACTTCCACAGGAAGAACGAAACACGAGGTGTGATGGCCGGATGCCATATGAGATTTCCCCAAAATGTCTTTGGGGAGCGGTTTCTAAAGTGCTCCCAAGAGGAGCTACAAGAGAAACTGCCATCTATGGTAAGTGTCCAGATGGGTTGGTCCTCAGTAAAACTCATCTCAGTCATGGTGATGGCTGGTAACAAGTCCGACGGTAGTCCATGCCTCTCAATAAGTAGACGAGTGTCTCCTTGGAGAAGCTGGGCTACCGTCAAGCGAGGCCAAGAAGATGTGAAAGTGGTAAAACAGGCCAATGGTGTGTCCTCTAGCCAAGTGTCGTACCAGGCACTGATCTCGCCTCGCCCCACTCGCCAACGAATAAGAGGCACCATCTCCAACCAATGTCGCTGCCAGTCTGCCCATCGTTTGACTCCTTTGATGTCAGCCGGCTGTCGAGCCCACTCACCATATTTGGCTGACACAAAAGTACCTAGCACCGATGGTGTGGTCCTCATCCTCCAAATGAGTTTCTTTTGAAGCATGTTAAGTACATCTTGAGGGCGCCTAATACCTAGGCCACCCTCATCCGTAGGTCGACATGCTTTCTCCCAAGAAACTCGGCGTTGACGACGAGGTCCCTCAAGTTGTCCATCCCAAAGGAAGGACGTACATATCCGTCTAATAGTCTGTAAGACGGTGTCTGGTACCTCATGGACTGCCAAAAGGTGTAATGGTATGCTCATGAGGACATGGCGTATCAACTAGATCCGTCCTCCAAGGGATAGAAGTTGTAACTTCCATCCTGCTAGTTTCTTCCTTAACTTGCCCACTAGGGCGTCAAAATAGTGTATGCGCCTACGGCCGAGGAAGATAGGACATCCTAGATAGTCAAAAGGTAAGTGTCCACGAGAGAACCCTGTTAGGCCCTGGATGCGTCGTATGGTCCCTATGGGAGTAGAAGGGGCTACTATGAAGCTACTCTTCGAGGCATTTACGAGTTGACCTGCAGCTCGCTCATACCTCGAGATAATACTCATGAGCCCTCTAATGGATGTCTCACCTCCATTGAGGAAGAGTATCGCATCATCAGCAAAGAGGGAGTGTGAGATGATCGGGCAGCCCCTCTTCGAGTAGTATGGTCGGATAAGTCCTTGATTGATCGCTCGGGTGAGGGATCGACTGAGGACTTCTTCAACTAAGATGAAGAGGGTGGGTGATAGTGGATCGCCCTGTCGTAGACCTCTCGTGGCCGTGAAGAATGGTGTGGAGCTACCGTTCACTAATAAAGAGAAATGATTCTCCCTAACACATGCATCGACTAAGTCAATGAAGTCGTCGGTGAACCCAAAGCATCTAAGAACCTTAATGAGGAAACTCCACTCTATCCTATCAAAGGCCTTCTCCATGTCTAATTTGATGATGATGTTAGAGCCTCGACAATCATGGCCAAGGGACTGTGCTAGTTCATGTACTAGCATGATGTTATCGTGAATGTACCGTCCCTTGACAAATCCGCATTGTTCTGGAGATATAAGTCTATCAAGGAAACTACTCAATCTACGTGTAACGATCTTAGATACAACTTTATAACACACGTTACACAAACTGATAGGTCGAAAGTCTCTAAATGAGGTTGGGGTAGTCACCTTCGGTATAAGTGCAAGGAAGGTGGCCTTCCAACTTCGTGTAAAGAGTTTACGACGAAAGATTTCCTTGATGGCCTGGATGAGATCAGTGCCAACGATATCCCAACATGAAATGTAAAAATCAGCTGGGAAACCATCTGGCCCGGGTGCACGATGTCTGCTCATAGAGAAAACTACTTCCTTGATCTCTTCTCCCGTGGGTATGGCTGTTATGAGAGAGTTCTCACGGTGAGTGACCAATGACGGGATCGAAGTGAGCATATCATCAGAAATCTCAATCGGCTGAGAGGTTAAGAGAGTACGAAAGTACTCAACCCCTGCCTCCTGCATGCGGGAAAGGTCATGATCATATGTCTCTAAAAGAGAGGTATAATCTGAACGTGAGCGATGAGCGACCGAGGCATGAAAGAAACGAGTGTTTCTATCACCCTCTTGTAACCACTAGATGCGTGATTTCTGGAGATAGAATAACTCCTGTCGTCGCACAACCTCATCAAGCTGGTCACTCACTCTACTCCTCCTTTCCCAAGCAGCATCTGAATATCTAGCTTGCAGTAGTCTTTCAACTTCTGCTAACTCTTTTTGCAATGCATCAACTTGGGTATGGACATTCCCATAGATATGTCGGTTCCACCATTTAAGGTGGAGTTTGAGATTCCTTAACCTATAGCTAAGGTTCTCCATAGGAGAATCTGAGATCTGTCCGTACCAGTGATTCCGTACGAAACTCTGAAAGTTTTCATGTTGGAGCCACATGGTTTGAAATCTGAAGGGGGGTCTGTGGGTGCTCATACTCTGTTTAGGGAGTATGAGGATCGGGGTGTGATCTGACCTATAACGGGGTAATATCGTGACTAATATGGGATGCCGCATCATGGCAATGCTGTTGATGAAACAACGATCGATACGCTCATAAATCAAAGCGTCCCCTCGATTGTTGCTCCACGTCCATGCCTCGCCTGATGTAGGTGGCTCAATAAGAGCTAATCGAAAAATACAGTCATTGAACATCTCCATGTTACGGGCCCTAGGGATTCGCCCACCTTGACGTTCACTAGTATTACGGACACAGTTGAAGTCACCTGCTAGGTACCAAGGAGACTCAACTAGTGTAGGGTAGTCCCTCACGTATTGAACTAGGTCCGCCCAAAGAGTTTCTCTTTCTTCGGATCTATGTGATGCATAGATGACCGAGAAGGTGAACTCTTGGGTGAGATCTCGAGCCGTCATAGTGATATGCTGGGGTCCCTCGACTAGCAACTCCATAGAGTATGGTCTAGTCCAAAAGATCCAAATATGATTCGTGGGGTTGGAGTGAAAATGATCCATACCTAACCTCCTAAGTAAGGGTTGGATACGATCTGATGATATCATAGGCTCAATGAGGCCTACTATACCTAGTCGATACTGTCTGATAAGGCTAGCTATATAGAATTGGGTTTCGAGGTTGCCTATACCTCGACAATTCCATATGATGCTAGGTATCATGATCTAGTGAGTGGCCCCACGAGTCCTAGATCTCGTGGAGTAAGGTGAGCGTCTAGTGAGTCGTGTGGTCCTAACCTCCGTCTGATATCCCTCCTCTGGGTAGGTAGTCTCAATGTCAGTCTCAGAGCTACCATCCTCATGGGTACTAGTCGTGTGGCCTGTAGTATCATGAGCACTAGATGAGGAGGATGGGTGTGGTGCTTGACGATTCGTTAAGCACTGTCCTCTATCGGGGCTCTCCCTAGAATCAGCGGGTGGTGGATCAAGTATAGGAAACTGATCTGACGGTTGTAATAGGGGAGAGGGGGGGAGGGTATAAGAATCAGAATGGGGGGCTATGTAAGATGTACTAATAGGAAGTATGCTGGGGGTAGACCCTCCTAATAGATCATCAACGGGGATTTGAGGTGGATGGATAGGGCCCAAGCCTATACCCTCAGAGGAAGGGGTAGACCTCGGTCGGTGGGGACTAAGAGGTGAAGGACTCCTTCTACGTGGGGACGAGTGAATGGGCGGGGAGGAGCTGGGTGGTGGAGAGACACTAATGGGTGGAGTGGGGTGGGTGAGTATGGGGGGTCGGATAACCCGGGGGGATCTAGTATGGGGGGTTGGACTAGGTGAGTCCCTCGTAGTGGAGGATGCTAGCCCTTTGGAAGGCCTAGTTCCCCTTTGTGCAGGTCCCTCAAAGTCTCTCTCATCTAAAGCCCCTAAGACCTCGAAGGTGTTTGAGGTTAGGGGTTGCTTTCCCTTGCTCAAAGGGGAAGGTGTAGCCTCTCGTGTTCCTTTCTTCCCCCCTGTGTAGGTGGAAGAAGGGCGTCCAGCTGCCGGCTTTCGCCGTGTATGCTGTGTCTCAATCAGTGAGCTAGGCTTCTCTTGTGCCTTCCGAGGTAAGGAAGGTGGAGCCGCCATAGGGGCAATCGACCTCTGAGGATGACGAGCACTCTGAGCATCCTTTCTCATTTCGACGAGGTAATCGTCATATGAGATCGGTACTAGAAAGGCTCGTGTGGTCGTCTGTGGTGTACATGCCTTCTGACGGCATGTGCTGACAGTGTGGCCCAAGATCGCACAGTGTGTGCAGAAATACGGTAGTCTCTCATAAATGATGGGCTGATAAAGTTCATCATCTCCACTACGTATAACGAGAGTCCTCTGGAGGGGAGCCATTAGGTCCACCTCTATACAAACTCGTGCATATCCGGGTCGGTTGAACATTTTTACGCCTGGATCAAGGCATATGAATGTTCCCACCGCATTTGCCAAAGACTCAAGTGCCTTTGGCGTAAATAAATGGGCAGGTAGGCCAGGGAAGCCCACCCATAATGGAACCACATGAGACTGATGTGCTTGGTGCCCTATGTCATTTTGTGGTGTCCATCTGTGGGTATGGAGGGTAGACTCCCCCATTCTCCAAGTGGGTCGGCTCCATGCTCGGCGATAATCCGCTTCTAGCTCAAAGCGGATGTATATGCTACGATAGTCTCGAGCTCCGATGGAGACTCGGCCCTGAAAATTTCCAGGTGCCATGTAAATCTTCTCTATGTCACCTATGGTTGGTCGTTTCGTAGTGAAACGACCAACTAAGGTATATTGGAATGCGGCTGCCATCTGGGAGACCTCCTCAGAAGTAAAAGCTATTGTCCTCCTCCCATCATCATCGCTATAGCTTCGCACTGGGACAGTGGTATCATAGGTTGGGAATAATACATGACGTAGCGGTTCCTGTGGTGTGACAGTCTCTGTGGAGGGGACAAAGGGGTTAGACACTCGTTGCGCCCATGATAGGTGTCTAGTGGGTATAGTCGGGTTTGGCCTATGGGGCACAGTAGAGTCTAGCCCACTAGGTGTAATAGTGTGCCCAATGGATGCGTTTGGGGTCAATATAGGAGTCTCAACTAGTGTTGGGATCCTAGTTGGTTCGATTTGTTGACTCGAGGTAGGCTTAGAGGACGTAGCTGAGGGGGGACGTAAAAGTCGGCGTCCTATCTTCTTTTTGGGCCGCAGGCTCTTGCCCCTTGCCTGGGCAAGAGATTGGACCGGTGCAGCCTGAGCCGGCTGTTCAGGCTTGGCCTGGGTCACCTGGGCTTGGGCCTGGGCCACCTGGGCCTGGGCCTGGGCCACCTGGGCCTGTGCCTGTACGTCCTGAGCCAGCGCAGCCTCGCTGGGCTGGGCCGGCATGACCTGGGCTAAAGCGACCTCAGGTGGCGCTACGTCCACCGTGTCTGACGTTGATGACGTCACCAGCGTCCCAGCCGAGGCATCGGCGATCGCAAAAAGTTGCGGCGCCTTTATGGCCACGTGATCCCCTCCGTTGATATCAAGATCAACGGTTGGATCTGGTTCGGCGTTATGGCCGTGGCCGTCCGAGGGCGGTGCCTCGGTAACGGCTGTTGACGCCTTTATAGCCGGCTGATTCTGACCATTGATCATACGATCAATGGTTGGATCAGAGGGGGCCTCTTCGCCTGCCGTCGCCTCGTTCCCGAAGAGCGAGTGGACGGCGTCAACTGCTGTCCCCTCCGATTCGGGTCTCGGGAAGACGCCAGCTGATGGCGAATCACGGACGTCCGTGGTTCGACCGTTCAGCTCCTCGGTTACGGCCGTCTCCTCGGTTACATCAACCGGCGGAGAGAGAAGGCGAAGACAGGAGGCCGTTACTGCCACGTGTCGGCCTCCTGTTCGCTCGCATTCGTCGGGCGATTTTTCATCTGGGCGACGGAGGTCACCCGATGAAATTTGTGAACTACTCATCATCTAAGCATCAAATAAAAATGATATAGAAGAGAGAATGGTAAACGAGGCAAATACGATTCTATTGAACTAAAAATAATGAAATTTCACCCAGTCAATAGAAAGATATTACCTTTGGAGTGAAAACTCCGGTAGTTTACCTTCGCGATGAGGAAATTGCGAAACGAAGGCTTTAATCCACCGTTTTCGATGCGTAAAAGCTCGAAACCGATAGCTGTCGGCCTTCCGAATCGAATGGAAAAGGTTTCAGCGCGATCTGAGGTCACACGAAGGAGATCTCACCATTTGCGCTGATCGTGAGGAGAGAGAAGCTCTCGCGAGGAGAGAGAAAAAAGTTGAGCAAAATCAAAGAATTTTTAACGCTTTTAAGGATAGGGGTCTGTCAGACAATCCCATGGTCAACCCAGGCTTCGGATGAACCGAAATCTGAGAACGATCATCTGCGTCGCAGCGCCCGCATCTGCGGGACGGTGATCAACACTACTCACGCTCTGACCATGGGATCATCTTTCATCAACCAGACTTTATGGTCTGTCTCCTTTGTGCTAAAGGATACAGTTGTACGAGCCTATAGAACAGATCCTGTTCAAGTAAGGTCGTGTTTAGGGTTTAGGGTTTAGGGTTTAGGGTTTTTTTTTTTTTTTTTTTTTTTTTTTTTTTTTTTTTTTTTTTTGGGATAACTGTCTTGGGCCGAACTTCTCGGGAGGTCACCCATCCCAGTACTTCACATGCCCAAGCACTTTGGTGCCTCTCAGGCACATTCTTCAGAGATAGATGCCACATATGCCTCTCGGCATGGTGGCAGGGGTGCCTCTCGGCACGTTCTTTGGAGCTGGGGCGTCTTGGCATGATGAGATGGATGCCACATATGCCTCTCGGCATGGTGGCAGGGGTGCCTCTCGACACGTTCTTCGGAGCTGGGGCGTCTTGGCATGGTGAGATGGTTGCCACATATGCCTCTCGGCATGGTGGCAGGGTGTCTCTCGACACGTTCTTCGAAACTTGAAGCATCGTGCTTGGTGGCACGATAATGCAGCGGCGCCTTTCAGCACATGCAGAGCAAGCGTCTCGCAACGCATGCACACGTACCTTGGGACTTCCCAGGGAGGTCACCCATCCGGTGACTGCTCCCACCCGAGCACGCTTAACTCCGGAGTTCTTATGGGATCCGGTGGCAACTCTCCCACTTAGGGGGGTTTTTAGGGTTTAGGGTTTAGGGTTTAGGGTTTAGGGTTTAGGGTTTTAGGGTTTTGGGTTTAGGGTTTAGGGTTTAGGGTTTAGGGTTTAGGGTTTAGGGTTTAGGGTTTAGGGTTTAGGGTTTAGGGTTTAGGGTTTAGGGTTTAGGGTTTAGGGTTTAGGGTTTAGGGTTTAGGGTTTAGGGTTTAGGGTTTAGGGTTTAGGGTTTAGGGTTTTAGGGTTTAGGGTTTAGGGTTTAGGGTTTAGGGTTTAGGGTTTAGGGTTTAGGGTTTAGGGTTTAGGGTTTAGGGTTTAGGGTTTAGGGTTTAGGGTTTAGGGTTAGGGTTTAGGGTTTAGGGTTTAGGGTTTAGGGTTTAGGGTTTAGGGTTTAGGGTTTAGGGTTTAGGGTTTAGGGTTTAGGGTTTAGGGTTTAGGGTTTAGGGTTTAGGGTTTAGGGTTTAGGGTTTAGGGTTTAGGGTTTAGGGTTTAGGGTTTAGGGTTTAGGGTTTAGGGTTTAGGGTTTAGGGTTTAGGGTTTAGGGTTTAGGGTTTAGGGTTTAGGGTTTAGGGTTTAGGGTTTAGGGTTTAGGGTTTAGGGTTTAGGGTTTAGGGTTTAGGGTTTAGGGTTTAGGGTTTAGGGTTTAGGGTTTAGGGTTTAGGGTTTAGGGTTTAGGGTTTAGGGTTTAGGGTTTAGGGTTTAGGGTTTAGGGTTTAGGGTTTAGGGTTTAGGGTTTAGGGTTTAGGGTTTAGGGTTTAGGGTTTAGGGTTTAGGGTTTAGGGTTTAGGGTTTAGGGTTTAGGGTTTAGGGTTTAGGGTTTAGGGTTTAGGGTTTAGGGTTTAGGGTTTAGGGTTTAGGGTTTAGGGTTTAGGGTTTAGGGTTTAGGGTTTAGGGTTTAGGGTTTAGGGTTTAGGGTTTAGGGTTTAGGGTTTAGGGTTTAGGGTTTAGGGTTTAGGGTTTAGGGTTTAGGGTTTAGGGTTTAGGGTTTAGGGTTTAGGGTTTAGGGTTTAGGGTTTAGGGTTTAGGGTTTAGGGTTTAGGGTTTAGGGTTTAGGGTTTAGGGTTTAGGGTTTAGGGTTTAGGGTTTAGGGTTTAGGGTTTAGGGTTTAGGGTTTAGGGTTTAGGGTTTAGGGTTTAGGGTTTAGGGTTTAGGGTTTAGGGTTTAGGGTTTAGGGTTTAGGGTTTAGGGTTTAGGGTTTAGGGTTTAGGGTTTAGGGTTTAGGGTTTAGGGTTTAGGGTTTAGGGTTTAGGGTTTAGGGTTTAGGGTTTAGGGTTTAGGGTTTAGGGTTTAGGGTTTAGGGTTTAGGGTTTAGGGTTTAGGGTTTAGGGTTTAGGGTTTAGGGTTTAGGGTTTAGGGTTTAGGGTTTAGGGTTTAGGGTTTAGGGTTTAGGGTTTAGGGTTTAGGGTTTAGGGTTTAGGGTTTAGGGTTTAGGGTTTAGGGTTTAGGGTTTAGGGTTTAGGGTTTAGGGTTTAGGGTTTAGGGTTTAGGGTTTAGGGTTTAGGGTTTAGGGTTTAGGGTTTAGGGTTTAGGGTTTAGGGTTTAGGGTTTAGGGTTTAGGGTTTAGGGTTTAGGGTTTAGGGTTTAGGGTTTAGGTTTAGGGTTTAGGGTTTAGGGTTTAGGGTTTAGGGTTTAGGGTTTAGGGTTTAGGGTTTAGGGTTTAGGGTTTAGGGTTTAGGGTTTAGGGTTGAAGGTTTAGGGGTTGGGGTTTAGGAGTTTAGGAGTTTAGAGTTTAGGGTTTAGGGTTTAGGAGGTTTAGGGTTTAGGGTTTAGGAGGTTTTAGGAGTTTTGGGTTTAGAGTTTTAGGGTTTAGGGTTTAGGGTTTAGGGTTTAGGGTTTAGGGTTTAGGGTTTAGGGTTTAGGGTTTAGGGTTTAGGGTTTAGGGTTTAGGGTTTAGGGTTTAGGTTTAGGGTTTAGGGTTTAGGGTTTAGGGTTTAGGGTTTAGGGTTTAGGGTTTAGGGTTTAGGGTTTAGGGTTTAGGGTTTAGGGT